TTTTTTAGCCTGGCGGACAGGTGTGAAGGTTCTTCCCGACCGCAGGAACCAGGCGGAGTGGTTTTCTGCTGACAATTGGGCCGACTATGAGGTCTTCACAGACGGCGACCGTGCGAAGAAGAGGAAGATCCCACGCTCGAGCATCTATGTGAAGACCATGCAGCGTCTCAAGCCACGCGACTGGTTGTATATTGTCAACAAGAGCATTAGGCTGCGGGAGGAAACCAACTTGCAAGCAAAGCGCAAGAAGACCGGAAGGCGTGCAATGGCGAACGAGGATTTAATAAGCGACGACAACTCGGATGCGGACTTCGAATGGGTCAGCGAGTCTAGCGATGACGAACGGCCAGTACCCTAAGACTCCAGCCAATAACAGGTGACATTGCCATGCCCCGGTACGGATTACACTTCATTTCGCGGCATTCCTATTAGCTGACTGTTATATTCACATCGTAGCCATTGTAAAGAAGTGGTACTTGTATGTAGTCGTAGTATTAGAGCTCCTACCAGCGTGAAACACATGGTTTACAGCTATCTAATGAGTGTGATTGATCCAACGTGCCCGTCTTACCCATAAGACCGCTGTCTTGAGCTTGCCTTGGGCGACCGTCTTGAGAGTCTTGGCCAAGACCGGGCGTCTTCCCAAGACAAACGACATAGCTTGGCTAACATCAAGTGTCTTGGCGCCTTGGCCGCCTTGGGCGTATTACCCAAGACACTCAAGACACTCCCCAAGAGCTGGCAGTTTTGCTGATGTATCCCTGAACCCCTTTTGATAATAGTTTCACGTATTTCGTCCGTCCCTACCGGCTCACTCAACATTTGCCCCTAAAAAGGAGATAACCAGGTGCAAAAAACCTCGTAGTACCGACATATTTTTTTTTTGCGATTTAAATTCTAGGAGATGAGTGCACAGGAGGTGTTGCGCCGAGACAGCTCGGCCATGGACTAGTGTTGATAATTTCTGTCACGGTTTGTCACAAGGGATGCCGATCAAGCCCGTGTCTCCCGACGGCTACAGCCGAGCGTTGACCGTGTGTCCGTACATTTTGGGCTGAGAGTGAGGACAAGGTATGGGCAGCTTGAGCGAAACAAGTTGATACTTAATAGAATCAATCGTGCACGAAGCGCATTGCAAGTCTTCTGAATGCGTGTCTCGACATGGTCGGCGTCTGAAAGTTAGAGGAAGTCAGGCAGTGTAGTGGCTCGTTCAGCAACACCGCGAGGTAGAAGCTTGTCAGGAAACACTCAGCAGAATGCCGCAGGTACAACCGGTGGTAGCATGTTTGGCAACCCGTCAAGCACGTCGGTGATTTCGGATGGTGGGCTGTTTGGAAGTATCACGAATAACGGCACCAGCCTTACCGCAGTGCCAGGTATACTTGTCGCTGCGTACTGAGTGTGCCATACTGAGGTATATCTCAGGCAGGAACTACATTAAGTTTCCCCGGAAACACTGCTCAGAACAATACCCCTTCATTATTTGGTCAAATCTAACGGCAAAAGCCCGCCGTTTCGCTGTTTGGCATGCCCATATCCGCCCTCCGCAGGCTCGCTGCTCAACCAGTCATTGGTACAGCCCGCAATCGGTACTCCCCCGGTCAACTGGCACAACAGCCACAACGGCCACAACAACCTCAAGAATCGGTCCTTGGCAGCCTGAATCAGCCACTAGCTGTTTCAAAGAGAAGACCACTCGATAATCCGAGACATCACCCCAATGTGCAGCGTGGGATTAATGAGGCCAGGAGGAAGTAAAACGAACTGCGGTCATAAGCAATTTATCAATGAACCATCTAGCATACTATCAGAGATCTAAGAGATTCGCAGATAGGTTAGCAGAGATATCAGAATGCAAAAAGCGATCTACATCCTGCAGCGAGAGCATGACGAGTTCAAACCAGGACAGACGGGATTTCCCGGAACTAGAAAGGGGGTGTGTATACGTATGTTAGAGCGACGAAGCCCAGCATGAGGACAACAGCCTATAAAATTTCCGCTACGCTGAGCGCATCAGTCTCAGATCTTCCAACCACCAGTGAGGCCCATGATGTTCTGCGGGTCCACCCTCTCCTTCGTTGCACGCATCCTAGGCAAACTATCCCCAAAGATTTGCTCGACCGGCGTGCCTGCGATTGCGTAGTTGCCATACAAAGGTGCATCCGAGATGTCCTGACCTTCAGAAGTTGCGACAGCCTTGAGGTGCGCCGCGCTCTGCACGGTGGCGGCCTGCATGATTGCATCTGCCCCAGGAAGGTCCCATGCGTAATAGAGCTCAAGCAGAAGCAGGCCCTGCGCGCGTGTCGGCGGGTAGGCGGATGTGTTTGCTGCAGCATGTTGGTAAAGGCTCGGGAGGTAAAACTCGATAACGTAGGAGATGAATGTCGCGGACTGGTTGCTGAGCTCCTGCGACCAGAACTTTGTTTTGCGTTAAGCTAATACGAGATATAAACGAGAGAAGATGGCATACCTGGGTCTCATTTACAATCGCATCGAGCAACCCGGTGGTGATTGTGGTAACCGATGCAGTGTTGAAGACGACACTGAGAAGGTAAAAGTCAGACAGCTTCTTTAACTTGCAACGTTTCGTGCTCACCGAGTGCTGTTGGTCGAGTGGGTAGGCGATGATTGGACGAGAGACAAAAACGAGCGAGTGCTGAGATCCGTGTTGAGCGCGGGAATAGCAAGGTAGTCATCGAAAATCCCGGCTGGCGTCGAGGGCCCGTCATAGAACATGAGGACAAAGGCCACAGGCTTGTCCAGATATTCGGCTCAGTGTGCGACTATGTGGAGAGATTGAAAGCACAAACCGTTTCGGAGAGGGCCGCGTCGTAAGCCGGGATGACCTGGAGCGCCGCCTTGGGATCTGTGACCTCGGCTTGGAATTTCGTGGTGGCGGCATTAATGGTGTCCCATTGGTCTCCGCCGATGACCACAATACCACCCTAGTACATCGAAGTAAGTGAAAAGGGTTCAATGCCGGTTACAGAAGGCACTATACCCAAACTTGACCTTGGGGATAGGCCCTGGTAGTGACCTGTGTAACGATGCCCTAAAGTACATTAGCTCGTAGACCCAATCAAACGGAACAAGGCACTCACAAAGTTATTGTACCCACCCTAGATCACTGGTGTTCAGCCCGTACGCTCATTTAGCAGTCCACACAATACTCACCTTCACACTGAAGAACAGGTCCGGGTCGTTCGCTTCGGTCACGTTGGTGACCTGACCGTTAGGCAGAACGATCTCGAATCCGACAATATTGTCGACTACGAGGCCGTACTGGTTCGTCAACCAGGAATATCCTAAAGAGCGAAGCAACCATCAGTCGAGCTCAGGCCCCGCCGATCCACGCCAGACTGACCTCCACCGAGGCTGACACCTGCGACGCCGACATCAGAAACACGACCTCCGACGACGTTCACGCTATACGGCTCGAGGGCAGAGTAGACGTCGTTCCAAGTGAGGCCCATGCCGTAACTCACGGTCTGCGTCGCGCCGTCGTAGACGACGTCGCTGAAGCGTGACATGGCGATCTGCACGCCAGCCGTGGAGGAGAAACCGGCGTTTGTGGTGTGTCCACCGCCCTTGACCTATGGAGCTGCATGTCAGAATCATGAGGAGAAGAAATAGAATGATATACTGACAGCGAAGGAAGTGTTGGTGCTTCCGAGGATTTGTAGCTATTAAGCAAACATCAGTAGAGGGCTAACATCGCGAACGTCCGCCTTACAGTTACTCCTATGTCTTCTGCAGTCCCTGGCTCAACAGAGCACGTGGAAACTGCGCTGCTGGAGTTTGCCCAATGGCTAACGTCGTTCGTGTACTGAATGCTCCCTGACAACAACTAGCGTCAAGCTGGGGTCGGAGTCGTCGGACGAAGTAACAATGCAACGCTTGCCTGGCCAGTAGACATCAGAGGCAGAAGACACGGCGTTCGCTATCATATTGCAGGCGTTCGTCGCCGATGCGTTGGCAGGCTTCGCGATGGCGAGCACAGTAAAGAGAGAGAACACGATTAAGCCGCGCATGTCGGTGATGGGGATGAGCTGGAGCAGGCTGAATACTTCACATCGATCCTCTTAAGGCCTTATATGCAATGAGTCTGGCAGCCAGGCCGGCCGTACGCGTCACAGAGATTTCGGTGAGTAGGGGATAGCTTCGTGATACAAGTGAGTGCGTAAGCAAGTCCTTCACAGCACTCGGTGTGTCCGTTGCGATCGGTGTGCGAAGGAAAGAAGCCATGTTAGCGCAAGGCAATTGGGCTGTCGACGCGGGCGACTGGGTCAATCAATTTGACAGACGAGACTTCGCTGTCTATCGGCACGAGCGACGCGCACTCAGTTGCCGTTTTTCGAGATTTCTTCCTGTCAGTGTAACACTCGCTTACACGAGAAGCGCAAAAGGTAGCGAGGATTTCGAGTGATGCAACTTCGAACAGCCTGCTAGGTTAACACTTGTCATGAGAGATTATCTCCGGGACGTACGTCGTGGCGTTCAAGAAGCAGCAAGGCCAGCACGTCGTAAAATATCTATGTTGCTCAAGTGCAGTTTCTGAGTATGCAGCTATGTGTAATTCAGTGTGACACGTAGCCAGCCACCCACAAATCCTCTGCATCGCAGGCGTGCCAAGTTGACCACGTCATAAGCGCAGGGACAGGTCGCCTGCAATGAAAATTTGTCAATGCTGCACGTGAAATCACACCGCCAGATGCGAGGGGACGCGACAAACCTCGGCACTTGCAACATTCATCGGTCACCGGAGACGACATTGAGCTCAATATAGCCCGTACGGCTGTTCGGCAACTTTCTACTTGAGCCCGTGCAGCCGGATTCCCGACAGGTCGGTGATTAACGTGCGCGAACCAGCTGGGCACAAGACCAATTTTGGTCCTACATATAAAAATACGGTGAGTTGAGCTGTGGATAGATCAGAGCAGTTACCTGCCGTGAGTAGCAACTTGAGGTCGAGAATCATCCCCCTGGGCAGACCTAATATGGTCGAAACGCGTATACAAAGTGCTTTCCTTGGTCACGTTGGTGCGCCGACGCTTCAGAAGAGCGATTTCGAAGCCGATAATGCTGCCAGTTGCGAGACCATACTGTTTGCGCAAACAGCGCGCTCGGTGTGCGAAGTGACATCGACCATGCAGGAAGCACTCTTCTCGCGTCTCCGGGTCGGATTCATGGCACCTAGTGTGGCTAGGGAGGCAAGTTAAGCTGTTAAATAGAATAGAGCTATGGGTATAATAGAGTGTAGTGGCCACGGGGGCGGAGCCAGTTGGCTTGTATCGCAGAGATGTTTGTAATCGCAAGTCACACGGCTTTGTACCACTAACGTGCGCCCCATGGGGAACGTGAGGACGCCGTGACAAGCGAAGACGCTGTCTCTAGCGACCATGTATACTCTCGAACCGTCCCGCACGGTGTGTGTATCGTACACACCAGTCGAGACCAAAGAAGCGGTATCGATATGTGCAGAGAACGTGGCTACTGGCCAGTAAATGGATTTTAAGCTGAGTATCGGCAACAGGGGAAACAAAAGACGACAGAGCGTCGGGGTGACGCTCTACACATTGCGAGCGGGCGTCAAAGAGAGAGAGCGCGTCAACTCGGTGAACTAGTTTGAATGCCGGGCTATGTAGTACCTCCGGCTAAAGCCGTGTGGCTGAAAACGTGACCCGCCGTGACCAGACGGCGACTGCAGCGCAGGAATACGGTAAGGAACCCCTCGACGCCGACGCCCTGTCCCGCCACTTCAAGACATGCCTCGAGGTGCGTACCCGCCGTTTTCTGCACACTAGACCCATGCTGAAACTATCCCCGTAGTATACAAACCCGGAAAGGTGTGCTTCATGTTTATTTACTGTGGTCCGCGGAGGCACGGAAGGTCTGAACAAGGTGCTTCTGGTGTGACAGGTCGCCATCGTGCTGTCCGGCCGCCATGCAGGCAAGAAGGTCGTTGTGATAAAGCAGCTCGATGAGGGCACCAAGGAGCGCCCCTACCCCCATGCCATCGTTGCGGGCATCGAGCGCTACCCATTGAAGGTCACCAAGCGCATGGGTGCGAAGAAACTTGCGAAGAGGAGCAAGGTCAAGCCTTTCATTAAGGTATGCAGGCTGGAATGTTGTGCGAGCTTTGCGGAAGACTCACAATACAACCGTAATCTGCAGGTTATCAACTACTCCCACTTGTTCCCGACACGTTATGCCCTTGAACTCGAGAGCTTGAAGGGATCCGTACAGTCTGAGACCTTCAAGGAGCCCTCACAGCGTGAGGACGCAAAGAAGCTTATCAAGAAGCAATTGGAGGAAAGGCATGCGGGTGGCAAGAACAAGTGGTTCTTCCAACCTCTTCACGTACGCAAAACATTCCTGTCCTACGAGATATACGCTCATCGTTAACTTCACGAATACAGTTCTAGATTCGGATCGCTTTCTCTCGGGCTATTGAGGATGCCTTTTCAAAATTCTCTCCCTGTACGCATATAACTCGTACCGATGTGATTAGTCCCGGGCCGCACGATCCCATCCTGCCTGGCGGCCTGCTTCTCATTCCGCATACCAGCTGGTCCCATTCGGCACCCTTCTATGGCCGGTGCTTCTCATGTACTCTCCTCAAGTCTTTATGCACTTATGGCTCATAGCAGCACTGCTTGGTTTGTTTGAGGGGCCTCAACTATATCCGGAAGTGGCTCCAAATCTCGACATCTTGCATCGTATGGTTGCACTGCTTCTCTGCCGGTAGGCCCGAGCAAAAGTGTTTGATCACATTGTTACCTAACTGGTCTCGATGGCTCGACGGCGTGCCGCCATGCGCCCGGACGAATGTGACAAGTGTGTTCCTGGCCCCAGGCTATGCCGTCTTGCCGCATTCTTGTGCCCACGGGTACCGCCACCCTCCCAGTCAATTCCTAAGTTAGCACCATTTGAGTTTGACTCTCGGCTAGCAGGAGGCTGAGAAGGCATGTGCTCACCGTGCTCCCCTTTATGAGGCGTTTCGAAGTCTAAAGGGATACAATGACCGTACCAATCCGAAGGTACCAGCTCATGCGATATTTGTAGAACAACAGTCTCCAGGCACGGAACAGAGGCTCTTGCGCGGTGAGATCTGTGCAGCTCAACTAGTGGCCAAATTGTTAACAATGGAAGTGTGCAGACGCCACATCCCGTGTGCTTCTGAGACCCACGGCTTCCGCCTCCCTGACCGAGAACGCACTAAAATGTCCCGTCTTGCGGGGCGGCGTGGATACAACCAACCCAAAGTTTGAGTAGAACGGCGAGATCGAACGTACTGTGAGAAAAGATGCCTGCGTTGCCCCCCGGAGGTACGCACCCCGCGGCGATTGGGCTGGCGACGTGACTTCATGGTGCAGCCTCGTCATCGAGCTGAGTATCGTCGTTTACCTTACATAGGGTTGCTCCCGGGGGTGGAGACGGGGATTACATTGGTCTGGCATGCTTATTGCCTCCGTATTTCATCTACTCGGGTGGGTTTGTCCGGTCGGAGTGGTCTTGACATGGAAGGAATAGTCAGATGCCTGCCAGATGGATGGTTTCGGATTCTGGGACCGTCTGAGCTGCACGAGGCGGAGGCATCGATGCGCACGGGACCATGTGCGGGACGAAACTGCCTAGTGAAACCTAGTGCGGTACGGTGACACAAACGGGGCGCGAGGATCCGCGCGCGGAGCTGAGGAGAAGCGAATGGAGTGGCAGACACCCGAAGCTTGGCACGGGCAGGGCTCAGAGGGTATCAGGGCAATGATATGTGGACGGAGGCATGACCTATCGGAGAGCGACACAGGGTAGGCTCTGGATGCAAGACCTCGGCAGCCTCACAGCTGGCTAGCCTACTTTTGGGTATAGAGGTGCGATTCGCGGAGGGAATGCACCGATCGGATGTTACGAAGGTCGCCAGCCGCCAGGACGAGCGCATGCTGCGGGACGCTGGCTCGCCTCTGTGAGCCGTCGGGCTTCTTGTAGGCGCGGACAGCGTCAACGGGATATCTGGGAGAAGGCTCAGCATTGTTTGAGAGCGGTGGCGACCTGACCTTGTGACAAGGGCCTGTCCGGAGGGTGTCGCGTGTCTTCTACATGAGCACGGAGATACACATGAGCTAACAGGTGCGGTGTCGGGCATATCTTGTGCCACCTCATGCAAACGGAAATGGGCTGCGGTCGCTCTTGTCCGAGAGATTGTCGCTGGCAGGTTAGGACATGTTTCTTGCGCGGTGCCGACCCGATCAAACGTTGTGCTATAACCTGGTACTTTGCGCCCGGGGCGTGAGTGAGCACCGAGACGGGATGCCCGAGTCACCGACGGCTTGCGTCGCGGGCATTTGCAAGCCGTCGCGCGCCGAAAAAGCACTAGTGTTGGTAGCGAGAGCCAGGACCTTGCGCTGTCGAGGCGGGTGAACTCTACGTGGACGGAGCCGTCGTGCCGGTTCGGGGGCGATTGTGCCTCGATCTGAATTGAAGTAAGGAGAGTTTTGATAAGATAAGTATTGGGTAAGTCACGGATAAAGAGCATGAGTCAGCATCGGTAAGTGCCATTTGTTACCATCGGGACGGCCTTGAAACAGACTTAAATAGCGTGGTTGCGCCGAGAGCGCCCTCGCACGAGCCACACCCCCTTCCCGCCGTCGCCCCGGTACGCAGCGCAGCGCGTCGACGATCAGAATATTATCGCCCTCGGGAGCCTGTGCCGCCACCGCGCAAACCCATTCGTCCCCGCGCGAGAGTCCCCGACCGCTCTTGAACTCCAACCACCACCATCTTCCGGGCCCAGCGCCCAGCGCCCGCCGCCCACCATGCTCAGTCGTCCGCGAGACCCGCTCCCCAGCGTCCACAAGCTCACAGCCATGACTGCGAGGAATCAGGTGCGCCTATCAGCGGTCGTAAATTTTCGCCCAGAATCAAAGATCTGTCTGCTGGCTTCAGCCCGTGCTCCATTCCACAAAAGACGACATTGGCTGCCCGGTCACCTTCATCGATGGACAGTTCAAGGGGCGGACGATTCGAGCAGAGTTGATAGAGCTGCAGAAGGCAGACTTGGGAAGAAAGTGAGTTCTATTGTCTCACATTGCTTTGTCCAAGTCTTGGACGCGTGCAAACGACTCTGGGAAAGCGCAAGTACCGTGCACATTGTTCTACGTCGCCAAATCGGTGCTCCTTACTGTATCGACTGTCCCCTGGCATCTCAGTGTCCCTGCGACCCTATGACAACTTCACACACTCCACATACCCCACATGCGGCCCGTCGAAGTGTGCTAGAACGCAGCTGTCTTATGCGAATGCTCTGCAGGCCTCTGCGTGCAGACGATCGCGCTGCTTGCCGAGTGCGAACACACGGCCACCAGCATTCTTGTGCATGCGACCAAGTTGCCCACGATGCAGTCCGCACGAGACAGGATGCCTAGCTCAGTACCTTGGGGCTTCCATTTTCCAATGCTTGCCCCGCGAGGCGTGATCCTGGTTCGTCAGTGCCCGCGTTGGACACGGCTTGCGTATGGCCTTGCGCTTTCTCCGTTGACTCGATTTCCGATCATGGATGTCTCGGTTTTGCTTCTTCCGAGCGCCAAGAGTTGAGAGTCACTTGGACGGCTACTGACGTATGTGTCGCAGATATGCTCGAAAAGACAGGCGTCCGCTCGATCCACCTCCGGTCGTGCAGCTCAAGCTCTATGATATTCTGCGCTCAGGGACCGCTTACGAAGAGCATAAAGAGTTCGAGAGCTACGAGTACGTGATCAGCTATTCTCACTCCGAGTTTGACACGAGACCGGGAGCAGTGACGTGGGCGGGTTCGGTGTTTTATGTCACATAGATCTCTTCCAGGTACAGCCACAAGAAGAACAGCCGACGGACCCCTCTGAAGGCCCGAATAAGCGTCGTCGCAAGTCAAGTTCACGTACTCGTCCAAGCTCATCTGCCGCAGCGCCGCTATCTACGCCGACGTCCGCGTCCCCGACACCTACACCCTCTGCGGCGTCACCATCGTTCTCTTATGCGCCACAACAGAGTAACTCTCCTTACTCTAGCGCATCTCCACATACCGGCTCAAGCAGTAGCTCTTACGGCGGCCCGTACACCTTACCCCCGCCAGCTCCGCCAAGTGGTACGGGTCAGGTCACGCTCCCACCAATATCATCGCTGAATCCTCCCGGCTCGTCATATGGCTCAGGGTTCCAACTGCCCCCGATGCGTCTTCCTCCGCATGGGTTGTCAGATCGGACGTTGCCTCCACTTCCACCGGGACCACCGCCTTCGCATACACATGCCCCATACACGTTTCCGCCACCACAGCCACCTACGGTACTACCTCCACCGCACCAGCTAGCCGGCCAACCGCCACCGCCGGGGGCTACCGCCGAGTCACAAGAGGGCAAACCGGTTCGCGCGGGACTAGACGCACCTGAGGGAGTTCTGGCGTACCTCAACAGAGCCGAGATCCGCGAGAACGACAAGTGCACCGAGGCCCTGTCCGGCGCAACGATCGCGCAGTCGCAGAGCGTGGAGTACATGGGCCGCAAAGTGCTGATGTTCGTTTTCTCAGTCCGTGTGCCTCTCTATTATTATCAGAGCCTTGCCTTTCTTGTCGCAGTCCTGCGTCAGAATCCCCGCTGACCCGACGCTCTCTTTCTTTTGCTGCAGGACATCGCCGTGAGGAACGAGGGGACGTTCATCCTGCGCTACCGCGTGTTCAACCTCTTTGGCAAGGTCCATGGCAGGACCGAGATCCCTGTACTCGCAGAGTGCTACGGCGGGCCCTTCCGGATCTACAGCACCAAGGAGTTCCCAGGTCTCCGCCCGTCCACTGACCTGACAAAGGTGCGTACACCACGCTCCATGTGCTTCCCCGGTGTCGCGTCGCTGACAGACGGATGCAGCATCTCTCGATGTTTGGAGTTCGCCTGAACCTGCGCGAGACCGAGCGGAAGCGACGTCGCGGCGGGGGCGGCGAGGGCAGCCCTGGACCATCGGATGGTGCGCGCGGACGCCGTAGAAGACGCAGAAGACGCAACGACGACGACAGCGACGAAGATGAACTTAGCGACGACGACGACTAGGTTCCTCGGTTGCGAAGACAGGAGTTGTGGTATCTTGATAGGATGTGAAAGGGTGTGTCCGTTCTCTGTCTGTGTTCGTGCGCTCTGTGTTGATGGCGGAGAAGCTTCTTTATTGTGCTAGGTTATTTACCGCTGTCTCGCGAAGTCCCTCCCCGCTGGGCCGCCGTCTCAGTATGGCCCTGTGGGACGTCTCACAGTGGAGGCGTAATGTATTATACGCAAAACTCCAGCTTGCTTTTTCCCACTTGGTTGTGGTTCCTGGTCGAATAGACTATGTCTCTTTTTAGTGCCACCAGAGCTCGCTTTCGTTTTTGCCCTGTGTACGCCGCCCCGTCTTCCGGAGACGTGGGCGCCTGGTTCCCGGTCTGCAGCGCCAGAATTGAAAATGCCGGGTTTGGAAGGCGGTGGCCTTGGGTGCTAACAGAGCCAAATAGACTCCAGAGTCTGGTTTCGCCGTAGATGTTGCCCCTCTTTCGAGCCGCCGCTCTTTCGAACGAACCACCATGTTGGAAGTAAAAGACTTGCATACGCTGCCGCGCCACATCGAGGAGAACCGCCTCGCATGGAAAGAGGACGCATTCACCGACAGACAGCATCGCCAGCTGAACGAGCAGATCAAGCTGTGGCTGTCTGTCGTCCAGTCTGACCCGGACAACCAGTCCATTTTGATGCTGGAGACACTCGTCGTCGTGGTGTACACCCAAGCCAAGTCGGTTGACGAAGCCTTGACCATACCCGACGCCAAAAAAGTGACTACGACTCTACAAGTCCTGGGATTCCAAGACATGTTCAAGGAAGAGATTAGGAGTGGAGATCTGAGAAAGACATGCAGCTTGCGTAAGGATGTGATATCTCCACTGCTAGTCGATGTCTTTCTGATTTGCTGCTGTATGCCACAGGCATGTTTTGCAAGAGACCTGGTGAGTGATGCTGTGTCTGCGCTATGTCTGGCCCAGACTCAGTCGAGTGATGCCCATCAGTGGTGTATGCGGACATTGTTCTCTCATGGGAGCGGCTGTTTGAGGGATCATCAGATTCTGTTCTCAAGTTGGTCATGTGATACTGGCTGTCAGGACTGTGACACCAATCATATATATACGCGCGTTGCACCACCATCGTCCAGTCTTCCGGCACCAGGAAGTCAAGGATGAATGACCAGCTGGCAAAACAAATCATTTATATACCTATGGTGCTCACAACGTGGCCTGACTGTGAGTCTCTTGCTTGAATCAGGATCCCCTTGCTTCTTGCCTCATACCGCCTCATACAGGTTATCCTGTAGTGTATCCGCCTGTTGATAACTTGCTCAGAATATGGTTTCTATGCTGCAGAGGAACAACACAGCTAATGGTGTTGCGGCAGGTGCACACGTTTCTTGCAGCCTTGTTAACTGTGGTTTCTAAACATCTTCGCACTTTGTTGACCGAATGTGAGCAGAACGAACAAAAGCAATTTCATGAGATAGTTTTAATGAAGATTATAGTTATGCTTGACGGAGATTGCCCAACGGCTGAGGCTACACTTGCTTGACTTGCACAGCTCGCGTGGGCATTTCGCATTCAGCTCGCACAAGGGTTGGGCTGAAATAGGCACGGCAAATATTGTGTTTCCTTCTATAAAGAGGTTGTCCAGCTGGCTGATGAGGTATTTCCTCTGTCCTTAAATGTATGATACTGTGCTGACCATCTGCATAGCTGATCAAGTTTTGATCCATTCCTGCAAGGAAAGTCTATATCAATGATAACGCACGTGGTCAGCAAATCCATCATTTTCTTGTATTAGATCTCTGTGCTAATTAATTACAGACTGTTACATCAAGACTCTTGTTGCCGATATCACCACTGCTGCTGACAATGTCTGCTCTTTTCTGAACCCCTCCAAGCAACACATCAGCCAGTCAATTTGCCAGCCACTCCTGGTACTGTTTTTTGATAAAGCTCAGTCATTGGTAGAGACACACAAAGAAGAATGGACATTCTATGACGAAATGTGCCGCGCATTACGTTCCATCCACACGTATCCCATTATTTCACTCTTCGTGTCAGCATATGGTTCCACCAGCCAGCCTCCCAGTGACCCTTCACATGACGATTACCAGGAGACACACATGCTACTTTTTCCTTTCATGGAAACTGGATTTGACCAACTAGCAATCAAGTTCAGCGCTGATGGTAGCTGGGTACTGGAGGATGTGGCCACAATGGAACTTATGTGCCATTTGAGACAGCCACTGTAAGTGAACTGTCCATGCAGCACTGAATGCAGATCTGACAGTTTTTTCGAAGGTTTGGATTTATGTATGATGAAGCCTCCACCAGGGATGCCTCTGCACACTCTTTCTTTGCAGCAGAGAAGCTAATTGATGCACCCAAATTAAGAGTAACTGACCAAAACAAAAGACTAAAAATGCCCATGCAACTTGCGTGTCTGTCCATCCTCCTTGCTTTGGAATTTCAGGAGACGAATAAGAGCCGAGAGGTCCAAAGAAGACAAGTGGGCTGGCACATGCGCCTATGTCTCAATGGCCTGGTTGAGACGTTGGCCACTCTGCCTCCTTCCAAGCCTATCCTCATGGAGGGTGCAGGTTAGATCATGCAATGGAAATGCTACAGCCACTTCACTGCTACATTCAATAGCCTCCTTCAGGATGGCAATGTTCTGAATATTGAGACCCATGGCGAGATCATCACTGCTCTGATCTTAATCACCACTCATCTGACTTTTTACCGTCCTGATCCTCACTACACATCCAGCCTCACAAGCACTCAGAAACATCCTCTACTCGACAAACCCACATGCCCCCAGGACAGACAAATCTGGTCTTTACTCAGCTTCCTTGAAATGCTACTACATGGGGATGACTACAAGACAGTTCTTGACTTTTTGCCCAGTCACTCTCGGGAGGGCAAAATCAAGAGCTTTTGGAACATGTTCGGCGACTCATGTGTGTACGTCAATCACTGCATAAGAGTCAGAGACTCCGGCACTATCAGCCAAGAGGCCATACTCTATGCCATCATTATCTACACAGACAGTTGTGGCGTGGACCTCCTCATACCAGTCACATTTTGGGGCACTACCCTCTGCCCAGACAATATAACCGCAGTGCTCATCCAGGTGAAGACCAATCTGCATTTCGCACACAACGTGCAGATGCCTGTCTTCGACGTGATGGACTCTGTCAGGATTGGCCTCTTCACTGACACTGCGAACATTCTCCTGGTCATTTGCATGGTGTTCGTGCTTGGGTCTGTGCAGCCAGTGGTGCATGTTCCAGCACACACCACGCTGCCCGCGCCCATGCTGCCAGCTCACACGAACCATGATGCTTATACCACGTTTGACATTTGGTGTGCTGGCTGCTGCAACAAAAGTTTCAAGGTCATATCTCCAGCTGAGAGCACAGCATACCAGAGTCTGCTCAATCAGGTTCGCAAGGGTAATTTTGCTAATAGAGTGCACAGAGCCAGAGGGTCTCACCAGATAGAAGTGGAGGAAGCGTTCAAAATGAGCATAGAGGCTGCGCACTGTGCCATGAATTCTTGGGCAATCACAACTCATTTTGAATGAGGTCTCTTTCACCTGCAACTTGAACTTGTGTTGAAAAGAGGACAATGAGCATTTGCAGAGACACTGAAACATGTTGTCTAACATAGCTTTTCTTTCTCTAGTCCACCTTGTATTCTAGTTAATGGTCTTGCAGACTACTGTTCCGAGAGAAACTACTTTCGTTCTAAGTTACTAATAACTCGAGCATTCCAGAATTTCTTACCTCTAACCAATGATTAACTGTTAGTAACCTCTAAGCGCCCAATTCTCGTGTACACAATTTCAGCCCAGAGAACAGCGAAGCACATTCTATTTGCCAGTTGAAACCAGCTACTACAGTAGAAGATGGTGTCTTCTGCATGCAAGTGGTCTTAGACCAAGTAGAAATGTATGGCGTGGGCGACAGCATAAGTATCGTGAAGCACCAGGAACTTCAAACGATGTGTCGTAATCATTCCTCTGCGAGCTCCTCTTCATCTGAGACAACATTGTCCTTACCGCTTTTATCACATAACTCACCTTCATCAGAGCTGTGGACGCTGGGCCATCACCACTTAGACTGGAGAGATTCTTACGCTTCTGGCCAATTTGAGGTCTTGTGAGAAACAAGGGGCACTATACTGTGGTGTGTCTCTAAGCATACTTTCATTTTTGCTTTCTTGGTAATATCAATGCCTGCAGTGTCAAACCGGCCACCACAATCTTTGATTTTGTTGGTTAAATGAGCAGGATGGCTCTTGCATTTGGCTACAGCATTCCTCTCAGTGCCATCCTACTCTGTCATCTTCACTGTCCCCTCCCTTCTCCCTTCTTCATTTGCCTCATACTTCAACATGGCCTACAACAAGGGATTGAGAGGAAGGAGTAAGAGCGAGCTTCAGAATGCTTTCACCACTGAGAAGTGTGCATGCGAAGGGTGCAGAAACACTTGCATCAACACACTAAATCAGCTGTGTATAAGAAGCACCATGAACCACACAGGGACTGCTTTCTAGGGCTGACCAGGACAAGCCCTCAGAGCTTGCCCACAAGAGAACTGGAACAAGCGGTAGTTCTGTTGGACATGAGCAAGTCATGCAGGCCACTCACACTCACACTTGCTCAGCCAACCCTGACACAGGTGGTCAATATAGATTGCCATCTGAACCTAGTTCATTTACTCCTCTGCCGCTGCCTCTTCTATTCAGCCAGCCTTAAGGGCAAGCAGTGCCCCTTGGCTTGACATCACAGCCCTTGCTTTCCTGTTGCATAGGGCCTCTTGAACGTGGGGTTCCCACACCATCAGTCCTTCTTTCCTCCTTTCGCATTTTAGCAGCAATCGAACCCCTTCCAACTTCTTCTCAGCCTATTGAGCCAAGTTCATCTGCTCCTTGTCATTTGACACATAGCAAGGATGTCTTTGCAATCAACTTCAAAGCTTAGCATCAAGGACAAGGAAGAGAAGGGGCATCTTGCAAGGGGAGCTGAGCATTGTGAGATCCATCTGCTCGCAGAGTGCTATGGTGGACCCTTCTGGATCTACAGTGCCAAGGAGCTTCCAGATCTCTACCCGTCCACTGACCTGATAAAGATGCACCATGCACTATGTACTTTCCCGATATCGCATCGCTGACAGACAGATGCAGCATCTCTCGATGTTCAGCATTCACTTTAACCTGTGCAAGGCCGAGCAGAAATGACGCCGCAGTGGAGGCTGCAGAGATAGTCCTGAGAGTGAGTGTGGATGCTGCAGAAGATGCAGAAGACACAACAGCGATGACTAGGCTCTCTCTCCTGCAAGGGCAGAAGCTGTAGTATCTAGAATCTCTCTGTGATAGTCTGCTTTGTGCTAATGATGAAGAAACTTCTTCATTGTGTCAGGTTATTTGCTGCTGTCTGAGTTGCAATTTTTCCCACCATCTCAGTATGCTCCTGTGGATGCCTCACAGCAGAGGCATTATGTAGGCATATAAAATCCCAGCTTGTCTTTTTTTCGCTTGATTGTGGCTTCAGGTTATATAGACTACACCCCTTTTTAGTGCATCTAGAGTTTGCCAGAGACGTGCGGTCTGCAGTATGATAGTCCATGGTGGACAAAAATAAAACCTCAAGCTCACAGACCCTCTATAATCTCATTTTTGCTGCCTGTAATTGATAGTAAGCAAGTTATTGCCTGCCTAGTTGAAGCAATGCTTACCTTTGGGAACACAAATGAGCTCTGGCATACCAACGCACATGGTAGGGTATGATTACGCATGAAAGTGCACAAAAGTGCACGTACATGCATGGCCACCTTTCTTGATCTTGTTGAGTGTTTATCAAGACATAATGTTTTGCACAAATGTGCACAATGGTGCACCCAAGATTGTGTGTCTTTGTGCACAATTGTGCACATTATCAATAGCTTCACAACTCAAACTCAGATGATAACAACTTGTTTTAGATTCTCATTCTCCAAAATCTTGATCTCACTTACTAAAAACTTGTTTTTGCCAGCGCTTGTAGTGCACTTCTACTATGCCGGCACATCAAATGGCAATATCAGGCATGATGTCATAGGGTGGCAGGTTTCAATGGTACTATCATTGAAACCTGCCACTCTATGACATCATCATTTCAGGAGAGTGAACCTGGTGGATTAATAGTCAACAGTGCACAAGATTCTGGAAGAGTCTGGGTTCAATTCCTCTCTGAGCAACTAATTTTTTCATCTTATATTTAGTGTATTCCAAATCTTCTTATTATAACTTGCAGCTTACAGCTCACATGTGCTCACATGTTGTAGTACAATATCTAGATGCTTCAGTTGCCATCCATAGCAAGGTCAGAGTTGGCCAATGTGAGATCAAGGTCAGTCTGTGCAAGATCAGGATTTGTCTGCACAAGATCAAGGTTACACATTGCAAGATCCAGTGTTATAAACCCACACCCAATACACTATCTTACATGTAAGTGCACTTTTGTACCTAGGCAAGTGCCCGAGAGAATACAAGATTGACATGCATACCAAATCCAGTTTTATGGAACTATGCTTTGGCTCACAAGTGGGCAAGTAAGCATGCCTGTGTGCATCTGGGTGCATCTGTGTGCATCTGTGCGCATTTTAGTGCACCTGCGTGCATCTGTGTGCACTATTCTGCAAAAATCTGCAAAATAGCAGACTTTATCATGTCTCAAGAATGAGTTTGAGTTTCATAGCTTTGGCAGGCCGAGATCATTTTATTTTTGTCCACTGCAGACCTTCATACTGCAGCACCCAAATTGGAGATGCTGGCGTGGATGTCCGAGTTTGGAAGGTGGAGGCCTTTAGTGCTAACAGAGTCAAATAGACTCCAAAGTCTGTCATTGGCGTTGCCCCTCTTTTGAACAAACTATCATGCTGGACGTAAAATATCTGCCTACACTATTGTGCCACATCGAGGAGAACTGCCTCATATGGAAAGAGGACACATTCACTGATGGACAGCATCGCCAGCTGAACGAGCAGATCAAGCTGTGGCTGTCTGTCGTTCAGTCTGACCTGGACAACCAGTCCATTTTGATGCTGGAGACACTTGTCATCGTGGTGTGCACTCAAGCAAAATTGGTCGACAAAGCCTTGGCCATACCCGATGCCAAAAAAGTGGCTACGACTTTACAAATCCCAGGATTTCAAGACATGTTTAAGGAAGAGATTAGGAGTGGGGATCTGAGAAAGACACGCAGTTTGCGTAAGGATGTGATATCTCCACTGCTAGTCGATGTCTTTCTGATTTGCTGCTGTATGCCACAGGCATGTTTTGCAAGAGACCTGGTGAGTGATGCTGTGTCTGTGCTATGTTTAGCCCAGACTCAGTCAAGTGATGCCCATCAGCAGTGTATGCAGACATTATTCTCTCATGGGAGCAGCCGTTTGAGCGATCATCAGATGCCATTCTCAAGTTGGCCATGCAGTACTGGCTGTCGGACCTGCGACATCATTACAATGCATACGTGCGCTGCACTACCATTGTCCAGTCTTCTGGTACCAGGAAGTCAAGGATGAATGACCAGTTAGCAAAACAAGTACTCTACATTCCCATGGTGCTCACCAATTGGCCTGACTGTGTGTCCCTTTCCTGAACCCGGATTCTCCTGCTCTTCATCTTTCATGGGTCGCACTCTAGTATATCTGCCTGTCAATGACTCACTCAAAAAGTGGCTTGCATGCTACAATCACAGGCTTGACTCACAATTGACAGTGTTGCAGACAGCGCACACTTGTTGCAACCTTGTTAATTGTGGTTTATAAACATCTTCACACCCTGTCAACCAAATGTAAGTGGAGCAGGCAAGATTTTATGAGATGATACTGATGGTGACTTTAGTTATGCTCGACAGAGATTGCCCAATGGCTGAGGCTACGCTCACCTAGCTTGCATGGTTCACACAGACATTTCACATCAAGCTCAGCGTGACCAGGAAGATGTATTCTTGGTTCACAATTGGCAGTAGGTTGAACTTGGGCACAATGTTCAGCTGCATAGCAATCGCACTGGTGGAGGTACACTCACAGCTCCACAGTGCAGCGCGGGGCGTCTAGTCCATTGGCAGCAATGCACAAGACAAAGTCTTGGGAGAGGTATCGCGAGCTACAAGTTGTCACACTCGACCCGTCATCCAAAATGGAGAGCGTCAGGTGGAATGGGCTGGCAATGCTTCTGACTGCACCTTGCATGCGGATATCGACAGAAATGCTGGTGCGATGAGGCAGGACCCTCTTATGACCTGCCACACCATGAGGAGGGACACCATGTTGCATTCCAACATACATTGGGATCTGCAGTCTGATCTGGTCAGTAGATTGTCCTCCATGAGGTCAAGCACATACTGTGGATTGTCAGACAGCAAAGTGCAGATCAGCACCAAGATGACTTATGGTAACTATGGTTGTAACCATCTCACCTGCAGGAAGGGCTCCAACAGAGATGGAGAAGACTGTAGCAAACAGCCAGTGAGACATTGAGCAATGAAGTCAGTAAACTGATTATCATTGATTACAAGCTCGACGAGGCCAGCAGTCTGCCTGAGTTGAACAGCATTCTCATAGTCTCTTCTAGCCTCGTCGTGTTCTTTGGCGACAGCGGTGATGACAGTGCTATCCTCTATAATCATCTGGAAGCCGCATACAGTTGACCTGGCAGGAATCGGGGACAAATACCTGTTGGGGAGGATTGCCAAAAGTACTGAGTAACGGTAATGATGCCAGATAAGTATCTGCCAGTCAGAGCCAGTTATTACTGTGGAAGATGGTACCTTCCGTATGTGAGTGGCCTTGGACTGAGTAGAAACGCATATATCGTGAAGCGCCGGCAACTTCAAACGACGCGTCGTAACTATCCCTCTGCAAGTTCCTCTTTACCTGGGACAAGACTGTCCTTACCCTTTCAATCACATAACTCATCTTCATCAGACCTGCGGATGCTGTGTCATCACCATTACCACTGGAGGAATTCTTGAGCTTCTGGCCGGTTTGCGGCCTTGTGGGAAACAAGAGGCACTACGCCGCGGTGTGTCTCTGAGCATACACGCCCATATCGTGACCAGCCTTACCGTTGTCAAAACCAACATGCTTTGCGGCCTTCATGCAGACCTAGTTTGGGTCAGACTGCCTCCCCTGTACGCGTCACCTAGCTTGTAGCAGCAACGTACAGAGGGCGATGAGTCCATGCGACCTTCGTTGATTCGTTAGGTCCGAACTTGGCTAGCACCGGATGAGACAAGCAGGCTCAATGATGTAAGAATACACGGTGGTCTTGTGTGAAAGTGGCTGATTCTGCACGGAAGGTGTAGGTTATGCTAGGCTTGAGCAGCGCTAGACATGACAGAAATGCAGGAGAGGGTGTACCATGTATTATGGTATTGGTAAAGCCAGCGCAGTCTACCTTTCCGACGGAGACTTGAACTTCCAACGCACATGTCATCGAAAGCGTACTGCAGGTGTATATGGTAGAACAGGCAACACAGGAGATAGTCTATATAACCTTGATGAAAAAGTGAGGAAACTTCAGGATGCGCAAACAAAGCACGCGTACCTTGGGAGCCAAGCTAACGATCTTGCCCCAGCCCTTCATCCGCAGGTCTGCACTGACAACGCCAGCAATGCGAGTGCCCAGCATGTCTCGCTTATTGTTTAGGAGCACAGCAGCATTGTCGTCAAACTTGATTATTCGGCCGTCTGGCCGGCGAACCTCCTTCTTCGTTCGGACTATGACGGCGCGGCGGACGTCTCCTCGGCGGACCTTAACGGCGGTGGACGACTGCAATGCCGCAGCCGAGAGCGGTCGCGCACGCTTGACGATGCAGACAATTTCATCGCCCACGCTTCCCCAGCCGTTGTTGACCTTCTGCTTGAGTACATTCACGCACTCGACTAGGAGTGCTCCCGAGTTATCTATAACCTTGACATTGGCAGGAGGTTTAGAACAGTTGAAGATGTATCGATGGAACTAGCCCACATTAAGCGTGCCCTTGAGGCCAATCATGACCCTGGACGAAGAGCAGGGCGGTGGAAGGATGAAGAGTACTTGGGCAGTCCGTGCTTACCAGCAAGTTCAATTCGGCTAACAGATGGTTGTTACTGGTGTTAGCCGAAGATTGTTACCCCGTTTACTCAGCCGTAAGCAAAGCGGCTAAGAATTTCCTTACTGTCTACGAACGACCGGTGGCTCTTCGATCGTACATCCACCCTGTACAGCGGAGGCTCTTCAGACCTATAACGTCCAGGAGGGCGTTGCCTTTATCTCGTTTGCGGCCTCCCAGATCTTGCTTTGGCGCAATTTCTTCGCGAAATCCCCCTGATTTCAGCTCCTGAAGATGGCCGATCGCCAGGGCGTATCATCACCATCCGCCGCGGCTGCTCCTACACCTCCATCGTTCCACACTCGCTCCAGTGACCAGGAAGACCTTCCACACGCAACCAAGCGGTATGCAAGCCTCGGCCCAGTGACCCTGATCTCACCTAGACGACCTACAGGAAGATGGCAGACCACCTTAGAAGGCTCGAGACCATGTCAGTGTTCCCAGTGTTTACCCCAACGAGTGCGGCATAAACTAGTTTCCTCGCAGGTTCACACTTACTCCCCAGAGAATGAGGATGATTGTAGAAGCGTTCAAGGATGCTCTTGAACTTGGGCTGTCGAAGTCTGGTCAAGTTGTGGTGCGTTGTATGAGTACATGATGAGCTTCGTGAGCTGAGTCAGGTTTGTAGCCTATGATACCCACTTATGTATTTGGCTGGCCGACCGGAAAAGAAGCTGGAAACTACCTTGCTGTGGATCTCGGTCAGCACGGTCAGCGCGTTCTTACTAGCACCCATTGCTCATGCATCGCACAGGGGGAACCAACCTGCGAGTCTGTCTCGTAACGCTCCAAGGTGGCGGAAAGTGGGAGATCACACAAACCAAGTACCGTCTCAGCGAAGAGCAAAAACATGACGAGGGTCAACTGCTCTTTGATTTCTGTGCCGAGTGCCTCAAGGCCTTTGTTGAGTCCAGCATTGAGTCAGGAACGATCCAGAGGGGAGCTGTGTTGCCTCTTGGCTTCACCGTATGTCTACATTCTGTGATGGGTCTACTCTTGCTGATTCAATGTCTTGATAGTTTTCGTATCCTTGCTCGTAAGCTAATGCTAACCAAACATGAGTCCCTAACTGAAAAATAATGCAGGCAAGACAAGATTGATCATGGAGTGCTCATCCGTTGGACAAAGGGCTTCGGGGCGCCGAACACGGAGGGTCGCGACGTCGTCGAGATGTTCAAGAGAAGTCTTGAGAAGCACGTACGTAGATTTGGTCCGGTTCACGTCATCTCACATTGACCGTTTCCGCAGAATGTCCCAGCCGAAATCGTGGCTCTCACGTGCGACACGACCGGTACACTCATCGCGTCCCATTACGTGAACTCGGATACCAAGATTGCGTGTATATTTGGTACCGGCTGCAATGCCGCATACATGGAGCGTGCAAGAGATATCCCGAAAATCAGCTCGCTTGGTATTGGCTCTGAAGACGAGATTGCCATTAACTGTGAATGGGTATGTAGGAATTGTCCTCGATGGCCAAAGCACATCGGTTCATATGACCGTAGGGTGCGTTTGACTCGTTCGAGCACGAACATCTCCCTAGGACAAAGTATGACATCATCATTGACGAGGCCTCAAACAAGCCTGGCGAGCAAGCGTTCGAGGTTAGTCTTCGCGCAGGCCTTACCTTTCCCTACTAATGCTAAAAATCAGAAACTCATCTCCGGCCGCTACCTTGGGGAGATTCTTCGGTTAATCATTTGCGAGCTCATTGACGAGGGCGTGCTGTTCCTCGGCCAGAACACCTACAAGATTGAGATCCCCTACAGCTTTGATACGGCGTTCCTATCCCTTATGGAGAGGTGCGCTCATTGTAGTTGGCAAGCAGTCCACTTATTCAATTCCGACGTAGCGACCCAACGGATGAGCTGCTCATGATTATTGGCATTTTCTCTCATTTCTTTGCGGTGGAGACGACGCTAGCTGAACGCCAATTCTTCCGTGCTCTGGCCAAGCTTGTCGGCCGGCGAGCAGCGCGTCTTAGTGCGTGCGGTATTGCGGCCATTGTTAGCAAGATGGGCTACCTAGAGGAGGGGTGTGCCGTCGGCGCTGACGGTTCGCTTTATAATGTTCGTTATGTCCGCTACTTGTGCTAGGCAAAGCTAATGTTTCGTTTAGAAATACCCTAAATTTGCGGAGCGGATACATGAAGGCTTGGTAGACATCTTTGGCGAGAAAGGTCGTGGTATCACAACCTACCACGCTGAAGATGGCAGTGGTATTGGGAGTGCGATTGTTGCGGGTATGTCATCTCTACCGCATGTTTCTTGTGGGTCGTCGACTGATACACAACGCCCATAGCAATGACGAAAAATCGGAAGGAAGCGAATGTCTATCCAGACTTGTAATGTTTACATCAAAATATCAAGCAACTTGTATTTGTACGCGCAGACCAGTTTACAGGGGGTTCAGCTTGCCGTAGGGCGTCACAGTGGAACTCATCTGTGCTAGAATTCGAGACCCTGTTTCGTGAATCGGACTCTCACATAACGATATCCTCGGCTAGCTCAAGCCCCGCAAGTAAAACTAGTCCACCGTTGTGCTTGTAGTGCCCCAAGATATCTGAATCCTGATTTTTCAAAGCCGAGACCGCATCCTAACGTTTAACGCTTAAGTACGTTCAAGAATCTACCAGCATCTCTCACTTAGTAATACAGCAACATAACGAACGTCAGCAGCCTGCGTTTTAGCGTGGGAGATGGAGTTTGATCCCCCCCCCCCCCCATAAGCAAACGATGATCGCTTCCGGTCTGAAGCACACTGCAAGCTCGATCATAGTCTCATATAACTAAGGGGTGGCGAGATCATTGCTTCTGCACCTTGTTCCCGGCCCTCATTGACCGCATCGCACGCTACTACACCATGGAGCAGAAGCTTGCTAACATTGCTGGCGTCTCAGGGAAAGAATTCGATTTCATTGTCGTCGGCGAGTCGCATATCGTTCTCGTTAAAACCACGCTCTTCACGCTCATCAATATGCTACAGGCGGCAGCGTATGTACCAAAACAGAATCTCGCAAGGTGTTGCTGACATACCGTATATTAGACCTCAGGCTGCGTTATAGCAGCCAGGCTGAGCGAGAACCCGAACATATCTGTCGCTGAGTTGGAGGCAGGCCCTGCTCACCTCGACGACGCAGTAATTTGTGCGTGCATCTGTTGCTTAAACTTCCGTCGCTCACTTACGAAATATCTTCAGCTGGCCCCGCTGGTTGGGTAAAGACCATCAACGACCTGAATATGACTGGAAGTACCTTACAGCACCATAACTAGGCCTACACGGGGAGTCCACGATATTACCCAGGTACGTCATATCATCATCAACCCAGGGAGATCTTTGTTTGACATTTCCATACGTTGACCAGAGGGCGTGGTCTTGGAGGCACATCCCAAATCAGCTGGATGATATAGCACCTGCCGCAGCGCGAAGATATGGATAGTACGCTTCCATGCGCGTCGAGTTGATTCAATACACTTAATCACTGGATCACCGCACTAGTTGTGGGCAAGCTTGGCAATGAGGGCTGGATCTGGGAGAGGTTTCGCAAGTATGCGAAGCAGGTGCAAAGATTCTGCCCACCTGACCCGAACGAGCGAAATGAGTTCAAGAATATCTACAAGTCTGATGCCGTGGGGCACGACGGCCCGACTCCGCTCTCTTTCGGACGCGATAGCTACGGTGCCGACGCTGCCTGGCAAAATGTGCGTCTTGCAGTTGCGATCTGGTCCAGCGACGCACCGCTGATTGCTGCCCGGTAGGCTCTTGCGGAGAACGGGGTCGATAAGATCAGCACGGCGCTCCGACGGAGACGAAGTCGTTGCGACTGCGGTTGAGTTCGAATATGGTGGACAGGTGCACAAGGTCTCTGCACGCAAAGAGGTCATTGTCTCTGCTGGGCACGTATTTCCGAGGTCACAACGCTTTCCGTACGCTAACTTGATCTTGCAGCACTGTGAAGTCACCGCAGGTCTTGGAATTCAGTGGTGTCGACGACCGGAAAATCCTTGAGCCTCTGGGTATCATTATTCAGCTGGACTTGCCCTCGGTTGGCACACATTCAGCATGCTCGATAACGAGGAGTTCATCAAGAAAGTCCGGATAGCACTGTAAGTTTCGGGCGCGAGCTTATAGGCCAGTAGCACTGAAAGATTTTCATAGCGGCCTGAAGGATTCCTTCCAGCTTGCTGTAGACGGCTTCTCATTCGTGCCCATTCAGATCGCAGAGAGTATTATCATCATTTTTTTTAAATATGTCTCAACGCTAGGCACCATGTCCCAAACCTATTTTCATCTGTCTGAGTACCCTGAAAAGCACCTGAGGACACAGACAGGCAACACAGGGGACCAGGAGACTCACTATGTATTGGTTCAATGGAGATTTTCTGTAGCCCTGTCCGTCTCTCCATAACTAGCAAGCGAGCTTTGGCCGGAGTGTCGAAAATATTTCGTCCATTACTTGGCACATGTCATCTAATAAAGAGAAACCGTCACTTCTTGGGAGGCAGTTAAGAGGTATTTGTCCGGGGAATGAATCGTGGCGACAGACCCAAAGCTTTGAGGCAATGGAGCTCCAGATAGTATGTTTTCAGCACGTATTTTTTACTGTCTCTGGCTTAAACAAAGGTACATCAGTAGGGAATACTTTAAAACGGTGGGTACAACTTATAGCAGCGCAGACTATCGGAGAGCCATAGTATCGAGCGCAAAGATACAGAGGGCAAGGGACATCGGCAAGGATGTGCATTAGTGCAACTGGGCCGGTATGTTACAAGGTAGGGAGGGGACGTCACAAAAGCAGAGCGGAAAAGTAGGAGATCACGTAAGTCATAGTCAAGTCAAAAGACGAGACGACCAGCACGGAGCAATGCGTCGACCGTGCAATGCGTAGATCACGATGGGAGGTCGCCGACACGCGTGAGTGCTGCGCGTCGCTTCTTCTTGGGCGGCTCCTGGGCAGCTGTAGTGTCGGCAGACGACGCGCTGGGCGGCACGGGGTTGTGGTGAGCCTCGGACATGCCGGGCAATGATGGTATATTCTCGTCGACGCTCGCGGCAGGCGTCAGCGGCGGCTCGGCTGCGCGCTTGAGGGGCACAACGGGCTGTACGATGGGAGACATACTCGGGAGCGCGACGACAGAGGACGAGGGTGTCGAGAGCGGTGTCGCCATTGTCGAGCTCGTGAGCGGCACCGAGTGGTGGTGCGCGATGGACTGTAATTGTAGCGTCTGCTGCTGCGTGTGGTGCGTCGAGAGGATCTCGTCGAAGACGACGAGAGTGCAGTAGCCATCTCGCGAGGAGAGGATCAGGCATTGGCCGTCCGGGGACCTGTCGGACTTGGAGATGAGCATGGAGATACCACAGATATCTGACGTACGTACCATGACATGTCAGTGAATTCGTCATAATGCAGCTTAGTGAGGAGACAGACAGGCCCAGCTTGCTGCGTGTCGTGAATCGTGATTGTATCCATTGTCGCAATAGCGTAAAGCATGCGATAAGGCAGAGCAAAGACGGATGCTGTCCCTTGTGCGTTTGGAGTGATGGCAGGCGTTGCAGGCTTGGACGCTGCCGGAGTGGGGGGACGCAAGGAGTCAGTAGCAGAAAGAGCGGGCGAAGGCATTGTCGCGCTTTGCGGCGTCGGAGGGATGGCAATCCGCGGTGACGGAGCTATGATCGGGGACATATTCGCAATTTGCTTGACGGGAGAGTTAGTTGTCGTCTCTGGGGTTTGCGACGGTGGAGGCTTGGGATCCGCGATATCGACGTCAACAGCCTTATCGACGCCCCTTTCCACAGTGATCGTCTTTGGTTCCAGCGACGACAGCTCCCCTTCGCTGACACCTGCGCGCAGCTCGTAGAGAATAGGCGAAAACTTGACAGCGACGCTCGCCTTCTTGTGACCGGGTAGCCGGGCAGTCGGAGGTCGTGCGAAGTTGGCCCGCGAATAGATGTACACGGACGAGGACGAGGCCTGGGAGGGAACGTCACTAGATGGGTGACCCTTCCGCCCACGCTGCTCGTCGCCGCTCTTTGACGAAATTGGTGTCACGGATGGATCTTCGAACTGACCAGCGGGTGTGAGAAGAAGTCCACCGTCGGGGCTGAACGTCAAGCGCCGGAAGAAGTTCGTGTAGCTCTCGTCGCCGTACAGCTTCACAGAGTGCCACGTTGCAGAAGGGGTAGGAGGCATGCGTATGGCGGGGAGTGCGGGCATCGGCGACGGCGAGCGTGCGTATCGGGTATACGTTGCCGGCGACCCTGGTGCATTCGAGCTGCTGAGTGATGAGCGCCTAGAAGACGGTCGCTCGACGGGGGGCGGGGGAAACATGGATGTGGACGGAGTACTCGGAACAGAGGGTACAGGTGTCAATAGGGCAGGTGCCTGAGAGGAAGACGGAGTATTGTCTTCTTTCAGAGGCTCTGCCACCCCTGAATTCGACTCGGCCTCACTGGTGGTAGATTCCCGTCTGTAGAGACTCGGTCTGCTCGGGGTGCGACTGTGACTGTGACTATGGCGATGCATCATCTTCGTGTTTTTGCCTATCGCGTGCACTTCAAGAACACCTTGTTTGTATGAGATGCTGTAGATGTGCATGGATCGGTCGCTGCTCTGTGTCGCGATATACTCGTTGAGAGGATCCCAGGCGACACCCTGAACGTAGTGGTTATGTTCCGCGATCTCGTGCACGCACTTGCCTGCAAGACAGCTTTCAGTCTCCTCCGGATAGACGCGGGAGCGCGATACGTACCATCGTTGACTGCAAAGATTCTTGCGCAGTTATCGGTGCTCCCAGCGATAATGTACTCGCCAGTTGGGCTCCACGCGAGATCATACACTTGCATAGTAGTACATCTGTTCAAGATGTGAAGAATTCGCCTGAAGACTACGGCTAAGGGACATACCGGAAGGTGGTCCGCGGCTTCCAGTGTTCCTTCTCGTACTGCAAGTCTTCCTGAGTGAGATCGCTGCCGTACGCAGCTGCATGCGGGCTCGTCGTAGGGGCCCAGATGATGATCATGCCATCTGGCGCAGTTAAAATCAGTCACATGGGGCGTGCGTTCCCGATGGGTAACGTACCATCGCCGGCGGACGCGATAAGTTCGCCTGCAGGCAATGAGCGGTAGCTTGAGCTTTCACGCGTCAAACACGTACCATTTGGGCTCCAACGCACGACGTTCACGGCTGCCGAGTGCCTGGCGAGGGTCGCCAGATATTCGACTCGGGGTGGCCTCGGTGAGACCGCCTCCGCCCCCGCGTCCTCTCTTACGGATGGCGGGAGGATGTTGGGGTGGACCGTCCACAGCTGGTTAGACGTCTCAACAGCATGCTATACTCAGAGCTTCGGACGACATACTCTGACATGGTTGTCCTCCCCTCCCGTGGCCAGCTTGTACGTCTGGCTCGCGAAGTTCTTGTCCTGGGCCGGTCGCGCCTTCTTGAATGGCATAGGCTGGAAGTCACATGTCGATATGGGTTTACTGTCATGCCAGCGGATTTCGAGTGTTTTTACACGCATTGTCATCGTTGCTTAACGTTACAGAAAGAGATCATCCGGTGAGGGGAGAAACAGAGTTAGGTTCCTCGACAACAGCGGCTGACCTCAGACTGCGGGGTTTATCTGGGATTAACTAATTGGTTGACAAGTCAACAGGTGGTCGCGAGACAACTTAATGCGTGGGAATTCATATTCCAGGATAGCCTAAGCTATCTGCTGATAGCATAAGAATTTTGAGATAGACTCCACGCTCGATTATTTCAATGACAGCCTTGTGACCTCAGGGTATATATTCAGAATCATCCGAGACATGAAAAGCAACGGAACTCCAGGTAGCCAGGCTGTCTAATGCCCTATCGGGTTCGCGGGGGGTTTACATGTCCGCCCTCGAAACCGCACTATAGCCCTCTAATAGTTCAGCGTGCTGTTGGTCGCAGGCTTCGTCGTGTTGAACCAGGTGGGCCCTGTGGGGAAGCTTGGCAGGGGGTTGGGCACCGTGACGTTGACACCATCCGCAATGGCCTTGCCGAGCGCGGGGTCGACGAGCGCAAAGAGCGCGACCTGGCGCTGCCGGACAGACACGCTGTTGACTGTGCCAAGGTGTCCAACGACGTTGCTGAATAAGAGCCTCAGCTAGAATCCGTATAAGTATGTACGGGGAGGGTGCGTACCTGATAAAGTTCGTCTGGTCCTGCTCAGAAAGGCTCTTCCAGAAGCGCTGCGGCCAGTCGAAATCGATGGCAGTCACCTCGGACAGGGACTTGACAGCACCGCCCTGCGCTGCATGTCAGCTAAGAAAAGCAGAGATGCTGTCCCAACTTACAGCCCATTGTTGGTGAGTATCCTCGATGTACGGCAGAGGTGGAAGATTGATCTTCTGCAGAGTAGACAAGTAGTTTGGACGCGAGCCTTGATTGCTGAGTGCCATGTGTCCATCACGCTGGAAGTTGGCTGCGATAAACCGTTAGCATCCGCCAATAAATGTAATCCTGAAGCAGAGCTACGCACCAACAGGCGACGTTGGCGCATTGACGGGCAGTTGCTACGTCAAGATGTTGAACAGAAAGCCCTGAATCACGGGGAAATTACTTACCATATAGTTCACGCCAAGGCGATAGCGCTGTGCATCTGTTGAGCGCGATTTTTCAGCTTATCTCTAATATACCCAACGTCGGATTCCATACCCCCGTAAGAGAACACACGAGCTTGGAGCACCGGATCCGTCGAAGGCTCCCATCCGGAGACGGTACGTCCAGGAGAGAAGGCCGCCTGTTCGATCTCAGCAAAGTAGCTGTAAGATCGTATCAGCACCCGATCTCGGGATCAAAAACGAAGACCCACTTGACTGGGTTCTGCGTGAGGTAGAACCGGCCGATCTCGGTCTTAGGCACGTCGTCGAAGCCCCAGTCCCTGGTCGTGTGTCAGACCACACCCGACTGGGAGAGACGGTAGTGCTACATACTTGGTAAGGTCAAGGACATTGTACTTGAACGTCTCGGCCTGCTGTGGTGTCAGTACTTGCGCATACATGATCCAGCCGGGGTATGTGCTGTTCTCGATTGATTCGAACAGGTCCTGTTGGGAGTAGTCCGGGTTTGAGCCCGCGATGGCCGTCGCCTCTGCGTTAGTTAAGTTCTGGACCTGCATGAGGACGTCAGTGAGGCTTGTTAGCGGCGACGGAAAATGGCGCGCATACACCCTGCATCGTCTCGCAGTACAGCTTGACGTAGACCCAGCTGCCGTCGGCCTTGATCCATCTGCACCAACATCAGCTACGCGCGCTAACATTACAGGAAAATAGCTTTATACCTGTAGGAATGGCCCGTCCACGCGTTCAGGTGCCGCACACCATCAGGCGTGCCCAGGTCCGAGAACAGGCGCATCACCTGGTAGAGCGACTCGGGGTTCGAGCTCAGGTAGTCCCAATACATGCTACCAAGACCCGTCAGTATTATGCCTCAGGCAGAGAAATTTGCACATACTCGTGATCGCGCAAGTGGGTCTGCGGGTCACGTTTCTGGGTCTGTTGGAGGATAAACATTTTAAAACTTCGCAAAACAAGGGAGGCACGAACGTGGATGAAGTGCGGGAACTTCGTGGGGTCCCGGATAAAGAATACGGGTGTGTCTGCAATATGTGAGCGTTTACCAAGTTTACGAAGGTAGTCTGGACCTACTGTTCATGACCAAGTCCCAGATGCCCTTACGCGTCCGAAATCTACCATTTTTGAGCACCATCGTCAAGACTATTATTAAACAAACTCACTTCACTGAAAAGCCACGGGGGTCTCTGGCTGTGTCCGCAGAGCCCATCTCTCCACCGACGGTGCTAATGCGGACTAGTACAGTACAGCGAAATGAACAAGGGTGGCCCGATTGGAAATGAATAGCTACAGACCTGTAATAGGGGTTTTCAAGCCATTCTGCGAAGATTAGACCTTCTGCCGTACTTTCCAGAGACCAGATACTGCGATACATACCTCCGAAAATACGTCCCTATCGGGCGTTTAGATAAATAAAAGGAGCAGTCACACCAGAAGCTTCACGCACATGATTGTGTAATTCTTCACAAAGTCCGCATTCGTGACCTCAAAGTACCCATGTGCGCCAGCCGCCTTCGCGTGCACGACACTTTGATCCCTAAGTCAGCATACGTCGAAGGGACGACCGCTCGCTCGCAAAGCTCACCGCTCGGGTATGCGCTCACGCACGAAATGGGCGAGAGTCTCAATGATGTGCTGGTCCTGGAGGAGCAGAGGCCCTGCACAAGCGTGACGCATGAGAAGAAGCGCGCGGACGAGCAACAGCCATGAGGAGACTCACCGTCGGCGCCGATCTTCTGCGCGTCGTACGGGTGCGTGTAGGGCACGCCGGCCTCGGTCGCGAACGTGAGCTGCGGCGCAGACTCTGCGTCCGTCGCCGCCTGGAGGTCGACGCCGGTGTTCAGGTCGAAGGTGTACGCGTCCTGGGCGCGTGCGGCGGCGCACACCAGGACAAGTGAGACGAAAGCGCGTCGGAGAGTGATGCGGGCCATGTTCTAGCCCGAAGAGGAGCGAAACAGTGTGCGTAAAGGGGGGAAGGAGAGTGTCGAGACTCGCTTTTTTTGTCCGAGGGGAGCGCGAAGTTTTATGTATCCCGGTAGCGCTTCTTCGGCTGTGGCGCGCTAGCAACCGCGTCCCGTCCTGGAAGGTGCCGCGCGCTCCATGAGCGACCGAAGCTTGTTGAAAGCGAATGGTAATGGCGGCACATGCGGCCGCCCAGGTGTGCCATCTAGGAGAGCCAGCTAATTTGGGCATAGCATGGTGCACCCCTGATACCGATACGCACCTGCCGAATCGCGCCAGGGCGATTGCACTGCATATCGGGCGGGTCTCGTGCGCTCGAGTAGCTCATGTGCCTGCTCGCGCTGGGTTACGTGAATCGCCAAGTGGTACTGCGTACACAAACCACAGGATGCACGCTGGAAAAACAGTTCGGCTTGGGTGGATACTCGTGTGTTGACCGCGGCCTGGAAGATTCCGGAGATTGTGAGGCTTCCATTTCGAACCGAACATACAACAAAATTTAATGCAGTGAAGTGTCGTGCCGCACGAAGAACGATCCAGCCGAAGCCAGCCATCGCTGCCGTCGAGAGACGACTCCGCCCGCCGCGCTCTCGGGAAGTCTTGTGATCGGCCCTCACCTGCTGCGGGGTTTCATTTGAGTTCGTATTGCTTGGCATTGAGAGCTGAAACGTCCAGCACGCGTCTGGATGGATTGCGTGCGCTGGCACGCCGTCGTCCGTCCACGAGCGGAGCGACTCAAACGAATGAAACCCAAAAATTCGTACTCTTGTCCGCCGAAACCAAGAAACCTTAGGAATGCTGGGAACGGAGCCTATTCAAATGAAATTACTCACCATAGAGATTATGCATGACGTGACTTAACTGCTGATGCTCATCTCGTCCCGGCGGGTAATAACCTTGTGGCGTGCGATGCCGCTGCGAGCGCCGGCTCTTGATTTGCGCGGAGCACAACCAGATCATCTGTACTTCTGCGAGCAGTCGCAAGCGAGGTATATAACAGCAGTTGTCGTCTTGGCTTTTGTTACACCTCAAGCTTCAAGCGAGATTTGGAGACAGCTGATATTAATGACCCTGTGCTTCTAGCGCTGCCGCCTATCGGCCTTTTACTGTGTCGAGAGATCTGCCAAGGGATGCCGAGTAGACATACCGAACGGCTGACAGAAGACCTGATTATCAGCGGATCAACGTCGAATAAAGCCTGGATGCGCGACATACCTACTCTTAGGCTGGCCTATCATACCGTCTGTCAATGTCAAATGAGAGCTTGGGCACATACCTCGCGGAAAAGAGAAGCGCATAACGTCCTTTGCGTACCGAGCATTGTCCCAGCCGTCTGACATTGTTGATATCTATGGTCGACATGACACTCGAAAGTCGCACGTTTCTCGCATGGACTAAGATTGTAGGGTTCAGGGGTATCGCCAGGCAAGATACCCTTCTACATCGACTTGCGAGGAGTGTTCTCTTCGCCATACAACTTCCGCCTGCTCCACTCGATGGTCCGCGTGCTGAAGCCTTGGGCGTCGCGGAACAATGACTCGACTTGGTTGTTCCAGCCGTTCTGTAAAAGCAGCCTGAATGGGCGGTGCTGGATGCGATCGAACGCTGATGGGGGAGCGTTTGTCGGGGCGGCAGGCTCTGCCAGGCGCGTAGACAGAACGTGTAAACTGCGACAGGTGAGCCGATAGCGCATCACCACGCAAACGACGGCACGAACTCATGAATGTGTGCCTCCGTTCTAGATGTTTATTAGCTGTGCCTTGATATATCCAAAGGTTCGAACTCACCTCGTCTGTATCATAGTAGAGAACCCATAATAAACCTGCGCATGCCAAAAGCAAATGTATGAGCGATGACTCGGATGCCAAGGCGACGACGAGAGCGTACGCACCCCTCCCGCAATTACAGCACCGGAGATAGGGCCTAAGAGGAAGGACATTTCATCTGAAACGGAGGGAAAGCTGCGAAACGAGGTGATAGCAGATGTTCAAGTCGGGATGGCGTCGTGGTGACGCGCGGCAGCGGCTCACTTATTTGGCCCTGTTAGGATTAGAAGGCTCAGCTTTCTTATTTGGGTGATCGCATTCGAGTACGTCGCTTTGTTCAAAGGTTGAGAACATAAATATTTTGAATGTCATTGTGGCATGTGAGATGTGCTGCCAATATTAATATTGGAGAGAATGCCTAACGATCCAATTTCCCGTCCAATACCGCAGACGCAAGTAACTCAGAGCGACTCTGGTCGTCTTCACGTGACACGTTGCATAAGCGCGCCGATGGCGGCCTGCTCTTCTCTCCCAGCACCTTTGCTGTCCGTCAGACATCCGCTCTTCCAGCCCGTCATGGAGCTACGCCTGCCGTCCTTATATTGCGATGGGCCACTCGGCCGCCGGCCGCTGCCTCCCTCATCTACATCTCGCCCTACCCGCTGAAACACTCTGCTTGCTATGGTCACTTACCGATTCTTCACGAGAAACACCGGGATGACAGTAACGAGGAGCTATGCACGCCCTATTATGACGCTGGAGAAGTACAAGGTGAGTGTATGCCCCTTCTCTTCGTCGACATCGTCATGACCGTGTCGCGCAGTACACCGCACACGCCACCGCCAGAGGGCAGGGACGCAACGGTGAGGTCAAATCTGACGACGACGACGGGCTCTCTCTGCGTCTCGCTATGCCCAAGTCTCTCGGGGGCAGAGGAGACGGCCAGAACCCGGAGATGCTTTTCGCGATGGGCTACGCCGGTGCGTGTCTTCTTTCGATGATACTCTGGTGCTCGTGTAACGTTGGAGCCACGCACGGCAGCATGCTTCCTCTCTGCAATTCAGATGGTCTCCAACAAATTCGGAATGACGAATGAGGCCAAGAATGCCGTCGTCCATACCCAAGTGCACCTTGGCAAGCCCGAAGGCGCGGACGGGTATGCGCTCGAGGTAGAGGTCCAGGTCGAGGGCGTGCCCCAGGAGCTCATTGACGCCGGACATGAGGTGTGCTTACTACGTCTTATTATAGTGTTGTCTCACCTCACATATATGCGTTCAGGCGTGCCCGTACAGTCGCGCTTTGAAGCATGGTGCTGTGGTTAAGGTGTCCAAGAAGGATTGAATTGTTCGCTGACTACGTCGATCTCTCCGGTACTCTGAGCCCTTATCAGTTGGATCTCGTACGGCCTCTCAAATATCGTGGACTGTCACCTTTGAAAATTATAACCTGAATTACAGGACGATTTATCTGGGAGTGCACATGCACTTTGAGCTGCGAGATCTATGCAAGCCTGGCCGTTCCGCGCTTCTTCAGTCGAGTTATGATTTCGAGCTCAAGAAGTAAAGCATGAATTCATGACCCTACGATGGCTCTAGAGTCGTCATCTCGTCCATATAACACATGTTCTCAGTCTCCTTGTCATAGTCCTTCGGCTCGTCCTTTGCAGGAATAGCAAGCCAGTCGCTATGCACGTTCCCACCACGGTCCTTCAGCTCCTGCCACCGATTCCTGCCCGTAGCCTGCCCTTCCCACAACCACATACCATGCAGCATTCTGCCCCAGCCGCCCGCCGTGGCATCCACAGAATCGTATTCGAACAACACTGGCTGAAGTATTGCTCCGTGCTCGCCACACAGCTCCACGAACTCTCTCGCGGTCAGTCCCGGGGACACAACACGCATTTCGCACAGGTCCCGGAGCCAGAGCAGCAGCAGGCCTCCGGCTTCGAAGAGCACGTACCAGGTGTTCCAGAGGAGCGGCACGAGCGCGCCTAGGTAGTGGTATGCGTGCTCAACGTCCCAGCCGATGTCGCTGTAGTCGTACGGGGGCTGCGGGATGACATTCGTCCACTCCATCGACGAGCATGCCAGGTGCCAGTTGTCTGTGACCTCAAATCTCCGCCAGCCAGGCGGCACCGGGTCTGGCTGCTGCGCCTTCCATCGAGCGGACAGCGGCGCAGAGTACTCCTCTGAGGGGGCCCAGGGGCCAAAGAATGGATACAACAGGGCCGAGGTCGAAGGAATCGGCTCCTGCTCTTTTCAGTACGACAGTGGGAGACGTCTAGTGCCATGACGTACCCGCGGCATGCGTTCGCCTACAAAGCCCTCGATGGCTTTTGGGAGTGGCTCGAAGCAATCGCAAAGAGATGTGATGCTTAATGCGCCGAGGTTGATTGTCGCCAGCTCTCCATACGCGTTACCGAGGACCACAAGGCCCAGAGCCTCGTCGTAATCGTAAACACCGGCGGCGTACAGAGCAGGTAGGTCGGTGCGCTTAAGAATATATGTGGGCTCGACTCTCTGTGCGCACCCTTCGTTTGGACGGCAAGCAAGGAGCCCATCGGGGAGTGTAGCGAGCGCAAAAGGCTGGCTCCAGTCTGAGTCGTCCGGTGGCAGCACAGTCCACGCAAGGGATATTCCATGCGTCGCAAAAATCGGAAGACACGGATCCCAATTAGCGAATCTGTGGGGCTGGCGCCCTTGTGCGAGGTGAAGTGGTGTCGGGTCGATATGTGCAACGCCTGAACGAAAGTCGGAGATATTTAAAGCATGTACGAAGATCCCGTTCGACCCACAAATGCAGATACGCATGGTGTCCTTGCAGGATGACGAGCTGGACTGGATAAAAATCACTTGCGCCCAACCAACGGAGCAGCCGAGTGCCACGGAATAAGTACGCGTGACGCTCACGGGCTCGCCTGAGCATTGCTGTAAATTGTACACTTGGAGCTGAACGGGTATCACCACGGCCACGGTGTCGCCGTCCATAGCCATCGCCGCTGCACCGCCCTGCACAAATAAGCATTGAGGATCAGATGCGATAGTGAGGCCACTTACATCCTTGTCTGGCAAAGCGCGGAGGTTGACAACTATGCCAGTTCGCCAGTCCATAACGCTCGGTATGCCTCGTCCCGCATGTAGAGCGAAGGCGAAGCGAGACCCTTGTAGGCATCGGATGTGCGATACGTCGTCTTGGAGACGCAGGAGCCGAGAGAAATGAGGTCTGCCGTTGCTCGACACATACAGCGAGAAAATATCAACCAAGGTATGACTAAAAGACAGCCCAGAGTCAGCATGGGCGGACTGCGTACTGAGCAAGTCACCTCACGATGCGGTGCGGATTTCTAGCGCGAGGATAGGCGTGCGATCTTGCACGTCGAGCAGGCCCGTGACCACAGGGCCTTCCAGGAAGACCTCCTCGACCGGCTCTGGGATGTCCTCAGCGTGCTTGGAGAGCGACTGAAGAGACCACAGGCGGACGACACTGGTTCCCCGATTCGAGCAGGCAGCGACGAGCCACTGCCCCTGAATCAGCTTAACCCAAGTGACGGACCCTGCTTGGTAAAACGATTGAACCACAGTCGCCGGGGGCTCAGCAGACAGTACATAATGCAAGCGGAGAGCATGCGTGACCAGCCGCTCGATCTGCGAGGTCGTAAGGGCATCTAGAGGGCGACAGTAGTTCGGGGTGGCAAGGGCTTTCGTGCGCACGTCGCGTTGGAGAAGCATCCACCACAGATATCTGGAGCGGGAGGCACTGTCGAATGCCCTGCACACCTTGAGAATTATGAGCGGATGTAGGACTCCAACGTCGCAAAGTCGCACAAACCTGACGAAGCTTCAAGATGTCCCTGACAGAAACTTGGCTGAAGATGGCTAACAGGACGTCCTCCGGTACATTATTCGCGGTGATGCCGAGCATGGCTGTCAAAGTTGAAGCTAAAGAGCGATATGCCTGATCATTGAAGCTTGGCACTCGGATACCACATCCACCCGCTCCTCTTGGCTTCCGCCCGATCCTGGTCTACGGTGAACTCCAGAGTTAATTGTCGATGTGTGTCGGGGTTAGGACTCGAAGTGAGTAGGACAAGTTGTCAAAAATGAACGAGCCTTGGTGCAAATTGGCGCAGTGGGTGCCGGTAAAACATAACACTAGTCTAAACTGCATCCTCATGAGCTGCGAAATAAACCTCGGCTTGTCTCTTGAAGCCCATTGAGCTCTGATACCAATGTGTGCAGGAAGCTCAAGTTTCGCTGACAAGAAGCAGGAGCTCGCAGATGTTGGACGCGCAAGACTTGGAGCGGGGAGGGAACGACTTTCTCAATTCGCGAGCAGTTGCCCGCGTGTAGGTCATTTCGGAAGTAAAATCTATAGTCTAAATTCTAATACATGCTCACATGCTGATGATATTAAATTTGGTGTAAAAATGCCATGAACGGCGCAGAGCACTGAAATACTTCTCAGCGAGGAATAGAGGCAAGTACCGAAATCACGAGATACCTCAGGTAGGCACCTTCACGAGTGCACCCATCTCGGCCTGCTCAGCCGCGGTGTCTTCTGAGGACGCTTGCGAGCCGCTGTTCACGATGCTCAGGTAGGTGTCTACGTTCGGGAGATCAGTCAAAGTGAAAGCGAGTTGATATAGGGAACAGCGTACTCCAGAAGAGAGACACGACGCCGACTGTGAGCACCCGAAGGTGGTGCGGCACCAGTCCGAAGTTGACGAGCTGCGTTGGTATGAAGACCATCCTGCAAGAATGTTGGTGAGTCTCGCCAGAACAAAGACCGGGTCGCGAGGGCGTACCAGTTACGCATGACGGTCGACACATAGTTCTTTAATGACCAAGTTAGCGCATTACCATAGACATCGAAAATGAACGCACCTTCTCGATGCGAGTCGTCGCCTCAGAAACGCCTTTGCCCTCGAGCAAAGTCATTGAGCCAAAGTAAAATCCGATGACAACTGGTAAGGTGATATCGTAAGCCTTCATAATGTTCTGTTGACGTTCGGAAGCAACGAACTCGGCGCAAACATAAATTGATCCATGTAGACCTGCGCAAGCTTCCGTCAGTCTATCTGTCTGGACGGAAGCGCACGACGGATCGACGCACCCGATAGAGGACCGCCCTCCTCGGCGACGCGAACTGGAGGCGGTTGAGGAATGCAAACCATTTCGTGACCGCAGGGCCGAAGAGACATCCTACACCCGCTGAAGTCAGCCCTTGCTCGGCACTCCAGATACATGCTCACGCACCTCCGTAGAACGTCGACCGTAGCGTCCTCACAAACTGCACAAGTACATATCCGCTCTCAGCACACAACTTATGTACCCATCTACATCGAGACTACGCACGTCGTGTTTCGCGAGTCCACGCTTCTCGACCGCCTGCTGGGCGACGACGTCGGACGCGCCGAAGAGTACTGCTGAAGTCGCGCACTGGCCAACCATGGGACGCCGCTGGAGGAATGCACTGGCCGGCCGTTCAGCACTAGCCCGCTTGCATATGATCTCGTATTTCCTACTTGTACGCCCTGAGAACGGAGGCCATTGCTGTGGTGAGCTGGGGGCAGGTGTCTCGATTTTTTTTGGCGGTTTCGCTGCCTTTGGTGTCCACCCTCACGATGTGATAGTCGAAGGTGGTCGTGGTCGTAAAGAAGGTGCAACGCGCGAGTTTACGTGGAACGTGGAGGCTTTATCGTAGGCGTGCATGATGCTGGTTGGCTGGAAGGAGCTTGCTTCGTTCAGATGACTTGCATGCAGCGGGTTCGCTACGGCACAGTGGCGCGGATCGCGGATATCAGCGAGATCCTGGCTCGCTTCGAAGCGGTCTCAAGGCCCGAAATTCCAGACCATCCAGAATAACAGCAACAAGAGAGAGAGAGAAAAGTACACGAATACATATGATACATAGTGAGAATCCAAAAGGCATCAAAGTCGTAAGAAGGGCTACCGAACAAGCTTGAACCAGAGAATGATGCAGATGAGCGCAATGAGCACGGCGATGATCGCGCCAGTCACGACTCGCTGCTGGTACATCCTGTTTATATCCACCTGTCAGAGTCTTTCAAGATGACAAGGAACGCAGAGTGCGGGGCGAACCTGCGAATCATTTTCTTGAGTGTGCCTGACGCTCGGTCAATGGAGGTGTCAGCTCTTTGAAGCTATAAAAGCCTGGGTTAGAAACACGACTGGACACTGGCGGGAAGGCGAATAACTTCAGGCGTGCACAGGGTCGAGATGCATACCAGCATATCAAGTAAAGAAGAAGGCAGTCAGTCCCGCCCGAAGGGGTATCGTCCTGGTTAGCAGTAACAGGAAGCCCCTTCGGAGGTGCAGGACAATCTGTCACCTAGGTAGAGCCTTGTCGGCCTACCGAACGAGCTCGGGCGGCCACTTCTCGTCTTCGTCTTGACTTTCGGCTACGATGCCACGGCCTGCGTCACAGCGACAAATGGCAGAAGCCACACTCACGGTATCTCTCGCATTCTGTATCTGCTCTCGTTGTCCACGCAAACTCCTCAGGATATCCGCACCCTGCTCCTCTGTCTCAAGCGCAATCCGCTGGCTGTCCGCAAGCCTCCGACTACCGTCCTCAAGAAGCTCGGTACCAGCGAGCAGGCGAGTGCGATCATTGTCGGAACCGTACGGGTCGTCCATGGTAGGTGTCATCGCACGTGCGCCGAGTAGGTCGGCACGGGCGAGCTGAGCATGAGTCTCCTTGGACAACTTCTTGAAACGCTGCAGGTCGGTCTTGGCAGCCTTGATGCGTGTCTGGTACGACGGCTTGAGTGACTGCGGGATGCCCTGAATCTCTATCTCCATTTGCGAGACCTTGCGATGGCGGTTAGTGGCTGCATCTGCGTATGAAGATGTTTGCACACACCATCTCGTCCGCCTCATCGAGCTCGAGCTCGACCTTCCTCAGAGCGGCCTTCCTCTGCTCTGTACAGCCGTCAGGAAGTGCATACATCTCCGACGGGCACAAAGCGCACCTCCTCGCTCGTTCTTCGCATTTCCTTCGAGTTTCTCTCTGATACTTGAGACTATCTGCTGGAAATCTTGCTCGTAAGAGTCGAATAGAGCGGTTGGCGAGTTATCCATCGTGTGGTAGACGTTGCGCGGACGGGACCGGACAGCGAGTGTGGTGTTCAGCTTGTGAGAGCGAGCGCGAGCGCAGTGATTGTTCGCGAATGGGCGCCACGGCAACCTTTACGCAGCGGTATCCCGGGTCTCAGCTTGTCCAAGCGGGCGCTTCTATTGTCTGATCCCGAGGCATCGCGCGCCCCGACCTGCATTACTACGCCCAACCAAACTTTCGCAATGGCTACAATTGAGGCAGCGCTGAAAGTTCAGGAACGTCTGCAAGCTGCGACGGCGGAGTACCAGAGGCTGCAAGCAGAACTCGCGACGGCCGTGGAAGCGCGTCAGAAACTCGATGCCCAGCTCTCAGAGAATGAGCTGGTCAAGAAGGTGTGGCGCATACACCGTGTCCTCGGGCATCTACTGAAATGGCGCTGACATGCGCCGCAGGAATTTGCTTCGCTAACGCCGTATAACACGGTGTATAAGCTCGTGGGCCCCGTGCTCGTTGCGCAGGATCAGGCGGAGGCCAAGAGCAACGTGGACAAGCGGTTAGATTTCATCAAGAGCGACATGTACGTAAATCTGCTGTTCTCGTTGTGTAGAATCGCCAACGTGTCTTGCTTTGTCTCCAGTAAGCGTGTGGAAGCGCAACTCAAAGACATCGAGGACAAGTCCGAGAAGCAGAAGCTCGAGGTGCGTACTTGGAGACTCACTATGTCGCACAAGGCTCATCGGGGATACGACAGATTGTGGAAGCTCAGACAGCATTGCAGCAGATACAAGAGAATCTTCAGAAGTCTGGTGCCTCGCTAGTCGCAGCATAAATGAAAATTAGTGGCAAACAGCGTTCAATATCTGTTTCCTCTGGGCTCCGTGTGGCGCATGCCTGAAGGCTGACGGTTGTTCGCGCGATGGAATGCAGAGGCAGTGCGAAGTGTGTAGGTGGCAGATGGTGGTGATACGCGCAGGATTGTTGATTGAGTGCGACATTCTGAGGGAATTTGCGAATCGACGACAGAACTCATGACTGTCCGGCCGGCTGTGCTGCACAACTGACCGGACAATTATGATCGCTACTGAGATCTGGCCATGACCACACGCAAGGGTATTCTAGTTGGTGCACATCTGCCCGCTACGACATTCAGATCCCAAGAAGAAGCTCAACAATACAGCTTCCCATCTGTGGAAAACATGTGTCTTGTAAGGCGCAATATGGGCTATCAGGATGGGGCGTTATGGCATGCCTGCTCGTTTAAGCAACTTGTCCTCTGTTCGGGAAAAGTCTCATGTACCAGGGGATTGCAACTGCACAAGCTTACAGGAGAGAAGCTTTAACGCGTAATGTCACTGTCTTCCGGGCCCACCTGACGCTGAATGCTGACGAGTCGACGACATACTGCCTCAGCCGAGCCGCTGTATCGTTGATTGTACTGGAATAGTGAAGATGGTGGTGCAATCTAAGAGTATCAGTGGGGCAAAATGCTAGCGTGCAGAGAGTCATCCTAAGCCGTCTTCCAGTCTAAAGCCCATGAGCGCTCTCTAAACACACAGCTGCAGATGCTCTCAAGAAGTGCACAGTCCCTCAGCTGGCAAGTTTCTGTCGCAAATGTCTAACCACATGATGCACTTAGATGAGCACAAGTAACCAGAACGCGGACCAGTGGGAATAAGCAAGACATTAGTGGTAAAATAACATCTATTTCACCTGATACATGCGCATACTTCAGCTGCTCGCAGAACCAACTCATGAATACCGCCCGTACTGTGGCTGCGCAGGCGGTGGTGGGAAACCAGGGTGCTGGTATGGGTACGCCTGTTGCTGTTGCTGCTGCTGTTGCGGTTGTTGTGGTAGATGCGAGGGTGGTTGCGGCGGCGCGCCATACTGCTGTGATTGGTACGAGATCGGAGGCGGCGGCGGAGGCAGGGCCGGGCCGCCCTGCGGTGGAGGCGGAGGCTGGGTTTGGTAAGCGTACCCACCGCTGCCGTACGGGCTCAGCGGTGGAGGGGGATACGAAGGCTGGCGCTGGGGCTGGCCGTACGGCGGGGAAGATACTTGAGGCGCAGCGCCGTACGAGTATTGTTGTGGCGGTGGAGGCGGACGCGGAGGTGCTGATGGGGCTGGTGCAGATGTTGATGAGGGCTGAGTATACGATACTTTCGACGTCTCGAACATGCCGAGGGATGCCCAAGGATCAGGGGCAGGTGCGTTCGCCTGGTGAGGAGACTGCATGTGCGATGACGGTGGGGGTGGTGGAGGCGGAAGTGAGCCTGTACGTGATGGCGGGGGTGGAGGTGAAGTGTAGGTCGATGCCGGCGGCGAATTCCAGGTTCCTCGGCTTGGTGGAAATGGCGCCGGCGCACCAGAGCCCTGCATGTTCATAGACGCAAAGGCCGAGTTGAGGCCCGCTATCGGCGATTGAGGGCCTTTCGGCGGAGGCGGTGGTGGACGTGGCTTATCAGCGAGGGGAGGAGGAGACGTAGGAGTTGCAGCCAATCTCCTCTGAGTCTCCGCAGATGCTGTCATCGAATGGCGTTCCGCTGCCCGCCCGGTTACGAACTGCTTAACATTTCGCTTGAGCTCATTCGTGAGATCAGTCAGGTCGCGATAGAACTGCAGGCCCTTTCTGTTTATACGATGAGGTTTCAGAGTTAACAACCAATGCCAGGAACACGTACGCTAGGCCATCTCGCGCTTCCATGTAGCCATCTCGAGCTTGTGAAAATCGTTTGATGGTGTCCTGCTTTCTACGTTCCCGCTCTTCCCATTTCTTTGCTCCAGGGCCGCGACTAGCCAAATCCTTGAGCGTGCGCCAAAGTTGGGTGACCTCTTGTAGGGTCGTCTGCTCGTGATGGACCGTAGCACCTAGCCGTTGCTGGAACGGCTTGAACTTCTCAAGCTCGCCAGCAAACAGAGAACCCTCGGCTCCAGGATTGCGGCGGTTGAGGAGCAGCAGATGTGAGACGTCGTCAGTTTGAACCTAACAACGATTTCTTTAGCTACATGCTCTTGCTCCGTCGCGGTCATCTCACCTTCTCCTTCAAGTCCTTGAGTACTTCGTTGCGTTCCCGAGAAATCTTGTTCAAACGACCAAGCCGGTTCTCTATCTCATGGACCAAATGTGTAACTTGCGCCCGTTCTTCATCATCCCGGGTCTCGCTGGCAACATCAAGATCCAAGAGGTTCTCCGACCCCGCACCCGCGCGCGCCGTACTCGCCCGGAAAACATCTTCGACCTGGGACGAAAGGAGCAAGCCAATTTCGTCCTTGACCGAGCCCCAGAGGACTACGACCTGCTGGTCGGACGCCGCGGCAGCCTCGAGCGCGCCAAAGTGAGACTTGAGGTCCTGCCGGAGGCCCTTCGTGAGCGTCGCCGACGGCGCCTGCGTCCAGAGGTGGTCGTACTTGACGCGCATCGCCTCGCACTCGCGGCTCTCGGCGTCGAGTTCGCGGCCGACGTCCTCGAGCTCGTGCTGCACGTTCGCCTTGAGCCGGCTGAGTTCCGCGAGGAGGCCCTCGACGGGCTCGCGCTGCTCCATGACGGTGATGTCCTCCCGCCACCGGCGCACGTCGACCGGAATCTCGATGTCGCCGTGCACCTCGCCCTCTGCGATCGCACGATAGCGCACCAGGCCCTCCTTGACACCAAGCGAGTCGAGCGTGCTCTTCACCTCCGCCTCTGCCTCGTCCGCTTTCTCAACTTCTCCGCGAACGAGCTTCGCCTTTTCCTCCGAGTACACGCTCGCGCTCTCGTGCACGCTCAGTGGGATCAGGCGAATGAACATGTCGGGGCCGATGACCTTCTGCACCTCGGGAGTGCCATATACATCCTGGATCGAGATGGACGTAGCAACAGTGGTCTTCTCGATCTGGGGCAGCGTCTCGAAGGGAACGAGGATGTTGTTGTAGATCAGGTCGTTCTCACGCTGCGCCTCGTTTTTCTTCTCTGTACACAGGGCCAGATGAGCTTTGGTGAGGTCGGCGAGACATGTACCAGCATCTGGTGGGAGGTTTGGCGACATCTGGGTGACAAAGAGAGATGCGAAAGGTTGCGCGGTTCGGTTGGCCTCCTTGGCCTGGTTTTCGGCGTAGGTGAAGCGGACGAGGGCCTCGCCATGTTTCCCCGCAGCATTGTCGGCTAAGGCACGGTAATATTGTGATTGTGATACAAAGTACTTCGCTTTGGTCTATCATCAAGGTTAGAAGCCGAATATATGCAGAAAACAACACTGCGCCAACCTGAACGACGGTCACCCAATTCCTGTCAAAGATGCCCTTCCCCATAAACTCCTTTACTTCCTCGGACAGCCCAGTGTACGTGAACGCAGCCTGAGCACCAATCTTGGCAATGAGGGCGGGGCTCTTCTTCTCGTCCATGCATTTCTCAAAGAAGACTTCCGTGGCTTGCCCCAGTATGATGCCGACAAGGAACTTGATAACTTCACGGCTGAGGTCGGTAGATGGTGCGTGCAAGAAGTTGTCGTTGATGTACGTGAGCATGCCCGCGCATGTCCTGAAGTAGTAGAAAGCCCTCTTGAGGCCCTCAGGGTCTGACCGGTTCTGGGACGCCGCGATGGCAGAGTGTGTTGCGGCTATCTGGAAGATGATGCAAGCTTTCTCGTATGCGATGGATGTCTGGGTCGTGAGCTTGCTCGTAAATGCGTCGCGCCAGGGGAAGTTGACCCGGATCTCTGCGAATCGGAGCTCGAGCAGCTCGAGCTGGCCAAAGTATTTGTACAGCAGATCGCGAGCTGCAGAGGGTCAGTATTACCCGGGACAACACCGCGCACATCGCGCACCTGTCATGTCGCTGCCTGCGCCCTTGACCGCGTCCTGCCGACACCTGTGCAGGTTCGCGCATTCTGTTGCGTAATTGTCTGGGTCCTCTCCGTACGACTGCGAGATTGCGGAGCGAATGGGACTCGTCCAGTCGACCTCGTCCGTTCCCTTCTTAGGTATTGAAATCATCGGCGACTGGTGCGCCGCCAACGCCATCGTGAATAGTCGTCGTCGTCGTGAGTGTGGTTGAAGGCGGATGTGCGCAGTATCATCGCGACGTGTGGAGAAATGCGCTAATCTAATCTACGGAATCTAAGCTCATCTTATCTCGTGACCCTCGTCCGCGGACGTCCAGCACCGGCTTCGGGCACTTCTCTGCCTCTTGCTGCTCCCGTTTAAATGGTCATCACTCATCCACAAAAGTCGAGTCGCCTCGGCATGCCCAAGAAGAGCAAGAAGAGCAAGAAAACGGCCGCGTTAGAGAGCTACTTTGGTCCGGAAGCGGACCCCGAGGGGAATATGCGACCTGAAAAGGCGGAGTGGGACTCGATGGAGGCTTTTAGGACGCTTCGTGCTAGCAGGCACGTATATCACAAAGGTTGCGAGTACGTTCCTTCTTACAGGCAATATCACTAGACTGGCTTAACAGAGCTCCTCTGCAGCGTCTCCGTACGCTCTAGTGACAGCCCAGAGAATGTTTGGATAGCCATGGTACTCTCCATACGGCGCAGGAAGACGCCACTTGGAATACCCTTGGGCTGGGCTCAAGTACAATGGTACTATTCGCCGCGCGATGTTCAAGCATTGAGCATTGAAGGATTGTAAGCCTGTTTTAGTTATTGTTCTACTACTTTACTTACATCTGAGTTCTTCAAGACCCAATGATTGCTTCTCATCTCGGGAAAGGGTGCTCTCAGATGCCATTGATCTTGTGCCGCTAACGTCATTCAAGTGTAAGCACTTCCTTCGCCATGATATTGATGACTGAAGGTATCACCAGCTCCTGTGAAAGTATATAAGTTTAATGAAGAAGATTGGCAGCCAGCAGAATTTGATGAGAAGTCCTACTTTCATCGGTATAGTCTAAAGGATGCTCTTGATTCTCCAAAACTAGCGGTATGTCCCGGTAAACTATCTTGTTGGGAATATATATCTGACACGTGTGCACAGCCGTTTCCTGGTCAATTCTCCTGCATCTGTGGGACACCTTATGACCCATTTCCACAAGACATGGACTTTGCAGAAGCCGCATTGGATGCATGTCGCCAACGAAGAGGTGGCACTGCCCCCAGCAGGTGCGTATCTAATGCCCATACATATCCACTGCCACCTCACAGCTTGCAGAGTCGAGCTCAAGGCGGACTACATGCACTACTGTCCGCGTCCGAAGTGTAGCAGATGGTTCCACGAGACCTGTCTGCTACACCGCACGGAGATGAGACACCCTGAGCACACCGACTTCGTCGGCAGCCTCGCCGTGCGCCGGCTGGCAGTGGACCCTGACGCGTCGTTCCACCACCCAAAGCTCGCACGCTTCACATACGAGAAGCCCGCACGGGGCAAGAACGCATCGGTGGGCGAGCCGAGCACACGGGACGTCCTCGCCGCGGCACTGGGGCCCGACAGGGAGCTTGGCCTTCCGGAGTCGCTCATCGCCATCGCCGCGATGCCCATCGTGCGCCGCGCGGGCCAGGGCACGTTTAGCACCGCGGGAAACGTGCGCGACGTCGTTGTCGCGCGACGCCTGGTGTACCAGACACTCGACGTCAGGCTCGCCGAACTCGAGCGCCTCATCCGGAGCCTCCCCGAGAGCTGGGACGCCGCATCGGACGCGCTGACTTACTACCGCGTGTGGCAGTTCCTTGGGACGCAAGGGATGCTCGCGAGTCCCCGCGCGGCATACTGGGATCGGCGCGTCGAGGAACTGGCTGTGCACGCGGAGCGGCCGGAGCTGCACTGTCCTAACTGCGAGGGCGAGTTTCCTGTCGCGATTTAGTGACGGTTGCTCGCGAGTGTTCCTTGGGGCGAGCTACGCATGGGAGCTTCTCATAACCGTTGCGCAGGAGTCAAAATTTGAGGGTCTGATGTTGTCGTGCGACACCCCTAGCAGTGCACAAGTCTTTTTCTCGATTTGTCCCAGCCGAAGAACAGCCGTTGCTTCTTAACAAACTTCTGTCCAGTCAAATTGCCTTCTCTGAGGCTGATCCCAATGAGAAGTCCTTATGTTGATTAATGACCTCGTTGGTGCCTGTTGACATCATGTGGAATCGGCAGAGCATCTGCACTTCCTCTGCCTGTGCCTTGCAATTTTATCTCCGGCAGGTGACCAACGACCTACATCAGGCCTTTGGTTTGTCAAAGCCCGGTAGTCAGTGAGGAGAAAACATGACTCGGACTCTCGAATGTCCGAGGGTCGAGCTTATCCTGCGCGCCTCCTGCATTTCGGTACAAACACTGTACCGAGAGCCTGCTGACCATGCTCCGAGCCAATTTCCGCTGCTCACTCCGCGGTGCAAGTGTGCAGGGTGGATATCCGACGAAGACTCGCTGCGGGAAGCTGTTGCTGCGCATGTCCGGTTGTTACTGGAAACCAACGTAATCAGTCGCACGAAGTAGGAACGCAGATGTGGGAGAGTGTGCCGCATATGGGAATGCGCCCTCGGCGCCTCGTTTGATTGGCTGTAACACGGTGTTGGGCGGACGACGTCCGCCCGTCAAAGTCTCGTGTTATGGCTCGCCATCGAACGCTCACCACTTCGCCCCGCTTTTGGACTCCCGCCAGCTCACTTGCTCCCGACCGCCACCTCTTCCTTTGACGACGTGTCCTAACTAGCCTCCCGGCCGTCCGGCCACACACAACTCCCCCCGTCCTCGAGACTCTAACTCCCAGCGGCGACTAAAAACCGACCGTCCACAATGCCTCAGGCATCCCGCATCGTCGCGCGAGCAGCGCACGGCGAAAAGGACGCGGCGACCAAGGCCCAGGAGCAAGAGTTCAAGCGCGCGAGGGGCGCGATATCTTGCGCAGAATGCCGCCGCCTCAAGCTCAAGTGCGACAAAACCGTGCCCTGCGGCTCGTGCAAGCGACGCGGGTGCGAGTCAATCTGTCCGAACGGCAGTCTTACGACGGGCCAGGGAACCAGGTGAGCGTCGCACCGAAAAGTGTTTCGCCTCGGACTCGAACACGGACGTCGCGGACTGATGGCGCCGCCGCCGCCGCACTATCTTCGCAGGTTCATCCTCGCCGACACCGACAGGCTGCACAGGAAGATCACCGAGATGAGCGACCGAATACGCCAGCTCGAAGACGCACTCGCGATCATGCAGTCCGCCACGACGCGGGACACGCACCCACTCTTGCGCGCCGACCTTCTCAGCATCAAGTCAGGACTTGACCTGCATTCGGCAGTGAACTCAAAGACAGGAGCCCCACAGACGGAGCAGGAAGTGGATGAAGAGTCACAGGCGATAGATGCGTTCGGCACGCTTGCCGTGCACGACGACGGCGCGGCGACGTTCTACGGACGTTCAGCTGGTTCAGAGGTGCGTGCTTCTGCCCCTTGCCAGTATGATTTCCGGTCACTTAGTCGGCGTTCTTCCAGAGCCTCTTGCTGGTGAGTTGCGTGCATTCTACTGCCCGGACGCGTCCCCGGACCCAGCCTGGACTCCCACAGTGGGTTACCGAAAATTTTAGCGCCCGATTGTCAGGGCCGACATACTCCTAGTTTCTAGGCGCCACAGTTCGTGTACTAATTCTGCGCCACAGGATGAGAAGGCCGCTGCACCCGCGGAGCCAGCCGGCGCTGCACTCAATATGGACTCGTTCCATCCGCACATCCACGACCTTGCGAATGCTTTCCCTGCGGCAGCCGTGGCGCTCGGAGACGCATCAAACCTGCAAACCTTGGTTGCGGATCACCTCCCCGAGTGGCCGCGCGCGCAAAAGCTGTGCGAGCTCTACCTAGAGCAAGCACCATGGTTTTTTGGTGCCATTACCCGTCGACAGCTCCTTGAGGAGCTCCTACCACTCTTCTATGGCGAAGCGCTAGACCTGCAGGGTGCAGACAAGCCTGGATCGTCGCCGTCATCCTACAATCCCGACAGTCCCCCACAGCCGACACTCGTCGTCTCGAGCTCGGCCTTTGTCAGGTCTTCGACCGGCGGTGCGTCGGCGCACGAACTGGCACTCCTGTTCGTCGTCTTTTGCTTCGGCGCACTGACGGACCCGAAGTTGCCACCTGCCCCAAACAACATCGAAGCGTCGACGTATTATCACCTCACCCGGGCAGCGCTGAACATTGAGCCTGTCCTCGATCGCCCACCTAGTGTTGCAACCGTCCAGACCCTCAGTCTCATGGGCATCTACCAAGGCCTTGTCGCCGACGAGCACAGTATTGAGACTACTTGGGCCCTCATGGGATTAGCCTGTAAACTTGCGCAGAGTGTAAGTCCTCTATGTGATCATAGATGGCATTTTGACTGATAAACTTTGCTACAGGTCGGCCTTCGTAAGTGCTGCGTCATGGCCCGATCTTCTTCTGCTCACCGCCTCAATAGATCGCGACTGCGCAAGGTGGAAGCTCCCTCCGGCCGAGGTGCAGAAGCGCCGTGCGCTCTTTTGGGAGCTTTTCATCACCGACTGTTGGCAGGTCCGTACTATCTGCTTTTTCGGCATCTGCCGTATACTGATAAGAAACCGCCGTCTGCAGGCTCTGGCCACTGGTCGGCTGCCGTCGTTCTCTCTGCCTTTTGTGGACGCGGAGCTGCCAGCGGACCCGGATGAGACGCTTGCCGAAGACGGCACACCCCAGCCCAGCTGTCAGTGCTATTCGTATCCACATTGGTCCACCCTGCTAACACTCTTGCAGTCCCGGCCTGGAAGGCGATATGGGGCAAGGAGTGCGTGTCGGGGGTTGTCGAGGTTACACTAATGTCGCGTGCCCCCAAATACTCGGCGATATTAGAGCTTGATCGTAGGCTTCGAGATGTGGCGCTACCCAGTTACGCTGTTGGACCTGCCCCGAAGGGGGCATCGCTGAGCGAGACGATGAGACACTTTATGCCGATCAACTATCGCGAATTTAGTGAGCAACGCTGCTGCTGCCATCGCCACGACGTTGTTGATATGTTTCATCACAGCCTTGCTATACGTCCACCGCTGCTTCTTCGCCCAGGCACTTGCCGATCATCCGAAGGACCCGCTGCGTAGCCAGTACGCACCGTCGTTCCTCGCGGGTTATCGCAGTGCCTGTGGGCTCATCGACACGATACGGGAGCAGTTCGCTATCAATCCCATGCAGATTGCAAGATTCTGGGTGTTGTGGACCCATGCGTTCTCATCCGCCGTAAGTATTAGGTTGCTTAGGCGTTCAACATGACTAATCCCGAAGGCACACTAGGTCATGCTTGCTTCGGTGGTTACACATGGAGGGACTACAAAGATGGCCCACGCTGCCCTCGGCGAGCTGCGGTTGGCCGCTGCGCTATTTGAGCAGGCGGCGCCCTTTGGCGGCCGAGCTATCAAATTCTTGGTGAGTCATTTGGTGGCTCATACTTCAAGTGCCCGACAGACGGTGCTGAGATGGTGCTCCTTTCCCTTGAAGCCTATTATCCGAAGGTTGCACCGGAAGGCGTACCAGAGTTTCAGCGAAGGCTATGGTCGCCCCGTCAAGGACATATTCACGCCACGCGACTTCAAGAACGAAGAGCAAGACGAGCTGTCTATTTTCAGCGGGCGCACGAGGACTGTTGCCACAAAGGCAGTGAAGCCACAGCATTCGGCTCAGAAACGGTCTACTTCCCAGCGCCAAACGGGCGTTCATTCTCCCGGCATGACTGAAGCATCATCCTCCAGCGGCAGCGGGGACTCGCCGCACGCGTCGCACTCCCCGACGACTGCGCCGGAGTCTCCCGAAAACATGCCTGCTCTGGCCGTGTACGGCAGCTCGGTGCACCCGATGCTCGTCGACGACATGCGCACGTTCGAGGGCCAGCTCGACGCGCAGATACACAACGCCCAGCAGCAGTACTACCAGTCGAACGGGTCGCCACAGCTCAGCCCGCCGGGAGCGGGTGATGAGTATCCCCAGGTGTCGCCTCTGCAAGAGTACGATCCGCAAGTGCTGGGGTACGAGCAGCCGGAAGAGCCCGACTGGCGGTGGCACCAGCAGGAGTCCCAGTCACCGCCGGTTTCTGCTCATGTACAGCAACCGGCGTATGACACTCCGTACCACTCGCCGCAACAGCCACAACAGCACCAGCAGCAGCCACAACAGCAACAGCAGCAACAGCAACAGCAACAGCAGCACTACCATAATGGGCAACATGTCGCCGAGTTTCATGCCGCGGAGTATGCTGCGCCCATGTACGGCATTGACAGCGGGCCAGCCGTCCAACAGGCCTCGTCCGGGTACACTGCGCAGTCTGCGCAACCCGCGCCGGCGTACATTCTAGACCCACAGCAAGAACAGCAGCAAACCCAACAGCAGTACTGGCAAGCGCCTGCCGCTCCGGAGTATCATACGCAGGCAGCCATGTACCATGACCCCACGGACGGACAGTACCAAGCGCCGTCGCAGGCTCAGCCACAGAATTTGCATGGCCAGCCCTCTGGATTCGTGGCAGCGCACATAGCGCAGTACCCCGCACAGCATCCTTCGCACCAGCACCCTCGCCAGCACGTCCAGCATCCTTCGCACCATCCCCAGCAGCACGTCCAGCATCCTTCGCACCATCCCCAGCAGCACGTCCAGTACCAGCAACAGCCGGCCGCGCCGCCGCCACCGCGCGCTCAGCACCCCCAGCATGTGCAGCACCCCCGGCACCCCCAGCAGACGTCTGCGGTGCTCTCGGTGCACTCGGGATCGTACAGCCTCCAGGAGACGTGGACATCGTTCATGCAGCACGAGCTGCCCGCACCGCCGCGACCACAACCGCCGGCCCTGCCTCTCACGCAGGCGCCGCAGTACGGTCGCCGCTGAGAGCGACTGATGCGCGCTTAGATGTGGCGCTTAGATGTGATGTCTGCAGTAGATTCTCGCTTCGACTCTCCCTCGTCCGTGGTTTCTCGGTTCGTTTTTCCGCCATCTACCTCGCTCTCGTTCGTCCCCTTCCGCTACCCTTCCTTCTCTCATGGCCTCTGTTTTCTTTTATGGACTCGTTTATGCCCCTGGCTGTGTATGTGTTCTGACCTCGCTCTCTCCTCAGAATCCCAGTTGTTGTCACCTATGCCTCTCTTATCACCTCGCTCTCAGTGTACTGTAGATGAAACATGTTCCTTGTATCGAAGTTATATTACTTTCGGGGTGGGCCAGAAAGTGTCTTTGTACGGTCTGACGGTAGGTTTGTCGGCGGTGAGTTGATTCGGGATTTATTACGTTGACATTTTTGAGTGCCTTAGGAACGTACAGTTTGCACGAAGGTGTGGTAGCATCCCGCATTCGAGCTTCGATGCTGATAGTGAGCTTTCCTAGGTGGTAAGACGAGTGCTCATTCGATGTTAACCCGTATGTTCGCATCCTTATTCTCAGACAAACGCTGCTCTTACCTCATACGGTAAGATCGATATGGCGCGCTCGGCCCCTCTCATTGACAAACAGGAGCATGGCTGGTTCCCACGCCACCTCGGCCTCAGTTCGCCGGAAGGCCCCCGTTCGTTCGAATTCGGCCATTCCGCGCCTCCTGCGCGCTGCGCACCCTTACATCATACCTTGACACATCCTCGTTTTCGCGCTGCCCGCGCGCGTGGGCGTGATGTGCCTTTGCAGGCCTTCAAGGCCCTTGAAGCTTCAGGAGCAGTGCCCTCGATGAGATGCGGAATGGGGCGGGTGCGCAACGGACGTGCGGTGCAGGGGAGCGCAGGGGCCCTGCCCTAAGGCGAGTCAGCGTCACTTCTCCCATGGGACAACCTTGTTTCTGCCAATCAGGGGCTTCAACCAGAATCTCGACGTAGGCCGACGCTTGTTTCTGGACTGCGGATTACCAGACTGGTTATCGTTCACTCACGTCGAACTGGAGTCGAACCGCTGTACTCCACCGGAGCTCTCGGAGACAGCTTTACGTGGCTGCGTGCGGTGCACGAAAGAGGGGTAGATGATGCGCTCGAGGGTTCCTCCTGATCCACTGCATGTTGGCTGCCGGCCAATCAACAGGGAACCGCAGTGCGCACGCCTGCCGCTGCAAGTCGACTGGCCCTTCCCCGATCAAAATTCAATGGGCATCTCGGAGCGGAATCTAACTATGGCGCGTACACACGATTGTCAACTGGGTGCTGTGCAAGTCCCTAATGAGGCACACGCTATATAGCCTATATAGCCTACAGACACCCCCTCAGGCCACTGCCAAGCTCTAGGTCATCTCCAGCTGCCCTCAACATGCGTCCCAGTAGTCTCCTCTTCACTGGCCTCAGCGCCGTCAGCACCGCACTCGCCGCTCCCCACGTTGTGGCACGTGCTGATAACTCTAGTAACCCCCTTGGCTTGTCCCAGACCGGTGCGCGGATCATTTTTTCATGTCTGACCAGCGTCTGATTGGCATGCAGATCTTGAAGTTCTGGCCTTTGCTGCGAACCTGGAGAACCTCGAAGTCAACTTCTATACATTGGCCTTGAGCACGTTCAACGACACGGACTTCACCAATGCTGGCTTCCCGAACGGCACCCGTGGCCGCTTCCAGCAGATCCTTCAGCACGAGCAGGTCCACATATCGTTACTGCAGAGCATCTTGGGTTCTCTTACTCCCCAGCCTTGCAATTATTCCTTGTACGTCGTGCGATACCGTCCGGAGTGCGTCTTCAACCATTGACTGCCCACCTAGCCCAATCAACCAGGTCTCTGATGTGGTTGCTATCTCCTTCGCCCTCGAGTCCACCGGCGAGGCTGCCTACATGGGCGGCTTGCAGGTCCTCGAGAACAAGCAGGTCCTGACCACCGCCGCCGTACGTTCCCCTTTCGTTGAGATATCTGTACTACCAATTAACACCCGCTTGTCTTTGTAGTCAATTGAGGCTGTCGAGGCTCGTCAGTCTTCCTTCGTCGCTGGGCTCAACGGCCTCGCGCCGTGGTACGGTCCTTTCGACACACCCCTAAACGAGACCCAGGTTATATCTCTCGCCTGTGAGTACTATACCGTGGTTATCTAGAGTCAGTTTGTTTACATCTGTTCAGCCGGATTCATTGTCTCCTGCCCGTCCTCGAACTTCCCGCTCACTGTTGAGCCGGTGCCGGCGCTCACGGTGACGCCCTCGTCCAACCTGACAGTGGGTATCAACGTCACTGTCGCCATCGGCGCGCCTGACTTCAACTCAAGCAACTTCCCTATCGTCGACACGAACCTGACGACGGCGCCGAACAACTCGCCCGCGAGCGGCAAGTTCCTTGCGTACTTCCACGGCGGGCTCAATGTCAGCTACTCGCCGATTGCCTCGGACAACACGACGACGATCCCCGAGGGCCTCGCCGGCGTCGTCTGGGCCCAGGTTGTCACGACGAACACGAGTGCTCCGACGCTCAATGATACCGTCTCGGGCGTCGCGATGCTCAACATCCCCGTCTCCCCCGCCGCGAATAATTCGTTCAACTAGGGATTTCATCATGGACGGCCCACAATTGACACTGTAGTATGCTCGTCTGCAGCCGCACGTCTATATCGAATCATCGTGGCAGTTCATATCTATCGCTACAGTTATAAAAATGGACCATGGACCGGCTACTACCCGTTGTAGTATGGACTTAGACCTTTTCCATCTTGCGTGCCATATGTTACTGCACTGGGTCATTTGCATCTCATGCGGCTTTTCCAACTCGTCGTATCGGTATCATTAGCCGAAATACAAATAACGGTGTTTGCTGCTTACTATCTAGTGCGGTATCAATCATCGTTCTCTCGGCGGGCAGCAATTTAATTTCCTCGGATGTCCACGGCTCCCTCACTTCCCACCGTGGCACGAGACAGTCGCAGATCAGCATTTGACACCAGCACTTTACCCGGGGTGCGATGCTGTATCATTATTCACAAAAATGAGTAATATTGTAGGCCGCAAATTCTGGCGAAAAAGAGTCGCAGCATGCACTCTGGCAGGAGTGAGTTTCGATGAGCACAGGCAGACTCCCGGAGCACCACATGGCGAAGCGGCTTCGTCTGGCAAGGCGGTGCTCGATGGGTAGACTGGTCAGCTGGAGTCGCTGCGCTCTGCCACAGCGATGCGATGCGAGCTTGCGCAAGGAAACCGACCTGGAATGTATGAGTTACCACCCAGCCAAAGAAACCCTAACCCGAGCGAGCCGCTAATTTGATTTTGTGCTAGATTTTGTGCAGAATATCGATCGAGGGCCTTGACAAAGCGTGGATATTGTGTATATATACAGAATATAAACGAATAGATACCCAGATCTCAGACTGTGCTATAGGAGTCGCTGCGTTGGTTCAAGCGTGATTCTCTGTCGTCTGATGCTCGGGCAGGCTTGGATGGCGTGACGCGCTTGCCCTAGATCGTGTGCGACCATGATACAACTTGTGGGTATCGGCTGTGCCTACTGTCGATATCCGATCCCGCAATTAACAGCAATCATAACATAACGGAACGCGATATTAATTTTATCGTAAAAATATATGATGTGCTGCTCATAGACAGCCTCTAAGCCGACACCGATACATATGGGCCTGACAAGGTGCAGTTCGCACTACGCCCGTTATATATGCATCATCTCCAGTGTCGCGCACCCAACTGTGGGAACTATTACCATGATTGGTCCCTCCAGGTTTTTACTACTACCGGAAAATCTTGCCTCTGGGCTTGGCACGAGTTTCACAGCGTCTGAGAGAAGTGGGGTTGGATGGGCGAAATTCAATTGACACTACGCAGATCACCTGAAATGTCCCAGTCAAGCCATCAAAACTGTTTCATTTTCGGAGACTTAACCGGGGCTTTCTGGTGTCCCAAAATGATAGATTTGCTACCACTTTTGTAGCCATATTGAGTCATTTCAGGTTCATTTCAGGATACACAAAATTTATCATTTTCCTGCACCGCAAATGGCTACGAAAGTGGTAGCAAATCTATCATTTTGGGACACCAGAAAGCCCCGGTTAAGTCTCCGAAAATGAAACAGTTTTGATGGCTTGACTGGGACATTTCAGGTGATCTGAAATCAGCTTATGCCCGTAGTGTGATGTGCCGTTTACAGATAGCTGGGCATCATTTACTCTGCTGACACTATGGCGCACTGGAGCTCCGAGTCGGGCGCGCATCGCATTTACTTCATGAGTCTGAAATCACTACTGTACCTGCGTGGCTTGGCACAAGCTTTACAGTCAAACTGATCACTGCTATGTTTCCTCAGACCCTGTGAAACTTGTGTCAAGCTACACGGGTAGTGATTCTTTGATATGTAACACAAGTACGTAATCAGATGCACTGACTGTCCCGCTGTCACCTGAAACCTGGTCAGTTCAGAGTTCAGAGACCTTCCGTTACCCATGATCACGATTTAGTGACCGAAGCGTGACTTGGGCAGGCGCAAGCTCATCAGGCAAGGCCGCCATTGGCAGCACGCGTGCATGGGATGTGACTAGCTTGTGTAGCTAATAGGCCAATTTTAGTTTTATGTGTCGGAAAGTATTGAGTTTGGGCGTTGACGAGTAGATATTGAGCAAAGTACCGAATATATTTAAAGGCGCCTGACTCGGAGTCACGCTGATGCTATGGCAGTTCATCGCCCCATCGTGGCCGTGACTACCAGTTCAAACTCGGCCTGGTCAGAGGCTGTGCGGTCGTGACTTAAACTTTCGGTCGTATGTTTACAGTATTTTTATGCAGAGGCGGCACTAAATTCTCTCACTTCTCTTCTCATTTCCCCCTTGCATTGGCTTTCACGCTTCGGCACTTCCTGCTTCCTTTCATCGCTTGCGAATAATTCTTTGTACACAGCTTCTCTGCTTTATTGTTATCTTCTCTTACACATTTAATCTCGTTCCGCAATGCCTCGCTTTGTGTCGGTCGCTCCCTTCTTCCTCTTCGCACTTCCCCTTGCATTTGCCACCCCCATTGCCACTAGAGACTCTAGTAATGGTTCCAATGCATCCGACAATGATGTTCAGGCGTACTTGAGCGCTCACAACTCGGTTCGCGAACAACATGGCGCTGCAGCTTTGACTTGGAACAACGAACTCGCCGCCAAGGCTCAACAGTGGGCGGACGGCTGCATATTCCAGCATTCCGGCGGGACCCTGGGACCTTTCGGAGGTATGGTTTATGGTCTCAGCATGGGGATAGTGTAACTAAACGTGTTTGCAGAGAATCTCGCTGCTGGAACTGGCAGCAGTTTCGGTATCGCTAGTGCTGTTGGGTCTTGGGCAAGCGAAGCTTGTGCGTATTCTCGACCCTGGCACCAGCTTCGTCCATACTTAACATTCGACACCTCTAGCCCAATACAATCCGAGCAACCCTGTGGCGTCCCACTTCACCCAGATGGTTTGGAAGGCTACCACTGAGCTTGGATGTGCCGAGCAACAGTGCAACGGCATCTTTTCCGCGAGCTTCGGGGTACGTTTCTCCGGCGTTGGCAGCTGACGACACTGAACGTGACTTGTTGCTCCAGCCCGCAAGCTACTTCGTCTGCGAATATTCTGTTCAGGGCAATGTGATTGGACAGTTTGCGTGCGTATTTATGTTTAACGCGTACAGAGGATGCTTGGCTTACTTCTCTGACTAGACAAAACGTGCAAGCTTAGAACATAGGCACTTGGTTGAGCTCTGCCGAACTTGGGATTTCTTGCGGCTGGTGTCCGCGCTTTATTTCGTCTTCTTTGGAATTTGTTTGTAACGATGCAAGTGATTTATGAGACCTTGTTATCACGCGCGACTATTGGCCGTTCTATTGTCTGTGCCTGAGTATTGGAGCCTCGAAGGGGGGACAGGTAAAGCGCCTGTGGCGCTTGAGAACAACGCCACGAAGACATCGCTTTCGGCGCAGTCCGAGGGCTCGCCATCACTATGAATTCACGCTCGTCGTACGGCCGGTCGGCGTTTTCTAGCATAGCATATATTGTTATTGTTCTGATTCTCACTTTCTTTCATCGACCTCTCGTGCGCTGTTATTCTCTCCCAAGCCTACTAGTAGCCGTCCGAACCACTCCTGGCAACAGGAACTGGACTCGGAACTTCAATGCCGCATGCGGCTATCGGTGCCGCCTATGCCATAATAGCTCGTTTTTGCCTCACATGCCGGCTATATTCTTGATACGCAGGTGCTGACCGACCAAGAAGCTTGTGGTTTGTCGGACATTCCCCAGGCGCCTTTCAAGGTCTCTCAAGCCGTCCTAAGGCGCCAAGAGGGAGACCCCGCTTCCAAGAGCTCTCAAGCGCGAACAAACTTATTCAAGAGTACCCGCAGGACTGTTCCAAGAGCGCCCGAGGTGGTTCCAAGAGCTCCTAAGATCTTTCTAGCTTCGCAATTGCTTAGCAGCTACTAAATACACATCCATGCATGGATGCCCACTCACCGGTACTGCTTGCCATGCTTCATCTCTTGTACATGCATATCTACACACAAAGGATAGTAAACAAGACAGTATGGTTCTGAGAATGCACCTGACATACCTTTCTTCCACTGACTGCTCCAGCAATCTCAATGCGTCGGCCACCAGCACCCTGCTCTGCACTTGAGGTTAGTACACATCCTACAGTTTATGAGCATTGTTACTCACTGGGCACAAAGGTCCGTTGTGGGAGAGGAGGCATCAGCAAAGCATAGCGGGAGCGCGCAGCGTGGGCAGCAACGCTGCATGATGGAACTGGTGATGGTCGAACTTCGCTAACGCCTGAGAACACGGCTCTCGGCTAGTCCCGAGATCCATCAGGCCTCGAGCACAAGCTCTAAGTGCTGAAAGCACTGGAGCAACCGGCAGGACGTCACGCGTTACAGCTGGCGACTGGTGCCGCTCGCTTGGAAGTGCTTGAGACAGGCCCGCACGCACTTGAAAGCCATTTGAAGCGCGACCTGATCTCGCGATGAATGATCGGGACTTGGGAGACCTTGAGGCTGTCAGCCTTTGCTTGGGTGAGACTTGCAACCATCACACCGGTGTTTTAAGTTCTTGATATGGCAAGTCAAGAGCGTTCCAAGAGATCCCCAAGGCGCGCGTCTTGAGAGAGCCAAACCGGATTTACGACATTTCTCTCGCTTTCAGCTTGGATCGGCGGATTGTCGCGCATCGAGTCGGAAGTTCCAGCGTATCTCAAATGTCTATCACACCCTGGGCAAAGCCGAGGTCCCGAAAGTAAAGGCACGTAGTATAATGTACTTAGTTCAGATGCCGAGGAGGGCCATTACAGCCGGTCTACCGCTATATCAACCAAGAGTATGCCCGAGCCTGTCTCGTAGCTTACGAATCGCAGCCGAAGGGTGGCTCTCAGGAAGCCTGAGAGTGGGGGACTCAGCCATGTAAAATTCATGTTCATTGATTTTTGGCTTGGCTCGACACTCTCGTAGAAAGCCAAGTTGGTGAAGTGCGCTTCCGAACCACCCTCCTTCATACCATTCGCGAAATTGGTGGATCCCGTCTTATTTATGTGCCTACCGACGACTAACGTCCCTTCAGACGAGCTTGCCCACGAGGTCATTCCTCAGCACCCCACATTACAACCGCATCAATGCATGCCGTTCTTCTCTAGCTTCTGGGCGTACCACTCCTTATACGGAATGCCTGCCGTGTTGGCAAAGTACCTGGGTCCCTGCAGGGTTATGTACCAACTCGGATCAACGAGGCGAGGAAGGTATAACTCTATACTCACGAGCTTCAGGGACTCGGGTCGAAGTTCTCGCCCCCGACGACGACGTTGGACCGCGCCTTAACATCAAGGCCGAGCTCTTCGCTGTGGTGGCATTAGCAATGTGCTGCGTAAAGAGACTATGAAATGCGCTCACATGGTCGTTCCGCTACGGTGCCCCAGACGGAGAGTTTGAAGGTGTAGAGGACGGTATAGTGAGTCTCTGGGAATCGGTACATGCCTTATAGTGTGTACTAACCTTGGAAGGAATTGCGGGAAGTTGTGCGGTGGTGGCTTTTGCTTCCTTGGCGTCCTTGGGGTGGGGGAGGTGAGAGCGGAACTTGTTAAAGAAGAGTTTCGCGGCCGAGCGAAGCCCGCTGAGGACCTTTCTCGAGTCGCATGTGGAGGGACATGTCACTGAATCTAGATGAAAAACCTGAAACTTATCCCGATGGGTGTGCTCCTCGACGCGCGAGTCATCACGTCTCCACCCGATTAGGCAAGAGGCGCTCGGGTATTGCCGTCCAACGCATATGTCTCTCCTCTCTTTTTCTCCCCCCTTGCCCTGGGCAACTCTCTGGCAATAGTCTGCCGTCTCAGCCCTTGCCAGAACTAAATTGCTTGCACCCGTCTGATCCATGTTCACCAGGCCTTCTGCTAGGTGTTCCGCAACTTGACTGATTGCAACTCGTTCGCAGGTATTCATCACATCCCTTGCTGTAACAACTACTGCCGTCTGCGGTCTCTGCTCACGCCTCCCAGAAGAGAGGGAATCGGACCGAGACTAGCCTTACCGACCATCTCAGCGGATATCTTGCGTCCTGATCACTCGCGCACAGGTCTTTTCAACGCCATAATTGTTGCATTCACCTTCAGCGGAATGTGATTCACGCCACTTAGTCATTATGTGTCATGCGGCCCGCCCAGCGGGCACTGTCGAAGCTCGTTCCTCTCGCGAGCTAACGTACTGCCTAATAGGCGCGATACGTATGGCGATAGATGGCCCACCAAATCACTTCTTAAGCCGTGCGAGCGATAGCCTACACTCGCTACAGCTCATACTCCCGCACCCCTCATGTTCACTGTATTGGAACAGTCAGACCAGACTCTTGTCCCAGTTTATTCACGATCGTGAGCATTATCTCTCGTGCTTGATGAACCGACGCTCATACCTCTGTCTACCAGCCTCACCCCAAACTATACGTTCGCAGCTGCTCAGTGTAAGTACACTGTTTGCTTCCCATTGCGCTGCTCATGATATACGTCTCTCAGGCCTCACTGTCTACTAATTCCTTATAACCGTCGCTGACGAGATGAAGCTCACGTGAAAGAGGCCTGTAACTGTCTCTGCTGTACTTCCTGGCTCAATACGGTGGTGCATACTCCGGTCTATCACTCTGCAACTTGTCCTAACTACCCCGAATGTAAGTACAGCGTGCCATCAATCACATAAACTTAAGATGTCGTCTTACAGGAGTAAGCGCGGTCTCTGTAGCCTGTGCGCAACTGATGACTTAACTGAAATCCGAACGAACAGCTGCCTGCGACTCGGCATCCTCAGCTGGTCGCCTATGTCCACTGCTGAGATCGAGATGCGCATGCAGGAACTATCTATTTATTAAGCACAATAACGCAACCGTTTATCCTGGTGTGTACCCTGCTTTCTGTCGACTTTTTGACGCTAATGAACTAGCCGCACAGCTCATTAACCGCTTTATGATTAACCTGCGGACGGCCGACTCAGAGGAGTCAGACTACTCCGTGTATACCACCTCTCGGCGGCGAGGACTGTCCACGGTGTAATTCCGGGGGGGGGGGGGTTCGGCGAATCGGCTGGGCAGCAATGATGAGACGCTGCAGAATGGTCGGGACGATGTCGAGCCCTAGGACGAAGAGAATAACGTCGCGGAAGTAAACAGAGCAGGACTTTATAATGAGACTACCGCGAGGGCACGAACAAACGCCTAATATTGCATCAGAATACGCTTTACTCCAGAAGTTGAAAAATATGGGTAGCTGTCGTGGGCTACATCGTCGGGAGGGACATCGCGCAAGCGTTCGTAGTCTATTCGGCGGGTATTGATCCGCACCTACATATGTCTTAGATATGAACGCGGGACGCGATACAAAGTAAATATGAGCAAACAACGTGCGCACGAGGCGCCGGAAAGGACGAGAAATACGAACCCAAAATTAAACATCGTCTGTAGACCTCTCGTCAGAACCACCTTTTAGTCTACTTTGTGAGCCTAGCTTACCTGAGAGAAATTTTACAACTGTATCGTCTGGGCGTCTTTATCAGTTTCGATCATCTGAGGCAGTGTTGCGGAGGAAAATCAGATGTAACTTACAGGTAACTTAGATCTTGACGGGAATACCTTAAGATATGGGTGTCGCAAAGCTAGATACTATAGCTACATTAGACCCTCCGTATCACACCTCGATCTAGCTCAGAACAGTCGTAATTCCTAGCGTATAAGTGCACATCGATGCTCTGCCAGTGGTGCTCTACGAGCCTCTCTTTTTCCGTCTCCTGTCATCCAAAGCACATTCCGTCCCGGGTTAATCTCGTACAGCATTACTCTCCCGCATTTACACTTGTATAATCACAAACATTCTTTCTGTGGAACTGCGAACCTTGACCGACGGTCGCCGGTGACAGTACCGCGGTTGCCGCGCGACAGGTGACAAATTATACTGTAACTTACGGGCTTTACTTAGTGTAACTTACAAATTAGGCGCTCACGTAAGAAACCGAAGCTTACATCCACTTACAGTTCTATGTTCGCTATTTACTGACACTAGCCGGCCGGCAATTTCTTCCGCAATACTAAGAAAGGGGGCTGATCCGTCCAGCTATCCCTCAAGAAGCCAGCTCCTACAATCCTAGGAAACAACTCCGCTTACTCCCTTTTCCAAACACGTCCGGAACCAATATCGGCCTTGATGAGGTCCGCGACCTTCTCGCCAATAGCGTAACATGGCGCGGTCTGCAAGCCACCGCTTCAGCGACGGAGCCTTCGCACAGCGCCATGTCGGACGACTCACCGTGTGCCCCGCATTGATCTCGGGGAAGATGGACGCGTCCGCGACACGTACGTTCCCGATGCCGTGAACGCGCAGGAAGGGGTCGACGACCCCCGCGTCCTCGACCGGCGCCATCCGGCACGTACACGTGGGGTGGTACATCGTCTGGACGTGCTCGCGCACCCAGCGCTCGAGCGCCGCGTCGTCAAGCATGCCGATGTTGTGGTTGAGGTCCGGGTGCCCGTCGCCCGCGGGGTCGATCATCGCTGCCAACGGCGCCGTGTGCGCGATCTTGTCCAGCAGGCGCACGCCCCGAATCAGACATTTCACGTCGCTCTTCCCCTCGTCCGAGAGATACATTGGGTCCAGCACCGGTGCATCGTCCGGGTTCTTGGACCGCAGGCGCAGTGTTCCGTGGCTCTTCGGTCTGGTTCCAAACACATCAGAAGTTGCCAATGAAGGATGCTGCGAAGCCCACGCACCTCAGGAGCACGCAATGCAGACCAAAAGTGTACTGGCCAGGACAGGCAGGTCCTTTCAAATTATGTTCGATGTATGTCATTATGGAGTTGTACAACTCGAGATCTGGGGCGCCTGCACCGGTCGTCAGGTCTTCCGGCATCGTCTCGGGAGGGTACTGGCTTAGTGGAAAAAGGTCGAGATCGTCACTTCGGACAAACGCGGCAGCTTCAGCAATCTGCATCGCGTTTGAGCTCGGTGGTGCGGCGGATAGGTAGAGGTACGTACGTTGGTGGTGAGTGGACCAGTGCCAGTGAGCTTATATTGAGCCAACGCCGACATCAGCTTCAAGTTCTGCTCGAAGGTTTGCGGCTTCAGGAAGCTCAACGAGCTCTTGGTCTTGTCTAGATAATGAAGGTCCACGACGATGTGATCTCTCAAATGTGAGCCGACTCCTGCGAGATCTTTGACGATCGGGATATCCAACGACTGGAGATGATCGGCAGGGCCGACGCCTGATAGCATGAGGATTTGAGGGGAATGGACGGCACCCGCACTACATCGCCGACCTATAAGCGCATACAACAGCAGCAAAAGGGATGGCCACTCACGAAAGCACGACCTCTTTTAGCGCCTTGGCGACGAACTTGTTACCCGCCTTGTCCTTGAACTCGACGCCTGTGGCGACCGGTGACCCCGAGCTCGTGTCAAACAGGATGCGCTGCACCCGTGCATTAGTTGCAACCTTCAGGTTTGGTCGGGCAAGAACGTCCGAGGTCATATATGCGGTTTCGGCTGTGGACCGGCGACCTTTAGGATCGATGTAAGTCATAATCTGCAATATGTCAGCATCGTCCGGACGGTGAACATATGAAGCCGCGTACCTTTGTCACGCCCAGGGGACCCTTGTGCGTATTGACATCATGACTGTGAGCGATACCTGCGTTCAGAGAAGACTTGATGAATGCTTTAGAATTTGGGGCAAAGTGTCCATGATAACCGGCTACAACCCGTCTTCAGCTACGGCCCACCAGAGGAGAATAGGTCGACTTACTGCGCACAAAGCCTTCCGCCCCATGGAGCGTGACGTCGACGTCTGGGAACTGCTTGCTAGGGCTGTATTTCTCAAACTTCCGGAAATAGCTTATGGACGATCGTCAGTCCAAAGACCAGGTGTAAACGTTACCACTTACGGATGAAGCTCCTGGAATGTCCAACCTGTCGCACCGGTCTGCCCCTTCTGCAACTCCGCCCATTCATCGTAGTCCGTGGGTGCGCCGAAGTTGAACCTGCGGCATGGTCAGCGTGCTTTACCGGAATCAACACGAGAAGAACACCGACATCATTGCATTCATATTGGTGCCTTCACGGAATCAGGTGAGTATATACAAATAATTTGGTGTTCGTGTACAGGACTCACAACCACCAAGTAATTTGGCTGTCGAAAGCCGGAACAGGGTCAGCAACTGACGTGACAACGAGGGTGCTTGGAAGACTGACCTCTTGGCCAATAGATTTGCCTTCCGCCAGCATGCTCTTGGGGTTCTGTAAACATGCCCCATTCGTGCTCAGTAAGCCAGAAACCGGTCCATGCGCATGGGATTTGAGCCTCGGGGAGATTGAGACCACTGAAATGGCACGGTGAGCGGCGTGTCGAGTGTTGGTTCGGGAGGTCAGAGGAGCGCACCTTTGCCCCGCCTCGAGAAGGAGTACCCGGATGGAGGGGTCTTCAGACAGACGTGCGGCAATGCAACAGCCGGTCGTGCCTGCATTTCGCGATGCTTGAGCACGGTACCGGGGCGCGTATTGCGTCAGAGCACCTACCTCCGCCAATGATGATAACGTCGAACTCGTCGTGGGCATACTCGTTGTCTGTTCCCTTGGCCTTCCGTGCCACTTGCGACAGGTCGGTGATGAGCTTGCTGGCCTGCGCTGATTTGACCGTTGTTTGCTTCCGTGAGTACCATGCGAGCACAATGCAGAAGGCGCCGAGGGCCGCCGAGGTGCGAACGAGCGGCGAATTCATGGCAATTTGCACGTTGGGACTCTGGAGGATCGAGGTGAGCTTGTTCATCGCTGTGGAATATTTGTTGCGGGCAAACAGACGGGTGGCGAAGCTGGCAAAGTGTGGGGTTTTTTTTGCAGGTAGACAGATGGGTGGTGAGATGTGGGAAGAAATGGGACCAATCTGGATTCAGGAGGATCATATTTGTACTCTGCACGGTAGTTTATCTGACCCTTGAAGCCGACGGTGTTTCGGATTCTCATCCCATGGGACGTGTTGCATCGATAATAGATACAGACTTGGAACGTCAGATGAGTCGTAAGCCGAGCGTGGATCGTAAGCTGAATGAGTACTGTACCCGCACGACAAGTCCCGTCACGCGTCACGTAGCCCTCCCGACCGCCGCCTTTGGGGGCGGCGGTCGCGTCATCAAAAGGGGCGCCGCTGTTCACATTTTTTCCTCCCTCAAAATCAATATTTGAGTTTTTTGGGCCTGCGGAGCAAAACGTGCGAGAAAAAACCCACTTGAGCTTCGGTGGCGCTATCATTGTCCCTTTCTATGTTACTACCCTGTAGTATCCGCCTGGGCCGCCGCAACCGCCTGGCCACCGTATTTCTGACCGGTATCACAAGCCACCGTCGAACTCGTCGCTTCGCCGATCTGGTTGTCGACCGTCACATGTCACACTGGCCGTACGATTACAGTAAACGCGGTCGGTGAAACGAAACGGTAAGATGTGCTGGAGCGCTGACGCGCGCGCATACAATACTTGGAAGATGCTGCACTGGCGAGCTCTAACGCTGCTCTCTCCCCCTCAAGTAGGTGCGGGCTCGGCTCGGGCTCAGAACCCGGGCTCGTGGCGACGTCGAGCCGAGCTCTGAACCCGAGCCAAGCCCGAGCCCGGCCCAATCCGCAGGCCTACCTACCATAAGGTGAGCATTCTGCTACAAAAAGTGAGGCTATTAGGCTTCTATTGCATGTACTTACCAGACCACAGCGAGGTCCTCAAACGGGCGCCTACAGCGGACGTCGAACGGCGACGCTCGGCGACTGTCCGGTCTATAGAGTCAGTATCTCGTTTCTTATGTGTATGCAAAACTGTTCTTACCTTCTGAACTCAGCGCAGTGGGTGCACCTGAGCCTGCGCTCCCGGGCCGGGCTCAGGCTCGGCTTCACCCCGAGCCCGGCCCAGGCCCGGCTCGGGGTAGATGCGGACTTTGAATTTAATATCCAAAGATAACCAAAGATATGCAAAGACCCCCTTTTTCTGTCTCAGAGACACAGCCACATCCCACCAACAACTCCCAACCGCGTGTACTTGTCTTAGACTCATATTTGCCCCAGCAGCAAGGCTGCGCACTATCACGGTCGTCTCAGCGTCGGCTCCTATCAGCCGCAAGAAACGGGCTGTATGCAGTTGGACCGCGGCTTAGCTGAAGCATCCATTGGCGTGGTATGTCAGTTGGATCAGTCATCTAGCTTACTGGCGTCCTGCAATGGTCGCCTCGAGCTCGGCAGGCGATTGTACGGAAAGAACAAGATACGATGCACGTCATAAGTGCACGCCCTGTCGCTCACCTGGGCCGCAAGAAAACCAGATGGGTTGGGCAGGAGGCCATATTGTCTCGCTCGGTGCAGATTTTGTATCGATAACCCTCCACGTCATCTGTGTGATCCACGTCTACTCACTGCGAGCTCTGCGTGCGCGCGTGCATGACTTGAAGACGCCTCGCTCTGCATTGCGGTAGGGCTGTGACGGGCCATGTAAGTCCAACCTGCGCCTGGAAGCTGGTCTTCGTCCGATCGACTGGACATGCGGGCTCGGGCTCACACCCGAGCCCTCGAGCGCCCGTTCTGACCGTGAGCGCTTGTGCGCTCGGGCCCTCAGACGCCCGTTCTCCCGCGACATCCCCGAGCTAGGCCCAGCATTGTCATGCTTTGACTGTCGCGTCGACCTTCGCTTTTGCGCTAGATGCTCACAGCATTATCCTCTTTGAGCCATTACTATGCCCATCTCGGAGTTTCTGCTAGCTCTTGCCGGTGACTCTGTCTCTGTGCTCTCAGCTCCAGAGTTTTGAGCATATGGAGCGGCGGCCCTGGGCCACGAAGACGTCGTTCACCGCGCGGATGGTCAGCATGTCAGCGTGTGCTTCTTGCTTATACTGCTCTTTGATGTTATTCGGTACAATATAGATGTATGTCTCGTGGTCGAAGCTTAAGACACTGAAGGTACTGACATCACTTGCTCAGTAATGTAAACTACAACGTCCGCGGTTCGCTCGTCCTCGCTGGCACTAACGTGCTTATCCTGACCCGGATCAAGACAATTCAGACACTGGAAGAATACTTGTCGTGTTAACAAGAGCGACGTGTCTGCTGCGTGACGGCTAGTAATCTCCCATGCACCGTCGCTGAGACCTAGATGTCCGTACGGGTGCTATTTATCTCATGTAAGTGCCGCATAACACAGCTGCTGACAAACGACTTTTCTGCGGTAGGTCTCCGACATGGTACGCAGGCGAATGACTGACGTCGTACTTGCCCCGTTCGTCACAGCTCTGGTGTGTACTTTACGTCCTGTTAGCTCCCTTATTGCTCATGTATTAGCCACACAGCGCCTCGTATTCACTAACCGCTTCATGATCAGCCTCCAGACAGCAGACTCGGACATGCCGAGAGTAGCAAACGCTGCCGGGTTAGACGACTCACGTTCGCGATGTTTACCTCTAAAACGAGTCAGGGCCGGCTAGTCAATGTATATACTAGTCTCAGCCAGAGCGCGACGCTCAGGTTTTCCCGATGTTGTCAGCGTCAGACTGACACCCGTCAGTTGACGTCAAGGGCGTCAGGCGCCCAGCAGAGGCGGGGCGCCTGTCGTGAGGCGGGCAGCGGGAGCGCGGCAGGCGCAACGGGAGCGTCACCATTGTCGGTGGAAGTAGTGATTAATAAATTAATTATATATTCATTCCATAATAACAATGATGTGTGTTGCTGATCCAGGGTGCGCACGTACTGCCCCATGCCTCTCAACATGACCACCCTAGCTCCAGTGCCGGTACACTCTGTGTCGCACCGCACGTTCACGGCAGCGCCCGTCAACACTGTCCGGCCAAGACATGCATTACTCCTGCTAATCTGTTTGTATACCCAAAGGAGTCGGAGCCCACAGCACATTATGATTTCTTCTGGCATGGAGCCGTGAAGAATCTGGAGGGGGATTTGGCAACTTACCGTACGACCTGCTTCATGCTCTGTCGGTGACTATAAATATATTACATAAAGATCTGTGACTAAGCGTGCTCTGTCTCGGATCTTTCCGACTGACCCGTCAGTGACTGACTGACGGGTCTTGACTGACACCAGGTATCAGACGGGTCATGACGGCCGTCAGCGACAACACTGGGCTTTCCTACATCAAGAGGGTCGGGCGCCCAAAACAACCGACACCGACGACCAGGCTATTCGATGCTGCTCGACGGTGCCGAGGGCGGCGAGGAGAGAAGGTAGTGATTATCACAACAACTTCAACGCTACGTACTACCGACGACAAAATATTTTGATATTTATTCACATTACTGTCTGTGCGAAGGACCTTCGATGGCGACTACGAAACAGCCCTGGCGGCTCTCGCGAAGGAGCGTGGTGGACGCTATTCAGTGACACGTAAAACAGGAGTTGGATTTATATAACATGGTACAAGCTCGCGAGAGACAATATGTGTCCTCGCTGCTATCTTCGAGGTTCACATAAACGGCATGACTAATCAGGCTTACCATCGGCAACAGCCGACTGACTGGTTAACGATACAGATTTCAAGAGGCAAACGGGAGTTTACTTTCGGGGCATGTGGGTGACATACGAGTCATATACGAGTTATGCTCTAGGAAAACACACACAAAAATACTCTGTACACTACTGACAGTCGCGCTTAATAACGTCACACGCTGTTAGCACGACTCAGCAAACGATCAGAATTTACCCACAGGGCACAGGTGTGATGCTTGGAGATTTGCCCATCTTCGCGATTACCTAGCCATGTGAATGGGTAGAGCAGACAAATCAACAACGCGGATGTTGTTGGTACCATATACGCTGGGTCGCGTGTTAACGACGCTATTCTTGTCGCGAGGCTTGATTGACATACTCCCAGCCGTGTCTATGTGGACAGACAAGGTTAGCTGCTTGCCATCGTACCGACCTAATCAATGGTACGTACGCCAACCAGAATAGGTGTTCTCGCGAACATATGCTGTACGTCGCGACTCGGCACCTACTCGCGCGGACTGCCAGGTACCATACGTCCCTTCGTCGATTTTAACGCTTCGTCTAGGAAGCCGTTCTTCGACAACAAGCGCCTTAAATGGCTCCGTCTGGGTCACCTTGCGAATAATTTTGATTGCGCTAGCTATAATATCCAGATCGATATCCTCCTCGTAGTAGTGCGGGTCGATTGCCGGCCGCACCTTCGGGTCAGCAAACTGAATCTAGATGGGCACGAATAAGAAGCCGTTCAAAACAAGCTCAAGGGAGCCCTTCAGATCGCCATGAAAAGCTTTCAGGACAGCTGGCCTATAAGCTCGCGCACAAGACTCGCAGTGCTATCCGGACCTTCTCGGCAGACTCCTCGTCGTCGAGCACCCTGGAAGTGATCAGGCCACGATCTCCGACCATCTCTGCACAGAATATCAACGTCGCATTGAATGGACGCAAAGTGAAAGATTGACGAATCCGGCTGACAACCATTGCGACATGTTCCTGCACGTTCGTGCCGGCCGGGGCCAAGTCCAGCCGGACAGTGGTACCCAGAGGCCCAAGGACTTCCCGGTCGCCGATGCCGCTGAGTTCCAAGACCTGTGGTGACTTCACAGTGCTGCAAGATTAAGTCAGCGTACAAAAAGCGTTGTGACCTTAGAAATACGTGCCTAGCAGAGACAATGACCTCTTTGCGTGCAAAGACCTTGTGCACTTGTCCACCATAATCGAACTCGGCCACAATCACGCCGACGTCTTCGTGTTCGTGTTCGGAAGCATTGATCTTCTACACATACGCATTCGCCGGGACCTTGAGGTTGGGACAGTCGAGCGCAAGATAGAGGTAGCCCTACAGGCACGTTCGACACTGGGCTGGCCACATGAATTCACACGGCTCCGTCCTAGCAATATCGCCGTCGAGCGCCGTCCTTATCTTATCGATCCCGTTCTCCGCATGGTGCGTCGCTGTGCCAGATCACGGCTGCAAAACGCACATGTTTTGCAGGTAGCGTCGGCGCCACGGCTGTCCCATAATGTCCCATCCGAACGAGAGCAGAATCGGGTCATCGTATCCCACAACGTCCGACTTGTACGAATTCTTGAATTTACTACGCACCCTGTTCGCATACTTGTGAAAGTCCTCCCAGTTCCAGCCCTCACTAGGCCTCACTGCCAAGCTTGCCCACAGCTAGTGCGGTAATCCGGGGATCAGGATTACTGAGTCAACTCGGCGCGCATGGAGGCATGTCATCCATCTCTTCGCGCGCTCCCCGTGTAGGCCTGATTGTGGCGTTGCAAGGTATTTCTAGTCATATCCGGGGTCATCGATGGTTTTTTACCCAGCCAGCAGGGTCATCAGAAGACATTTCGTAAGTGAGCGACGAAAGCTTAAGCGACAGATGCAAACCCAAACTAGCGGGCCGTCGAGGTGAGCGGGGCCTGCCTTCAACAAAGCGACAGGTGTGTTCGGGTTCCCGCTCAGCTTGGCTGCCACAATGCAGCCTGCAGCCTAACATATGAGATGTGTCAGCAGCATATTGCGAGATTCTGTTTTGATACATACGCCGCCGCCTGCAGCATATTGATGAGACATGGAGAGTGGCTGTTACGAGAATGATATGCGACTCACCGACAACAACAACGAAATCGTATTTTTTCCTTGAGACGTCAGCAATTCTAGCCAACTTCTGCTCCATGATGTAGTGTGCACTGACAATGCAGTCAACGAACAAGGTGCAGATGCAATGATCTCGCGACGCTCCCCCCCTTTAGTTGTATGATCCTGACTGTTTCCAAGAAGGCTGGCGTAGGCTGGCGCCAGCAAGTTTCAAACACCTGTACCTATAGTGCTTCATCTGATCAGAGGCGATGCGATGAGCACTCCAATCTGAGACAAACTGCCTAAAGCGACCTCAAGATTTCCGAGAACATCGGGTTGCAGACAGCGGTGAACACTGAACAGTAGAAGAGAATAATAAAGCAGGAAGAGATCCTCGAGTAGACGACACATGCTCAGACACAACCTCGATAAACCGGCCAGTGACACGCTCGCCGCTATAATGGTACGCTGGCCTACGGCGCATACCGACGAGATGGCTGCAGTCCAACTGTATACAGCCCGTTTGTTGCAATTGCGACTGGCAGGCGCCGGCATCGGTTCACGGCCGTAGTGCGCAGCCTTGTAGATGTGGGTCTAAGACAAGTATACGCAGTTGGGAGCAGTCGGTGGGATGCGGCTGTGTTTCTGAAATGGAAAAGGTAGATCTTTGCATATCTTTGGGGAGGAAAGAGCAGTGTTACTCGGTTAGTGCAGCACCTTCCAAGTATCCGCGCCAGCGCTACAGCACACTTTATCGTTTCGTTTCCCCACCGACTGCGTTTACTCACCCGGCTTACGACGCGTCCGACGTTCTATCTCTGTATCTATTGATCAATGCATCACGCCCCGTGGTACCCGTGGGATGAACAGGACGGCGTACTAGCATTGCAACCCGAATCACGGTCGGTTACCTTCCATGTAACTCGATCGGCAAGGTACAAATAGGGTCCTCTTGGAACAAGACCGGTCCCGCCGCTTCTCACAACACATCACACATCTGTCTGCGCGCAGCTCACAGCTCACAGCGATGGACAAGCTCACCTCAATCCTCCAGAGTCCCAAAGTGCAGACGGCCATGGATTCGCCGCTCGTGCGCACCTCGGCGGCCCTCAGTGCCTTCTGCATTGTGCTCGCATGGTACTCACGGAACCAGAAAGCGGTCAAGGCAGCGCAGGCGAGCAAGCTCATCACCGACCTGTCGCAGGTGGCACGGAAGGTCGAGAGAAAAGACAAAGAGTACGCCCACGACGAGTTCGACGTTATCATCATTGGCGGAGGTGCGTGATCCGACATATTGCGCATTCCGGTGCCGTGCTCACGCGTCACGCAACGCAGGCACGGCTGGCTGTGCCATTGCCGCACGTCTGTCTGAAGACCCCTCCATCCGGGTGCTCGTTCTCGAGGCAGGACAAAGGTGCGCTCGTCCGGCCCCCGAGCCAGCACGCCGCTCACCGTGCCGTCTCAGTGCTCTCAATCTCCCCCAGGCCCAGATCCCATGCGCATACGGCGGTTTCTGGATGAGAGAACACGAGTGGGGCATGTTCACAGAACCCCAAAAGCATGCTGGCGGAAGGCGGGTCTATTGGCCAAGAGGTCAGTCTTCCAAGCACCCTCGTTGTCCCGTCGGCTGCTGACTCTGTTCCGGCTTTCGACAGCCAAATTACTTGGTGGTTGTGAGTCCTGCACACGAACATCTGATTCTTTGCACGTACTCATGTGATTCTGCGAAGGCTCCAACATGAATGCGATGGTGTCGGTGTTCTTCTCGTGGTGACCCTGGGAAAGCACGCTGACCGTACCGCAGATTCCATTTCGGCGCACCCACGGACTACGATGAATGGGCGGAGTTGCAGAAGGGGCAGACCGGTGCAACAGGTTGGACATTCCAGGAGCTTCATCCGTAAGTGGCAACATCTACGCCCCGGCCTTTGGACTGACACTCTGCCCCAAGCTACTTCCGGAAGTTTGAGAAATACAACCCGAGCAAGCAGTTCCCGGGTGTCGACGTCACGCTCCGTGGGGCGGAAGGCTTTGTGCGCAGTTGGTCGGTTTACTCACGTCTGGTGGGCCGTAGCTGAAGACGGGTTGTAGCCGGTTATCATGGACACTTTGCCCCGAGTTCGAAAGCATTCATCAAAGCTTCTCTGAACGCCGGTATCGCTCATAGCCATGATGTCAATACACACAAGGGGACTTTGGGTGTAACAAAGGCACGTGTTGTCGTACCCCTACCCTCCGGACGATGCTGACATATTGCAGATTATGACTTACATCGATCCTAAAGGTCGCCGGTCCACAGCCGAAACCGCATATATGACCCCGGACGTTCTTGCCCGACCAAACCTGAAGGTCGCAACTAATGCACGGGTGCAGCGCATCTTGTTTGACACGAGCTCTGGGTCACCGGTCGCCACAGGCGTCGAGTTCAAGGACAAGGCGAGTAACAAGTTCGTCGCCAAGGCTCTGAAAGAGGTCGTGCTTTCGTGAGTGGCCAACCCTTTTGCTGCTGTTGTATGCGCTTATAGGTCGGTGATGTAGTGCGGGTGCTGTCCACTCCCCTCAAATCCTCATGCTGTCAGGCGTCGGCCCTGCCGATCATCTCCAGTCGTTGGATATCCCGGTCGTCAAAGATCTCGCAGGAGTCGGCTCACATTTGACAGACCACATCACCCTAGACCTTCATTATCTAGACAAGACCAAGAGCTCGTTGAGCTTCCTCAGGCCGAAAACCTTCGGGCAGTCCTTGAAGCTGATGTCGGCGTTGGCTCAATATAAGCTCACTGGCACTGGCCCACTCACCTGCAACGTGCGTATCTCATGCATCCACTGCACCACTCGAGCTCAAACGCGATATAGGTTGCTGAAGCTGCTGGGTTCGTCCGAAGTGACGATCCCGACCTGTTCCCGCTGAACCAGTATCCTCCTGAGACGATGGCGGAAGACCTGACCACTGGCGCAGGCGCCCCAGATCTCGAGTTATACACCACCCCGATGACATACTTCGAACACGGTTTGAAAGGACCTGCCTGTCCTGGCCAGTACACTTTTGGTCTGCATTGCGTGCTCCTGAGGTGCGTGGGCTTCGCAGCATCCTTCATTGGCAACTTCTGATGTGTTTGGAACCAGACCGAAGAGCCACGGAACACTGCGCCTGCGGTCCAAGAACCCGGACGATGCACCGGTGCTGGACCCGATGTACCTCTCGGACGAGGGGAAGAGCGACGTGCGGTGCCTCATCCGGGGCGTGCGCCTGCTGGACAAGATCGCGCACACGGCGCCGCTTGCAGCGATGATCGACCCCGCGGGCGACGGGCACCCGGACCTCAACCACAATATCGGCATGCTTGACGACGCGGCGCTCGAGCGCTGGGTGCGCGAGCGTGTCCAGACGTTGTACCACCCCGCGTGCACGTGCCGGATGGCGCCGGTCGAGGACGCGGGGGTCGTCGACCCCTTCCTGCGCGTGCACGGCATCGGGAACGTGCGCGTCGCGGACGCGTCCATCTTCCCCGAGATCAATGCGGGGCACACGGTGAGTCGTCTGACCTGGAGCTGTGCGAAGGCTGCTTTCGCTGAAGCGGTGGCTTGCAGGCCGCGCCGTGTTTTGCCATCGGCGAGAAGGTCGCGGACCTCATCAAGGCCGATATTGGTTCTGGACGTGTTTGGAAGAAGAAATGAGCGAAGTTAGTTTTTCGGACTCTACGGGGGATGGCTTCTTGAGGGACAGCTGGACGATTGGACACTGCATCGAATCTGGGCCTCCATGTTGGGTTATCTTCACATAACCCTTTTGCATCTACACATGGTTTTGCAGGTACTCTGAGCTCATGTCACTATTATTCAAGCACCTATATTGGTTTGTGGCGACAGCAAAATGATTGTGCCTATATAGCTAGAACAGCGCACCAGCACTGGCATTTGAACAACTAGCGTGATGTGTTAGATCTAGACCAGCGAGTTCAACGCGGGAGATCTTGATATTTGCCCACGTCCCCGCGTCCGCCGTGCGGACAGAGCTGCCATGGACTTTCAGCCCTAAAACATATACTATTTTCTTCCTTGGCTGTTTCTCCTGTATGACGGGCAGGCTGTCTTGCGTGAATTGCTCAAACGATGCCTGAAAATGCGAGCTAAACCTCGAACATTATTGCTTGTATTTATTACTGCATTCCGACTAAGTTTCAGTAAGGAATTCCCCGAATTGCGAAGTTCATAAGCTGGGCTCCTTTATGCTAAACCAATATGATGTGGCCACTGACCGCGCACTAGATTGCTCAAGCTAAGCGTCCGTCTTGGACATTTGAAGGCGCACATTGACAGAGCAAGGCTTCCAAACAAGCCTCCTAACGCCCCTGCCTTTGCTCGAGGATCACAGGCAGCTTGCCCCTAAGAGAAATGTACGCATCCATCACATCCCTCTCCCACCGGTCCAAATCGTACTCCTCCGCCCTGCGCAGCTCGAATTTGTGCATCACCGCACACACGACCGCGCGCATCTCGATCATCGCGAGTGCCCTGCCCGCGCAGTTTTGCGGGCCGACAGAGAACGGCACGAACGCGGCGCGGTTCGTGGTGACGTGTGCCTTGTCGACGGCGGCGCCCGACGGCAGGACGTAGGTGTCCTGCGCGAGCCAGCGGTCCGGCCAGAAAACGTCTGGTAGCGGCGCGAACTCGCGCGGGTCGCGGTGCAGCGAGAACGTGTGCACCGAGACCTGGGTGCCCTCGGGCACGACGCTGGTTTGGGTGGAGATGTCAGCTACTGGAGGCGCGGAGAGGCGGGATGTGGACGCACTGAGGGCCGATGGTTGCGCCGCTGGATCCGCGCTTTACGATGCGCTGCAGACCACCGAGGACTGCTGGCAGCAGGCGTAGCGTCTCGTTGCTAATTCGCAAGGCCGTGAGACTTCATTCCCCTACTTTGTCTGGAGATTGAGAGCTTACATGCAGGCGTTCAGGTAGGGCATGTCCGCGTGGCGCGAAAAGTCCAGCGGGTCCTCGCCCGGCGGGAAGGTCGCGTCGATCTCCTTGTGCAGCCGCTCGGCACACTCTGGGTGGCGCAGCATGAAGTAGCAGAGATGGCTGAGCACGGTGGCTGTGGTGTCCGAGCCCGCAACAAGCGCGAGTATGCCATCGGCAATAATTTCGTCCAGCGTAGCGCCGCTTTCCGCTGCGGTTTCGTCCTCCGTCTGTGCTGAACGATGAGACACGTAGCAGCAGAGAGGACTGAGAAACGTACCAAGAAGTAGAACAAATCCTTCGACGCCGAGCCGTTTTTTGTCCTCCCTTGCGCGAGAGTGGCACCCATGTGCCGCATGTCCCTTATAGCCTTCACCGCAGGCGGTAATCGCCTAATAAATGGTAGGATCCAGGGAGTTTGAGAGAGAACAGCAGTGGCGCTGGATTACTGCGTAAGCTGAATAGCTCAAGAACGGGTACGTTAGACGCTCACTATACACCATCCTCTACACGGCGCATGAGGCCATCATCGTCCTCACCAGCCTTGAGCATACCGAACTCGTGGCCAAATGCCACATGACCTATGAGATCAAAACTGACGGTCCTTTCGTTAAGCTCAATGAGCGTTGTACTGGACAGTGCCTGCATACCCGAAGAGATTCATCCAGTGAGAAATATCTATCGTCTCCTTCTGCCGTTTCGACAGCACTTCCACCAGTTCCAGTATCTTCGTCTGGAGGATGGGCTCATATCCTTTCAGGGCTGAGATGCCCATGGCTTTTACCCATGGCTTACGACGCGCGCCATGGACGGAAAAGTCGCGGACGCCGTCCAGCGTAGTAATATTCTCGAGGCCCGTCCGGGTATCGTAGTCTGGTCAAATTTCGTTAAGCAAATCTAGCAGGATCCGTCCGCAAGCTCAACGTACATGGACCCTTTTGCATACTCTTGGCGACATAGATTGGCTGAAGGGCATCAGCGCGACAGAAGGACAGCTCGTTGGGACCTGCAGTAAGGGCAAATGAGCTTCGCAAGTATGCCATCGCTAAACGCCAACTAACCGATGCGGACTACATCACCGTAACGGTCGTGCCAGTCCCTGATTACTCGATGGAGGTCTCCACGCCCGTTAAAGTATGCCACGTAAATCCTGCTGAGCTTCCCAAGGGTCGGCCCTGGGTACTTCGCTAGAGGATGGAAGGGCGAAAGACGGTAGGTGGCCGTGAATACAAGGATGAGGCTCCAATAAAATATGACAGCGCCGGCTTGCTGAAGGAACGACAGCTGGGGGCTGAGTCGACCAACCAGGAGAGCGGGCACACCCAATAGCAGGACGACATGGGCCGAGAGGTTATTGGGTTCGAAATACTTGTAGACGAGATAGCACGCCTAAATGTGTCTCGTTCTTTCAGCAGCTATCAAATTCATACGAGATAGCGCTTACAAAACTCGCAGAGCATACGAGCAGCTTGGGGTCCGTGGTGTCGGGCATGTCAGTGGACCCACCCAATATCTCGCTCAACGTCGTAGGGAAGGCACAGAAAGTATTCAAGACGAGCTACTCCCCACATCTATATATACTTCTGGCGGCTTGAACTTTCCGACGGGCTGTACTGAGCCTATGAGAGATGCAGTGTAAATTCTGATGACCATAATGATATCAATGTAGTGGGAGCGGGACGCACAAACCTTGGCGCAGGCGCAAGCGCAGACGGCAATAAGACTCCGGCAGCATGAAGCGCTCTCAGCACCTCATATGTCCAGACACTCATGCATTTAAAGCAGAGATATAACGCATCGCTATACTACGAGTATGCGCTGAACAAGAATACCTGGAGCCACAATTATCAATGAGGTCGAGCTGCCGGCGGTATATTGCATTCGAGGTGGCAGGATAGGAGCTTAATAGATGCGCGCCCTTTGGCGCCTTGCTTTGGCGCGCCGCGCGCGGGGTGCGTTGCCCACCCGGAGGTTGGCGGTGGATGTGCGCACGACATGCTTTGAGACCCAATGCATAAACTAGTGTTATTTTATGTTGTAATCTCGCCTGCGAAAGCTAACGACGATGTGGATAAATGGCATTGCAGCGCTAAGTTTGACTGTCCCATGTATCTTCTCTTTGGGGGGATCACACCTCGGGCGAGCGCTGAGCTCGCCATCACCGAACACGTTAGCTCCCTGGGAGCCGCGCGCGGAACGCGTGCCAGTGAACGAGTCGACAGCAATCGTCAGGGCTCGACGAACAGCGTAAGCATTACAAAAAGCCAGCTCATTAATATTTCCGACGGAGTTTGTGAGCCTCGTGAATAAACGACCGGACGCTAAACACGGCGTGCATCAGATATTAGTCATCGATATTTTCTGATCACCTGCCGCAGCTGTGCAGTGCTGCAAGACGCTTCGACGAAAAGAACAGAAATATACCGTGAGCCCACTTATAGTCTTCATTATTGTAACCGCGTCGAGAAGGTGGGCAAAAAGCACGCCCAGCGATAGCTACAGACATCGATATAAAGATGGGTATCTGAGAGGCTTGGCGACCGACACACAGCTCGACCTGGACTATTCGATGTCATAAGCTTCCAATGTCCCGCTCGCATACGTTGTTCACTTGAAACTATGGCGTTCAATGTCGGTACGTGCTTCTACGCCGGCCTCATGGCCTCCTGCCTCGTCCTGTGGCCAACCTTCACAGCCTTACCGCAGGGCAGAACGAGGCGTATTCAAGTCGCGCACGCACGCGGAGTTCGCAGAGAGTGAATGTGAATCGTACAGATGACGTGGAGGGTTAACGATACAAAATATGCAGATGGTAGTACCGAGCGAAACACTAGTCTCCTCAACCCGTCTTGTTTTTGCTTCTCCTTCCGACCTGCGCCTGGAAACCGGTCTTGATCGCGTTGACGGAACGTCTTGATCCACAGGACTCGCATGCGACGAAGAAAATACGATTCTCCTTGACAAGCAGTGTATCTGGCGACTTGCATGTCTTGCAAGTGACGTACTCGACTATGCAGACGTCAGAATAGGACGCAAGTAGTGATATCTGCGGGACGCACCAATGTAACGTCGCAAAACATTCTCAATCTGTGCTTGCGAGAACTTTCCTCGGATAACCAGCCGTCCGGAGCCATCGATTGAGCCGGTGGTACCCAACTCGGCGAACATGAACTGGATTGTGTGCTCCGGCTGCCGGTGCATACGCTTACATATATCGGCGACGTTTGCGAAGACGGTCTTCTTATTTCCTTCACGCATGAGCTGTGGCGGCGCGAGGGTGTGTCGCTTGCCGGCAGTATTGAGAAGCGCAGGGTTCGACGCATGTAGCTGCGCGTAAAAGCGCCGGAGAAGCTATCGACCATGGCGGTCAGGGAACGAGCAGTAAGCAACGCACAGAGAGACGAACCTCAGCATATGTGTAGTCGCGGTCGCTGCTGAGCCATGCCTCGCCGCCAGCGTCCACAGACGGCACCTCGGCGCCGCGGGCGAAGGGATCTTCTCCAAGCTCTGCCTCGTCAATCTCATCGATTGGCGCACCGTCGACATCCTCCCCGTCTCCCTCCTTTGCCTTTGCCTCGTTCAGCTCCTTTTCGAATGCCTCCATGTCAAGCGCAGCTTTCTTCTTCGAGGTCTTTTTCTTCTTCTTGAGGTCGGAGAAGTCGAGGTCCTCCGCACCCGCCGGTGCAGAGATAGGCGTAGATGTTCCTGATTCTTCCTCGGGCTGTTACAGGCATTCATTGAGGAACACAGCACGCAACGAAGGGGGCAACGCACCAGGTCCATTGGAATATCCTTCTTCTTCTTCTTCTTCTTGAGATCGACTAGCATCGGGTACTCGTCGACCTTGGACGCATCATCGTCAATTGACACATTCTGCATCATCTGCTCGTGCATCGTTGTCGGTCCCATGTCTACGGTGTCCCCATTCGTGGTGACATTATCAATCGTAGTGGGCGCAGGTGTCGTCGGGTCGGCATCGGCGCCCAGAGGATCTTCAGAGAAAGCGACCTGCTTTTTCTTGCGCTTCTTGAGCGAGGGGTCGAACAGCGGCTCTTCAGACATGATGAGAGTCGAGTGCGGGTGTGGAGAGTACTGTGGTCGTGCGTAATGAAGTCGAAGGAGTCAGGAATGCTTGCTTCAAGCTCCGCTCACAATTCATGATGCGCCAGGCAGAGCGGGTGCATAGACGCTTGGCCTTTCGATGTCCGCTTTGGGAAAGGCTACGCTTTCCGCACTGTCCCGCACGACGTACTCGACACTTACACTCCTTACACACAATTATGCTCGCTCGGACGGCGTTCGCTCGTGTAGCGCAGCCCAACATGGCGAGGGCTGCGCCCGCCGGTGCTAGGAGCATGGCCACGCTGCGTGAGATTGAGATGCGGTTGAAGTCGGTGCGGAACATCGAGAAAATCACGAAGGTGCGTCGTGCCTAGCAGCCCCGCCCCCGCGCACGGCTGAACACACGCCACGCTACGACGGCAAACAGTCTATGAAGGTCATCGCCTCGACAAAACTCAACAAGGCGCAGCGCGCGCTCCAGGCGGGCAAGGAGTACGGCATCGCGAACTCTGGTGCGCCCCACGCAAAGCCTCGCCCGAGAACCGCGTCGCTGACGCCATCTTCTTCCCTGCAGAGGTCTTCCAGCACGCGCCCGCCGAAAACGTTGGCAAGCGCAAGCTCTTCATCGTCATCTCGTCCGACAAGGGCATGTGCGGTGGCATCCACTCTTCCGTCTCGAAGGCGACCCGCCGCGCCTTCAAGGAGCAGGACATCGACCCCGCCTCGCCCATCGCTGTCGTCGGCGACAAGTCCAAGAGCCAACTTTCCCGCGTGCTTTCCCGGAACCTCGTCATAACGTTCAACCAGATCGGCCGTGACGTTCCCACCTTTGCCGATGCTGCCGGTGTCGCCGACCTCATCATCAAGTCTAATATCGAGCACGACAGCATATCTATCGTCCACAATAAGTTTATTTCAGCTCTCTCGTACGAGTCTACTATCGTCGAGGTCGAGACCGCTGAGGCCCTCAAGGAGTCCCGTACGTTTGTTTCATCACGGCGCGGCCGCACATGCTAATCCGTCATTCCGCAGCTGGCTTCAAGGCCTACGAGATGGAGGAGGAAGTCACCAAGGACTTGGCTGAGTTTGCTCTTGCGAACGCCCTCTATGCTGCTCTGGTCGAGGCCCACGCCTGCGAGATCAGCGCTCGGTGAGTTCACTCGTCTCCGGATACTTGAGGGCACCAACTCACGGCTCACGACAGTCGCAACGCCATGGACAACGCGTCCAAGAATGCGGGCGACATGATCGCCAACTTGCAGCTCAAATACAACCGCGGTCGTCAGGCTGCCATTACCAACGAGCTTGTCGATATCATCACCGGTGCCAGTGCTCTGTAAACGGCGTAGTTACCGTGTAATGTCGACATGTCGATATAGAGTTTCTTGCGGATAAAAGCCAGGATAGAGAGTTACCTGTTCACAGCCGTGATAGTGCTCAAGTAATGCTCCGCAGAGATGAACCATAAATGCCCGTATTTCCCATAAAAAACATACTACGCATAATCCATACAGCTGATACCTATCCACCTGAATCCTGCAGACGAAGCTGCGTTCAAGGGTTAGAGACATAGGAGGGGAAGTTGATCTCGAACATGGCCAACCCGGTGAGTAGCGTCTGGGCAGTCGGGGTAGCCGCCTTCTCGTTCACGATGCCCGCGTAGACCGTCCCCTGCAAGCCGTCGGGTACGTTGGCAATGTGGTCATTGGACAGGTCTGAGTACTGAACGACGATGCCGTTGAACCAGGCAACATAGAGCTGGCTGTCGTGGTTCACAGCGTCATGATTGAACTTGAACTTGACAGGTTCGCCATTGTGGGGCGAGCCAGGTTCGATCTCGAGCTTGGGCAGGATGTTGACCATGAGCTTCGGGTTGGAATCCGGGCAAGAGACAACGAATTGAGCTATATGCGGCGTTGATTTAGCACAATCAAGCTCTCTGCGGCGGCTGAATACGTACAGGCGAGCGAATAGACACCATCCATCGAGAGAGGGGTCTCGAATGCGCCATCCCACGCGGACCCCTTAAGGACCGCAGAACTGACCCATCCAGCCTGGCGAGACTCGACGCCGAGGATGGACTGCAAATTAGACGTAAGTTTGCCTCATCCTCTCGTCATATAAGTAAGTGCTGACCGCAGCCTCAGTCAAGGTATCCTTATTCTCGAGTAGGTGAGCGGCACCGATATAAGCTGACGTGCCGACCGTTTCGAGAGCCATGGAAAGAGCCGCGAACGACTTAGGATCGTTGTACGGGCTACAAATACGCGCTGAGCTGAGCAGGAAGTGCCCACATTTTGGGGAGACTTACAAGTTGTACGTGCAGGGCTGAGGAGCAGCAGAGCCGAGGGCGTTGGAGATGAAGGCAACGTGCGTCGCCTCATGCTCCTTGATCTGCTCGAAACGAGCACGGACCCATGGAGGATACCCCGCAGCTTCAAATGCTTGCTCATCGAGGCTGTCGAGACCCTCTTGGTAGAAAGCATTCTCGATCTGCTCGAGAGTAAGGGCGAACTGCAAAACCTCGGTGTCTGTGTCGCAGACCGTCAACCGACGTCGACGCGCAGGTTCTCGACGATGTACTTACCGGTAGGCTTAGCCATGTCGCGCTGGACAATCTGTGGTGCTGCGAACACACCCATGCCGGCGGCGAGGAGAATGAGGGCACGAGAGCGGAGCATGTTGAGTTTGAGAGTTATGAGGGCAAAAAAGAGTGACTAGACTGCTCGGGATATAAAGACAGGACACCTTGGGGGGAGTGAAGGTGAGCACGAGGAATCGTTGGAGGGTCAGGGTGGGTTTATATACCCCCGTCGACGGCGGAGTCTGGATCGACGTGTACTTCGGAGGCCTCTCCAAGCCCAACTTGGAGAATTGCCTTTTCTAGCACGATGGCCACTCCACCTTCGACCTGGACCTCCGAGCCCGTGATATGACGCGGCATCACATCGTCGTTGCGTTGCCGACCACTGCCGACGCCTTGTTTAGTTAAACGGCCCCAGCCATCGCTGCTGGACAGTATACCGGGCAGCAGGTGGGCAGCTGAGCGAGCGAAGCCGTGGTAAACGTACTCAAGAATATTTGAGAATGAAAAATACACTGATTCAAACTTGTGGCGGAGAGGAGTGGGTAGGTCAGCAGTTGCAGACATGGCCATTGAGGCGACAGGATGAACTGAGGGACCTACTACGCGACGCCACGATGCTGCTGACTAAGCAGGATCTGCTACCAGGTCAATTATATATGAATCAAAGTAAAGGCTTTACTATGGAAGTTTCGAGAGTGACTGTTGCGGCTAGCATTGTATCGCTTATGTTATTTGCGCGGAGGATCCCATGTACTTTCCGTCAGATCGCGCCTTACAGGCAAGAGATAACACGCAAGCCAAGACTCTACCCTTGTCTCATTATTTCAAAATTCAACTTTTTATACACATCCGAAGGGTGCTCCATTTCTCCCTATAAATCTGCATTTTCACTTACGTTCACAACCGTCGACCTTGCAAACTCGAGGTCAGTTGTACACCCCTGGCCATATGCCGAGTCGTCTTGGTTATCGTCAATGCAGTGGCCTCCTCGCGAGGATGAAACAAAGGTCCCCGAGCTCAGCTTCCCCAGATTACCCGCGGCATGTCGCAAGTTCAATATGACGCGCGAAGCCACGATGATCGCCATGGCCCTGGTTTCCGAAGACAATGTCGGCTGCAGAGCTGCATGCACTCCTCGGAGACAGATGAAAAGCAGCATGCAGGCTATTGTTTCGCTGAAAATGCGGGGAGTCGGCCTTGGAGAAGATATGGCGTCAGGGCTGACACGTACCTCGATAAGATCAGTAACCAGAGCGAGTCGCGGAAAATGACTTGCGAAAGGTTAGTTCTTCCTGTTAGGTCTACTCATAGGAATAAGTAGGAGCCGAGTGGCCAGAAATGAAAATTACTAACACGATTGGTGCATGTTCCACGCGACAATCACGAACATGACGCAGTCGAAGAGCGCCGTAGGACCCGTTTGCAGGACGGCACCAATGACAGGAGAGTCGACAATGACGTTGTAGATGCACGGAAGACCAATAAGAGGGGTATCAGAGACTACAGATGCGTTCAGTCTCCATGCAAGATAAGGGCGTCCGAGTACTTACCCCTTGCCTGTATAGTCCAGAGAATGTCGCCGGCCAGTTCGGCGAGAATGACAAACTATACTTTCCGTCTAAGCATCAAGAAAAGCTAGCAATAGAAGAGACTCACGACGCAAAAGGCTCCAAGGTACCATTTCGCCATTGGCACGCGCCCGCAAGTCGCGTACGCACGGAGGGCCAGAGTTACTGAATACAATCAGATGGTTCAGCAGTTTATAGTACAGGAAGCAGTACACACGGAAGAGCGGTAGGATAAGCGGGAAGATCGACCATGCATCTGCCAACAAGAGAGCCCTGCACGACTGGCCGGACATGAGTTCAACATAGTACATCGCCGCATACACGTGTGTCATACCGATAACGGGGCGTTATCCCAGGCGTAAACTGCGAGATGGTTCGTGTATCAGCGGCCAAATTCGATCTAGAGACATAACAAACATACGTAGCAGCTGGACCGTGACCATCTGGAGGAGGTTTCCGTAGCGCATGACCACATACAGCAACGAGTATCCGGTGAGCTTTGAGCACTAAATCGACCTATGAAGAATAAGTGCCTCTATGAACTAGACTTGCCGGCCTACCCAGATGAACTCATACTCAAATGGCAGACTTTGATGAGCCTGGTAGGACGAGACGCAGTCAAGTAGGTCTTTACCTCGCTGCGGACACGCTTAGTAGATTCTATGGAAGTAGCTCGGAACAGGAAAACTGACTCCGGAAAGGTCAAGATGATGTCGTAGATGAGCAAGGCCATACTGGCGACTGGCGTGGACGTCAGGTGTGCGAGATTACATCGGTTACGCCGAGTGCGCTTACCGGTTGTATACTGTCAACGGAGTCGCGATTAGCATGGCACAAGCCAGGTGACAAGCCGCAGTAAGCTTGCCTTCATCGATAGTGCGTCCCTTCTTGCTGTGTTCAACAGGCTCACAGCTTCCGCCATAGCTGCCGAAGGATCTGACGACGTTTCCATTACCGCGATGGTCCAGTGAGGGGGCGAAGACGAGCCATGCGCACCGCGGTATGCAAAGTTATATGCCGCTCATACCGTCAAGAAGCCCAGTGACCGCTCGTCAGTGTGAGATATTAGATGGACGACCAGAAAGTGAGCCAATTGGAATGATGCTGAGATAAATTTTGACGTCGGGCGGTCGATATATATTGAGCGGCGACTGCGCAATGTGTTAAAAAGGGTGGTGAATTACGATAGAAGCTTCGCTTTGAGCAACTGAGGGCGACAAATACACATGCATGTGCGACCTAGAGACCGAACTTAAACAGTACATGCACCGAACGGCTATTAGCAGACCGCGTGGACGTCCACCGCATCAAGTCCTATTCAACCCCTCTTGCCAACTTTGAGCTCCTCGTCCATAGCCTTGAACAGCTCAGGTAACAGGAGGCTCGCTGGCAGCATGCTGACCATCCCGGCCTGGAGGGCGTGGGGCCAGTAGGGGACAATTGACGCCCTGCCGCAGCCGATGCAGTGGACCAAGTGCCGGGCAAAGACGTCCGACGACGGTGTCGCGAATGACGCCGAGACCTTGTGGCCCGCCGATGCGACGCTGCCCACGTCGAGGTAGATGGTGGAGATGTTCGGCGTGCCTGTTGCGTGGAAGAGCTCGTCCGACTGGAGTGCGCCGCTGCACTGGCGCAGGAACGCCTTTGTCGCGCCGTAGGGGATGATGCGTGGGATGGGGAGCGAAGACGAGAGCGACCCGCAGAAAGCGATCTCCACTGGGCCGGACGCGCGACGCAGCTTGGGCAGGAGAGCACGTGTGAGGAGCAGCGGGAACAGAGAGTTTCGGCGTACGTCAGTGAGCAGGTCAGACTCGGGGATAACGTCGATACTGCGTTTCAAGTCCACGCTTAGAAGAGAAAGGAATAGACCGGGATAGCATTGATGCACTCACGTTGATTCCCGCACAGGGGCACCACCAACGTTGTTTACCACTAGCGTTATCTCGAGCCCCTCCCATTGGGCAACTGCTGCCTCAAAGTCCACGTCAGGGCTGTTGGCGTCCGCCACCCAAATCTTCACATCTCTCTTCGATGCGCCTAAAGCCTGAATCTCCTCGCGCACTCTCTCCAGCTTCTCGCTATTCCGGCCGTGGAGGATAAGGTTGAACCCGTGCTTGTAGAGCTCCTTTGATACCGACTTCCCTATGCCATCTGTGGCTGCGGTGACAAGCGCATATGGCGCCGCACCATATAGGTAACGGCGAAGGTTAGACGGGAGCGCATACACCGCGGCCAACCGCAGCAAATCGAACGCGGCTTTAAGCGCGACGAGCGCGCCGACAGTGCTGAAGACTTGGGTGGCTGTGGGCATTGAAAACAGAGGTGAGATTCGGGGAGTGAGTGAGTTAGGGCGCGGTGGGGTCTTTATAGGAGGAGCCTGTGACCGAGCTCGAGACCGTCACCGTGACGATCATGATGAGAGTGAGTGTTCCCGATTCGGAAATGGTGAGCTTTGCACAAGAACAGGCAGTCCTCGGAGAGTAGCCTCACCAGCTCCCGTAAAGACGTACTTGTTATATATATTACCGTACGAAATTGCCTATCTTCAAACGTATATTTCTAGCGTGCCTGCCCGTTGCGATGAAGCCAGGTCATTAAAATTTAGTTAAGTAAGGTTGTTGGCCAGCTGCTGTAGTACGATGCCGAAACGTTCATCTGTTGAAGGGTGCGAGAATTTCAGACGCTGCACTGTACGTATTGACAAGAGCTGCTAGTTCTTCCCTCCGGGCATCCCCTATAGATTCAATGCATACTTCCGTATGTTGAATACGGGTCAGATGCTTTCATCTTTAACCGAGCAGTATTCCTATACCTTCAGCAATTACTTGCTGGACCGTAGAGGTGATGGCCGTCGCTCACACAAAGCACTTGTAGACGCAGGGAGGCAGTACCAGTGTTTGCCGTGCTGTATGATTTCTGTGACACTGAGTTCAACAAGTAACTGAGAACATATGGCAAGCCTATCTGTGTTATACGACATCTTGGGAATTGTAGAGGACCGACCAAGACGGTATTTATGTCTTTCGGTATCCTTCTAAAGGATCACGAGTACTGACTTTGGTGATATTAAAGGTCAAACAGAGATGGGGTGTGCCAGTGGCCAAGGTTAGGGCAAAAGCCACGGTGGCTCAAAGACACCCTGGCCAATCTGTTGGACGAGCTCCTGACAAGCCCGAGAACTGGATTGGTCGACTCCCCCTTGCGCGAAGAGTTAGGACCGCATGAAATTGCATATCGATATCGAATTGTTGTCATGGTACTTGAGACGCACCATAGAGCACTTTTCTAGATACGAACTGGATCTCAATGGGCACGGGCTCAACGGGCCCAGATATTCGCGAGTGTGTTCAAAGCATCGCGCGCCCTCAGCCCGCATGGCCTCAAGAATACGAGCAGCTGACAGCAACCAGTGCTGCGCCAGCCTTCTCCAGCCTTCTCTGTCCTCGTGCCGCAGCCTGCAGAGCAGTTCTCGCGCATGTGCACCGCCGCGCACAGTCACCGAACCCGGAACTCCGCCTCATTGCCCCGGACGCCCGGAGTTCTCCTGCATCACTGCTCGCCATCTTGCCGCAAAGTGCATCGAGCATGTCGTCGAGGGTGGCCGGCGCGTGTTCGGCTGGAATCAGGGACCTCCGGATTTTGTCAGCCAATAGATGGCAGGGATGAGACGCGGTGAAAGATTTCACGAAAAGCGCGTTGTTGTGGAGCGGCTGAGCGCTCGTAATAAAATGCCCAGATTTGGACATAAATTGGGACTCCGCGAGCGCTGGAGCCTTTCCCTTTCGAAAGTGACGAAATGAACCCGAACAAGCCAGCGTCCATTCTTTCTCACCGTCGACGACGACGACGACTCTCTCTCTACCATGGCTGCCCGCTCGGGTTCCCGTAGCCGTGAGGGCATCTATGCCTCCCCTCCGCCCTCCTCGGACCCCCACGACCCTTTCAGCAACTCCCAGGCTGCTGACCCTAGATACTACGACAACGACTCTGAGCACGACTATGGCCGAGGTAACCGCGACACGTACGGCTCAGACAGCAGCAATGTGGTCGATGAGGATAGGTATTACGACCAGAGCGGTCCCTACGATCCCTATGGCCGTAAGTCCTATGCCTTGCACAAGCCTCGTGTACTGACTTGCATTTTCTCCTTCGTCAGCCCAACCGGACACAGACTCGGACGTAGACGTCTACGGTCAGAAATATACACCATCCTCGGAGTCTCTACCTCCTCCACGTGTAGGCATCTCCGAGGCTTCGACCCCCACTTTCTTGGATTCAGCGCCTGGACATCGAGAGCCCTATCCTGCATGGTCGTCGGAGCGCCAAATACCGCTCTCGAAAGAGGAGATAGAGGATATCTTCCTTGACCTGACGCAGAAGTTTGGCTTCCAGAGGGACTCAATGCGCAACATGGTGAGCGGCTCCAAAGTGCCTGTCTGTCTCCCGCTAACACTCGAGTACAGTTTGATTTCACCATGCAGCTACTTGATAGTCGTGCATCACGCATGTCACCCAACCAAGCGCTCCTCACTCTCCATGCTGATTACATCGGGGGTCAGCACGCTAACTACCGCAAGTGGTATTTCGCCGCGCAGCTCGATCTCGACGACGCAGTGGGCCAGTCGCAGAATCCAGGTTTGCAGCGACTAAAGTCCGTCAAACGGGGCAAGGGAAAAGTTTCAACCGAAAAGTCGCTGAACAACGCTCTGGAGAGGTGGCGACAGGCGATGAATAACATGTCGCAGTACGACCGTATGCGCCAAATTGCCCTGTGGCTGTTGTGTTGGGGTGAAGCCGCTCAGGTACGGTTCGTTCCTGAATGCCTGTGCTTCATCTTCAAGTGCGCCGATGACTACTACCGGTCGCCCGACTGCCAAAACCGCATGGACTCTGTACCGGAGGGTCTCTACCTCCATTCTGTGGTCAAGCCCTTGTACAGGTTCATCCGGGATCAGGGGTACGAGGTCGTCGCGGGGAAGTTTGTCCGGCGGGAGAGGGACCACGACAGCATTATCGGCTACGACGACGTCAACCAGCTGTTCTGGTACCCTGAGGGTATCGCCAGAATAGTTTTGTTCGACAAGGTGCGTAAGCTCGTCGTATTTCCGCACAAATTGTTGACATGGCTTCTGGCGTCCCGCATAGACGCGTCTCGTTGATCTCGCGCCGGCGCAACGTTTCATGAAGTTCAGCCAGATCGACTGGAACCGCGTGTTTTTTAAGACGTACTACGAGAAGCGTTCGTTCGGACATCTACTCGTCAACTTCAACCGAATCTGGGTCATTCACATCGCGATGTACTGGTTCTACACTGCCTACAACTCACCGACCGTTTACAATGGCTTCAGCTCGGTTCCGCTACGATGGTCGGCAACGGCGCTTGGAGGAGCGATTGCGACAATTATCATGATCGCGGCGACCCTGGCGGAGTTCTCGTACATTCCAACGACATGGAACAACACCTCGCATCTGACACGGCGGCTTCTCTTCCTTATCGTGACGCTGGCACTGACAGCGGGACCCACGTTCTACGTCGCAATAGCCGAGAACAATTCACCTGGCGGGCAGTTAGCTCTGATTCTCGGTATCGTTCAGTTCTTCATATCCGCAGTCGCGACGCTTCTCTTCGCCACCTTGCCGTCAGGCCGGATGTTCGGAGATAGGGTAGCCGGCAAGTCGAGGAAGTACCTGGCCAGCCAGACGTTCACCGCGAGCTACCCGTCGCTCCATCCAACCGCTCGTATCGCGTCGCTTTTGCTCTGGCTCCTCGTCTTCGGATGCAAGTTCACCGAGTCGTACTTTTTCCTCACCCAGGGCTTCCGCAACCCTATTCGCGTTATGGTGGGCATGAAGATTCAGAACTGTAACGACAGGTTTTTCGGCAACGCGCTCTGCAGAAACCAAGCAGCCTTCACGCTTACCATCATGTACATCATGGATCTCGTTCTCTTCTTCTTGGATACCTTCCTCTGGTGGATCATCTGGAACACGGTCTTTTCTATTGCTCGCTCGTTCATGCTTGGTCTCTCCATCTGGACGCCATGGAAGGACATCTACATACGCCTACCGAAGAGGATCTACTCGAAACTCTTGGCTACTGCAGACTTGGAGATGAAATACAAGCCTAAGGTACGCACTCCCACGGCGGTGTTTGGACCCTGGCTGACTTAGATTGCCTTGGATAGGTGCTGGTTTCGCAAATTTGGAACGCTGTCATCATCTCGATGTACCGTGAGCACTTACTCTCGATCGACCACGTCCAGAAGCTACTCTATCATCAAGTCGATTCAGGCCAGGACGGCAGGCGCAGTCTCCGCGCGCCGGCCTTCTTTATTTCTCAGAGCGACAAGGGCTTCAAAGGCGAATTTTTCACACCGGGAAGCGAGGCCGAACGTCGTATCTCGTTCTTTGCGCAGTCGCTTACCACGGCTATCCCGGAGCCTCTTCCGGTCGACGCCATGCCGACGTTCACGGTATTGACTCCGCACTACAGCGAGAAGGTTCGTATTTGCAAAGAATCATTCAAACTGTTCTGACCTTCCGATCAGATCCTTCTTTCATTGCGTGAAATTATTCGCGAAGAGGACCAGAACACCCGTGTCACGCTCTTGGAATACTTGAAGCAGCTTCATCCGGTCGAGTGGGACAACTTTGTCAAGGATACCAAGATTCTCGCGGAGGAGTCAGAGGACTACAATGGCCCCAATCCATTTGGCAGCGACGAGAAGGGTCAGTCCAAGGCAGACGACCTTCCGTTCTACTGCATCGGTTTCAAGAGTGCGGCGCCGGAGTTCACTCTGCGCACCCGTATCTGGGCGTCACTCCGTGCACAGACCCTTTACCGCACGGTCTCTGGCATGATGAATTACGGCAAGGCGATCAAGCTGCTCTACCGTGTCGAGAACCCTGAGGTCGTCCGGCTTTTCGGCGGCAACACTGACAAGCTTGAGCGCGAACTTGAACGCATGGCCCGTCGCAAGTTCAAATTCGTGGTCTCTATGCAGCGCTACGCGAAGTTCAGCCGTGAGGAGCAAGAGAACGCCGAGTTCCTCCTCCGTGCATACCCTGACCTTCAGATCGCTTACCTCGAGGAAGAGCCCGCTCCAAAGGAAGGCGGCGATCCCCGCCTCTTCTCCGCGCTCATTGACGGCCACTGCGAATTCATTAGCGACAACCCTCCCCGTCGCCGTCCGAAATTCCGTATCGAACTTCCCGGTAACCCCATTCTTGGCGACGGCAAATCGGACAACCAGAACCACGCTATCATCTTCTACCGCGGCGAGTACCTGCAACTCATTGACGCGAACCAGGATAACTACCTTGAGGAATGTCTCAAGATCCGGAACGTTCTCGGCGAGTTCGAAGAGTACGCTACCTCGAACCAGAGCCCGTACGCTCAGTGGGGTCGCAAGGAGTTCAAGAAGTCACCCGTTGCAATTGTTGGTGCTCGCGAGTACATCTTCTCGGAGAATATCGGCATCTTGGGAGACTTGGCTGCCGGAAAGGAGCAGACATTCGGTACGCTTGCGGCACGTTCGCTCGCTTGGATCGGTGGCAAGTTGCACTACGGTCACCCCGATTTCCTGAACGCGCTCTACATGACCACGCGCGGCGGTGTCTCGAAGGCGCAGAAGGGCCTCCACCTGAACGAGGACATTTACGCCGGTATGAACGCCTTCGGACGTGGCGGTCGTATCAAGCACACCGAGTACTATCAGTGCGGCAAGGGTCGTGATCTCGGCTTCGGTACAATTCTGAACTTCCAGACCAAGATTGGTACGGGCATGGGCGAGCAAATGCTCAGTCGGGAATACTATTACCTCGGCACGCAGTTGCCCATCGACCGCTTCCTCACGTTCTACTACGGTCACCCCGGATTCCACATCAACAACATGTTGGTCATCTTATCGGTGCAAGTGTTCGTCTTGACTAGTAAGCAACAGCGCTCTTCACGTCCTCTTCGATACTGACGTCATGTAGTGGTGTTCTTGGGCACGCTTAACTCGCAGGTCGCGATCTGCAAGTACACGAAGTCGGGCCAGTTCCTCGGACCGAAGGGTTGCTACAACCTTACACCCGTGTTCCAGTGGATTGACCGGTGTATAATCAGTATATTCCTGGTGTTCATGATTGCGTTCTTGCCTCTATTCTTGCAAGGTGAGTTGTACGCCCGTATTGTGCTCTGTTCGTGATCTCACGTCCTCTATAGAGCTGGTCGAACGTGGTACCATCAAGGCGATCAAGCGCTTGGTGAAGCATTTCGGTTCCGCGTCACCTGCGTTTGAGGTGTTCTGTACCCAGATTCTCTCGCACTCCATCGCTACAAACTTGACCTTCGGTGGTGCTCGTTACATCGCCACCGGTCGCGGCTTCGCTGTCACGAGAATCTCGTTCAGCATCTTGTATTCGCGGTTTGCCGGTCCCAGCATCTACTTGGGAATGCGCATACTCCTTATGCTGCTCTACGTTACGCTGACCCTCTGGAGCGGTTGGGTCACCTACTTCTGGATCTCTGTCCTCGCGCTTTGCATCTCACCATTCCTCTTCAACCCGCACCAGTTCTCCTTCTCGGACTTCATTATCGACTACCGGGAGTTCTTGCGATGGATGAACCGCGGCAACTCGAGGGCGCACCAGAACTCCTGGATTGGTTACTGCCGTCTGTCGCGTACGATGATCACCGGCTACAAGAAGAAGCGACTTGGTCACCCTTCGGAGAAGCTGTCAGGAGACGTCCCTCGTGCTGGATGGCGAGCGGTCATCTTCTCGGAAGTTGTCTTCCCGATCGTCATGGCTATACTTCTCGTCGTCTGTTACATGTTCGTCAAGTCCTTCCCCGACAGCGATGGCCGCCAACCTGCAAGCCCCCTCATCCGTATTGCGGTCGTCTCGTTCGGACCCATTGTCTTCAATGCGGCGGTCCTTCTCGTCCAGTTCATGTTCTCGCTCTTCCTCGGTCCGTTCCTCGACACCAAGTATCCGAAGTTCGGCTCAGTCATGGCCTTCATCTCGCACTCCCTTGGTGTCATCGGCTTGATTGGATTCTTTGAGTTCCTTGTACGCTGCCTTTATTTTTGCTATGTGAAGGCTTGTAAGCTAACTCTTCTGTCTTAGTGGTTCTTGGAGCTCTGGAATGTGTCGCACGCAGTTTTGGGTCTGATCTGCGTCGTCTTTATCCAGCGTGCCGTCCAAAAGGTTCTTATCTCTGTATTCCTCTCTCGCGAGTTCAAGCACGACGAGACGAACCGCGCCTGGTGGACCGGAAAGTGGTACGGCCGCGGTCTCGGCACGTATGCCATGTCGCAACCCGCACGCGAATTCGTTGTCAAGATCATCGAGCTGTCGCTCTGGTCCTCAGACTTCCTCACCTGCCACCTCCTTCTCTTCCTACTGACGCCTCCAATATTGATACCATACATCGATCGACTGCACTCTATGCTGCTCTGTAAGCCCCAAGTCACTGGTTGCGAAGGCGTTTCGCTAATATCTGTCTTCTAGTTTGGCTTCGTCCGTCGAAGCAAATCAGAGCTCCTTTGTACTCCATCAAGCAGAAGCGGCAGCGTCGTATGATTGTAAGCCCCTGCTGCGTTGCGTGTTTGAAGTTGTGCTAATGATCGCGTAGGTAATCAAGTACGGACTGATGTATATCCTTTCCATCATCATCTTTGCTGCATTGATTGCCATACGTGAGTATGCCTCTCTATGTGACGCAGCGCTCTTGCTAACGGTAGATTTCTCGACAGCCCTTGCGTTCCGACAAGTGCTGCATTTCAACTGCGTCATATGCCAGAACATATGAACGGACTACCTTTTCTTTCCGTTATCCTTCATTCATGATATAGTCCTTATTCCTAGACGTACCCGCACTGTAACTGTTCCATCTCATCTCATCGTACCGGACTCCTTCTCATAGTCACTCGTCATACACACGTACATACCAAGCCCACACCCCTGACTTCTCCCCGCTTGTGTGCACACCGGACTCTTCTTCTCCAGGTCACCCTGGATCTCTTTCAGTACTCTTTACTGACTCTCTGGCTTACGACGACCCCTCCGGACTCGCCTTCTACTACGCAGCTGTATCTGTTCCAGATGGATAGTATTGTTATGAATTCTTGCGATATGATGCTCGCTATTAATCGCTATTTGTTCAACTCGTGGGCGTTTGTGAGAGTCGCGACGTTGTCTCGAAGGGACTCGACTCTTGATTGGTGACAAAAACTTGAGGGTGATACGACCCTCGGCTGGATCCAAAATCGTCTCCTCTAACGCAAAAATGTCCGTAAGTGTATCCCAAATTGTCTCGCAGGCAACCCTTAGGATATCGGCTACGTCCATCTGCAGAAACCGCATGCGAACTCAAGCCGCTGGTCTTGCGCTGCTGCCGTAGGAGTTGGCTCGTTAGATGGTGTGCCATATTCAAGAAGTCTTCTCCCGACATGAATCGGTTCATCGCGGCTGCCAGGTGCTCCCTACATGCTGAGTGAGGCCGTTTTGCAGGTTCGTGGAGAGCGGGAGTCATGTCCGGGTATTCTGAATAGATTATCATGATGCTCGTGCAAGTAACGGCCTGCCCTACCGCATTCTCGGCAGATCCCCGCTCCTGTGCTTCAATCCAAGAGGTGATAGCTGTTTGAACAGCCTCTCTCCGCAAAATCTCGCTTAATGACCACGCCACGGCTATCTCTGGGACTTCATGCTTCATGGCCCTAGTCTCAAGGCGCCTGCAATCACCTTGACTGATCAGGGATCTCGCCTGTAGACTGGTAGCTTTCCGCATTCCGCTGGGTCAGCCTCTGTGACATAAACTTAAACCTAAAATAGGCCTTTCGTCTGTGCGTCCAGGACTCGCTTCCGACAACGATATTGTCATCGTGGTACCAGACAATCTCATCTTGTTTCAACTCTTAGTCTTCCGGTTACTCTGCATCCGGCTAGTTGGTAAGATAACTCTTACGACGAAATAATAGTTCTTCGTTGTCTGCAGACATGCCTACTGCGACCGAAAAGTAAAAGGTCAATTTGAGAGATTTCCTAGAGCCAGTACGGCCTGATATGGCACGACGGATCAATTTGATGCGCCAACGGCGCTCTCGCATGCTAGGTCAACTTGAACTCGTCCGTTATTTGAGACTCGGGTTGCGACATGTCTCTCATCCTCTAAGAGCTCTTTACACGTCTCGAATATTTAATTAAGTAAGTAAATATGCTCATCTTGCGCCTATCGCTAATAAGCCGACTCTCGTAGTCCGTTTCCGGTGCTCAGTCCGGTAGGTTCCCTCTCAGTGCTCGAGTTGCGAGAACACGCCCCCCTTTCAAGCTGTCTGGATTGTGATGAAGGGCAATTCTAAATCTAGAGAAGATCTTGAGAGCTAATCAGGTTGATTGTGCGAGCAGGGACCGCTGGTCTTGAACCGCTCGCGCCATCTAGCAGCCACAACGGCTCTGCTCTAACCTGACTCGTGTATAGTATGACACAGTCATGGAATCCGGTTATTAGGTCCTGGATGACGTGTCTTTACCCGGGCGAGACATTTCTAGGGTCTATGAGAGGCTATTGCGTCGATGTCTCACGCCGTAACTGCGCTAGCGGTGTCAGCTTTGTCCAGGTGATACCCCCCACGTCGAGGCCGTTAATTAAGTTGGCGTCCCCGAGCATCGAGATCACCAGCCGCCTGTTCCGTTCATGGGGCCTGAATTCACAGATGGTTCTGTGCGCCTCTCACAACACGTGTGATTCATGCGCTCTGGATAACGCATATAACACGCGTTGACAATGCGTTCGAGGTCTGCATCGACAGGTTCTCTGTCATGGGACGAAGAACCTTCGACTTGTGTCCGTCTTATACTCAGTGATCTACTCGACGGACCTTTGCTCGATGTTCTGCCCAGCACCATTGAACCCGTCACAGTCACCTTTGCTGCCCTATACTAACCACACGCTCATTCTCTAGTGCTGTTCCCCATGAAATGTCGCCGGGCACGTCACTGCTAGACTCCTTACAGACTTTCGAGGGGTAGGTGATGTATGCGAACCGTGCACACACTTTAGCTAAGTGATATCTTAGGCGAACGGACTTTCCTTTTCCTCCTGTCAACCCTCCATCCGATGGAAGCGACAACACACCACCCTATATGTCGCGAACCCTTCCCTCGGAGCGCTCCGGGGATTCTTCACGACGGTACCACGGAGAACGATTGGATCACGAGTCAGATAGTCGAAAGGACCGCGACAGCCAGAGCAGCTCCGCTAGGATTCTGTCTCGAATATCGTCGCGCACAGATCGGGACATCAGACACCTTCGTACTCTGCTTGCCCTCACACACGACCGCCTCGATGCCGAGACAAGACGAGCAGATCAGGCTGAGCAGCGTGTCGTGGACGTCCTGCACAGGCTGAAAGCAGCAAACGACGCAACCACCATCGCTCGTGCCGAGACCACGCGGGCGGAGCAAGAACTGCATCTGTACAAGCTCTACTATGAGCAAGCTCAACGTGAGATTCGGCGAGCGCAAGAGGATGTGAACCAGATTGAACGCGCGAGGATTGAAGCGGAAGCGGAAGCGGCCAGAGCTCGCGACATGGCCAGAAAATGTAGGGAGCGCTGGGTGCTCTCTCAGGCGATGGAACAAGGGAGGCAGCAAGGTTACGCAGAAGGGCTTGACCATGCCCGCAGGCTAGGTATGGTGCAGGCGCACGGAAACATGCGCCATACGCCCTCTCGACCAGCCACTCCGCTTAACCCGGTCCCGGTCCCGCCACCGGGGGCATTTCATCGTGTCGAAGCTGAAGAAGATGGGGGGGAAGATGGGGAGGAAGATGAGGAGGAAGACGACTATAATGACCATTACGAACGTCGTCCGCCATCCGCGTCGGTGCCCTCGGTGCATAGAGTATCCCCATCTCATCAGTGAGTTTCGTTTGTCGAAGGATACCGCCTATCCAACTTATTGAATATGCTTCTTTGCATACAGGCATATGCCTTCCCACTCGCCTGAGCCAATTCTCATCTTGGCATCGCCCCCAGCATCTCGTAGACTGGAGCGTGTCCCAGATTTTGCACCTATGGCCGACTCCTTGCCCATGCCCACTGTCACCACACCCTTTAATGCACCTTCGCCCTCCCATGAACGCCCATCACCACCTCCGTCACCACCGCCAGTTTCTGCGCCAACGCCGGCGCGCTCTGAGCCCATACCCGTCCCTATACGCGAAACGCCACATTCACCCGCTCATCCTCCGTATTTTGAGCCTCCAGACAACTGGATTCCTTACGCGAGAGATAACGACGTCACATCGATAGAGATTCCTCCCCCTCACGAGTTTTCACGGCCTGTCTCGCCGGTCGAGCCTTCGCCTGCTCGATCTGAAGTACCTCTTCCCCCAGCTCCAGAAAAGTCCCCTGCGCCTACCTATTCTCGCGGCGAGCCGCGGCAAGACAGACAGTACGAGCCCAACATCCGTTCACGAGACTATGCGTACAGTGCCGCCTCGACGTCATACAAGCCACCACCGCAGAGCGGCATGCGTTCGCCGCAGTCAAGAACATCGACCAGGATCTCCGAATATGACATCGTCGGGCCGCCCAGGGTATATAGGCGAGGTGAGGATCGCGACCCGCTGTCTGGACAGCAGCAAATGAACCGCGAAAATGTAAGTCTTCTGCTATCGTACCTCATTTTATGTCATCATCGCTCTCTGTAGCCCGCAACCACGTCAAGTCGAGGCAGGAGGGAGCAGGCTATCCCTCAAGAACGCATCTACGCTGGAGCAGGTCCTTCAGATGACAACTCACGCCCATCACACAAGCGACGGGGGAGCTCCGACACGCGCAGCGCGCTGCAGAAGCTCTTCGGCAGGAAGCGCTCCAAGAGCCGTCAGTCTCACGACGACGCACACGAGCACTCGGTGCCGACGATCCACGTCGAGTCTCCCGTACGCATTCCACACTATTAGTAGCCGTCAGGCAGCCCCACGCTGAATAGCGAAACCGTTTGTCAGTCTACAGAAGTGTCGCCGCAGTCGTCCTCGCAAACCGGGACGGCGCCGCACCTGCTCAGCCCCGAGCACGCGCACACCGCGCTGCCCGCGCTCGCAGACATCCTCGGCCCGCCCAAGCACGACGCCCGCGCGCCCGCGCAGCCGCCTACCGTCCCGGAGACGCAGGCGTACGCGGTGCATACGGCGCCGGCGCCGGGCACCCCTATGCGGTACGCCGAGGCTCCTGTCCCGAGCGGCGTGGTGTACCCAGACCCGCCTGGCCGGACCAAGTCGCGCGCGTCCGTGACGCGCCCGTCGACGGCACAGTCTGGGAGCACGGTCGACTCGCAGAGTTACAGGAGCCACAGACACCAGGGCAACCTCCGGGACAACCTGAGTGGACGGCTTTCTCCGCTGTCGAGCATCGGCATGCCGTTCACGTCGTTTGCGATCCCAAATGGACAGTGATGACTTGCAAAATTGTTCAGACCTATTACTTTCTCTTTGCATGGGTAGAGCCCTCATCATCAGCGACACCTGTTTACATACAAAAGCACAGTGTATCGTTCAGCATTACTGTACAACAGTCATTTCGTCTTGTAGCAGTCCATAGTGTACAAATCAAAACCCTACGTGTCAGTGCCCCGAATTCATTGGAGGGTGATATCAGTGAAGACAGGGCGGTGGTCGCTGGCAAGCACGCCGTCGTCAGTGAAAGAGGTGCCAACCTTGTATTGAGTGGCATTCCTAAAGACGAGGTCAGCGACATACAGCAAAAGTTTAGTTTCGTACGCACCACTGGCCGTCGTTGCCACCAAAGACGAAGTCAATCCTGGTGAACTGCGAGGTGTCACCCGGGGCTGCAAAGGACGTGTACGTCGCATAGTTGCCTCCGACATTCGCACGCGGGACTTGCGCCTTCAGATCGTCCAGCACGAAGTTGGGCAATGTGCCGTTCGGCACCGCGTACTTCTGCGCGAACGTCGCATTGATTGGCTCTGGTGGGAGCTCGCCCGTCGCGATCATGTAAGCGCCCGAGTCTGTACCAGTGCTCGGGCTATTGAAGTCGCCCGTGACAATGACAGGACCACCCTGTGAGTTGAAGGCCTCGAAGCGTGCGCGCTGTAGGATGAGCGATGCGCCGAGACGACGCTGTGCGTCAGACTGATCGTCGAGATGTGTGTTCAGATACGAAAAGTTAATGGAACCGGACGCAGTCTTGAGAGTCAAGCGTGACGCCGTGCAGATACGTCTGGAGCCTGCTCCGGGGAAGATTGAGACCTCGAACGGCGTATTTCTGGACATTGCCTGTTAAGATTTGAAGTATAGATATATGGCGAGAACATACGAGAGCCAGAAGGTGTCCCACTCCCGCACCTCAATGAAGTTCGTGTTATAGAAGATGGCACTGAACTCGCCAGCCTGCACGCCGTCATCTCTGCCGACGCCAATCTGACAGCATGTCAGCATATATACATAATATGCCATTATTTCACTCACCCAAGCCCAATCGCTTCCAAACAGAGTCGCCAAATCGTCCACCTGCCTGACAAGGCCTTCCTGGATGCCTGTTCTTCATCAATACCGCGCATATACAGACGTTGGCCACCACACTCACCAAAGAGAACGACACCTTCACTCATGAGATCCTGCCACACCTTGATACGCCTTGTGCTCCACGGCTGTTCACCCGACAGTGCCAGATATGTAGGGGCGACGAGGGGGTCTGGCAAGGACGCCAACGTTTGCTGAACTGTGATATTGTTCGGCATAGAGTCGTAACGCAGGTTGTACGTCGCGATGCGAATCATCTTGTTCTCGGGAACGACTGCTCTCTTCCAGGTTACTGTAGAGACGGCTTTGAGGCAGAAGAATCCCAGGAGGAAGATGTGAAGGAAGATGAAGCCCTGCATTGCGTCGCGAGTGGTCAGTACACCCTGCGGTCATTCATGAAGACAACGGGTATAAATACTTCGAGGATGACGTGCCTTCCCGTCAGAGTAAATCGTCCGTACATCGCCGAAGCATCTAGAGGTCAGCTGGAGGTCGAGGTCGTGGTGGTCGATGTTAAGAAGCGCATCGCACGTTCGCCATGGTGAAAGTCTAACACAGGAAGAACTCCGGCCGCCCGGCCAACTTCCAGCTTCCAAAGCACTTGCCGTAAGCCACCCAGAGCAGGTAAATCAGTCACATACAACACTAAATATCATCTAGTGGTACAACCAATCTAAAGTACAAGTTGAAATACATGTAGGTCGTTGCAGAAATCGAGCCAAATATTGAGCTCAGTCACTACCTAGCCTTTCGGTCATCGTCGCATTTCTCCATCATGCAGCCATCGACTTGAATTCGCTCGTGAAGTCGTCCATTGCATCAAGGGTCTCGGCCAGGTGGCCATAGTGAAGCTTCTCTCCTCGGCCCGCCGCAAGGGAATTCGCGGTCCTGGTGGCGTTCTTGATCTGTCTTCCATTGATATCCCGTTCGGCGAGCCTCTCGAGCTGCTCCTGGGGCATGTCGGTGCCGACCTTTTGCAGGAATGAGCTCCAGACCTGCATCTTAGCTTCGTGCGAGAGCTCGCGGAAGTGCAGCGCGATGTGGATGCGCGACAGGAACGCCTCGTCGAATGTCCTGACGCGGTTCGTCGTCAGGAAGAGGATGCCGCGATAGTACTCGAGATGCCGCAGGCTGACCACATGCACGGAAATGGATTAGCAAACGGTGGCGGTGGAGCGGACGCGAAGACCATACGCACAATACGGCAACCATGGCATTCCGCTCGAGGTCATGCAGCGAACGTTGCTCAAGGAAGACATCCGCCTGGGGCACATATCAGAAGGTGCCCTAATTTGGAGAGTCACTTGAACCGCTGCATTACTCACCTCGTCGATCAGAACGATGGCTTTCCAATGGGTGGCAATGTCGAACACTTTCTGCAGTGCGGTGTCCAGTTCTCCCGCAGTCGTGCCGAGGTCGCCTCCACCGATAACGTACAGCGGGCTCCTGACGTGCTCAGAAGTCGCCTCGGCAGAGAGGGTCTTCCCGACGCCAGGCGGGCCGAACAGATTAATAACCAGCCCGTGACCCTTACCCTTGACGAAGTCATCAAAGCCTAGGTCCGCTTTGTGGGCTTCCACGAGTGAACGCATAAGAGTCTTGCGACCAGCCGGCAGCACCAACTTCTCGAAAGCCTCGTCGTTCCACTCGATCTCCGCGATCTTCTGGACGTTGAACTCGACTATGCGCTGGTGAGACATCGAACACGAGATTAGGATGAGAACTTACGCCAGGTCTTGTCGGTCAGACTGAATCCGTGGAGAACCGGAGAGGCCAGCATGAGCTCCTCATCTGTGGGCTCCTCATCGGGCTCGTCCTGCGGTGCATGAGTCTGCACGCTGAGCGTCCGAACATTGCGATCTGTAAGGTGTGAGCGCGAACAACATTTACCAGCGAGAGAACGTACTCGGATCTAAAGGTGGCGGCGAGCCCCAACCACTATCGTCTCCTTCGACCTGGCGCTTGATCTGGGGCAGTTCATAGTTCGGGTTATGACGCCGGAAGTTGGCACGGTCGATCATTATACGGGAGTTTACCTGCATATAATGCACCAAGTCAACATCTGCCCATGATCATATGCTAGTGGACTTACGTTATATTTGTAAGGTCTTGAAGTGCAGGCCGAAGCCATGCCCTTGTAGAAAACATGGTGAATACCGCGATAAGAGATCCACTTGCGACCGCGAGCAATGAGCGATCTTCGCAGTTCAGACTCGTTAGGATGATATTTGATGGGGTAGCAGTTCAGCTGGTTGATCTTCAGAGTGCCCTTGAACTGCGGTATTATGATCCTGTTTTCGACCCGCCCGAACGAGCATCCACCACCCGCCTTGCGGAGCTCAGCGTCGGCAGAGTGTCCACTGGTAGGAGCCGCCCATTGGTCGTCGACTGCCGGCTCATCGTCGATGTCGATACTCTCGCAGAGGAGGTCGTAGTAGCTACGTCCCGCGTCTGTTCTGACCCTCGTCGAGTTCACGAGCTTGACCGCTCGCGGTTCGCCGGTGACAGCGCACGTGGTAACGAGGATAGTGCGTGGAACGAGGATGGAGTGGAGGAGCTCGAAGGTGATCTCGCCGTGCGAGGTCAACCGTTGAATGCTCGAGATGGTCGTACGATAGTCCTTGTGGAGGTACTCATTTAGTAATTTCGGCTATCGCCGAGGCACTGATCCGCTTGATGCACTCAAGTCGCACGGGTGCTGCATCAACTGAATCCGACATAATTCTGAACCACCATGTATCGCAGATTGTGGCTATGTAAAACTACAAGCATTCCTCTCCAGCCGAGACATTGAGTTCCACATGCTTTTCTGAGTACGGTGCATGGTCAGTCGATTCTCTGATTGGCCATAGAAATTGGGTTCAATGAGTCGTGGTCGTGGCAGAGCGTATTAGGTTTGCACAGGGCCAAAGCTCAATGCAATGATGATACTAATCAAGGGTCTCACAGCATCCCGCTTCTTTGGTGTGCGAGGCACGCACGAGACGACAATGGCATCCTCATTGGTAATCCCGGTCATCCCTTGACTGACGCTGGCACGGAAGCGATGATATGACTATTATGTCCGCAGCACCGTGGTCTACGGGGCCACGTCCCCCTTATTAAAGAGGTGAAGGCAGCCAAGAAGACCAAGGACAGGCTGCTTTCTGCCCGCTTACGTGCCAAAGACACGCACACCATGCGCCGTTTTCTTAGTACCAAGAGAGCTAACACAGCCCCGCAGTCGATGTTTGAGAAAGGCGACATGCCTGCCGATACCGAGACAGAGACAGGCACTGTGGCATCCGTCCAGGACGCCACCACGGAGCGTAACGTGTCGACGACGGCGCTGTTGTCGCCCGCCGCTCCGCCGCCGCCGCCGAACCTGAAGGTCAAACGAGTCGACCACTACTACAGCAGGTGGTCGAAAACATGGAAGTACAAGAACATGGGCGATAAGGTCACCCTGGAGACCGTACCAGTCGGAGCCGCCACCGCCGCCGGCAACGACCCCTGGCAAACGTTCTGCTTCGTCGTCGTTCGGACTCTCCCCCGTCATCAAGACGAGTCGGAACCGACCTTCCAGGTCATCATTAAGAGCCCATACCTATTGCAGGCTTGCAAGGATGTTATGCAGACGATACCCGGGATATCGTGGAACGCAGACCCGTTCCAAGTGAGTAGAGCGTACCATACGCTCGGAATTTGCGCTGACCCGGATTTCTCAGCTTGATCCTCAACTGCTACTTACGTTCTTGCCGCGCTTTGAAGAGTATCATGTTGATCTCAAGAAGAAGCAGAATCGTTCGCAAGAAGAGACGTACGCGATGTCTTCAATTGTCGTACTGGCACGTGCCCCGAAGTCGGCCAGGCTACGGCATTCTGCTCCATACTCGTAAATGCACAAAGATAAAGAAAATGCCACACCTCAGATCCACTGGAATAGACATAAACTATTATTTTACCAAGCGGTAAATTTTTTCCTTGCTGCTATAGACACTATGAATATTTTGGTGAAAATATTGCAGAAACAGCGCTTGGCATAGATCTCGGCCGGCCAGGCGCACGCAGTGCTCAAGCAGGGCGCTTAATTTTGGCCGAGCCGCCGAGAGTACACAGGTCGCCATCCGGCCTTCCACAGTCGTTGCACAGCACAGATTAGGAATAAAATGTATGTATTACATTGAATATAGGTAGGTGTGTGTTCTGGGTGTAAATACATGTTGGGAAAGTTGTCTGCTCTGTTTCTATGGCACAGTTCTATGCAGGCATGAAAATAGCAGGTCAGCAGAGATGTGCCTTTGGCACGCAACAATAAAATGATAAAATTAAGAGAGCGCAAGAGAAGCAAATTGTAATATATAAAGAAGCCATACCATGTGTTCCCTGCGCCCCCAACCTTTTGTTGCAAGTAGTGATATCCTTTTCCTTAGACATCTCCAGAACCGCCCAAGCCGTGACCTTGCTATTCTAGCTGTGCCCAGAGAACCTTAGGCGCAGAATTAGACTGCAAAAAGTTGGGAGGTAGTAGTACATACCCTAATGTTGACGATGGAGGCAGCTGTACAGGGTGGAGACGGTGACGGGGTGGAAAGAATGGTTGTCAATGAGAGGGGAAGGTCTGGCGCGCTAGTACCAAATTTAGGCATCCCGGCTGTTTCGGTGCAGTAATCCACGCATAGCTCGAGTCCCCCTCTACTAATCTTGATAAAATTATAAAATCATATAGAAATGAAACTATTGACATATTTGAGGCCCCATATTATGCTACAACAATGCTGTTGAGCCCAGAATACACGGTTGGCCGAGTGCTGGGCTTGGCCGATTAGGGGGCGGCTGACAGTACGCCGCGCCAAGGCATGCCGTAAGCTGGCATGTCCGCACAGTTAGTAGGCCAGCTCCTGAAGTTGCGACTGGATCTTATGGTTGAAACGTCAAATCGTGGAATGCTGTTTCCCATCCTGATAGAGACGAGAGATTATGTTCTCATCAATCTCTTGTAGACCCACGATCCAGTTTGCGTATCTCGCCTACTGTGACTCGTGTAGCTTCAAGTTCGACACGTTGTACAAGAAGTACCAGGCTTGTCATAGACCAGCGTGCCAGTCATATAATCCGATGGGCTCGTGATATTTCCGAAAATTATGAGCCTGATTAGAATGTCCGTTTTTCTCTCCCTTCACCTACGATACTTCATGTGAAGCCGAAGATGAAGGCCCGCTGAGTGTGCTGACACCCTTCAACTATGGCACCTTGAACATTCTGATTTCGGAGATCCCTCAACTGGACGAAAAAATTACATCCTGCTCCAACTGAAGGCAACTTCTGATTGTTGAGCGAGAGTACTCTACTTGCTTAATGTCAAAAGATCACATGGCACCCCACAGCTTGTAACTACGTTCCGTAGGGGCTGTGTCAAGAAAGATGGAAACTAGGTAGCTCGAATCTCTGATATACGAGTGATTATTACCGATATCATTATTATGCAGGGCTCACAGCTTGAATGTTTGCGTTCGTGTGAAACGGTTAGTTGCTAGGGGATTCCGATCGGTGCCTATGTCTGTTGCCTGACCGTGACGGTGTTTGCATGGGCCGTACCGCTTCTCAGCTTTTCATCTGTCATCCACAAAAGTAGATAGTAAGTATCCATCGCACAAAGTCTCACGATCTCAACATGTAGTTTCTAAGGCCTCTATTCAAGCCGGCGCACGAGTCAGCACTGTGGCGGATGGCTGAAGGGCTGTTTGTACGTGTTAGCTCTTGCTTTCCGCTTTCAGAACCCTAACCCTTGATCAGCAACGGTAGTACGTTAATAAATTGTCTGTGATACGGATGCGTTACTACAGCGTATATATCAACATCGTGTTACGGGGAGGTCATGGATACAAATGCTGTATTGATCCTACAAAAGGGTATATGATACCCGGAATCTGGTGACCCGGATAAAGGCATAGCTTCTAGCGTATCCTCGGCAGAATGGATATATCAATTTGTATCTGCTGTGGTATATGACGTGGTCGCAATCCCGAAGGTCGAGTTCTGCGAGTTATAAACGGTGTAGAATCGCTGCATGAAGGCATATCCGTTGATGAAATCCAGGCCCTCACCCGACAAGGTACCAATGTCGTTAACGATGAGATACACGGAGCTATTATCGCCGCCAATCGCACAGTTGAGCTAAAGGAACGAGGATATCAGCGGGAATTTTGAACACTAGTGCAGAGAGTCTGTCGCTCACACTGGTGGGCCAGATTTGCGCATTCTTAGTGAATTCGAACGACATCTAGACAGATTATGATCAGTACGCGAGGTGTACAATAGATCATAGGGTCAAACTTTACCCCGCCAATGTGGAAGAAGAGACTCTGCAGGCTGTCGGCCTGAGTAGCAGGCAGTTTGAGAAGCCCCGTGTCAGCATCAAGGGTAGCGTTTGTTGCCTCTTGATAGCTCTGATAGGCATCTAGATGAAGTCCATAGTCAGCGGATGTGAGGTCGGGACGAAGATTACAATTACCAGTGGCAATCAGGATGAGTGTGGTTCCGGCATCCATAATTCCCGCCGTGGGGCCAAGGATAGAGGTACTCGGGCTCGAGTTGCCATAGGTAATGGACTGGTTTATACCGATATAGAATGTTGAGGGCATGGTCGATGTGATGGGACTAACGTGGGTGGTGTCAGATGTGAATGGTGGCTGAGAATTAAGTGCAGGCTGCGTACACAGTAGTAATCGAGCCATTCAACGCGCTGGAATTAACGCCGCCAAATGCCAGCATTCCAGAGCTGTCTGACGTTGTTGGCTCGAATAACATCCCAACCTCGTCGGAGTCTAGGAGGCTCTGCTTGAAGGCATTGTCAGTGACAGTGGGAAATGTGGCGCTGAAGTTGGTGAGTGAGATCCCTGATTTATTTCGTTTATGTCAGTCTTCCGGATTCAGGTTCAGTTAGCGTTGGCGTGTGTTCACCTTCATTGAGGTCGGTTGGCCCGAGACTACATAGCACGGATGAGAATGAACGATCATTACTTCCCATACTGCTACGTACCCCAAGATACCGTCGAGGCCAGTTGGCAGACCAGAATTCGACAAATTCGTCACTCCGATGAACTGTTGCAGGACAGTTAGGTTCCCTAGAGTAATTGTGTCGAGGAAGCCTTGTCCTATACGGAGGTTGAGATCTCGTGGTATATAAAGGTACGGAGAGCGCACCTGTAAATATTCCGGAGCCATATACTAGCTCCTGTTGTGACATTCAGTGCGATCCATTACGACATACACGTAGCACGAACCAGCGAGTCATTTGTGGCTTGAGAAGAGCTGGTACGATTGTAAGGTTTGCCTGCTCCGACCCATGTCAGTGAGCTACCCGTGTCGACGAGCAAGGTGTCTGCAGAAGCACATGTCAGCAGGCCGATATTCTCTCCACACGAATAGCCTGCTCACAGTTGGTTGAAGGAGTGCCAATGCTGACCTGTAACCAGCATGTCAACCTTATAGTGGAATTGAGAAATAAGAGCATCGTTTACATTAACGGTGTATGACACAGCGGTGTTGGCCAGAGGAACGGGCCAGACGTCTCGCTTTGAAGTGTGATTGACGGAACGTGTATTTGTCCATGACTTGAATGACTTTGCTCGGGCTCTGTCCGTATCTGCGATGTTCTCGAAGGGGCCGCTGACATTAAGGTGGTGAGCTAAAGATAGCGAGATAGGGAGCTTGTCAACGACGACATGCGATGGCCATGCCGTCACAGTCAATACGAGGAGGAGGGCAGTGAAGGTCGACGCGAACATCAGGGCTTTGGAGTAGCAGACCAGTTGAGGATTTCAACGCGGTCCGGCTTGGGGTTAAATACACTACGAGCAGATCTAACAAGCCGAAGAAACACGTTCGACTTGGCACACAAGGTAGCTATAATTCAGCCTATCAGTGCAGTGTAAGATTGTGGCGCATCTGCAGGGACACACCATCTGGTCGTCTCCATGGTGCACAGACTGTTCACAGTTAAGCGCAGCTCCCGCCAATCCAGGTTCACTGTTGGTAGTAATCGATTTTATCATGAATTGCGGAATTGAGCTAGCCAAGGGCCCAGTGCAGGAGAGTGTCTAGGGCTTCTATCGCGATTGATAGATGCTACACATGGTCGATATGAACGTTCACCGCAAACAAAGAGGATCGAACCGGAGTAGAGCTAGACGGGGATAGGCCGACTACTCCAGATCTGGGAGCTACTTCGCGTCTACAGAGTCAATATTTCGGTAGCCTCTGCTAAGAAAGATAGGTATGCGCACCGCGGGAAGAAGGTTTGCATCAGGACAACACTAGATGAGAGTACGAACAAAAGCGATGAATACCTAGCAACATGATACTCGTTGTGTCATCTAACGAAGACGTGATTTGATCTTCGCAGCGTGAACAAAGAATGAAGAGAGCGCTTTATAATCTGATTCGCTATCCAATGGTGGCACAGCTATATGTCAGAGTTTGGCCCGACCGCTGGGGTAGACGAGGTCGCACCGTACAAAATGCAGAAGATTAACTTTGGCAGCTGCAGATGCTTTGTCTTGTTACATCGATACAAGAGAGGTAATCGCGATATCAACAACTCGTTGTCAGTTTGTGGTAGCAAAAGTCACCGGCATGGCTGCGGTGCCAACTGGGTTCCTGCCGATGCCGTAAACAGAATGGCACTGCTCAAGGAAGCCATGCCCGTTGATGAATTGAGACCTTCGCCGGTTGAGCGAACCGATGTCACACACGACGAAGTAGGCTGGCATCGCCCCTGATGGGTTCAGCTGTAGCACATACAAGCCAGCGGTCGTGCGCGTGTGCAGCGTAGGAGGTTCTAGACAGCACGAGACCAGACTTGCGCGTTCTTCGTGAACATCTACGATTGACATGACTCATGTTAAAGGTGACCCTAGCTGAGGTATGTCGACTACGTACCTCGCCCAGTATAACCGCCGAGATTGGTATGGACATGCTCCATCACACTATCTGAAGGCGCAATCCTGCAAAAGGGCTCGCATTGAAGCTTCACTTACTGATACGTGTTTTCAAAACAAATGAGAGCGAGCATCATTGGACCATTCACGGAAGACTAGTCGCCATGCGATTGATTTGTACAGAAGCTTCGGCTGGGAAGTGGGGGATGATGTAGCGCACATTGCGCACATGGTGTTGTACATGGCATCTGAGCTCGCTAGGTCATATCTCGAGTGTCGCCATAGGACCGTGCGTGCCTTTCGCCGGCTGAGGCCACAGTCTGGGCCAGGTATGAAGCTGAACAGCCCTCAGACAGGTGCTCAAGCGATGACTCATATATAGCAACAATAGTTTTACATTTTCAACATATACGTTGTCTAAGAAGTACGTGAGATTACGCATACTTCATCTGGATGGGAAACATACCTTCCGTGGTGATGATACAAAATCAGATTCCGAGAAGCAGAATATATTTCAATGAAGATGCAGACGTCAAGCAAACCCCATAGCGAGTGAATCGCACCCTTGTTCTACCAACGTTCCTTCGCTGATTCGTTCACGAACCAGTTGCTGCCTCCCTTCGTCCGGTCAATGACGAGACTCTTGCCCACAGATGGGTAGGTGCAAACGTCCATCTCCAAGCGACTCCCTGAGCAGAGGTACACGAGTTCCTGGTCGCCCGCCCGCAGCGCATGCGAGATGCGTTTGCCCGCCGGGAAAGCGAAAAAGTCTCCCTTCTGGGCCTTCTCCTCTTTGAGCGCCGCATCGTCTCCAGCTTGTATGATGACCGTTGCACCAGAGCCTCCGGCTTCGAGAATGTAGATCCATTCGTCCTCATTACTGTGCCAATGTAGGACGGAGCTCTGGGTGTGCGGTGCAACGCGACAGACGTGCACCCCGAGCTTAGTAAGCCCGCAGGCGTCGCCCAGTGAAAACGACTGTCGAATGCATTCGGGGTTCAGAGGATGTGGGATAGTGCGGAATGACTCTGCGGGCAGCTCGGAGGTCGAAATGCGGTAGGGCAATGAATCGCGATTTGCGGTCATCTCACGACTCTCTCGAAAGTAATCTACGTGTCCCGGTCAGACAGGAAACATGTGCAGGCTGAGGGTTGTTTACTTATAGAGCGAGAGTATCTCGGTATAATCCTATGAATTCTCGCACGTAGCATGCAAGACTAAGCAAGCCCGTCGCGGTCAACGGTGAAGGCAGTAGACAAGTGACACCGCCTCAGGAGGCGCCCGTCTTAGGCTTGCTTGCCGCCACCATGTTCCCCACCCTCCGCCTCTGTGAGGCAATCAGCGCGCCCTTCAAGCGGGCTCAGCTCGGCCTCTTCGGAGGCAAGACACGACAGTCAGGCAACAACGTCCCGTTCTCGAAGAAAAAGACGCGGCGGACATGGCTCCCGAACGTGCACAACCAGCGGCTGTTCTCCGAGACCCTCCAGGATTACATCCGGGTGAAGGTCACTGCGCGAGCGTTGAAGACTATCAAGAAGGTACGCATACTTGTGGCATAAGTGGATGGCTGTGCACTGAGAATGCTTGATAAAGCATGGCGGCATTGACAAATATGTCATGAAGACAAAGCCGGAGCTCTTGGGATGGGAGGGCATGCGGATACGAGTCATGCTTCGGGAGAGGCAAATTGCGCAAGGAGTTGTGGACATTCCTGCGGCAGCCAACACTCCGGCATCGCCAGCAGTAGAGACAGTGGCGTTGTAGTCGGAGGTTCGTTTTCCCGTTGTCATTTGTTGTTCAAAGGAAGCTCCGCCTGTGACAGATCGTACACGCGTACACGCTTGTCCTGTACTTACCCCAACATCCTATCATCTTCGCTCTCCTCGCTGCGCAATCTACGAAGCTGAATAGACGCGATCATATATTATGCAGGTCCGGGTAATGCCTGACTACTTTACACTTCACGCAGAACTGGTGGCGTGAGCTATATGCGGAAAATACTGAGTCAATAACGATAGAAAATACGTATATGCGCGAAAGCGTGTTCAAAATGAAGGACGGAACCGAAAGCGAGTGCATATATGCGAAGCAAACGACAGAGGTACGAAGAAGAAACGAACGGCGTGAGGTTCAGGGGCGTGAAACAGCGTCCTTACGAGGGTATCCTGGCGAATTCGGTGGTTTGTGGTGTAGAGGGGCGGAAAGTCTTGCTCATCGGTGTGCTAGGGCGGTTGCGCATCTTCTGCCACCAGTGCTTCGGCTGTGCCTCCGATCCAGCGCCGGTTGAGTCACTGTTTGTGGTGTAGGCTGAGGCGGAGTGGCTGCTACTACCGTCCGTGAGTCCGCTATCGAGACTGCTATGTGTGCTTTGCCGTTCAGCCGCCCAGGCGGCCTTCTCGGCCTCGCGCGCCTTATCGGGGTCGTAATACGTGAACGGTGATAAATGCTCGTTGGCGGTAGGTGCTGGGTTGAAGATGGCGTCGATAAGGTTCTCCGTGGTACGGAGGCCCTTCGATGAGGCGAGGCGGTCGAAGTCTACAGCGCCTTCCTTGGTGGAGAACGGCTGCTGGTATATGCTCAAGCTGTCATCGTTCTCATCATGGGTGTACATGTCGAGGTCGCGGGCGAACTTCGTCTGATAGAGGTTATTATTGGAGAGGAGTCCTGTGACCGAAGCCATGATCTCGCCCTTGCGCAATGGTGGCGGAATGTAGTGTTGCTCGCCGCCAATGTGCTCAACCTCTATCGTCAACTACAGAGGACGTCAAGACGGCAAATGATCCATAGAAGGGCTTGCACAAACCTTCAGCGTCGCATTCGTCTTACTCTCGCGCAGGAGATACCGACGGGTGACCGGACCAGCGTCGGCGTATTCGGCAAGGTTGATATAGACTGCACCAAGGCGAGGCTGATGTGGCGCGTTCAGATCGCCGTGTACGACACGCTGCATGACGACCATTTTGAGCTCGCAAGGAAGGAGATCGGCAGTCTCGCGGTGTACGTCCATCTGGACGACAACTGTGACTCTATGGTCCCAGCGCACATTGTAGCTTTGAAGCATTGCCCAGGGCGTCATGCCCCTCGCTTCGGGCTTTTCGAGCCGCCCAGGCTTTGGTGTCACAGAGGAAGTCATAGGAGTGCCGGGAGGAGATGCCGTGAGATGCTGGCCGTATACGGAGGAGCTGTTCGACTGCATGCTCTGGTGGCCGTGGTCTTCGTCGTCCTCGAAAGATGAGCGTACGCCGTCGTATGCAGGCTCGCGGAATTCGAAGCCATCGCGGAAAGGAGTCTCTGGGGTGACCTGGATCAGTGGCTCCATCTTCCCTTTCCCCTTGTCGCGCTTGTTATTCACGAGTGCGGGCGACGAACGCCCTTTCATCTTGCTTAGAAGGCCAGATCCGGACTGGACATTCCTGAATTTCCAGCGCAAGCCGAATTCGCCGCCTACGAGCGGGACATTCGAAAGCTGGTCAACGTGCAGATAAACCTGGAAGAGTGCGTGTTTCGGAAGAATGTGTCCAAGCTGCGTTCTGAAGCCATGGGGAGTTGTCGAGGACGAGGAGCTGGACTCGGATATGATGGAAGTTTTGTTCATGGTCATGACTGGTCAGGGGTTGCTGTGGGGTCGTTTACTCGGTATGATGGCTTTATATCGGTATGCATACGCATGCCGCCGACGCGTATGAAGCTGTTCCTGGGAGCTGAACGTTCACGGTCGTTGCTGAGTGATACTGATGTATATTCGCGCTAACACAGCTTGGGCTCATTCGGGTGCAGAAGGGTGATGATTAGAAGGATAGCCTAGAGAGTCGTGCGCGATATAACTTCCCCAGAAGAGCAAAACCGGAGTTGGAGACACTGTGGAAGCAGAGGTGGTGGTTGGTGGTAAGGGTAACGGGGACGGCCTCCAAGGCCCGATCTCGGACGTCGACAGTATCTGGACGGCTTTGGAAGTTATTTCTGAATTACTTCTTTGCCCGCTCCGTTCTGTTCCTGTCCCATGCTTTCGCAATGTTCCTTAGTATACGTGTTCAAATAACACAGGCCCGCTAACCTCCGATTGCTCCTGACTCTGCAAGACAGCTTACTCGGGTTTTGCATGTCCAAAGTTTGGGAGGATAGAACTTGAAATACTGCTTATTTTGGATCTGATAAGTCCCAGAATAAGTCAGCAATGATGAATACCATTTAGGCCTTCCAGCTTGCCTCTATCCATCATCCCGTCTGTGCCTCCATGCAACTTGTCGAGCAAAAGACAGCGACAGGAGGAAGTCAATGTCCCTGGACCTTGCCTTGTCCTCCCATCTGTCCCTAAAACGACACCAGTGGCCAATTTGGTCCTTACAGTGGCCGACAGCGTGTGACCTGGTATAAATCTCTAACGCCCTCGTTCTTCGAGCCCAGTATCCACCCGCTCCCGACCTGAAGATGACAGACTTCAACACTATCTCTAACGAGATTCTTGTGCATATACATGATAAGCTTGGCGGCGACCTCCTTGCGCACATATCGTTCTCACAGACGTCCCGACGCCTTCGCAGGCTGTATGAAGACGGCACACTCTGGCAAACAGCTTGTTTCAAGGCCGGTTTTGGAAGGCCTAAGCGGCGGGTGGTCATGGGCGAAGCCATGCAGGAGCTGTCCTGGCGCGAGCTCGCGTACATCCTCGTCAGGCACGCGTCAGACTGTGAGATCAAGACTTGCAAGGCCGCTAATGCCTGCTTCAGTGCGTTTTATTCCTGGTCAGCTCTACACGTGTATATTGATGTTTACATAGCTTCACGATACCGCAGTATGTCCCGCAGCTCCATTCGTGAACCCTTGACCTTCCCGCCAGACGTCGAGTTGCATCCGCTTTACTTTTATCTTCACTTCTCGGAAACCGCACCTGACGCTCCTCATATGCCATCCCCGGACACGCTGGCCATCCTCCTTACTCATTTGCCAACGTTTCCGGAGTGCAAGACTTCGCAGTACGGGCCTCTCTGTGTCCACCCCAACGCGTCCTGCGCCTTCGCCACATTCCCTCCCATGCAGACCATTGGTTTTCGAGACGCGAATGGGGACCCATTCTTAACAGTCCATAACCCGGATGGGTGTACCCTCCTTGACGTGAATCGCGCGCTGTGTGATCTGTAAGAGCAGCTCTAACCTCGTACACTCTCCATGGCTAACGGCCATTAGCATCCCGAGAGACTTCGAACAAATGGAGGCCGCACTGGCTCATTACCACGAGCTCTTGTTCACCTCAGGCAAAACTTTAATGCAGTTTGCGGAGTGTATCAGCCGTGACAAGGGGTTCCTGGATGATCACGAGTTAGTGAGTTTTACATCGCGATCAGTGACTCTTCGCTTAGACTCTCGTCACTAGATACCCTTTCCTCCGAGAGCTAGTTGCGCAGGCGTAATATCCTCTTCCTTTTCTTGGACCCGATCACGGATAGTCACCAACTATACCCAACACATCGCACTTTCCTTTGTCTTCGCTTACTAGACACGAGCCTGAATTATTCGGCACCTGTGCGACGTGGGACAGATGTCCGCCTTCATAAGCGCTCATATGCCAGTGTTTGACGAGCACAGCGCTTCGGCGGTCAAGTTCGTGTTTTTTGCCGTCGCACAACTTGTGCCAGCACACGAACGTACCGAGGGAACCAACCCCTCAACCCCCCCCCCCCGGAGGACTGATAGACCCAGCTATGCCTCGTCTTGAGGATCGCGTGCCTCTAGACTTACAGTCCTTGGTCGTCCTCTCTTTCCCGGTCTTTGCATGTTATTATGCAATGGCGGTGTTGGTTCTCTTGCCTGACACGCGACATCTCAGACTGGCGCTACTTCCATCAGCCCTGGCTTTGACCTGGAGAGCTGCGACGCGTAGTGATGCTTCTTTAGGCATGCCACAGTATAACCACAACAACTACGGACACTGCGTGAGTCTAGCCTTGCTTTCTATTTTCGCAGCGCTGACCAACGCATTCTACAGGTCATCCAGTTCGTGTTGAGCATGCGCATGATTGAATGGGCACTGCGCTCTCAGCCACTTCAGCGGCCCCAGGAGAACCCATCACGAAGCGCGTACAAGGATGCACTAGACCTCTGCTGTAACCTGCGAGGCATCGGCTGGTCATGGTCCCGCGGATTGTACATTCCTCCAGAAACACGCCCAACGCATTCAAACGCCGCTTTCATACGCTCCACTGCACTGCGCGCCCTCCGCGACTTTGTGCTTTGCGACGCCATCCAAGCCACGATCTACTACCTCGGCCCAGAGTCGTTCGGCTCGCTACACGGCGGTACCATCTTCGACCCGCATCTCCCGCCCGTGCAGCGGTACCTCTGGTCGTCGTTCATCACGCTCCTCACAGCCACAGGCGTCTACTTCACGCTTAGCATGGACTACCATTTCGCGACGCTCATCACCTTCGCGCTCGCGCGTCAGGAACCGGCCGACTGGCCGCCCTTCAGCGTCGCGCCGTGGGCGGCGACGTCGCTCTGCGACTTCTGGGGCCGGCGGTGGCACCAGCTTTTCCGTCACTTGTTCATACAGCTCGGTTTGAAGCCCGCACGGCTCCTACTTGGCAGGGCCGGTGGCGTCTTGGCTGTGTTCGTCCTGTCAGCCGTGATGCACGATATTTGCATCTGGGGAATGGCGCGCGGGACGGATTTTCGCCAGATTGGCGGTTTCTTTGTCCTCAGCGGCGTTGGGGTTGTGCTGGAGCAGGCCTTCAAACGCGTCAGTGGTCGGAAGGTGCAGGGATTCGCAGGATGGTTATGGACGATGACATTTCTCATCGTTACGGGCAACTGGCTCATCGATGCGTGGCTTACCAGGGGTTTTATTGGCGGTGAAGTACTTCCAGGGCCCGTTCGGCCGACGCGGTTGCTCGCACAATTTTGGTGGACGCTCCAAGCTGCGTAGCCGTAACACATGAATGGACACAGTACAGCACCATGGTATAGCAAATCCCTCGGTAGTAACCCAACCTAGATGCACATGCACATAATACACCTACGATACAATCCCGATCTATACAGCCGTCTTTGTTTAGGCCTTCGACTTGCGGGCCTTCATCTTCTCCTTGAGCTTAGCCTGCAAAGGTTGGTAAGCACTATGGTGACTACGGACAACAGGCTACGCACATTAACAGCATCCATATAAACGTCAGTGATGACCCAGTGTTCGCGCTTCATGTTCTTTCCGTGGATAGCGAGGGCAAGGTCCTTGGTCATGACGCCGTCGGTATCGATGACTTCAACACACGCCGCCTCGAGGTCCTCGCAGAAGTGCTTGAGCGCGTCATTTCCGTCAAGTTTAGCACGGTGAATGAGTCCGCGCGTCCAGGCAAAGATGGACGCGACAGGGTTCGTCGAGGTCTCGCGACCCTTCTGCCACTCGCGGTAGTGACGGGTGACAGTGCCGTGCGCAGCCTCGCTCTCGACAGTCTTGCCGTCGGGCGTGATAAGCTCTGAGGTCATCATACCAAGAGAGCCGAAGCCTTGGGCGAGGATGTCAGACTGGACGTCACCGTCGTAGTTCTTGCACGCCCAGACGAAACCGCCAGACGACTTGATCGCTTGTGCGACCATGTCGTCAATGAGACGGTGCTCGTAGTAGATGCCGGCCTCCTCGAATGCCTTCTGGTATTCGCTCTCGTAGATCTCCTGGAAGATGTCCTTGAAGCGGCCGTCGTACTTCTTCATAATCGTGTTCTTCGTGGACATGAACTGCAAAAAAGTGAGCACAACGAACCTAGGCGAACGTGACCAAACCGTACCAGTGGCAACTTCTTGGAAAGGGCCATCTTGAACGAAGAGTGGGCGAATCCCTTTATTGACTGCAGTAGAGGGTAAGTACTCGCCTCACGAGCATGTAAAGCATACGCGCCTCATCGGTATTGTACATGGCCATGGCAACACCCTTGCCCTTGAAGTCGTAGACGGTCATTGCCACGGGCTCACCACCGTTTTCAGGCGTATAAACCAGTTGAATCCTTCCCGGTCCTGGCGCGACGAAGTCGGTCGAGCGGTACTGGTCACCAAATGCGTGACGGCCGATAACGATGGGGTTCTTCCATCCTGGAATTGGCCTTGGAATACGCTGGAGTATGATGGGCTCACGGAAGACAGTGCCTCCAAGGATGTTACGAATTGTGCCATTCGGGCTCCTCCACATCTCCTTAAGCTTGAACTCCTTCACACGTTCCTCGTCGGGTGTGATAGTCGCGCACTTAATGCCAACACCATACTTGAGGATCGCTTCGGCAGAGTCGACGGTTACCTTGTCGCTGGTCTGGGTGCTATGAGCTGCAAGGTCTTCCACTGAGCTCAGTCGACTTACAGCGTCTCGGGCTTCAATACCGAGGTCATAGTACTTGATGTCCAGTTGAAGATATGGGAGGATAAGCTGGCAAAGGCAGTGTTAAAGCTGTCTAGGGCTCTTTGTACACGCTATGACTATTCGTACCTCCTCCCTTATCTTCTTCCAGATAATCCTAGTCATCTCATCGCCATCTAGTTCCACGACGGGGTTCTTGACCATGATTTTCTCCTCTGTGGCCATTGTTGAGCGATGGGTCGAGCAAGGCGAGTCGTAGCGCGTATTACAAGGCGGGTTTACGGTGTGAGTTAGACGACGTTGGGGGGAGTTCCATCAGCACCTCACGACTGACAGCTAGCTCGCACTACTCACGATACCGCGGCACACTGTTCGCAAAGCCGCGAGCCATCAGGCTACTGCGAATGGCAGATGGCTTTGCCAGGCGACCGCTACGAAGTGTGCGCAGACCGAGCATATTTTGTCGACGTTGTAGACGATGAAAATGAACTTGTGTAAGCGGCGTGCGACCACGTCGTGATCATGTCGGCCGGACGAGGCGTGCCGGCGCCCGAGATCCTGGAGATCTGGAAATGGGTCACGCATCATGCGTCATGACCCGGACTTGCGAGACCCCGGATCCCTTCCACCCGGCCTGCTGCTCTTTTCTAATCCCAAGTAGTTGTGGACGAGCACATGCGATCCTATTTGTTTTACTAGCTTTGCGATGTATGTGCACAATTATTTAGATGTCTTTCGCTATCCGGCCATACGGATACCTCAGCATGAGCGTACCAGTATTACTAGTACTTCTTCATCACGGACATTACCACGAGCAACAACACCCGCATAGTACGAGGTATGTCATGTCGGTGCGCCAACATGATCTCGCATGTCGCCACGGTTTGTCAATATGGGCCTGAGAGGCTGCGTCAGCCAAAGGGTGGACGGCAGGCACTCCTATGCCCGCCTTCGGTCCAATCCCTACATGTTTTGATGAGCCGCAGACAGAACACGAAGGATCTGGCGCCTCACCGTCTTTGACACTTCGTTGAGCAGTACAGGACGTTTTCGCATCCCTTGCACATGCGCAACTTGTGAAGCGGCCTTTCTCCGGAGCAGAGACATTCTCTCCAGGCGCAACCCATGTCTTTGGACCATACTCCGGAATATTCTCGGTGTGTCCGCGCCTCAGGCGGCGCACGCATATTGACCCTACACTTCTGCCCGAGGTCCGTCCACAATTGAGTGGCAAGTATTTTTCGGGGGGCCATGGAAGACGGGAGAGAATGAAGCTGATCGTAGACCCGTCTCCAAACCCGACGAACGGATTCTACGAAGTTCGAGGAGTCAGGCTCAAAGTATCTAGGGTGAATTTGACTTTGGGCTTCGCCATTTGATGCAAAAAAGTCAACCATTTCGCGGGTAGACTCTGCTGTGAGGTGAGCAGCAGGGCCTCCGGTAGGCCAGGTTCTCACGCACCCAGGTCGCTGGCGACCATTTCTGTGCTGTCGGGCTCCGTAGCTGCCAGTACGACGGCTCGGCCGAGAAGGACGGCCAAATCGTGAAAGAACTCCGGCATGCGTCTGAACCTCTCTAGGTTCTGTGGGATGATATGTCTGGTAAAGGGAATCAGCACTCCAGGGAATGAGCTCGAAGAGATACCACTGTACAAAAGTTGAGTGAACACCATTTCCACAACGCGCGATTCATAGCGCTGCTCGCCGCTGCAGAACTGTCTCTGAGTCGCACGGAGCAAACTGGCGGCATGATCTCTGTCGTGAGCACGGGCGTGCTTCAGCTGTGGGTGGGAGCAGAAATAGCTCAAATTGTTGAGGAGATAAACGAGCTGGTTGTCTAGCACGACCTGCATGAGGAGCCGAGTATTGCAGCAACTGATGAACTGTTGTGGGCTAAGTGTTTCGCGGGCGATGGCTCTTCCGACGAATGCCTTGAAATGTTCGATGTTGTCGAAACACGCATAGAGCGAACTGAGGGCATTTTCAGCAGATATGATCATGTCATTGGTCCTCGCGAGCAACCAACATCGTACGACCACATGTGGTGTGGCGGTGTCGAGCAAGTCTGAATCTAGAGAACCACTATACGCAGTTAGTAAGCTAGCAATAAATCCATGCTAACAACTCACCTCATCGTCTTTTGTAACTCCATATCGGAGATAGCGAGGTGGATGATCTGCCACCGAATGGTAAGCGATTCGGCATTGGTGTCTTCATTGACCAGAGGACTAAGATTCTCGGTCTCGAGTACATAAAAATTTTCAAGCATAAGGTCCCACAAACGAGGGAGGTTTTCCAGCAAGTGAACTGCGTACGTCGGGTGGTTCACAGGGTGATGGGCTGCTGCCACAGGAGATTGTCTAAGCGCATGCTTAACCAAACCATTGAGGGTCCCAAAAGTGTATATGAGATGTGCCTGCAAGAGCGAAAAATGACTTTGGAGCGTAAGTAGATGCCGAAAGCCCACAATACCTTCGCCCGTGATTCGAACTGTGCCGGGTCATAGAGCCGTCTATCCAGCGCCACACCCAAAAGGGCCTGTGATAGTCCACCATCGAGGAGGGTCCTGTAGTTCTCCTCGGAGGGCTGTGCTGCAGAGAAAGCCTGATAATCCAGCACGAACTGTAACAACAGCCGCATCTCCCGAAGTGCATGCAGCTGCTTGAGGACCCATCCAGCTCTAAATGGCTCCCGTGAGAAGCTTTCGACTGTCCACGTCCAAAGCGAGTCGGTAGTAAAGCGTGGTGTCTCTTCATAGTCATGCATGCGTTCTGCAGACATGAAACTGGGAGGGCAGATGGCGGGTAGCGGCAATTGTTTATCCTTCTCCACCGTGATAGCGGTGTGGCAGGAATGAAAGTTCTTGATCGGGATGGCCGAGGTCCTAACAAGGACACGGAGGACCCCGAAAACTACTGATCATAACGTTTGTCGAGATTCTCGATATTGACCTTAGACAATACAGCCTTGGAAGCATCCATCATACACTATAATTACTATATCTGGCTTTGTAAAGCATAAAATGCCACAGCTTTTACCGTACACTTCATAATTGACATGGCTAGAACAAAAGTTGTCCCTCCTCCTCCAACTACAGGCCGGCGGCAGAGACCGAGAAGAGATCTCCTATGCAGCCTTTGGCATTGATCAACTTGATGGCGGACGGCAAACGCGCTTGTGCCCGCCTTTGTCCCAGTCGCTGAACAGCGTTGATCAGAGATTGGGAAGCTTCAAGTTTAGCGTAGCGGAAACTGACCTCTTCTGGCACTTCGTCGAACAGTATAGAATATTATTGCACCTCTTGCACTTCCGTAATTTGTGATAAGGCCGCTCTCCGAAACACAGACATTCCTTCCAAGCACATCCGCGATCCTTCGACCATGCACCTGAACCGTCGGAAATATCGGGACTCGGTTCGTATGGAGCCTCCACGTCTACACCACACTTGCGCCCCAGGTCCAGCCACAGTTCCATCACGACACTCCTGTGAGGTGCTATCGCTGGACGTAAGGCTTGCAGATCTTCATGCGCTCGATGCCAAACTCGGTGTACGGAGCCCCTGAAGTCTATCCAGTCGACATGCCCTGTACGCAATGCCGCTGCGCCCCCGGTGAAAAGCCTCATTATTGGCTTCAGGCTCCCTTCATACGAGGTCAGTAAGTGGTAACTCGTGTCACAGTGCATGGAATGGTGACACACTGAGCTCTTCTCTGTCGCTTTCCATGGCCCCTGGCACGACAGAACGAGCCAGCAAGACGATCACATTGTGAGAAAATTCGTGGCTTGTGCCGAAAAGGTCCGCTCTCGGGAGATTCTTCATGAGCTCACTAGCGGCACTTCGTCAGCAGCATAGAGTGGAATTAGGAGTGTTCGTACCCGATGACCATAAACATCGTTTTCAGCATTGCCCATTCCAAATCGTCTCTGCCGCAGCAGACTTGCCTCTGTGCTGCACGCAGAAAATTAAGGGCTAAGGCTTCAGTCTCGGTCGCCCGCGGCTTCATGGTAGGATGCATAGTGAAGAACACGAAATGGTCGACTAGACTACTAAGTGCCCCATCTATCGTGGTCTCAGAGAGAAGGTCGGCATTGCAGCGCTTTATGAGGGCTTCGGGAGTTATCGTCTTGCGGGCGAAGGCTCTGCCTACAAAAGTCCGGAAATCATTTGGATTGACCACTTGATGGTAGGACGTAAAGACTGGATCAATATGCGTTTTCCATTTTCCGCGGGTTTCAGACAGCCAGCAAAGCGTGGCTACATGCGGGCCATCGCTGCGCAGTATTCCTGGAATATTGCCACTCAGACAGACCATTCGTGTCAGCCTCTTCAACTTCGGCGTCTGCGAGAACTGTCCGATACTTACGTCTCTGCGATAGACAAGCTCAACTCTGCACATAAGAGGTCAGCGACGCGGGTGCGCATATTGGCTCCACCTCCTGCATTTTCGCTTTCGTCCCAGGGATCGCAGACGATGAGGCTGGAATGTTCTAGGCAGAGTGTCCAAAGCTGAGGGAAGCTATTGAGGAGACGTTTTGACCATGGCGCGCGAACAGCGCTGGCACGTGTTCTAGACCCACGTCCGCATCCTATAGCATAGTGCACAAGGCGGAGAATAGTAGCATACAGGCCGTTGAGGTACAGCTGTCATGCACGCTGTTAGTGGGCACATGAAGCAAAGACAAAAGCTCGACTTGGGCCCACAGAAGCATCAGATTTGGACGGATACTCCTCGTAGAGTCTTCTATCCAGTGCACAGTCCATCACAGCTTGCGGCATCCCTCCATGGTACAGCTCATCCAGCTTTGAATCTGTCGGGCGTACCAATTCCACAAATCTGGTATAGTCTTCGAGAAATTGCACTCGCTCCAACGGTTGCAAATGTAGTCGTTTGAGCACCTCTCCTGCCATAGAAGGCCGGATGGCGAAGTCGCGGACTGACCAGTTCTCCGACATTGCAGGGGGTCAGTTGGAAAGGGAGATAAGCGCTCAATTCGAGCTCCACGTAAATTGACTAAAAACACGAGGCAACACCCATCGCCCACGCGTACTCCTCATGACATACGGGAAGTTCCCAACAACGAAAGCCCATATCTCGTGGAATTTACTATGGAGGTACTACCCGACAGCCAGTGGCCATAAAGCAGGGTACTTCGCTTAGCCTAACGAGCGGGTGTTCTACAGATTAGTTTATGCCCCCCTTCCTTCCAATCTCTGAAAGATATTGTCAGAGGAGGCCTTAGGCAATTAATTCAAGGTGCGTTACTTACTTTGTCTGGCATTTTTTCGAACAATATAGCACATTCTCGCACCTCTTGCACCTCCGCAACCTGTGATAGGGTCGCTCCCCGAAACAAAGGCATTCCTTCCATGCGCAGCCCTTGTCTTTCACCCAGGCACCTGACGCCCCAGCAATCTCGGGTGATGGTTCGTACGGAGCATCGACGTCGATCCCACATTTCTTTCCGAAGTCTAACCACCACTTCGAGACTAGGCTACGGTGGGGAGCCTCAGCCGGAGACAGCGCCTTTAGATCTTCATTTGTGCGATGCCACACTTGCTGAACGGACCCACGAAAGTCCATCCACTCTGGCAGCTCCCGCTCTTCAGGTCCCGCTCCCTCGAGGGCGGCACCACTAACCGCAAACAGCGTGATCATCCCTTCCAAGTCGACTGCAAAGACAAGTCATTAACATAAGAGCCAGATTAACATGACATAGTACACACCTAGCTTCCGCTTATCTGTCTCCATGGCACCTGGAATTACAGCTCGAGCTAAGACCAAAACAGCGCTATGAAGAAACTCGCGTGAGCCAGTTGGTTTTTTCTCCCTGTCGTTCATCATCATATCCCTATACGCAGCCAGTATTAGCTAGTACGTAGCTAAAATCTTGTGACTTACCCTATCATTGAGAATGTGTGTCTGATTATGTTCCACTCGCAGTAAGTATCATCCCCACTGCAGATTTGTCTCTGCGCAGCGCGGAGAAGGTTCAATGGGTGTTCATCGTCCAAACCGCGAGACCGCTTCATTTGTGGATGCGTAAAAAACCAGCCCAAGTTGTTCATGAGACAGGCGAGCTCTCCGTCGACCACGTCATCAGCGAGTAGCTTGGCGTTGCTGTGGTATACAAATTGGTCCGGTGTGACGGTCTTGCGTGCGATAGCCCTGCCAATAAACGTCTGAAAGTCCCCTGTCGTGCAGAACTCGTAATAAGATGCGAAGACGGCATCGATTTGCGCAAGAGATGCCCTATCGCCTGCCGAATACCAACACATGAGAGCCACATGTGCTGCCAGATTGTTTAGAACTCCAGGGGGACGACCGCTGCGCAGAATACTATGAGGATGTGTTACCTCTAGAGTCAAGCGATATGTACTCGCCGTTCCATTCTGGACAAAGCAACTTGGCTCATGAGAATATCGACGATATGCCCGCAGAAATCGATATTTTCTTCTTCATCGCCTTCATCAGGCTCCCAGGGATCGAGAAGAATGTATGAAGAATATTCGAGAATGAGCGTCCACAACCGAGGAAAGGTTTCAAGTAGTTCCTGCGCCCACCGATGATGCTGACCACATTTATGGGTACGATGTGTGCATCCATCATCTACGGCATGGTGGATCAGCCCCGTGAGAGCGGTGCATACTGATAGCAGGTAGTTCTGTAGCGAACCGGGCATAAAATCATCTATGTCAATCTGTCTGTCAAAATGCGCGTGAACGTTGCTTACAGCGGCATCAGGGTCGTCGGGGTACTCCTCATAGAGCCGCCTGTCCATGGCAATATCAAGGAAGGCTTGAGGTAGTCCTCCTGAGAACAGGCCATCGTATTGGGCCTCACTGGGGCCCGCAAAGTCGAAGTCTATATATTCGGCCATGAAGTCATATCGTTCCACGGGGTCAGGGAAAGAATGGAACTGTTTCAGTGCTTCGCCTACTTTCTCGGGCTGTTCGCGGAAAGTGTCAACGGTCCAAGGCATCGTAGCAACCGTCATGAGCGCCCCTTCACCAAATACCCGTGTACTCCTGGTCTTCTTCCCTTTCTTCCTGCGTGTCATGGTGGTCTGCTTGTGAAACTTGGAGAACGAATCAGAGAGAGCGTGCGGCCATCAAAGTTACTAATAAGCGCCTGGTTTCAGCGAAGCAGCGGCGGTATGATGTGCTCCACGCCATAGAACAGGGCGTTCTCAAAGCACAGCGTGATACTCATATATAAACAGCCTATTGAGTCTCTTTGAAACTCCACCGAGACATTGGCAGAACGAAAAGCAGCCTATAGCAGCAGTCCTTGTCAACTGTGCGGAAGTAATAAATGCGACTATGCTTGACAAGTATGCTTGTGACCTCCTTCCTTCCAGTCCCTGAATTCGGGAATATTTGAGTTCGTATCGAGATACAGAGGTTCGTAGTAACTTACCTGGTCTGGCACTTGATTGAGCAGTACATCACCTTCTTGCACCTCTTACATACTCGCAGTTTATGGTACGGACGCTCGCCGAAGCAAAGGCATTCTCTCCAGGCACAACCGTTGTCCTTCCTCCACCTCCGCGTACCAGAAGAAGGGCCCATAGTCGGCTCGTAGGATGCCTCGATGTTGACGCCGCACTTCTCGCCACACTCCACCCACCACTCCAGCACCACGCTACGAAACGGCGCGGTGGACGGGGAAAGCGCTTGCAGATCTTCGTGTGTCTTGTGCCAGACTTGGCGGACAGCCGTGCGGAAATCTGCGTGCTCAGAAGAGCCCGAGGCATTCACGGGATCCATGCCGCTCAGCGTCTCGGCGCCGAGAGAGAAGAAATTGACCATGCCTTCAAGGACGTCTGTGGGGATCGACCGCGGTCAACGGTAGTGAAAACGCAGTGTCAAAAGGATATGATGACCTAGCTCACGCCGTTCGGTCTTCGTGGCCGCCACGACAACGGCACGAGCGACCAAGAGAATGATATTATGGGTGAACTCGCGAGCACTTCCTAGTTGCATTTGGGTCGCGGGGTCCTTCGAGAGCATGTCCCTACAAATAGCGGTGAGCTCAACTCAGATGAGCGAATAAATATTTATGGCCCACCGAACATTCGCAAAGGTTTGTCGAAGGATCATCCACTGCCAATTGTCCTCGCCACTGCACACCTGTCGCTGACAGGCACGCAATACATTGAGGGCCAGACGCGGGTCTTGTCCTCGTTGTGCCTTCAGCTGCGTGTTCATGCAGAAACGCCACAGATGATTCAGCAGCCAGAACAGCTCGGTGTCTACGACGCCGTCGGAAAGTAGCTTGGCGTTGCAGCGGTCAAAGAACTCCTCCGGGACCAAAGTCTTCCGAGCCATTGCCCTGCCGACCCACAGCAGGAAATCCTCGGGCGGACACGTCTCCCAGTACGACCCCATCACAACGTTATCTAAATTGGCGAGGTATACCTTACTTTTCGAAGACATCCAGCAGAGAAAGGCGACGTGCGACGCGTCGCTGTTCAGTAGACGTGGGGGTTGGACCCTGAAGGGGAGTAAGCAAATGCCTTGGCGATCAAGCTATTGTAAGATTTAATCACCCTTCGGCTTTCGACAGGTTAATCTGGCTGACTAGAAGGTCGATAACATGTCCCTGCAAGTCGTCTTCCTGACCATCGGATCGAAGGTTACTTCGGCCATCAAGTCGAATGAGGTGCGGATAGTCCAGCAGAATTGTCCACAGTTGCGGAATCTTTTCCAAAACATGCTTTTTCCACGGAGCATGGCTGCCGCCTCGGTGACTGGGCTTCGTGCAAGGTTCCGTGACGGCATGGTAAACAAATCCTGTAAGTGCGCTGTACACGGAGAGTAAATATTCCTGTTAAGGGTTGCAGCGTGAACCGAATATAAGAGGCTTCGAACCAGATTAAAAGACTCACCCCTGTGTGGAAGTCCTGGAAATTGTCGTACAGCCGGCGGTCGAGGGCTACATCCATCAGCACCTGCGGGAGCCTGCCCTTGTACAGACCATCCAGCTGCTCCTCGGTAGGACGCTCGTCATCAAATTTTTGATAGTCTATGATAAATTTGCGGCGCCGTCCGGGGTCCGGGAGCGAATGCAGCCTGCGTAGGACGTCGCCGGCTTTGGTCGGCAGACGTGTAAAACTGTCAACAGTCCAGTTGTCCGCAACTGTCGCCAACTGGAACGCGTCAACGCTGCCTGACCTGTTCGCATCATTTGCCTCATAACCTAAGGACATGGCTGTCAGTATTTAGGGCATATGTCTCAGTGCGCAGAGATTTACCGCACTAGATCGTGGAGGCCGGGAAAAGGGTTCAAACTGATTAGGCGCCTGTAGATCGGTACCTCTGCAGTGAAACACACGATGCATAGAAGCATTTGAGAGACCGTTTCGAAGAAATCTTGCCAAAGCCTGAGCATGCTGTAAGACTAACTGGTTCAGAGTCTAGTCGGTATATCACCTAATTGCATGTTCATGGATTCATTCCCGGTCCTTGAATTACTGTACAGCAATTTGACAAAAATATGTACACACTGCATGTTGGACGCGCGGTGCTGAGAGCTGATGATCTCCAGTCCCAAATCGGGCGAAACGAGCTGCCACTCTAACAAGTACTCGTCTTACCGTCATTAATAACTGTCTCGGCAATTCCGGTGAAACTCAGGATGCGGCCAATTTTTGGCTTTTATGTTGCGCTGGATCCAACCACGATGCACCCGCGTAGTACCCGTTGGCGGTCATGGCGCAGATAATATTTTGTATGTTGATCATCTCGCTAGGCTGTCACTACACTGCTGACCACAAATTTGTATTGGAGATTATCCCTTTTTGTGTCATATCTTTGGATTGTAAAGCTTTGATATACGTCTCAGCTCGTCTGTTAAGGATACGGTCATTTGTCCAGCTCTAAGCACCAACTATGATAGACAGGGTCACCTCCAAAGGTGTTTAAATCCAGCGGCCCAGAGCTGGCATTACAGCTTACTAGACATAGGAATGCTGTTTGTTTTATGCTAATGTTTTTATGACCAGGTACAACCCAGAGTTTTGAACTGGGTGGTCACTCAGGCAGCAAATCTTTCGCTGCAAACCAGGATGGCTGTGTGGTGGAGTTACAGGCCATATTTGTATATGCCATGGTGGCTTTCTGTTGGCTCTCAGCCATCTTTCTGATGTCTTTGAAGAATGAATTTGTTTCTGAATGATATAAAAGACAAGTGACCAGAAGTTGATCTCTCTCCCAAACTCCCAAATACTAGTACAATGGTGCAGCAGTTAAGACCTGTCAGAAACAAAGCCTGCAGCATTATCCATGTCCAGTCGGACCTCAGCATTGTATATCTGCCACTTGAGAAGGCTGAAGTGCATGCCGACGTAGCAGATGGTTGGTACCATTTCTAATGTCATTTTGATGCTCACATGCACAGCTAGCTCATGCACGTCTAGTATCTGCCATTGTTACTGTCACTCAGTACTTTCTGCAATCCTTCCCAACAGGCATTCTCCATGCCAAGTATATCTTTCCTGTTCCTGCCAAGTTGGCTGTATGCGGCTTCCAGATGACTGTGGAGGACAGCACTGTCATCACCACCATCACCAAGGAACGTGACGAGGCTAAAAGAGACTATAAGAATGCTGTTCAACTCAGGCAGACCACTGGCCTTGTTGAGCTTATAACCAACGATGGTCAGGCTACCGACTTCACTGCTCAATATCTCACTGATGGTTTGCCACAGTCTTCTCCATCTCTGTTGGAGCCCTTCCCATAGGCAAGATGATTACTACCACAGTTACTGTGAGTCTTTTCAATGATCTATGTTTCACTATCTGACCATCTACAGTACATGCTCAACCTCATGGAGGACGACGCTACCAACCAGATCAGACTGCAGATCCCAATGTATGTTGGAATGCAATATAGTGTCCTTTCTCATGGTGCAGCAGGTCATAAGAGAATTCTGCCTCATCACATCAGCATTTCCATTGATGTCTGCATGCAAGACACAGCCAGAAGTATTGCCAGCCCAACTCACTTGATGCTCACCATCCTGGATAACAGGTCAAATGCGATGTCTCATAGCTCGCAATACCTCTCCCAAGACTTCCTTACCCAAGACTTTGTCTTGTGCATCGCTGCTGATGGACTAGACACCCTGCACTGCGTTGCTGAGTGTGCATCCACCAGTGCAGTTGCTATGCAGTTGAACATTGTGCCCAAGTTCAACTTGCTGCCAATTGTAAACCAAGAATACATCTTCCTAGTGGATTGCAGTGGCAGCATGGAAGGTAGCAGGATTGAGACTGCTCAGCATGTGCTCGTGATGTTACTCAGGGTCCTGCCAAGTTAGGGAACACACTTCAACATCTTCAGCTTTGGCAGTCACTGCGACAGTTTGTGGTCTGAAAGTATCATGTATGATGAACAAACATTGGGTTTAGCCATATGTTGATTGTCTTGCCAGTGTACTTCTACTGATTACTCACACATAGACTTGACATATCAATATCATATCGGCCAGCTATGGGGGCACAGAAATCCAGAGTGCAATGGAGAAAGTACTTGCTTCACGCAGGACAGACAAACCTACAGCTTGTTTTATTCTAACAGATGGAGAGGTATATATCTGCTGCCCATGTAACTTCATGCCTTGACAAGGATCTTCCAGGTCTGGAACCTTGTAGGCACTTTCAAGACTGTCAACGATGCAATCAAAGCATCAGAGACTATGGCACAGCTCTGCATGTTCACTCTCGGCATCAGATCCACCATGTCAAGTGAGATGTGCAAGGCTATTGCATGTGCTGGCAATGGCATCTGTCAAATAGCCACCACCTCTGAGAGCATCATTGGAAAATGCTCCAAGCTGGTGCGTGCAAGCCAGACCTACATTCTCAAGAATGTCAGTGCTGACTGGGGCTCAGTTTTTACCCCTACAGATGCCAGGAGTTCTATCCATCAGGCCCCTGCAAAGATCTCTGCAATATATCCTGGACACCAATTCATTGTCTTTGCTTTCATTGAGGGCACAAGCTTCAAGCCTCCAAAGAAGGTCATCCTTTGCGGGCAGCGTGATGGGCTTGGCAATGTTCTCTGATTTCCCATTCCTGTGCAGACCATTGAGTTTTCCCTGGATTACCCGCATTGAGGGCTCATTCTGGCTCTAGCTGCTTGTCAGTTCATCATGGACTTAAATGATGCTGATCGCAAGCAGCCTTCGCAAGATGCCAAGGCCTTCATCACTAGACTGGGCATCAAATATTTGCTGGTGAGCCGATACACATCCTTTGTCGCTATCGACAAGTGCACTGTAAGTGAAGTGGGCCTCACTGAGGAGTGGATCTGAGATTTTTCCATCTCTGATGACAGACCTGTAACCTGCGGCAGGGTGAAGTGACACCTCAGTAACACAGCCCAAATTGCAACAGCATATGACGCCTTCACACACACCATCGTGGGCCACACAGCCCCTTCAAAGAATGCCGAACACAGAGCAGTGGGCTCTGAAAAGGCAGCACGCAAGCAGCTGTCAATGACTACTTGCAAAGCTGCCATGGCAGCATGCAAGAGCACCAGTGTGACAATGACCACTCCTGCATCCTCTGCCACCAGTGGCCCACTGGCCAAGCATGTCTGTACTGATGCAGGCACAGCTGCACCTGCCCCAAGCCAGAACTTCAGCACCAAAGCAACCATTGCTCAATCTTCAGATGACAAAGTGCTTGTGCTTGTGCAGCTCCAGTTGTTCGATGGGTCATTCCCTGCCAGTGAACAGCTTGGAACTGTTGTCGGCAGCGACGCTTTGGCTGGGGAAAAGACTCTTCAAGTCACTGACAAAGCATGGGCTACAGCACTTGCCATTGCAAGAAACACATGAGGAAACAGGGGCTGCTCAATGGACTCATTGAGAAAGCCATGGAGTACATGCATTTGAAAAAACCTCTGTTGCTAATTAGCATAATTTAGCATAGTTTAGCACTAATTTTTACTTTAATAGCAGAATAGCAGGAATAGCACTGGAATAGTATGGTCCCTTGTTATTAATGTTATTTGGTACCCATTTTCATGCTATTCTCACTGTTTGTGCTATACTTGTTATACAAAGGCTAATTCACCAGAATAAAAGCAGTATGCAAAAATCCAAAATATATAGAACTTCCACACAAGCACTATATTGCATACCTGTCATATTGTATATGTTTGAAAAATTTAAAATATCTCTTCCTGGTGAGAATTGAACCCTCAGCTTGCCAACCAAACCAAGCGTACTTTAACCACTAATTCATTTGTTTTACATAAGTATTATGCTTCAATGTTTCTATATGTACCCTTTGATGGACTTAGAAGCAATTTCAATGTCTTGCCTTGAAACTTCATACATATATTGTGGTGTTTATAAACATATGGCAATAATCAACATGAAAATACTAGTGTGACACTGTATAGTATGCAGTCAGTTTTGTGTAACTTCTAAACTAGTGTCTAATGAGGACCTGCTGTTGTGTTAAAATGGAAGTGTAGACAATAGCATATGTAAGAGCTGACAGCTAACCAGTTATGATAAGTGGCACTGAAGCAAATCAAAGTGGTTTTTATGGTGTATGCTGCTACTGTACACTAATTTACAGTAGCCACTCCCTTAAACAGTTTACAAATAGCAAATAAATAGCAGCTATTATCAGGATTAGCAGAAATAGAAGTGGAAAAGCTTTGAAATAATGCCATGGCAGGCAGATGGCAGCTATGAACGAAACTTTCAGAAATAGCAGTGAACAAACTTTGAAATAATAAAAATGACAGGCAAATACCAGGCAAATAGCAGCTGTTAACAAGACAGGTGAAAAAGGGAATGAAAAAGCTTTGAAATGATGGAATAGCATGCTATTAGCTGAAAATTAGTGATTATAACAGAACTAGCTATTAAAAGACAGTAAAACAACAAAGATGAAGCAGACATTTAGCTGAAATAGTGATTTAAGAAAAATAGCATAGAATAGCATTGGATTTACTATTTATCAGCAGTTTAAACCAGGATAACAGAGGGAAAGCATATAAATAGATGAATTTAACAAAAGTAGCATATGAATAATAAGAATAATATAAATTACAGACAACTAATGCTATTTAGTGCTATTTTGCATTGGGAGTTTTTCCAGATGCATCACCCAGCTCTCAGATGTCACCATTGAAAATCTCCTTGCTCATGCGAGTGAGCATGTTGTGTAAAGGAGCCCTGAGATTCAAAGGGCAAAAATTATCATATCAGTCAGTCATATCAAATTGTCAATAATCAATTGAGCTGCTCTAAAATAAGTAGCAATGTCAATAAGCCAAATGATACCTTACCATATTTGACACAGATAGGCTCACGCTCAACCAGACAATTGAAGCACATGTGAGCCTAGGGCCAAGTATGGTCAGTGCTGACCAGAGCAGCACGCTATCATACACATTGCATTAAGCATCATGCATCAGAACCCATTTTGTATTACTATTGCTTACTGCTTGGCTCTCTCTTTGCCATAGCAGTGACCATGATATGTGCCGAATCGCAGATGACAGAGTCATGGGGTGTATTTGTTTCCGCTGGCCCCTCTAAGCAACAATTACTCAGTTGGCTCCATTCTGTGAGATGCAGAGCTTCGGTGAGTACAAAGTGAACTGCCACATGGTATAGCTATGGCTTTCTGAGGTGTGTATATTTAGTGAACACACTGGGAGGTTGGATGCTATAATGTATAAAGTTTTTAACACAAGGTTTTGAAGTGTTCTCGGAGCATACATACAAAGGCATTTCTGGTTCGAGCTTCATAAAGTGTACCATTGTAAGATCAGGCAACTGCAGAAGAGTAGTCACCAGATACAGCTGCAATCTGGTGACTCGGAGCATATCAGCATAAATTTGAAAACAAGAAATTCAAAAGTGTCTAGCTCTGAGCTAGCTCTGGCCAGATGAAAATATATCTGAGCACTAGTCTCCGCTAGCACTTCAGTGTTGTTGTTGGTAGCAATGCACTGGCAGAGCCAGAGCCAGAGGCTACTCAGACTGCTTGATGGCCTTGTTGAGGAGGCCACGAAGTACATCTCTCAATTTTCGGATGTCATCATTGAAGATCTGCGAGAGAACAAGTTGCGTGAAGAAAGCTTTCAAGGAAGCGCATTGTCATATACCTCCTGATAATTCTGCAGGGCTGCCACTCCTGGCTGAAGTATAAGGTATAAGTGAGACGTTGACGCTGCGAGCAGTAGCAGGCTTGTCAGCAGGAGAATTGATGTATTACGTGGAGCAATTTGCATAAGTGCCATCTCCTGTGTTTTCAGTGGTAGTCACGCAGCAGAGACTAGAGAATTACATCTCAGGCTGACTTTACCTGCCCTGATCTTTGCAAGCACATGTCTGCCAGATAACACCTTTCAAAGGTTGGCAATATCTTTACAATGCGCCCTAGCTTCCGTATCTTCTCCTCCGCGAGAAATTGCACCTCCGGTGAACCTTGAGCTTACCATCACTGAACACATTGCATGAGAGAAATTTGGAACTTTTTTTTTCTTGCAAAAAAAATGCAAAAAAGCTTGAAAAAGTAAGTAAGAAAAGGCCGTATTTTTTTGCTCGGTATCCGGCAGCCCGACAACTCGGCAATCCGGCATTCGAGCTGATTATCCGCTGGGTGCTGCCGTCCCCAGGGCACTTTGATAGACGGCCTGGCGGACAGTTGGCTTGGCTGCCAGATTGCCAAGTTATCAGGCTGTCGGATACTGAGAAAAAATATGACATATTCTTACTTATTTTTACAAGCTGTTTTTGCATTTTTTTGCAACAAAAAGCTCCAAATTTCTCTGCTGTTACCCTACACCAATAGTATTATCTTAGACATGCATGATGTTTTAGCCACACCCATGTCTCAGCGGCACCAGGGCTCAGTGCACTTCAAGGTGGTATGTTCGAATGGCTATTCTGCCAGTGGCGAACTGAAACTTTTGACAGGAGTCAGGCCACTAATGATCAGTACCAACTCATCCAAAAGATGACGACGTACAAGAAGTCAGCTGTTGGTAGGACCTTCAGTCACTCTATCCTCACTCCACTCCAGACAGCTGCGCTACGCAGCCATTCAATCCAGGCTTTTCATGTGAACTGCAGTTTGATTCTCTCAGCCACCGCCTTGAGCTGAACCCCACTGCAGCTGCAAAGGGGCAGCTTTGGAACTGAGTCTTTGATTCAGGGAGATGGTGCCAACATTGCTGGCTCACGCGTTCGGAGAAGAAAGACAGCCACTGCCTTTTGGCATATATGTCATCAAGCCGCATATCATCCTTGCTCTACTACTTGCAGTCAGACCTTGACTCCATCTCTCACTCAGGCTTTCTGCATGGGTTGCCCTCACAGCTGCGCTATTGAACGCCACAAAATTCAACACCAGTGATGATCTTGACAATTTCTCTGTCGGCACATTGCTCGGGTGTCTATCATTTACTGCATTCGTCCTCCTTGTCTTATGGGACCTGGTTGTCGATTGCCGACATGAAAGTTGGCAGTCCGAGCAGTCTATGCTCCGCATACCCTTCTGGAAGCAGACGTGTTATTCACTATGTATTGTCCTCAACCTCAGAGGTGTTGGATGGAATTACCAAACTCCGTATCTTTCTCCGCACCTGACCCATACCAGGCTCGGGTTTGCTGTAAGCCGGACTCTTTGCATCATCTGGTACATCTTCCTTGCTAACGTCGCTCAGACCTATGCTGGCACCAACCCACTGTTCAGTCTTTTGGGAGACTTAGCCAGGTCAATGAGGTCTCAAGGGCCGCTTCTGATGTTGCTCAACGTGATAGCTTGCACAGTGATTTTCTCCTGCACCTTGAACCTTTACTACAATGCACCTGCACTTATCGCGGTTGCCTTCAGGATTTCAAGACTAAAGGACTGGCCGGTAGTGTTAGGCAGATGGAGAGAGGCGCACACCGTCCGGCAATTCTGGAGGTACGCTGCGAGTCTTAGCATCTTGCATCAACAAGACTTGAATTGTATATTTCACCAGTCGTACTTGGCATGGTATACTTCGACATGTCAATATATGCGGTACTGTGGTTCAACAACTGGCACATTTGTGCGGGCGTGGGCAGCCTCCGCGTCTTCAGATTCTCGGCCATCAGGCCATTGCTCAAGTGGGTCGCTGCATCGTGGAGCATTGTCGTCCTTTCTTGGATTACGTCAAAGTGTGTGTAACAGATATTATAACACAGAGCTCAGATGGCATGTATAGTTTTATCACAGACTGAGCACGCGTGCAGGTCGACAACCAACGGCCTACCCAGACATGTGGCCACACGCAGCGTCCAGGCAGCACATATTAGAGACAGCTCATGCTGCCTGATGCACTTGTTGAAGAGGCCACAGAGTACATCTCCCAATTCCCAGATGTCACCATCAAAGATCTGCAAAGAAGCATGTTGCATGAAGGAGCCTTTCAAGCTGATTTCAAAGACAGAACATATTATGCCAGTTTTTGAGATGTCAAATGTGAATTCAAGCTACTAGAGTACAGGTAACTATCTTTTGTCATGCTCAGTACATACTAAACACAGCCCAAGAGTTTCAGTTCAGCAGCACAGATATGCAAACTTATTAAGTTACACTGGACTAGCTGCTCATAAGCGCCCAAGTGGCTAAGACACGCTTGAGAATTTCTGAAAAGCCCAAAAAATGGCACAAGCAGAAATCAAACCCACAGCCTGAAAGTAACTGCAGCACGCCATATCACTAAGGCATAAGACCTTGTAAATGTAAGGTCAGAATTTCCCTATAATATCACTTTTCTGCCTTGAAGTCTCCTACATTTTAGCCAATGATTTACATATTAAAGCAGTGGAATGTAATTGTACAAAGGTATATTCTGATGTTATGGCTAAGACACTGGTGTGGCTGAGACATCAGCACGAGAGAAATTTGAAACTTTTTTATCACAGAAAATATGCAAAAACAGCTTGAAAAAATAAGTATGGAAAGGTCGTATTTTTTCTCTTGGTATCTGGCAGCCCAGCAACTTGGCAATCTGGCAGCCGAGTTGATTGTCTGCCAGGCCATTTACTAAAGCACCCGGGGATGGCGGCACCCAGACGATATTCGGCTCAGCTGCCGGATTGCCAAGTTGCCAGACTGCCGGATACCGAGCAGAAAATATGACATTTTCTTACTTATTTTTTCAAGCTGTTTTTGCATATTTTTTGCGATAAAAAAGTTCCAAATTTCTCTCGTGCAGTGTGGCTGAGACATGGAGACATTGAATATTTGCTATTGATCCCACTTGAGTTACTGAGTATAATTTATCTGCTCAGGTGTCTTAGCCATAACATCAGAATATACCTTTGTACAATTACATTCCACTGCTTTAATATGTAAATCATTGGCTAAAATGTAGGAGACTTCAAGGCAGAAAAGTGATATTATAGGGAAATTCTGACCTTACATTTACAAGGTCTTATGCCTTAGTGGTATGGCGTGCTGTGGTTACTTTCAGGCTGTGGGTTTGATTTCTGCTTGTGCCATTTTTTGGGCTTTTCGGAAATTCTCAAGCGTGTCTTAGCCACTTGGGTGCTTATGAGCAGCTAGTCCGGTGTAACTTAATAAGTTCGCGTGTCTGTGCCGCCGAACTGAATCAGCTCCACGGCCAACCGGGACGCTGCCGGTCGCGCAGTCGAGGTATCCGCAAGCCTCGCATCCCCAGCATACTCCCTCGCATGCACCACACCAGGAAACACCAAGACACATTACGCACTACTGACTACACAAGGAGACGGCGATACAGCTACAGCGGGGGTACATTTACAGCCCGGCGCCAGGCGCTCACGAGTCGATCACCCAAACTCAACCAACACGACGACATCACAAAAAAAACACGAAAACACGAAAAACATGACCACGGAAGAAACGCAAAGACAACGTCCCGGACTCGGTGGCCCAGCCACCACCTGCAGGCCCCTCACAACGCCCTCCAGACTCTGACACCCTCCTCGTCGTACTCAGCGCCCTCCCCGTCCGCCGCCGCAGCAGCAGCAAAAATGTCCCAGACGGGCGTGTAGTCGTCGGCGCCAGCGCTGCGACGCACGACCGCGGCAGCAGGCACGCCCAGCAGCTCGTCGCAGCTCCCACCAAAGCCAGCGGTGCCAGCAGCACCTTTGCCGTCGTCCACCGGGGACGCGGCGCGCAGGTCAATGACCGACGGCGTCGGCGGCGGGGACGCCCACCCGTGCACAGCAGACGGGGAGAACGGCCGGCGCGGCGGGTAGTGCACGTCACGGCCCCCCTGCCACGACGGCCACGGTTGCGAGTCGGAGGAGCCGAACGAGGTCGGGGAGATTGGGGAGGTCGGAGACGAGGGCGCGCTGCTGCCGCTGCCGCGCTGTAGGACAAGGTCTGGCGTCGACTGGATGCGGACGAAACCCGGCCGGGCGTGGGCGTGGGCGGCGCCGCGGCCGCGGAGTGCGGGCGGCTGCAGCGCCGCGGGGAGGGGAGGGAGCGGGAGGGAGCGCGTATGGTAATGTGTGTAAGGATAGGGTGGCGCATGTGTCGAGGCGGGCAACCAGGGGTGCGAGGGCGCGAGGGGGTGTGAGCGCTGGCAGGGGCTGCTGCGCGAGGACGGCCTGAGGAATGAAAGCGAGAAAGTTGTGGAGGAGAATGCGTTCGAGCGCGAGGACTGGCTGTTGAGGCCGGCGGCTGAGTGGCGGGAGGTGACTTGGCGGGAGGCGTCGCGCCAGATGCGCCAGATGTCGGGCTGGGTGCCGAAGACGACAAAGATGGCGATTGGGACTGGGATGGTGCAAGTCAGGCAGGGTCGAACGATCTGCAGCACGGACACTTACAGGTGGAGCATATCAGATCTGGGATGGGCTACAGTAGCAGCATCAGCATCAGCAGAGCAGTTGATATCATAGACTTACACTTGTCAAGTTGATGGCCAACATGATGTTGAGACTGCACCAACGTCAGCACCAACGAACGAGTACAGTAGCGATTGACGCCTTACCAGAGCCCGATAAACACATACACGCCAAACACACACACCCTGAACACGAGGGAGAAATCCAACCCGCGGCCGTTTCTGGAGAGCTGCTTGATAGAAGACCGGTTTCGGTAGAGCAGCGCGACTATCCATACTGGGAGATGTGCGTCCATGTGTGAGTTTGACGGCGCCGGCGGATCACGACAGCGGCGCACCTTCTAAGACGATCGCGGCGAGCGTTGCTACGGAGCCGACGGTCCCGACGGTCTCCGTCCTGTCGTTCCCGGGTCAGCAGAGATCCAGGCCGTCGGCGACGTGATAGGGACTTACAGGTGTGCGTCATTAATGACGCAGTAGTACGTTGCCCGGCGTACTAACTGCGGGTCACGAAGGCCTATCTAAAATGAATGGAGCATTAGACCAAGTCTTATAAGCTCATGACGGTAACGCACTACCAGTGTTACCAAGGCAACAGAACCGTAGACGATCCAGGGAGATACCAGACACTGTTGGATTGGTTAGTTTGCAGGGCTCCTGTCCACGGCTTACAGCTACGTACTATGATGGTGCTAGCATGTAACATCCGGTCATCCGTGAACCTTGATCCAACCGCAGTTTGCACAACGAGCCAGATCTACGGAGGTAGGCGGATGAGCGCAATGACCAAATGCGGCAGGAGGCGCATCAAGTGTCAAGATAGCACGGAAGACGTCCCAAATTTGGGTGTGGGCGGGAACAACATGGAAGAACGACGAGCGTTGGCACGACAGGAATGACGTACATGGAAGATCAGCGCTGGGGCCGTCAGCGCAACGCTGTGGAACATGCCGCATACATTGAGCGACACGAAGGCAAAAAAGATTAGGCCAAGAAAGACGCACAGGGCTCTCTGGGACGTTGTCAGGACAGCACTTGCAAGGCAGACCTGACGCCGTGGCGGCGGGCCTGTCACCTGCCCCACATAGTACCTGGATACAGGTACCGAGCTCGTGAATGAAGGGGGGTCGTGCATGGGACGACAACGTACAGCAAGAGGACAGACGGAAACGATGAGATCCACCACGAGAAACACATCGAGATGAGCAGGGGGTTTCGCGGTCTCAAAAAAAGTGAGCTGTGGAAGGCAAAGAAAACAAAAGCTCGCTTGCACTCACTTGCGCTTGGTGGTAGGCCAGAGCATTGTCGCCAGTAAGAGGGTCAGTCCAACTCCGCCAACCAGCTGAGCAACGAGGTAGAACCATATCTTCCAGTCTGCATGGGCATAAGACGAGGTAGAAATGCTCGATGAAACGAAGGACTGGGCTGAGTTGGGCATGGCTCGGCCGGTGCAGCGCGGTCAGATCGCACAGAGTTTGAAGTCGGGAAGATGCTCGCCGTTCTCGGCGCGATGCTGTGGTGTCAACCCCTCGAGGACGTGTGCGTCGGAATGTGCATGAAGATGCAGTGTCGCCTGTGGGGAGAACTAGAAAGGATCGTCTGAGCGAGCGAGAGTGGGGTGGTTAAGACCGGCTGGGAGACGGCGAGCGAGGTGGGTGGGGAGGGGCAAGGATCGCTGGGTTGGGCCGGAGGCTGGGCGGCGCCACACGCAGACGTCGAAGACACGTCCAGAGCTCAGTGCAAGTCAAACGGTGACGGTCGATTGAACTCTCGCATTGCTGCTGCCGAGCTCTTCGCCGCCGCGTGGGCCTCGAAGTCGCCCGATTGGGCATCTGGGCGACCTGGATAAATGGTCCGCACTGACAGGCGGCGCCGTGCAAGGAAGTGCTGCCCCTCCCGCACGGGATCTTCGGTCGACACTGGAGAGAGAACATCTGGACCCAATCACTGGGGTTAGCTAACTGTCTGATCTCGCAGCTTGACGTGGGACTTTGCCGCAGTAAGAATGCCGCGACAAGGATGAGGCGGAGGCAGTCACAGATACCAGGCACAAACGTCTCGACGTCCAACATCAACGTCGGATACAGGCTGATGTGCATGTGAATGGTCACCGCCATGTGGACGGGGGGAAACAAAGCGAGTCGTTGTCATCGGTCGTGTCCGAGCGCCACCAAGTTTCTTCAGGCGCTCTTATCACGTGACACAAGGTCTTTGGGTTACGACCCGTTTTGGCATTCTTATGTAACCTCTTATCTGTTTCTCGAAGGGGTCTGAAGTGCACTAGCTCAACCCAGAAGCTCACTTTGCTCTTCTGAGCAATTCACATAATACTTGCGAATAAGCGAGTTTGCACATTCACCTCTAAGCCACTCGCTGAGCAGGCCCTTTGGTCAAATACTTCCCTACCTAGCATTAAGACACAGAACGTTAATCTCCGTTTGGTACCGATGCAGTGGATTCAGAGAAACTGTCAGTCCACAGTGCGTATATAGTTATGCACGATGTCGCGGTCGTACCACCCTTCGGCGATACCCGCTAGCAGAGCAACGGGGGAGAATGGCAATCATAGATAGATAAGTAAGCTGTCAATGAACTGATCCTCACCCGACACAGATTGCCTTCGAGCATGCATGAAGCACAGGGCCGTCAAGATGACCGGTGACTGAGATTTGAACTTTCTACAAATACAAGCAAATACACCTAATCGGTCAAGAACGGAAGGTTCCGACACAACATTCACCGCCCGCCTTCTAGCCAGACAAACTACTCACGATTGCTGACTCCGTACCGCTCCAGAAGCCATCATCCCTGACCAAGGAAGGCTTCACGAATACTTCGAGAGTTTGTCTCACTTTCTCGTCGCAATTTTAGTGGCCCGGAATTCTCTTGATGTCGCAGCCAATGTTCACGGCAGCCGTTTTCCGAGATATGAGGCTGGCAGCCTGGGAACGACATGCAAAATGTATTGACGGCATGGCCTCCTCTTCCCTTGAACGGATCCCCGGGACGGTTTGGCCTCGGGATGCACGCTGCGTCACTGATAGCCCGAGACCTCTAAGAGCACCCACCACTCGTCCACCCGCCGTCCAGCTCGAACTCGAGCTTCTCTATGACCGTCGCGCAGGTTACAGCTGCACGTTCGATACCACACTATGAGCCTGCACCTAAGACTATAGCGGACTGTGGGCTGTCTGTTGGGACATTGCGCGTACGCCGGCTGACATCCCTAATCTGATTTATGCGTACTTGGCAGTGGTCGACCCTCCTTCTACGTCATCAACCATGGCCTGTCTTCTGAGCAGGTGCGCACATCGCAACATTACATCTGTTACTTCTGATCTGAAAAACATATGAATACAGAGAGACCATGCCTTCGATATCGCAGCGAATATTTTATTCAAGCAAGCGTCAGACGAAGAAAAGGCAAAGCATGTGGTAGAATACTCAAGACGTGGTGATTGCAGAGGTACAAGCTTCGGCAACACCGTACGACTGGTTCGGTGCCGCAGCGGCGGTCTCACATCACAAGGGGTGTTGCTGCTTTTCTTTTTTTTTCCTGCTAAAATCAATTCTCGGGCCTCAGCGGCGCAAACGTATGAGAAGTGGTCCATATGCACCTTCCGAGGCGATAGTATTGCTCTTGTCTTTGTTACAGTATGGGCTTTCCTGATACTGTACCCGTACGACCAGCCCGGCGGCGGGTGTGACATGCGACAGTCGGCCACCAGTCCGGCGAGGCGGCGAGTTCGACAGTGGCCTGTGACACCAGTCAAGAACGCGGCGGTCAAGACAGACACAGGTTTTTTCTGGCGAAAACTAGGCCAAAATTAGATAAACAATAACCAAATTTTTCCTGCTAAGGCAAATTTAGGTAAAAATTGGAGCAAAGCCGGCCAAAATACGGTAAAACTAGAGAAAAGGGAAGCACTATCTCTGATTGTTCTTAGGTGAAAACCGGAGAAACACAGGTTCTTGTTCAACAAGCTTTAGAGTAATTATACAAGGGAAAAAATTGTGCTTACCATCCTGTGGGAGCGGCAATACAGATAGGAACAGTCATGGCGTCACCGAAAGCGCGAGTAAGTGTTTTCTGCGCCGCAGGCCCGAAAAATCTCAAATATTGATTTTAGCAGAGAAAAATGCGCAAAACGGCGACATCCCTTATGAAGTCGTGACCGCCGCTCTCAAGAGCGGCGGTCGAGGGCTGTGTGATGCGTGACGCGCCGGACCGGTCGTACGGGTACAGTATTGGGCCGGCGCTCGAGGATGAGGCATGCAGCATGTAACCGGCGGGTGCTTGACTGGATTGAGACTTACAATGGTGAACTTCGACCAGACCACCGCTTCAGTGCGGCGCGTGCTGGTCAATCGGATCGTGACCAAGAAGGAGCGTCCGGAAGCCCTGCGGCCGCCCTTGCCAGAGCTCGACGTCTTCAGCCAATTCGGCGTCTTGCATCCCATCTTACAGCAGGGTCTCCATTCTGAGACGCCACTTGTTTCATTCTTGGACGTTTCCTCTCCGACGGCACTGACTCTTCCGTAGCCTCGTGGCCTTCCGGACTCGAGTTCTTCGAAGGAACCCTTGTAAACCACCACCGTGACCGCGGGGACGCCGCCGGCGAAATATATGGTATGCGCCTCTTCCTTCCGATTTATAATTGTCTGATGCTCAACCTGAGCGCGCTTCTCGAAATAGCGTAGAGCCCGACCAGAGTCGGAGCCTCAACCACGACATGAATGCTGAGATCTGCTGCCCACGCTTGCCCCGGGGAGGAAACGGGATCGAACAACGTTTGACCTAAGGGCCGCATCGGCACGTCCAAACCGCCTACCTATTTGTTTTTTTTTCTTTGTCGGAAGGGACGAGTTTCCGTCTTCCAGACCTCCACAGCATCACGGTGCTCTGGTCCTAGTTAGCAGCCGTTCTCCAGAGCCTGTCTCCCGACAGCAAGCGGCGCTGGTTCCGGTACATCGACAACGCCCTCGTAGATACCCGCACCGCAGCTGCGTAGTAGACGCCGTAGCCGCTCACCCAAGAGAGCTTAACAGGCCATCAACACCGGCGATGCGATGGAGTTCCTCTCCGTGTGCACTACCGCGCGATGATACACCGTGTCGCCGTGCCAGACGCGCTCCGGCACCTTCTGCTTTACCATCTTCGATGATAATGTCAAGTTCGCGCCGCTCAGGCTCGCGGAGAGCCCCGTGCTGCGGAGAGATGAAAAGCGTTGGCAGGCAGCGCTTTGACGACGGGCACGCGCCTGACTGCGGAGGCGTATCGCAAGAGCCGGATGCCTGCGTGCAGCAGGAACGAGCTGAAGAAGGGGCGGGAGGATGGGGCGGATGCGAAATACGTCGAAGGCGTCTTGGCGAAGCACTACAGCTGATAGGACCTGAGGCCATCTGTGTCTTCTTTGAGGCGTATCACGATGCTATTGCTAGAGAATAGCTTGGTGGAAACACCGCATGATATCGGATATGGCTTTCCAGGGAGGATGGGCGTGCAGCCCAGGGTTGGCCGGGCTGGCCCTATGTTGCGTATCTAGGAATACAGACAGCCTGTCGTCGGACTGTGGAGCCGCGAATAGGGAAGACCACGCACATTACGAATTTTTGCGGAGACAAGGCGATGAGCGACATTGAGCCCCACAAGTAAGCGAACAATGCCATTTGTTTGAATTATCGACGTAAAGTAGACTAATGCAAGATAAATAATGCGCGTTTCGACATATGTGCCAGAGCATTTTGCAAATCCGTAGTGATGTGGAGATTCAGCCTATCCGTAAAGTTCCATAGAAGACATAATGGGAACGTGTAGAGCTATCTTTTACCGCCGTTTCAGCACCAGGACGAGATAAAGTATCACCCGGTAGACCAGCGCAATGATGAGCAGGATGCAGGCGTACAGTTTGAAGCTGATACCCTGGATGGCGAGGGCCTGTGAACATGCCATCCATCAGCAAGCTGATAACAAGAGCCGCCTGGACCGACGCACCCGGAGCACATCGTCGCCAGCGAGTGCACACTGCCCCTGGGCAATCAGCGAGCTCGGGTAGTCGCAGAAGCAACTCCCGTCCGCGAGCGTCGCACATCCGAGCGTGATGCCGTGGAAGTCGTTGAACACGAGCAGGTCGAACGCGTACGTCTGGAAGTCGATGAAGTGCGCCCAGTCATACCAGAACCGGGGGAGATTGACCGCGCGGATGAAGTATCCGCCGACGGACTGAGATAAGCAGGTTAAGTGGCGAGGTTCGGCAGATGCGGGATGGAAACGGGAAAAGGCTCACCATCCAGAAGCCGTTCAGGAACGACGCGATAGCGAGCGAGGCGACGAAAATGGGCAGTGCGGCAGCGACGACAGCGGACTGGTTCCGAACATTGTTTAGCATGGAAGAAAGGTACGGTTGGCCGGAGCAAGGCGTACCTGAGACTCTGCGGTGTATACCGCCAGGAACAAGATGCCCAAGAAGCGGAAGAAGTGTTCCGCACCAGGGTTGAGCCCGATGCTCCAGTAGCAGATGACAGCGAAGAGAAGGACACAGATGAACAGGTATGGCAACGTCACAATTGAGTTCGCAAGGACATATGCACCGGGACCGTAAAGCCCGTTCATGCGTTCGCGCATGAAGACCTGGCGCTCCTCGAGGAAGGCTGGGATGCCTGCGACGGACATGAAGCCTAGAAAGGCGACAGAGAAGAAATGAACCGATAGCCTATCGTTCTGTCGGCCACATGAGACCTTGTCCTAGGAGGCTGGAATTCGGAATTACATACCACTTTAGCGGACGTCTGGGCAAGGTTGACCCAGATAGTGGCAAGCATAACGCCCATGCCAACTACACCCTGTCAGCGGTGGTATGGAAGTTGAAGGAGGCGCGACCTACGGTACATCCCGATGCGCACGCCATAAGCGAGAAGATTGCGACTGTAATTGATGACATTCCGTTCCATCAAGATTCCAGTACGATGAACGTTCCGTGCGACGGCAGCATAGAAGCCCCTCTTTCCGCGTGTCAAGTACCGTGCGGTCCCATTGTGTTCTGTTAGCGTCTCGTGTTCGTCCTCTTCGCGCGGACCTAGGCCATTCGCATGGGCGTAGGCCGTCCACCGCTGTGCGAGCTCATCGACGTGCACTTCGCGCCGCGCAGGGTCCGACATAAAGTCGGTGTTAGTAACCTCGAGCGCATGGTCGGCGGGGTTAGCGTGCATCGGCACCGGATGGCCCAATCCATCGCGAAGATATGCATCCAGCTGATCTGTATGAAGGCTGTGTGAGTGCCGAAAACTGCGCTTTATGCGCTAACTTACTGGTCGGACCGAAGTACATCGTCCTGCCCCGAGCCAGCAAAAGCAGTTTGTCGAACAAAGCGAAAGTCTCCCAGTTGGGCTGATGGATGCTCGCGATGACGATGATACCATGCCTCCGAGCGATGTTCCTGACTTTGAGAAGCAGAAAACGTCAATATGTGGCTTTAGCGAGACAGATGAAAGACATACTCGCTGTCAAGACCTCCCGGCTAGTCCTGCTGTCGAGGCCGCTAGTCGGCTCGTCCAGAAGCAATATTCGTGGCATCGTCACTAGCGCGGAGCCGATCGTGACCCGCCGCTTCTGGCCGCCCGAGATGCCACGCTGCACAGCATTACCGATGCGATTTTGCGCCGCCTCTGTCAAACCCAGATCAGATATGACAGCTGCGACACGGTCGTTAATGGCGTCGGCGGGAGTCGTAGCGTCAAGGCTATGTAGGGTCGTGAGCGGAGTTACGGCTACGCGTGAGTGTCCGGGACAAACCTTAGCCGCGCTGCAAAGCGAATAGTCTCATGAACGGTGAGCACGCCGAGGAGGGCGTCGCTCTGCTCGACGTACGCGGCGAGGGCACTCATGTCTGCGCCAGCATCGCCATTTACTGTTACCTGTAGCACCATCAATCAGTTGAACAGTTAGCGATCGTGTGGTAGGAAGTCTTACCAAGCCTGATGTGGCAGATGTGCGCTTAGAGATAACGTCAAGTATTGTCGACTTGCCGGCCCCCGATGGACCCATGACTGGCGCATTGTGTGAGCTGCTGCGGCGGACGTGGGAGGGGACACATACTGGCAAGCAGCTCGCCGGAGTCGACGCTGCCCGAGACGTCCTGCAGAATCTTCTTTGATTTCACTGAAAAGGTGACGTTCTCCCATTCAAGCACAAGACGCTCATGAGACTTCTGGCTCTGGAAACGAACAGGTGGGATATTAACTGTTCGCCGCAGGCTGCGGAGGCCGCTGCGCTCACCTCGAGGTCGTCGCTGGAGCCCTGCATGGTGGTGGTAGTTGGACAGGGAGTAGTTGCAGCCGTTGGTTGGCATGGACGCCCTAATGGCACTTAAGACAATACATGGGATCCCTGGATCATGGAAGAGCCCGAGCGCAGGCAGCTCGCAGACAACCCACATGGGGTAAGCAGGGAACTCCTGTGTCGGCATGAGCCCGTAGATGCTATCACACAGCCTAAGCGTTGAGAGTCTTGAGACTCGTTCAGACGACGGATGGCAGTGGCCAGCAGTCAAGGCGGATGTTGCCTTTTACGGGCAGATGCGCACCGCTAGCCCGCTCACGTGACTCAGGGCAGTGCTAACCGATGATTCTCTTGCTCACGCAGAGCCCGGTGCCTGGGCAGGTGCAGCGAACCAGAAATACGCCGATAAATAGCGTTCAGCCGGCTCGGCGATGCTGTTCGTCTCCGTGAATGTTTATGGGCATTCTGCTGCGTGCACTACACCACGAGGACAAATACAGGCCGCACCCTAGGGGCAGTGGGGAGACGTGTGTGAACAGCAAGGCAACTTCATTGAAAGGGACATGGCGCGGCGTAAGGGCTCGCTTCATCAGTGGCAAAGTAGAGCTGATACTGTTAGGCTGTGACTGGCAAGATGGTGGGATGGGCAGCTCCGCACTACTGCGGGCCATCAGTGCTCCCTTGTGAGCAGCTTGTCAGGGATGAAGATAGACTGAAGACACCATCGGCCGAAGCCAACTCGGTTGGCGGCTGGTAAGCGCCTTCGCGGCCGTCCACCGTGGATCAATCAGGAAACACAAGACAGAACCAAGCGACCACATTGCCTCACAAAACAAGCTGGAAAAGAAATTAGAGTGCGATCGAGAGAAGGTATAGGGGACGATGCATAAAAGGAAATCCTTGTTCACCGGAGAGATGGACACGCGGAACGAGGCCTTCACGGAATGATCATATACACAACGAGCTAATGTAGCTCCGCCACACCACGAGGGCACCCAACGCCAAGATCGTACGAAGGCTGAGGGTCACAATCCCGCGTCATGATGAGGTATCAGGAAGGATAGGATGCCGATTAAGCGAAGCACAAACAACGTCGGCACGAAGTCCAGATACAAGGAGAAAGGACCCTTCTCGCATCGTGGTTCGATTCCGAATTGTGGTGCGTGCCAGTTGTGCATGGACTCGAAGTGACTTATGGGAGTTCTGCATTGTTACCGGATCACAGATTGCCGCAGGGCACACCTCGGCTCAGGCTAATTTCCTCGAGATGTCAGCGATCTAGCACAACCCGAGCAGCTCGGACGCACATTTGTATTGTATGAGGCACTTGTTCTCGGTGGGGCAAGCAGATGCACTGCCGAACCAGACGATCTGCCTATTTGTAATGTGTGGCTCGGAGATGCAAGCAAAGTTACGGAGAATATGACGATCCTGAGATTTCTCTGCAGATCGCCGGTTTCATAAAAACGTGGTGATGAGAGCGTGCAGGTCCGTATTTCCAGATGCTGAAGCACATCTGGAAAAGCCTATCGCGCGCAATCTCTGATCATATTTGTGCGTCGGACCACATAGTGAGGCTTCTTACCGGGCCCGCGAGCTAAACGTATTTCGGAACCAGCGCACAAAACAACAAAATCGTTGCGTACCATGTCTAGAGGATCGTCCGCTCAGGCAATCCTGCTTGATCTCGTGGTGATGCGGTGCACAGAGGCAGGGAAACTACCAACCCGGTTCTCCCCGAGAACTTTGTGGCGGTCGGCAATTGCCGAGAACGCACCGCTCCGAGCAAGTAGAGGCACAAGTAAATAAGTACTATCCCTGTCATTTATATCGCACTAAGATAAATGAATTGCTTACATCCCGCAATGCCACAGAGATGTCAATAATTAAATTTCCGGAGTAATACATACAGCCCTACAAAGTTGCTACGAAGCCTATTGGAGCCCAATATTAGTACAACAAACAATTGGTGTCTACTGGGAACCAGAGACATACTACCAGTAATGATACAATATCTCACGCTGCGGGAGAGGTACAAGCTGTGTAGAGCGGGAAGAGAAGCGAAGTCGAGCTGTACAGTCACTGGGCGCTACAGCGCCGCAAAGCGGTGCACGAGGCTGAGTGTCCTCGGGGGAAGCAACACATGGTCTAGCACAGCCAGCCAGTCAAAATGTCCGCGCTTTCCATAGTCCATGGATCTGTCGATTAGACTTCATGGCCACCCATAGGAAGGGTACGCCGAGTACGCCGCAGCAGAGGTCGGCGGAGGGCACGATTGCGGATATACGTAGCGCGGGCGGTATGCAATCACAGGCTGCAAGCTAGCCTTGGCCACATGGTGGATCTCGAGGAGGTAGAGGTCTTCGAACTCGATGTACCTCTCCCCGACGCGCCAGCTGGGGTCGCTCGTGGACAGCGGGGTCATTTCCTGCGTACCATGTCGGCGACGAGCGGGCGGCGGTGTGGCGGGACTGCTCACCTCGATAAAGTCCTTCATGACCTCTGCGACATGGATGGCCATCTTTGCACGTGTAATGCTCTCCTTCTCGCGCGTCGCACGCAGCGCATGCTTTTGCTTGCCAAAGGCGCCGTATCCTGGCCACTGCACGTCCGAGTCGTCGTGAATGGCGGCATCGTACAAGCGACGACAATGCCACGCACCTCAATACGATAGGTGACCTTGACACCGAAGCCTTCCAGTAGTCTGTCATCAGCATGTGCCAGACCAGTGAAGATTCTCGCTTGTGCGTCGCTGAGTCGGATTCCCTTCTGACCATTGACCCAGAACTCGACTACTCCGATGGAGTGGGTATGGTTTCTCTGGATATTTGCAGCGTATGGCCGTTGGGGCACAATGATTTCTGGAGTGTACTGGAAGCAGATCTTAGCACGGGTCAACGGATCAGGTGAAGAAAAGACTAACTGAGGAAGACATGCGGGAGTACTGGGATGCGAAGGAGTTGGGTCAGACACGACCTTATATTGAGACACAGGCAGATATACGCACCGAGGCACCACAGTATTGAAAAGGGGCGGACATCTTGTGGCTGAGGCTGAGTAGATAGAACACGGTGTGCTGCCGATGCTGTTCAACGGCACACCTTATATAACTTCCGCGTCTGTGATGCCACAAAAAGCACAAAGGAAGGCTATGCGGGGATACACACCCCACAAGGGATCCAAACGAATTGGACGCCAAAGCGTGAATGCATGGAACGTGTTGTCAGTGACAGCCAGGCATCTTCCGTTCAGCACCATCGAACGCTTTCCCGCGAGCAGCATTAGCGACGACTGCGCACGACGCTCTGACGCTATTCAATCAAGCCGTATAGGGTCCAATGGATACGGGCCTGAATCCTTTGCGAATCTCTGCCAGAGGCCTGTCAAGTCTTGCGCAGTATTATGTGGATTAGAAGAGCGCTTACACAGCAACCAGGCTGTGCGCTTCAGAAAAATATCAAAGGAAGTTCACGGAAGGAGATCGGCCAAAGCCGTTCGTAAAGCCTGCTGCTCTACACGCGCCTTTTGCTGTGCTGCCGATGGCGGGACTACATCGGAAGTAATCTGAGAAGCCGCTAGGGCCCTGACGCGGACGGTGTATTCGCCCTCTCGTCCTGTACTCGTCTCGAGGATGACGGATGGTGTTGATGTGCATTCAGAGGCGTGGATGAGCGAAATCTTCAAGAGGTGGAAGATAGATCCTACGTATCAGAAAGAAACAATACGCAGGGGCGATCGGTAGTGATCCGCAGAACTCTGATCTCACGAGGCGGTTGTGCACACGCACTAGCACAGCATCATGACGATCGCAGTATGAAGTTAACACCGCAGGCATGCGGCAGCGCAGAAATACACGCCCTTACTGAACGACAAATGAGCAGTACAAGGGCCTTCACCATGTGTTCCTGGCGGTACACTTAATGAAATGCTAGTACTAGTACCAGTGAAACGTTACAGCAGTGGTCGTACACGAGGCTCGAACCGACACTCGCGGAGGTCCACAGCCCAGCATAACATCCACTAGCCATACGGTCACCGCCCCGGATTGTACAAACGCAATGGCGAACTCAAGCTATCGGTTGTCCAAGCGCCATGAGCGCTGAGCACGAGAGCCCTATGCCCAGCAGCAAGGGACAGCTCAGCCCGCTGGTCGTCGGAAGCGCAAGCTGGTTTCCTAACGCCGCGGCCACACCGCGTTCGAGGTTCCAACGAAAACAAGGAAGGTTAATTGGGTCATGTATCATTTCCACCACAACACAGGAACCCAGCCCACCAAGCCCAGACCCCACCCAGCAAATCGCCGGGGAAACATGACGCCGAATGGATCAAAATCACCAAAGTTTTCTGTCCTTTGCCGCCCAGGCTACTGCGCAAACGCTAATAGAATACACCGACAGAATCACCACCGCCCACCAATCCGAGGTGTAGATTGTCGGTATTGTAAGATTGACCAGCCCGGTGATTACATTCGCCTGTGATAGAGCAGCGTTGGAAGATGTCAACTTCGGCCTTCCCGGAGCGCAGTGACGGAAGTGCCGGGGACACCACTCACAAGAAGGAAGAAAAGAAGCCCGTTACGGTTGACCGCCTCGAGAAGAGCTGGCGCACTCGGCGTCCCTCTGCCATCCGTCCGGTCGTGGTTCATGAGCACTGTATCCGGCTGTACTTTGAGCTTTGAAGTCGGGGAATACACGGATCTTGACAACGGGGACGGGAAGAACACGAGGTCAAGGAGCAGATAGCCCAGCAGGAATGTCGTGTTGTATGCAGCAATCCAAATTGTATACCGTAGGTTAACCTGTACCGACGAGTAGATGCCTTTAGGCGACAAGTTCTCGCACCGAAGGGTGAGGATCACGCACCACTCGGCGGGACATACCGCCTCCAATGTCCATCCAGCTCAAGACGCCGAGCGTCGTCCACCACAAGACGGCGTACGAACATAACTCTGTCGCTGTCTTGTCGTTCTCCCGCCGATTTGGAATTCGCGGACCTGGCGCCGTACGTGGTGTGTCATCGTCGCTTTCTGAGTCCGATCGGTGGGCAATGTCCCGCGGGGCCCCCGTACCGTTTTGGCGTAGTTCATGCTGCATTCTCCGGAAGAACGATGGTGAAGATGGCAGGATGACGGTGCCTGTCGACAAACCCAACAAGTGCAGCGCCAAATAGCCTATATCGTGTTTAGCTAGATCTGCATAGCACACGGAGCGCGCTCACCGATCAGAGACACTATTCCCTCTTTGTTTGCATTGACCAATGAGTCCCGTGGCGCATGAAGGACGTATGACATGAGACCCCCAGAAGATAACGCAGTTTGATAGGCTTCGTGCTCTCATGTCAGAGGTAAACCTGACCCAGACAGGAAGCGAAAATTAGACCGTACCAACTGCCAGCATAATGCCCAGCGCCGATATCGGCAAATAGGTCATAAACGGGTGAAGCAGAATTTGCAGCACAGGGACGAAGCCTAATGTCAGGAAAAAGTTCCAGTGTCTGCCGTATTCAGTCTCATGCTCCTGAGTTCACTCTTCAGCGGCAAAGAGAGAGAGAGGTGGTTATATGGTTCGCGTACGGGATATTGGGTTCCCTTCACTGACAAAGTTCGAAACAGACCAAGCAGGAGAAGCGGAAAACATTTGCGCATTGCGGCTGCCACCTTCGGAAGCACAGGTGCCTTCAGGTGGGCAGGGTTCTTGATCAAAGGAATGGCAGATACAATGCCTTGGGAAAAGATAAAACTTCCGACACCAACATCCATCTGGCAGACTTTTAGCGAATAATTACGAAACCAGGACAAAGACTTACGAGAGAAGCACCAAAGGTTTCGCACTTGGCCAAAATGCGCGGGAACACCGGGAAATCGACAGCGAGAATGCAGATGGCTGTGAGCAGTAGCATATGGGCTCTGTATGTCGTCAAAGCCGCCAGAGGTGGAATTGTCGAGTCAAGCTGTACATGTGGCTCGTGCATAGCGCCACCTGCAGCATCATTGCTCCCGACTAGGGAGGGCCTTCGACTACCATGACGACTGCCAGCTGCAAGCGTGGATGGAAGTGGGGTTCCGGCTTCACGTGGAGGGACGAGCAGTAGCACCGAAGTAGGTAACAATATCAAGAGGAGCAGATACCCCGGGGAGAGCGCAAAGATTGTAACAGAAAGAAGTAGTGGTATAACAAGAACTGGAGCGTCCATGTAGAAGTTCGTTGTCTTCTGTAGCGGCAGTCGAGTTCGAAGAGCCGAGTGCAGGGCTATGGACGCCTGACCAGTATCAGCTCTCTGCGACACAGACAGACAAAGCTGACATATACCAACGCGGCTAGCGAGACCATATTTACGTGACCAACAGAGGAGCCGGTCGTCCCAGAGACGAAAGCTTCTTTCGAGGTTTTGTAGTCCAGACTTCCATCCATCCTTGCTGCAAGTTTGGTGAAGCTGAGGCTCAAGACTGCGGGGATACTTGACGGTGTTGAAGCAGACTGTCTCAATGAAAGCTAGGATGCGCTGTATATGACACGGAAGGTGATGGTGGGTTGTAGAGTCGTTGTCCATTCCGCGCTGGCTGTTGTTAGCGTCAAAAGTATCACGTGACGTTACGAACTTGGGTGTGCAGTTCTTTCAGCCTTCTTTGCGACTCTTTCGAAATCAATCCTACTAGTATGCGGGGCAAAGGCCTCCCACGCCGCTTGTATCCCTCAACTTCAGATCCTCGAGCTCTTTTACGCTCACAGAGTCTCTTTAAAGCTCTGAGCGGCGGTCACCCTGGGGAGATGCGAAAAGACAAATATTGTATAAGAAGACCATCCGGCTGCCTGGCCACGTAGAGTATCTTCAATACGTGACCATCTCTTCCGACCCTGCAAGCGACTTTATTGACCGGTCGTTCTATAAAGAATCTGACTCGTCCAATTGTAGCATCGAGCGGCCAATACGCGGACCGGTCTGCTGATTGACAACTTCAATGGCTCCCATGGCTGTAATTTAAAGCGTCCTTTGAGCACGAGGTACATCAGACCAGTCAAACGCCGAACCTAGTCTCCTGAGCAGATAATGAAGGAGAAGGAGCCTATTTAGTGCTGATAACAAGTCCACAAACCTTTCTTCCCGACGGCCAGGTGGGTAGGTAGCTCCTGGCGAATCGTACGACTATTGACATCTTCATTAGCATCATGGAGGACCAAAGCGTGTCTAAAAGTCCGCACCTCGCTGGGCTCAACGTCTCAGACCACGATGCCGTTCTTTCGTCCTCGGAAAGGCGCCTCAACGAGCTCGGCTACAAGAGCGAGTTTCGTCGGGACATGTCGCTTTCCGGCGTCCTGGGCATCTCATTCTGTGCCATTGGGATTTTGACAGGCATGAGCAGCGCGTTTCAAACCGGTCTTTTCTCCGGAGGGCCGCTCGGGCTCTTCTGGGGCTGGAATGTGAGGATCTGCCAAACCATTTCCTCCGCTTCCGCTTGGCGCCGCTAACCACGACGCATCATAGATCTGCAGTTTCTTCATGCTTCTCATCGCACTGTCTCTGGCCGAAATCTGTAGTGTCTTGTACGTGCATCCTTTCCATCTGCATACTATTACCAAAGCTAACAGGGTCGTATTCCGTCAGCCCAACCATGGGTGGCCTATATTTCTGGGTTTGCAAGATGAAACCGGATCAGCCGATCTTGGGCTGTGAGCCTTTTTTCTTTCACCCAAAGGATGACTTTTTGACTTATTCTCTTTTCCCCCAGTTTTTGTACGTCCGCAAGGGACCTTGTAGGCGGTTAATTAACCATATCATCAGACAGGCTGGATCTACAGCATCGCGATGGTTTTCACCGGTACGTCTGGCAACCTAAGGTGCATTCTACTCTTCAACGCACGGACTCTGCTCACTCTGAGGGTCTCACAGTGTAGCTTTGTATCTTGCATCCCTTGCAGAAGTTGGACGAGGCAGAACACTCACCCGAGTAGAGATAGCCGCAATAGCATGGGGTGTGAATATTCTGTCAGGCGTCATCAATACTGTTGGAACTAAGGCTATCGGCGCCTTGAGCATCTTCAATTTGTGGTGGACACTCGGTGGTACACTGGTTCTGGTGATCACTTTGCTTGTGAAAGCGCCTGAGAAGGTGTGTCTGGGTCATTCATAGTTTTTTGCTATTCTAATGGCTGAAGTAACTCGTAGAATTCTGCTCAGTTTGTCTTCACGGACTTCGAAAAGTACGTGAAAGTTCTGCTGTGATCTTCAGGGTTACTCGTGCTGATTCAACCTTAGCTTTACAGGATGGCAATCCAGAGGATTTGTCGTACTACTCGGTTTTCTGCAGGTAGGCACCTTTTTATAGCCGAAGACAAACGCTGACGGATATGTAGGCCGTCTACACACTTGAAGGCTGCGAAACAGCCGCACAGGTGGCGGAAGAGGCCAAGCGTGCAGAGCTCCTCGCCCCACTGGCGGTCGTTGGTAGTATCGTCGGCTCGTGGTTAATTGGTCTGGCGTACATGCTCGCTTTACTTTTCTCTGTGCAGAGTATCAGCAACGTACAAGCCACATCGTACGCCATTCCCATCGCCCAGCTGTACTTCGACGCCGTCGGCAAGCGCCTGACGTTGATGTGCCTCACTGTCATCATGCTTGCACAGTTCATGGCCGCCGTCACGGCGTTCACCGCGAGCTCTCGTCTTTTCTATGCCCTGGCCAGAGACGACGCGTTCCCGTTCAGATCCTCATTCATGACGCTCAACCGGTACCAGGCTCCGTATGTCGGCGTCTGGCTGTCCGTCCTGATTGGCTGCATCATCTCGTGCTCTTACATTGGGTCCGCCATCGCAGTAAGCCCAACGACTAGATTGACCATCGTACGCCATGCTAATGCAACGACTTTGTATAGTTCAATGCTATCCTCTCTTCTGCGGCTATCGCGGTCATGCTCAGCTATATGCAACCCATCCTCATCCGAACAGTCTGGCCTTCGACCTCGTGAGTATCAGCATCGCAGGCCTTTTGCACATGGTTTTTGACCTGTACTATGCCCAGGTTGCCCAGCCGCGGCCTGTTCAGCCTGGGAAAGTGGTCTTGGCCAATCAACCTAGCAAGTTTTCTGGTGCGTGTTTTTCGCACTCCGGACCGGGCGTCTACTGAGCGCGGAATTCACAGTTCACCGTATTCATTTGCATTCTCTTCATTCTGCCGACTGCGATGCCCGTAACAAAACTTAACATGAACTACGCCATTGTCGCCATCGGTGGTGTCGTGCTCCTTGTCGGCGCCGTCTGGAGATTCTGGGGCCGCTTCCACTTCTTCGGGCCAGTTCGGACGCTGACAATCGAGCATTACGAGGATGAGGCAAAGACATGAACCACCCTTCTCTACCGATGGACCTCGTGCTACACTCAAATAGATGCAAACAATTTTCACGAGCTCCGGTACTAGGCTAGTTATAGTGCTTCACCAAGACGCCGTTGATGTATTCTTCCTCTATCCCGCTTTCTTGTCCTATCTTCAATTCACTTTTGCCGTATGCAGCGGTCCGGCCTTTGCGCCACACTTCCGTAGTCGGTGCGTGCTCGTCGTCAAAGCGCCGCTTGATGCCTTCCCTCTGCAGCACCGGGCTCTCTGCGAGCGGAACGAGCTTGACGCTGTCGTCGGGGATGGCGAAGTAGAAGGTGCCGAGGCGCGTGTAGCCGCGCTGGTCCTCAGGCGGCTGCACGACGCGGTGGATTGTGGCTTTGTAGTATCCTCCGGAGAGGAACTCCATCGCGTCCCCAGCATTTATGACCTATCGGGTTCCCGTATCAGCGGTGCCTATAGCATCTACACGTAATGGCACCTACGATGGCATTGTCGATGTGCCGGACCCAGCGCCACTTGCCGTCGGGCGACAGGATCTGAAGAGCAGCTACCGGTTGAGACCATACAATCGTGATGCTGCCGAAGTCTAGGGCACGGGCATGGGTCCCTTCCGACAGAAAATGAGTGGATAGCTGTACGTACCGGTGTGGCCCTTGAGCCATACGTTGTTGGATTTCGCTTCTTCTTCAGCAGAGCGCGGATAGCTGCGGCAGATCTCAGTCCCAAGCTATGACCTTGGTATTAGGGTACGGACTATTTCATGAAGCGCACTACAACACGATTCATATTGAGCATCCGACGACGGAGCACCAGAGAGCAGAGATGCGTACCATATGTTTCACCAACGGTGTCCCAACCATGGATGTTTACGAAAGTCTCCTCGGGAAGCTCGAGTCCAATGGCCATGAGGCTACGAAAGGGTCAGCGCTGGAAAAGAAACATTCAGAAATGGTGGCATTACCGCAAGATTGGGTGCAGCACGTTGAAATGATTGTGCTTGGCGAAAGCATCGAGCTCTGGCAAGAGCGGCCGCAAAGCTTCTGGATGCTCCTTCTTCGTCACAATTCGGTTGACTGGCGTTCAAAGAGTAAGTCTGTATTGGACCAAAGTTGTTGCTTGATCTTACTGTTGTAATTTTCTATCTGGTCGCGCACGCCGCCGTCTACATGCTGGGCTCATGAGCATCATGCGAAGAATCTTGAAAACCAGCCCACATCAAAAGCTTACCCAGTATTGTCGGAGCTTGTACCCTTGATACGATCCCGTCTCGAGCATCTTGCCAATATATTTCAACTTTTCCTCCTCCGACACTTGTTCAAAAGGAACATCGCCAATATCGAAGATCCGGTCCTTCTACACCAAGAACCAACGGACTTGTGAGACATGACAGACGCGCCGATGAGATGAACGGACTTGTTTAGGAGACAAACCGTGATTGATGACATAGAAGAAGCCCTGAGTGGACATGGCATCCCTAACGATCCTAGAAAGCTCGATTCGACCCTCTGGGGTCGAGAACTTGGACAAGTCGACTACCGCTAGGTCCGCATAATCCACTACATCACAGATGTCAACACCTGGCGCCATTTTTCAGTATAAATCGACCCACGATCTGCCTTAGTCTCAGGTGCGGGCACGTAATGCGGCACCGGACGCGCTATGGTCTGCGTGATGGTCATGGTGAAGTTCAAGCCTGACGTGCGCCTCAGGAGGTATATATCTAAGCCGTGAGGTCATTTGCCAAGGGAGGGAGGTCACGCCATCTATACATTTGGCACGCCATTCCCAGTTCGTATCGCGGGAAACGACTGCTGTAAGCGTAGCCTGCGGCACTGAAAATTGTCGACAAATGAGTAAATCTTCGAAATATTTGTGGACTGTACCATTTTCTTTTCTTCGTTGAGTATCTCATGTCGCTCAGGGGCAGCGGCTCTGGGCAGTCATTCTAGCTTGAAGACAAACGGGTAGTGATCGATTAATACGGGGCGTTGCTCGGAACTTCCCGCCTCGACTGATTAGGTACATTTACCTATATTTGTAGAAGGTTGAGATCTTCAGGTTCCGACACCTTAAATACTTGAGGCATATGCAAGTCGGATGAGGGTGAGGGCCGACAGCTTACTCTTCTATCTGCAATGGCCATTCTTTTACGTTACCTCAAAGGCTCACGGGTATCCAGGGGTGCAGGTGAATCGTGAAAGCCCACGGGCACCGTGGTCGGCACCGACAGCCCCGACATGCAAATTGAGTGACTGTCTATTAGCCGACATCAGCAACGTACGACACATCACAGAAAACACAGCAAAGTTACGTTATCAGTGTTCTCGAGACTGGTGTATTTTCTGAATGCACCTTATCGGAGCATAGTAGGCCCAATCTGCGACGGAAGCTCCATCAATACATTGTCTCAGACGTGGGAAGCGCCTCCTCATTGCAGCGGGAAGTTTCTCCACAGACTCTGCAGGTGGTAAGGCTTCGCATCAAGACATACACATTGCAGTGGATTGCCGCGGCAATGACGGATGTGTTGCTGATTCTGGTTAGCTCTCGCTCTGCCACGGCGGCCCGCGGGAAGTTATCAGCTCGCCGCGACCGCTCACAAGTCCTTGACTCCGATTTACGGTCGGACTATAGGCGTGGCATGTGAGTCTTTGAGCGACTGATTAACGAGAAGCCGCTTACGGCAGTGGGTGGAAGGCTACGACTCCTGGAGCTTCGGACGGAAGACCGCCGACTCCTGCTGCGATGAGCGATACTTGACTACGCTCGATCACTAGTGGCAGGTGCAGTTTTTTTGCTTGCATAACCAGCCAAAAGCTAGGCGAACAAGAACCTGTGTTTGACCGGGTTTCATTCGAGAAAACTTGGAGACAGAACTTCCTTTTCCGCTAGTCCCGTCGCGTTTCAGCCTCTTTTGGCTGGTTTTGCACCAATTTGCGCACCAATTTACCCCAATGTACAACCAGGGAACAATTGGTTCTTGTTTTCCCAATTTTGGCCGGGTTTCTTCAAGAAAAAAACCGTGCTTACCGTGACCACCCTGTGGATGCTATCCCTGAACCGTGTTTGATAAGCGGGGCGGTGTTTGACAATTCTGGTTTCCCTCCTTCGTTTTGCACTGTACGGCTTTGAGAGTTTTTTATGGCTTAGTTGTAATATATCATAGTGTTTATCTAGGCAGTACTTATATAAACAGCCATCGCGAGAGGGGAGCTGGTTTGATAAAACTCTGGTGCCGAGAATATCGACGCTTTGATAGGTGACCTAAGATTGATCGTCTGGGGCATATCCCACGAAATTTGGTCCGAACATAGGTCTTTAAATGTCTTTGCGACTCATCCCTACATTCCATAGCAGCGGGTGTGCCCAATGAGCTGCCTGAAGGACAGAATGAGCGTTAGCGACGAAATGGCATTGCAGCCAATCCGTTGAGCGCGATGACGCCCAAAACAGCAATTTCGTGATTATCAGAGTTTCGCTTGGGTCGTGACTAGTCAATCAACGACATGTCGTACTACGATATCCACTATACACGATAATCGCCACACAAAATCTCGGTAAAAATACAGGTAGATAGACAGAGGGTCGCTGTACTGGATCATATAACATTGACGGGAACGTGGATGCAAAGGAGCAACATACGAAATGGTCTAAAGTAGTACCAAAAGGGGGTGGGAATAGTGACTGAAGAACTAAACACAGCTCAACTGAATATAACCATACACGCTGGATATATATCTACATTGATATACTAATACTTATGAAACGTCCGTGTACTCAGCATGGCCTGCACAGCCGTCGAATGCGAAGCCCGTGGGTAGCATCCATGGCGCCGCTATACGCCAGTCTCCTGAGCTGGTGGTGGTGATTGTGATGACGCGGTGCCCGAGCCATTTTCGGCCTCGCGGGAAGCCCGTTTGATCTCCTTAACCTCCTTCTGAGCCTCCTTTTCGGCGCGCTCATATTTTCATCGTAGTCTTCGGCGATCTTGTAAATTTCCTTGCGCAGCGACTCGGCCTCCGTGATTATAAGGATGAGGCAAAGACGTGAAACACCTTTCTCTACCGATAGACTTCGTGCTACACTCAAATTTGACAGTTGCAAACAATTTTCACGAGCTGCGGTACCTGGCTAGTTATAGTACTTCACCAAGACGCCGCTAACGTACTCTTCCTCTACCCCGTTTTCTTGTCCCTTCTTCAGTTCACTTTTACCGTACGTAGAGATCCGGCCTTTGCGCCACATTTCCGTAATCGGCGCGTGCTCGTCGTCAAAGCGCCGCTTGATGCCTTCCCTCTGCAGCACCGGACTCTTCGCGAGCGGAACAAGTTTGACGTTGTCGTCAGGCATGGCGAAGTAGAAGGCGCCGAGGCGCGTGTAGCCGCGCTGGTCCTCAGGCGGCTGCACGACACGATGAATCGTGGCTTTGTAGTATCCTCCGGAGAGGAACTCCATCGAGTCGCCGCCATTTATGATCTATTGAGTTCCCGTATCAGCGTCGCCTATAGCGTCTACACGCGGTGTGGCACCTACGAGGGCGTTGTCAATGTGCCGGACCCAGCGCCACTTGCCGTCGGGCGACAGGATCTGAAGACCGGCTACCGGTTGAGACCAAAGAACGGAGATGCTGCCGAAGTCTAGGGCACGGGCATGGGTCCCTTCCGACAGTAAACGAGCGAGTAGCCGCACGTACCGGTATGGCCCTTGAACCATAAATTATTGGATTTCGCTTCTTCTTCAGCAGAGCGCGGATAGCTGCAGCGGATATCAGTCACAGGTCACGATTGTGTCGTTAGCTCACGAACTATTTCATAAAGCGCACTGCAATACGAGCCATATTAAGCATCCGACGAAGGAGCACCAGACAGCAGAGACGCTTACGCCATGTTTCACCAGCCGCGTCCCAGCCATGGATGTTTACGAAAGTCTCCTCGGGAAGCTCGAGTCCAATGGCCAAGAGGCTACGGAAGAGTCAACGCCGGAGGAAAAAATGTCCAAGAATAGTGGCGCTACCGCAAGATTGGGTGTAAGACGTTGAAGTGATTGTGCCTGGCGAAGGCATCGATCTCTGGCAGGAACGGCCGTAAAGCTTCTGGATGCTCTTGCTTCGTCACAGTTCGGTTGACTGGCGTTTAAAGAGTAAGTCTATATTAGAACAACATTTCGTCCTTAATCTTACTATTATAATTTTCTATCTGGTCGCGCACGCCACCATTTACGTGCTGGACAGCTCGTGAGCATGCGAGAAATTTTAAAAACCAGCCCACATCAAAAGCTTACCCAGTATTGTCGGAGCTTGTACCCTTGATACGATCCCGTCTCGAGCATCTTGCCAATATATTTCAACTTCTCCTCGTCCGATACTTGTTCGAACGGAACATTGCCAATGTCGATGATCCGGTCTTTCTGGACCGAGAACCAACAGGCTTGTGAGACATGACAAACGTACCGATGAGACAGAACGGACTTGTTCAAGAGACAGACCGTGATTGATGACACAGAAGAAGCCCTGAGTGGACATGGCATCCCTAACGATCCTAGAAAGCTCTGTCCGACCCTCTGGGGTCGAGAGCTTGGAAAAGTCGACTACCGCTAGGTCCGCATAATCCACTACATCACAGATGTCAGCCCCTGGCGCCGTCCCTCAGCATGTGACTCGGCTCACAATCTGCCTTAGTGTCAGATGCGGGCACGTAGTGCGGTACCGGAGGCGCTGTGGTCTGCGTGATGGTCATGGTGAAGTTCAAGCCTGACATAGACAAGTGTGCGCCTCAGGAGATATATATCCAAGCCATGAGGTCATTTGCTCAGGGAGAAGGTCACGCCATCTTTACAATTGGCACGCCATCCACACGCCATGTACACAACTGGCACATCGTTCCCAGTTCGCACCGCGGGAAACGACTGCTGTAAGCGTGGGCTGCGACACTGAGAAGGCTGGAAAAACTAGCGACAAATGAGTAAAATCTTCGCGATATTCGTGGGTGTACCTGTTCTTTTCTTCGTTTGGTTTTTTATGTCGCTCAGAGGCAGCAATTCTGAGCAATTCCTCTGGCCGGGTTGGAGACGAGCGGGCATGAGCATAAGTAGCAGCGCCCAGACAGCACTGTTCGGAACTTCCCGTCTCGACTGATCAGGTATATTTGTTCGTATTTGCAGAAGGTTGAGATCTTCAGGCGTCGACCGCTTCGACGACTCTCGGCCTCTCTAACGTTTGAGGCAGCTGCGAGTCAGGTCGATACCGACATTTTACTTTATTATCTATGATAAGAATTTTTTACGTGCCTCAGTGCCTGCAGTACCCAGGGATGGACCGTGGAAACTCACGGGCACTGCGACCGGCACCGACGGCCTTCGACACGCAAATCGAGTGGCTGTCTATTAGTCTGCCTGATATCAGCAACCTACGGCACATCACAGAAAACACAGCAATGACATACTATCAATGGTCTTGAGACTTGTGTATGATCTGAGTATACCTCGGAGCATAGTAATCTGCGATGGAAGCTCTAGCAATAGTACACTGTCTCAGACGTGGGAGGCCCCGCTTCCTCATTGCAACAGGAAGTTTCTCCACGGGCTCTAAGAGAAGTTTCTCCACAGGCTCTACGGGAAATTTCTCCACAGACTCTGCAGGTGGCAAGACCTCGCATCAAGCCATACGTACTGCAGTAGATTACCGCGGCAATGACGGATGCGCTACTGATTCTTGGAAATTCCTGCTCTGCCACGCCCGTCGACCGGTCCGAGGAAAGCTCGCTCGCCGCAGCCGCTTGCAGGGCCTTGACTCTGGCACGCAGTCGAATAGTACACGTGACATGTACTGAAGCGGGTCTTTGAGCCACTGACTGGAGGGAGGAGCCGCTTGCGGCAGGGGCGGAGATTCGGCGAGTTGCGACTTCAGAACAGTGGGAACTCGGACTGAAGACCGCCCAGTCAGGCTGTGATGAGCGATATTTGACTACGCTGAGCAACCGAAGGACTAAACGTGTACACAGCCCAACTAAAATAATCTAACGATACACTCTGGGTATATATTTACAATGATATGCTCACGCTTACGAAGCGTCCGTGTATGAGTATGGCTTGCACAATCGTCGAACGCGAAGCCTGTGGGTAGCATCCATGGCGCCGCTATGCGCCCGTGTCCCGAGCTGAGGATGGTGATTGTGATGACGCGGTGCCCGAGCCATTTTCGGTCTCGCGGGAAGCCCGTTTGATCTCCTTGACCTCCTTCTGAGCCTGCCCTTCGGCGCGCTCACGCTCTTCGGTGCGCTCTTGCCACCGGCGCTCATCGTAGTCTTCGGCGATCTTGCGGATTTCCTTGCGTAGCGACTTGGCTTCCGTGATCAGATCCGCCCAACGATCAATATCGAGGCCGCGCGCCTTGTACAGGGCCTGCCGGCGGGTTGACACAGACCGGTCGAATGCGGACGAGTAGGACACTTCGCGCCCTTGATATAGAAACCTGTAGCAACGTGCTCAGCACCACTCGAACACGGACTAATCCAGCGACCGTCCCGTCGACGTACCACAAATAGCCAAGTATCACCATGGACAATCCTGACAAGTAAGTGACCGGCTCCATGGTGTCCCTGGAATGAAGGTCAGCGCGTCTGTAGTGCAAGCTTTGATGATGAAATCGCATACCAGCCGAGGTCCCAGAACGTTAGACGAGCAACCGTGCCCCAATAGGCGACGAGCATCGCAAGTCCTCCGACCGCCATCCGTCGGGCTCCGCGGTGTGCTTCCATATCGCACTGCCTTTTGAGCTCCTCCATGCCCTTGAGCTCCTTTTCTACTGCTTCAAGTCCCCGCCGAAGGAACCGCGTGCGATCCGCAAAGGACGGAACTTCCACAGGGAGGCACTTCTCAACGGCCCCTTCCTTGACCTTGAGCTCAAACTGTCTTGTTCGGGCAGCATCTCGAATGAAGTCGCCGACGTCAGTTGATTCCGACCATTGTAGCTGCCGACCTCGCGGAGTGGCACTTGTGAAGCTGATAGTGGGCGTTCCAGACGCGCCGAGCGAGGAGATAATTAGTCGGCTGATGTGCGACAGTGGTTGAGACGGATGGACAAGGAAGACTGTTGGCGGTCCTCCTACGGTCTTGCCATCTAGCTGTAGGCGATCCAGTGGAAGAATCAACTTGAAGAGATGCGACGACGTTGGTGACAGCTTCCCTGGAAGTGAAACAACGTTAGTATTCAGTATGGTAACGCGCTCGCGTAGTAAGCGGGCGAGTACTGTGCAAGCGGCGCCAGGGCTGGCAGGGCCCGACGGAAGGGACCAAAACTGTGACAATATGGCACATTCACCATGACGTTAGACCCTACTAAGCCCGGTGTATCATGCCGCACAAGGTAAAACACCAGCGGGAGACGATGCAGACCGTCTGAATGCCAATTAGACTCCTAAAGCGGTCCTGCCGGGGAATTCAACTAATAGCTACACTGATTGATGTCCCTCGGGGCTGCCTCTACCGTGTCGCCGCTGCAACGCGTCTGCTCGCCCGAAGAATGTAGACACGAAGAATGTAGACATGCACACCTCTACCGCTCTGAAGGCTATCGAAGTCTGAGTCCTCGTCTGGGTGATTGTCCAGCCCGCCTGTCCCCGTCGGCACTTTCGGGTCATCCTGCCACTTCGAATGCCGAGAACCCTCGGCTAGGAAACGCGAGTGTCCTACGTTGACGTTCTCGGCGGTGTTGTCGGCTTTCCTCGCGGCAATACTCGAGTTGAGGCGTATCGAAGCGCACATAACCCATGCGTGCGACCTGTGCCTCAAGCCGGCCTGGACTGCCACGCGGAAGAAGAGAGGAAGCATTCTTTCTCGTCGTCAAGATGAGCCTCGTCGCTGTGTCTGTAGCCTTGATCGCTGTGGTCGTACGAGTTCAAGAAGATGGCAGGCTGTGTGCATGATGAGTCTCCTGGTCGACCTGGGACGGAGAGTGACGTTGTGGAAGCGGATCTCAGATCGCCGCTGGGGCCCTGAGCACCACGGGTGTTATTACGTTAACTTTTGTTTATTAGAGCTACTTTACTTACTGTGGGAATATCGCAGAGAAAGGGCGAAATGAAATGGAATATCGATGTCCGTCCTTGACCATGACATACGTCCATCGTCAGAGTGTTGGCCACATCCTCCCGTGTTGCAGCGGACTCTCGGCTTTCAAGAGTTTCTTCGAGCTGCATGATGAATGCATCCGAGCGCGGGAAACACCTGACAGATCATGGCACGCGGTTGCCTTGAGAGTAGGTCCCTGTTTGGCCGGTACAGGAGGAGCCAACTTTCCACGTATGGGCAGATTTTCATTTACGAGCTGGTAACGAGGTACCGCGGTTGCACTTATTTCTGAAATCTTATAAAGTACAGTCATAACACTTTACCGAATTGGCACCGAGTCGGAACTACGGTCTGGTCAATCCGATTTAACTCTTTTGTCTTCCTCCAGCTCTGTGCCGTCGTTCATCAGCGAGAATATTCGCCTTCAGATTTGGCCACGCGGCTCCGATGCTGTGCGTCGCGCTGTCTCTCCGACGTTAGGCGGTGTGAGCCCCTTGTCCTTGTATTCTTTTCGGTAGGTGGTCAGCGAATCCGTGGCACTCAAATCTGATGAACGTATGCTAACAGAAATTTCTCTCGAGTATCCATACTTGGAGCGTGCCACACCGTTCTCCACGGCCGCCTCGACGACTATTGCTCACAGGCTTTGTGCTCGCTATGTAAGACCGTTCCGCCCGCATGAGACTTCTGTAGTGTCTGTGTTCGACGCAGCAACTCTGTTCCGCATGCAACGCAAGGCGAGCGAAAACATCTTCTTATATCTGTAATCTTCCGCTCACTTTTACGCAAAGAGAGTGGCTCACACTTCCACAGTACCAGCCCCTCGAGGCCATCGTCCTATGCTCGGCGAAAATCCCGTCTGATCCGTCCCAGTGCACCTCGATGCGGACGTATGATGCGCCCAGCGGCGCGGGGTCTATCATGAAGTAGCAGACGTGCTGTCCCTGCACTTTGGCGACGGGGTCTTGGCCTTCAAGCATCATGCTATCATCAGGCAGATATTCAGATGCTAGTCTCGCTTGCTGTGCAACTGCGCTGTTTGCCTAGATGGGCCAGACGTATAAATGGGCCAGCGAAGACATATCATGTCCCCCACTCACCATCTACTGGAATCTCAGCGCCACTGTCCACCCAAGCAGCTTATTGACTCATCTACCGGCCCTTAATATGTGCACCAGACGCCAGTCAGTCCACGACGTGCTTGATCATCTCCCTGCCCGTTCTCACCATCGTACTTTCCCAGCGTTTGCTACATTTACACCAAGTGCGGGCACGCTTACGCCATGGTACGTACCTCTCTTCTGATGGCGCATTAGCCGGTCCTGACGAGTCTCACTCCGTAGCCCGAGCAAATCGTGGGCTTCTGTCTTTCCATGCCACTGCCAAGACTCACTGTTGCCGCAGATCGAATGCGACAAAGTCAATTGCATCTTCAGCCCCAGCCACCCGAGCACGTGCTCCGGTGCCTCCTGCAAGAAGACCTGCTGGCAATAGTAGGTCGTCTCCATCTCAGAATGCGGCCTTAGGCTCAACATTTCTCTCCGCCTGTCTGTGTCAGCCGTCAGCCGACGGAGCAGTACTGTGAGCTTCCCGGTGCTTCCGGTCTCTGTTTTCCATCTTTCTGACGTCGGCCGTGCAGCGCCGCAGCTTCCGGAGTACTGCCCCACCTGCGTCCAGAGCGGCCGTCGCTGAACAGTTGCGGGTCGCCAAGACACCCTTCGACTTCCGACATCTTGTGCTTTGTGCCTTGCTAGATGGCGCACCGGAGCGATTGCCTACGTCATCGGACTATGGATAATATCCGAAACCGCCATTCAGGTCATACCCGTCAGCGTGCCGCCGTTGTGTATTGTTATATCTAGACTTTCTCTGTACCTTCCAGATGTATCTATTGCACCGATACTCTGTTACCAGACATCACCACAACGGTCTGTGATGGAAGTACAAGCAAGACGTCTGTCCATCCGGCGACCACCGCTAATGTTGAGGCGACATCTAAGTTCACCGAAAGCGATGCAAGAACAACAGTACTCTACATACCGACAAGGGTCCAAGAAAACTGACTGATCACAGACGAAGCCTCGCAACGTCCGCCAGCTCCAAGATGGCGCGCGTCACAGCAGCAGGGTGTCTTTGCCTATGCGCACCCTGCCCCTGAAAGGGAGCCCTTCGAGCTCCATCTCTCCGTGCTCTAGCGGCAGCCCCTGGACGTCTACCGCCACCGCAGCAACACCCTGCACGCCAGCAACCGCCCCGTTCGCGCTAAAGATCACCTGAAGCAAAGGTGAAACAGCAGCCATGACTAACCGGTCGGCGGACGCACCTTGCCCACAAAATTGCGGAACTGCCTGTCACGGCCAGGTAGTATCTCCAAGGGAACGTCGACCATGTCGGCGTACACCTCCACTGCCGTGCCTTCATGCTCGCCGGACTCGATTGGGAAGCTCATGGAAGGAACCCAATCGTCAGGCCTAATGTGCCCGAACGCTCGGTCAGGCAAGGGGTCTGGGAGCGGTGGCGCAGGGGGTGCGTCTCCGATGTACGCGGGGGAGGATTTGTCCTGGATGGGCACTGCGCCATCAAAGACAAGGACATCAGGTAGCACGCGCGAGACGTTTAGCCCGACGTGGAAACCAAGCGGCAAGACGATCCGAGCGAAGACGGTCCCACTGGCGAGCATTCCGCCATTCAAACCTGACTTGATTTTCATATTCTTGATGGTGACATCTCGCAGTATCCGAGGCTTGGGACGCAGTGCAGGAAACGTTGCTGTCACATTGAAACCCGGGAGTAGCGGGCAGGAGACCGAAACCTCTGAGTCTCTTGCGGACACGTAATTCGCAAGCACTCTTGACACCGCCGCAGATGCGTTCATTGTGAGGGGCAGGATGTGCCCTGCCAACGACACGGAGATGTTCGGATGTGTCAAGGTGAAAGGAGCGGTGTGTACTGCGGCGACGGGTATCAACTGCTGGGAACTGTTCTTGGCTGGAAGCGCAATAGTGAAGGGAATGGGCCCGGCGGCGTAGTGGAAGTTCTCCGGGGTAGGGTTAATAGCTGTAGCATTGGCGTAGACAGCGAGTTGTGAGTCGTTAGACTCTAGTTTGAAAGACGTCAGGGTCACTAACTGAGAGGCAGGGGGCAGCGGTTGGTGAGTCCCTGGACGCGGGAGTCCAGGTAAATGTGGCACTGAGGAACAGCATGATATATCAGGACGTCATCAACGGAAACTCGGCTGAAAGTCTCACCTCTCATACTGACATGACTGACGACGTCAGTGCGGACGGCACTGAGCGCACTTCTCCAGCCGCTTTCATTGAGGTGACCACCGCGAACAGCAGCACGGCCAACGTGAGCCTCAACGCGCATGGTTCCGTCTCGCCAGCTCTCGTGCGCAAAGCGAAGGAGGGCGGTGATGTTCTTCGTCGGCTGAATATAAACTGGTATCGTGACTTCAGTGAGCCAGCCGTCGTTGTCAGGAGGGTCTGCCGTGAGAGGAAGATCCAGGGGTGGGATAACAACCTCAGCGAGATAATCATGTTTTGAGAAGATGTCTACGGTTGAGAGGTTGACGGTAATAGTGTCCAGCTGTTCAATGCCCCACCGGCCTATCGACTTCCACCAGTACTTGGCGTAGGATTCGTTCTCCTCAGCCGCAACTCCTATCACACCCCCCGCGTCCAGACCCACCCTTCCTCGCACCTTCACCCAGATGCCGCCGTCTCCAGTGACGTTCAGGACGTCCAGCCGGTCGGGTCCGCGCGTGACAAGCGCTCGCTGTATGAGCTCGTCTGAAGATATCCCAGAGGCTCGGGATCCATAAGAGTAGGCAATTAGGAGGACAATGACAAAGAATAGTACACAGAATGAGAGAGTGTACAAGAATACAGAGAGGAGCTTCGCAAACAGGCGTCGCCGTCGTGGTGCCGCGGGCTCGGGGTCGTGATGCGCGCCAGAGCCTGAGGCAAGGAGAGGTGTCCGCTCGTCAAAGTCTTCGGGGCGTGCTCGTCCTTTGCCCTTTGCAGCGTGAGGACCACTGCTCACATCCTCGGAGCTCATCGTCGTCAACGGTGGTGAAGGTAGCGGGAACATCCAAGAAGCTGCCAATCACGTCATTGCCGTCGGCTATTTCAGTAGACGCCCAAAATACGCTGGGCAGTGGCGAAGCATTTAATACCTAAATCTACCTAGACCGCAGCTGCTTTTGCATGAAGGCATACAGAAAAACCTGCGTGATCTGCCACTTTCCTAAGAAACAGAGTGAAGCTGTTCTCCTCTGACAACTTGCGAAAATATTTCGAAGGCCGCTTCGGGCTGGAAGGCAGGCTTGAAAAGGGTCATGTGTCAGCGAAGCGGAAGATAAAGTGCACGCAGATCTCCTACAATCTCATGTCCAGCCTGATACACCCTCCTGTACGTGAGAATAGATCAGCGCAGTGCCGCTGATAATGGGGATACGGAACGTACGCGAAGGAGAAGCTATCGACATTCTGGACCGCGGCGACTGGCTGCCCGCGAATCGTGATGTTCGTGAACGGGGTGCGATGCAGCGTCTCGTTGCCAAACCAGTCCATGGCTAGTACCGATGCATGTCCGCCGAGCCAGTTGCAACTAAAACGCGGGCTGGTCAGCAAAAACCTTGCTCTTCAAAGCGTACAAAACCCTCGCTTAATGTCAGCATCACCAGCCTATAGCGCGAATCAGTCTCAGCTGCAAGTTACAAAAACGATAAGAAACTTGCCCATATCAGCGTCTTCAAGCCAGAGCTAACGAGTGCGCCCAGCTGTGGCAGGAGTGTTCGCGCATCGTCGCCCGTCTTCGAGAACTGAATGTCAACAGGGTTCGAACATTCGGTGTATCGCGTCTTTAAAACCAGAGCAGTGGGTTAGATCAATCATCCACATGCCACGGACGTAAGTGATGCGCTCACCTCTGCGCCAATGAGCTCCATGATCGTCGCGTTACGAAGGAAGGTCACGTAGGACTCTGAGGGGAAGAGAGCGGATGAATTCTGGCGAAGGTCATCCGAGTCTCGATCTCCAACAGCAGGGACGAAAACGTTGTCAATCTAACACCGGCAGACCGAGAAAAATTGTCAGCTCCTGGCCGCCCACACCACTGAGCCTGAAACGTTTCTCACGCAGAAGTTATCGGCCTGCATGCAGACTTCATTGCTATTGGTCCCGTTTCCAGCAGCGTAGCACGCCAACTCCTGTTCTTGGCATCCTCCAGAACCGAAGAACGCCTGGTTCAATGCAGCTATGACCGAATCGTTTTGTAGCTGGCCGTAACCTGGGGCGTTGGTCGCAAAGGTAACGTACGCCTCATTCTGCAGCAATGGATCGTACCAGCCGCTGGAAATCGATGCGCAGGGTTTGTCAGTCATGAGTAAAACCATGAACGCTAGGCACGGACTTGTTGATCATCAGTCTGCTGACGTTGATCTTCTCACCGTTCACGGAACCTTGGTCGATCTTCGTGTTCTGCTCGTCAAAGAAAGTCACAAATTCGGGACCATAGTGACCGCCATAGCTCTCCGTGGCAAAGATGAACCTGAAAATAAAAAATAAAGATGATAACGCTCTTAATGCGGAGTTTCTCAGCTATACTATGCAGCACTCACTCGCGACTCTCGTATTTCGCAAATTCTTGACTCTCCAGTAACACTTGGAACGCAGACCAGAAGGCTGGTGCGGACGCAAAGGTGCTATTGACATCAATAGTTCCGTGGGAAAAACCCGTTCCAATGGGCTGGTCAACGTAAATGACTACAAAATAACCTCAGTTAATTCCGCTTTTGGAAGTATTGTGATAAAGCGTACTATTGGTAATATTGTTCCAACTGAATCCATATATGTCTCAGTCTCTGAGCTTCGCTATAGCAGCGAGTTACGAACCTGAACGGGTTAAGGACGGTAGTTTCTCCATCCTCAAGGACGTGGCAAGGACCATGTTCTGGGCCAGTGTCAGCAGAGATCCTAGATGGAGCGGGTGGAGCGGCTTTGCCTTGGAACAGTCCTATCATAGACGAGCACCCGGGGCCACCGTTGAGCCTATGAAATGGGGTGGATTAATATACAGCTCGTTCATACATAGTTGACTAACCATAGCGTAAACGGCGCAGTTTCAGGTTCGTGTCTGGATTCGAAGAACCAGAACCACTATGAAACAGAGTATTTAACCAAAGCAGTCAAGTCAGCATCGCGCTACACTCGCCATTGACATATTTGCACCGAAGTCGATGTAACCAGAGAGTTGATCGACTCCAGGTGTTGTTTCGCACACGCCAGAGTTGCGAATGAAGCGCAATCCTACGTCAGGCTGCGCTTCAGATGTGAACGTTTCGAAGTTCAGCGATGGCGTGCTGGTTGAACGGACATGGTTGACGGCATCTACCACCACACCTACTGTCCCAACAACAACAAAAGCGAGTCCGAGTAGCGCAAGCTTCAGAGAACGAGAAAAGCGCGCCATCTTACTGTGCTGTCCCTCCTCTTCGACGGGGTCGTCTTGAAGGCCAAAGAGCGAATCGCCTTCGGAGTGACGCGCTTTTATGGGATTCCGCCGATGGTACGGCATGAGCGGGAAGCTCAAGAGTCGCTTCGCGAAGCTCATTGACGCATGGATACATGCGACTAAGTGGTCATGCAACCGGGGCCGCGCGCTGCTGGTTGTTCTCTTGCGATAAGGCGAGATGCGCGGCTGTGTGAACATGATACAGTAGAGCTAGTGAGCCGGGCAGTAGTCGGTCTCGAATCGAGCCTCACATCAATGAGACAACGATTCAACCCTGTGTCTCATCCCTTCGCTTTGCCTTCCTCCCGTATCGTTCCAATGTCCACCCCAAGTGTCTGTTTTCATTGCCCAGCGCGGGCGCTTGCATGGGACGCGCGAATTTCCTCAAGTCATTCGCTGTCATTCGGCGCCGGCCCTAAACTAATGGCGCAATCACCCATAGGCCAGTGTCGCTCTCTCTCGTCTCTTGTCTTTCTCTCTCCCTTTGCGTAACACAGGTGTCACAGGTCTCCCTCTGCGAGTCTAAGTTCGGCAAGTCAAATTCTTCATGCGCATATGTTATTATACATCAGTTCCTCTTGTAGGATATCTGACCTTCGTATCACTCAGGTATTTCATACTGGAAATCTGCACATAGTAAACTGACGATGCCGTTGGACGCATGATGTGCCAGCCTTTAAGGATGCTCATAGGAACTCGCTCAGAATGGCAGCCGGAAGCCTTGGCGCCCGCAACCTCCGCAGCCGCTCTCTAGATCTCTAAATGCTATGATACCAAATACATCAGTACAGTAGTAAAGTCATAATATTCGTACCACAGATTGCAAGAGTCTCTACTTCCAAAACGGTCATAGTTAGCCCAGCCGGTTCATTTGCCTCTTCGCGTTCGTCAGCTTCCCTCCTACCCTATCCACCTCACCCGTCAAATCGTCAAGCATCTCGTTCTGTTCTCTGATTTCATGGTTAATAGCCAGTCCGAGCTGCTTTTGGCGCTGCAGGACGGTGCTCAGCTGAGCGAGCTGGGCGTCCTGCTGGTCCATCTGCGAGCTTTGGAGCTGCATCAAGCCTTGGCTGTCTAAGGGCCGCGTCTGCTCTGTCTCTTTCGGCTTCGATCCGCCACCAAAGACACGAGTGACGGGTCTCGAGAACCCTGTGGAAGACGGTCCCGACGGGTGGCTGAGCAGCGCCTCGCGGTCCGACTCGGTCGCAGGGTTTCGCTCGGCGGGGGCACCAACGCCTCGGGTCGTGTTTCGTGCGACCGTGACCATCTTCGCAAGCTTCTCGCAGTCGTCTCGTAGCCTTGCGACCATGTCCCTCCGCCGCTGCAGCTCTCCCTCGCTCATGCCCACCAACGCCAGATGCTGCACCCCGTCCTCCAGCGCACCCACTCGTGAGAGCGCGGCGGCGAGCTTCTTCTTCGCCTGCACGTTCGTCTGGTGCGAGCCCGTGATATCGCCCGTGTCTGATAGAGCGTCGCGTTTATTTATGTCAGCGCGGACGTCGCGTATGCGGGCTTGCAGGTCGGTGTGCTCGTCGAGCCAGGACGATGACGTGAACTGCGAGAATCCTCCGGATGCAGCGTCCCCCTTCCCCACCGGCACGCCCAGAAAATCCCTGAATGCAAAGGACTCTCTCCAGCGGTCGTCTCTCGAGCTGAGGATGGCGCGGAGGTACTGCTCGAGGCCCTGGCGGCGTTCCTCGAGGATGGCGGGGTTGTTACGCGAGCGAAACACGCTGAGGGCGTGCTTCGGCGGAAGCTCAGCTGGCGGGGATGCGCCTGTAGATTTGGTGAGCTCTGTGTGCAAATCCACAAATTCAGAATATCGTCTCCACATTTGCCATGACCGCACTGATGCCTGGATTTCGATGCGGAAGGGTGCACAGGCATTCGATGTAAGTCTGCCCTCTCTTTTTCTCCTTTTCATTTTTGCCATTCCTTCTTGCCCTGGGCAACCCCTGGAAAGGCCTCTGCCCAGACTCCTGACCAGTGCCTAAGGGATGGGAGCTTTCTCAAGCGGATTATCGGGTTGGGTGATTATCGGCTATCTTGTAATTACCGTTTATATATACTACGTCAGCAGGATTTGTGTCTATGTCAGCAGAATTTGCGTAATCTTTCGAAAGGCTCACCGTCCCTAGGCGACTGGCACAAATTATTGGCGCGCGTGCTCGGCAGCTCGGCAAATGTCCCAACAATTATTTTCGTCGCTCGGTTTTCCGAAAAATAAGCGACGGCGCCTCTCCGCCTCGCTCAACCCTAGAGTAGGAGCCCACCCAAGCTTCATCTGCGGTACCTGCTCCGCTGTAGATAGAAGCTGTTCTAATATGATTTCAGGCAGCTGAGGCTCTATTTTATCTAAAAATATGCATGTGAGGCAAATAAGTGAAGAATCATCAGAGTTCTAAATTATGCAATGGAAATTAATGTGACTGAAGAAGGTGAGCTTTCCACAGATCTTTGTTCCACAGAGAGCAGGTTGAGTGTTGGGATAACTGAATTCAGCACATTTCCGCAGAGATACAAAAGTGAGATCAGTATAACAATTAGTAGAGTCCTGGTGTAAGCACCATAAACACCTCCGCATTTTTTCAAGAAGTGACATCAAGGGATCAAGGTGAAAACACGAAATATTGCCAGAAAGGTGGTATGTAAGGTGCAACGTTGCCGTGCAGTCATTGCGGTGTCGTCAGGGACCTTACTAGAGAGAGTGGCGCAGCTGCCGTAGTCGCTCATCCACATCTTTCACGGTCTCATGCACCTGCTTTAGACAAGAGATGCGGCCATTAGAGACATTAAAATCAATTTCATGACTTCTGAAATGAGCAGTCGAGCCGCTACCTGTTGTGGTTCCCAAGATACTAAGGAATGAGCGGGAGGTTCTCGAAACCCTCGCTTAGGGTTGAGCGAGGCGGAGAGGCGCCGTCGCTTATTTTTCGGAAAACCGAGCGACGAAAATAATTGTTGGGACATTTGCCGAGCTGCCGAGCACGCGCGCCAATAATTTGTGCCAGTCGCCTAGGGACGGTGAGCCTTTCGAAAGATTACGCAAATTCTGCTGACATAGACACAAATCCCGCTGACGTAGTATATATAAACGGTAATTACAAGATAGCCGATAATCACCCAACCCGATAATTCGCTTGAGAAAGCTCCCGTCCCTTAGGCGCTGGTCAGGAGTCTGCCTCTGCCCGTTTTGTCACGTTGCGCCTGACTGATAGCTAATGCACATGACTCACTGGGCGCTCGAGGACCGCGCATAGCTACCGCGACGACGACCCCGCCTATACCTTCTCCACGCTCACGGTTTCATCCAATTCGCAAGCACCTTAAAATTTTCTGCTATTATACCCTTATGTCAATGAGCACCACCATTCAAGCCATATATATACGGAGTTACGAAGAACGCGCGGAGCCGAAACCACATACTGTCTATAGAGCTTCTCGCGAGTGAGGGACTGGCTCTACGGAGGACAGGCAGTGGCATCCGAGCACTGTCTTCCCAATCGGGTAAGCGCGCCCTTTCATAAACTGGCCAAATCTGCGCGTCGGGTAACCAGGAGGTATAATAAGGCAGTGTAAATACATTAATATTACAGAAAAAAATAAATTTAGATATATAAGTACCACAGACCATCTGTAGGCTCACAGAGAGTAGTTATTTGGAGAATGTGGCAAACAAATCAAGGATATTTTCAAGGCCCCCTAACTCAGCTGTATGTAGCTTACAGCTCACTATACCATGGATTAATATTATTTGAGCTGATCTATCAGAATTTACTGTGGAAAAGGTGGTACTGAGCAAGGCCCCAACTCGGCCAAAGCTGGGTTAGGGTTTAATTGGTCGTTGATCAATCGGGCGCCTGGCTCAACCTTCTTGTACCATTTAAGCGCCCTAACCATTGCGCAGCTTCCCAAGTGTCTAAAGGTCTGACAAAAGGTACCCAAGAGGGTCCGGGACCCTTTTGTTCAGTCAATACATTGCTCTCAACTGTATAGGCTCGAGACTTGAGAAGCAGAAGCTCATAGACAACAGCTGACAAATAAGAGGATGTCCAGGTTTGGAAGGCGAGGGGCTTAGATTCTAACAAGGCCAAACAAGCGCACGGACCAGTGATCTCCCATGATCTCAGACTACTCTTGAATGCAGACTTTGATGATCAATATGGACCCTGTTGCATGGGATGAAGATGCATTCTTAGAAGAAGACCATTTTGTGCTAAATGGTCATGTAGGACCCGTTCTTGCCAAGGGACAATCTGTGGATACAATGAGTTCCTTCGTACTGCAGTTGCTAGTCAAATAGCTGTATAAGGATGCAAGAGAACTCGATATATTCTTGGACATATCTCAAGATGGTGATATAGCCAAGCATCTGCAAGTTAAGGAGTTTCAAAACCTGCTGTTAAAAAATATCAAGAGCAGTGATTTCATGAGAACGTGGAGTCTTTGTAGGTATTTTTCCAACTTCGCAGTATCCACCATCTGTCTGATCCACCATGGGCTATAGACAGGTTTTGCAAGCAGAAAACTGGTGAATGCTATATCATCTTATGTGTGCCTTGCTGAGACTCACAAGATGATACTTTGTCTAGTAAAATTTGTATGCTATGAACATCTATCAAGAAACACCGTTCTTCTCACTAACATATTTTGTCAGCTACCATTAATCATGGAAGGAGACATTCTGTGGATTGTCTCATTCTCTTCTCAAAACTACAATGCAGTTCTACATGAAACACTGGCTAGCAACATCCAAGGCCTATTCCTGTTCTTTATCGATTATCCAATCTTCTGAGACCAGAAAATCGAGGATGAACAACAAACTGGCAAAGAATGTTGTAGTATTTGAGGCGCGAGGTGCGCTGACCCACTGGATGCACATCCACTGTGCCGAGACACCGACATGATGCGCTAGGCATTTCCCACAGTCATGTGGTTGGCAGGTTTCAGCTGGAGTACCGTTGAAACCTGCCACCCTATGATGTCATCGCCCTCTTACCAGATTTAGATATGACGCGCGCAGAGCGCACTCAGCTCTGGCGCCCTTTCACTCCTCGCTATGTTTCTCTTAGTCTCAGCTTCCTCAGCGTACATAGTATTGGACTGAATATATTAGGAAGTAGATAAGCTATATAAGGACACGTAGTATTATTCTTAGAATTTACCATTGATTACTCGTGAATCCCCCACCTGCGTGATCCAATTCACAACAAAGGAGATTGTGTATATTTCTATGGTTGTCATGGCACGGAGTTGCCGTGAGTGTTCTGTCAGGCAAAAGACCCCTTCTTATCTTATCTGTATTGCACTCTAGCATGTTCACCCATCAATAAAACACTCAAATCTTTCTTCCAAAAATTGATTGCTGATCAAAATAAAGTGGGCCAAGGGGGGGTGGCACAGGCAGTGCATGTGTTTCTTAAAGCCCTGTTCATCACAGTGTTGAAACATCTCCAGCTTCTGGCTGCTGAGCGTGAGTCCAGCAGACAAACAAACTGCACCAAGATACAAGTCTTACATTGATCACAGTTGAGCTTGACAAAGTAGAAGCCACAATCACTCAGCTCGCTGTCTAGGCACACACATCGAAAGCAGGTGGCATGATTAGATCAGTGTAAAGACTCTTTAAATATGAACTAATCATTGCTGTCTCACCTGAAGAAGAAACTTGTGCTGCAAGTTGGCAACATCAAACAGAGTTTACATGCAATCCAGCTGTCTTCGGGAGGACAGCCTTAAGTAAATTCTGCAGGCACCCACATGTGACAATACTGATCCGTATTGACCTAATGAGAGAAGGTGACAGGGTGGGCTAATGGTCTAGAAAAAGGAAGAGGTTGTCACACAAACAGGAGCATCGAATGCATGGTGGCATGCCTGCAAAGATGCCAGGAAGACAACAGGATGCTCCAGAATGTATGTGCAATAGGCTTCCAAGCTCCAATGACCCGAAGCTTGAATGTGACCATCAGGACAGCTAAGCAAAGCCAGGAAAGTTGCCCCACCCAGACACAGAGAATGGTCACCCACCAAGTCACCAAACACAGCCTGTAGATGCGATAGGTACCAGCCTTATGTGGGCACAGAACCATCATGCTGCAGAAATAGCATCAGTTTGAAGGAGAACAGAGCATCGCGAGATGCAAGGTAGGCAAGAAAAGGTGCGCCTGGGTTGAGGAGGTCAACGTGGCGTTCAATGACAACCTCACTACTAGTAAAGTAGCAGTCTGCTTTGTGCATAGGCAGCATATATATAATGGACATTGCAATGACCTTGACAGAGCAGCGATGAATGAGTTTGCACGATGAACAAAGAAAGGGATCATCAGGCCAGACCAGTTTGCCTAACCGGTGCAGACCAAAAAATCCAACTAAGGTCAGAGCCAAGAAAAGGTGATCATCATGGCATAGCGCAATGCCAACGCTTGCCTTGAGATGCAAAAGGTTATCTGGCATTAACAGCTGCTTCTGAGATGTAGGTGCATTGAACTGTTTTTTGCAACCTGCAAAGCAGCAGGTCACCGGACGGGACTTGCGAGCGTCATGCACTGAGGGGAAAAAGGACACTAACTGGCTGCAGATACCAGACAAATAAGTCTCCACTGGTGTAGGCTTGATAAAATGCAACATGTAGACAACAAAGAAAGACAGCATGTCAGATGTGGGATCAAGCAAGAAATGGTGGTCATTGCAGAAGGTGATGTATGACTGCAGGTGCAATGTGTACACCTTGTGAGTTATCTTGTCGAGGGCAAACCAAGAGCAATTACGCATTCTCGAATAAGTTTATCGAGTGACCAGAGTGCACGTGCAAAGTGTCGGGTCACTCGGAGAAGTGAGTTCATAATGAAATCCCTCCCTGAGAAGTCCACTGGGGGTTATAAAGAGAGCAATTGGTGTGTCAGGGCAGTATTGTTCAATAACAGAGTGAAGCCCACAAGAGAGTACATTTGTGACGGTGTTAATCACCCCCAGAACATGCCAAACACGCAGATTGATGCACAGCCATGCACTGATAATGAGCGAGCAAATGTCCAACAGGATATCCACAAAATGCCCCTTTGCACAGAGACTGTCAAAAATCTGAACAGTGTTGAGATTGTCCATGAAAATTGCCAACCAAAGTGTGGCTGACCCACAAGGAAGAGTTGACACCCAACAAAGTGCGGCAAGCACAGTGATTGCCTCAAACCAAAAAATGTTAGCTCCCATGCCTAGTGGTGTCTCTGGCATATGTGCAGTCACAAAAATGCGGCAAAGTTGTGGGCACCATATACTCAAACTGGTCAGGAATGAATTGCAGTAGATAGCAAGGTGGGTGTTGGATAGCTTCCGTGCATATGCCTCTAGAAGATAAACACCACAATGATGCCTGAGGTGATCTGTGATCTACAAGAGATCCTGTTTGGTGCATTTATTGAGGTAGATGCAAGACCAAGGCTTGCTGGACTTGCTGCAAAGCTTCTCGTACAAGGACTGCAGAGCCGGGCGCAATAGCAGCTGCATTGAGGCCCCAATTGATCCATCTGAGTATGCACTGCCACTACCAGAGTGAACACCGATGTTCATCAGAAGCAGTAAAAGTTCTGATGGCATGTACAGGCTCTATGTGACATGTATCTGGCAGTGTGATCGTGATTGTGACCATGTCAACATGAAAACCAATGATAGGCAGAGCTTGCCCACACAGGTGTTTCCTGTTGGAGTGCAGAATACCAAGCTCATTTCAGAGGTAGAGCAGCTGGGTCTGCTTCAGTGGCACCAAGCGGCAATATGGAGCATAGAGATATAGAGAACTGGCAGCATCTGGGCCAAACATATCATCCATGTAAACCAGTGCTGCATCTATACTGATAGGCCATATTGCAATCCACATGATGAGACCCATAAGGGTCATCCAAATGTCCAGAGACCCATGGCTACTGAAACAGAGATTTTGGTCAATTTGACAGACTTTCTTGCCAGTAGGTGATGTTGTAGTGACAACCTGCTTGAGCTGCCAGAGAGGCTGCAAAAAGAGCAAGTGATAAGCATTCTTCACATCAGACTTGAACAGCCACACTGGGATGGCACTGTGATGGCAGTGGATGTCAAGGAGGTTCTGTCCAAGATCTTGGATATTATCCGGCTGCATGCCAACCTTCTCCTTATCAATCATGGCATTCAGTGCCCAACAACCAGCTGAATGGTTGTTGATGAGATGCAGCTTCTCAGAGTTTGGCTTGAGGACCACATGAATTGGCATGGAATATATGCCCGGCAGGAGATCTGGGCCGAATAGTCATGAGTATCATCTCAATGCTTTTTCCTCTACAGTGTAGTCCTTGATAAACTGGTGCTCTCACAGACCAAGTGGTGCACCCAAGTCCTTGTCCCATGTGTCCGGAAAGTCCAAACCTTTGGTTTCCCTGTGTCATCATTTTGTGACAAGCTTGCAAAAGGGCGGCAATGGAGAGTTCATGGCAAATATCACACTTTGTTCTATGCTGAAGTTATTGAGGTGACCAAAAAAGTAGGCCACTAATTCTCATGTGCCAATTTTGATGCTGAACATCTAGGCAGTCAATTGAGGATCTAGCTTCGACTACCGGTGGCAATTACCTCAACTTCTTGGCCAACAATGTTAGACCTGCTGCAGCCAAGTTATGCTCAGTCTTGAATCTCTCCGGCATTAAAGTCAATCAGCCACTTGTGGTGCTCTGCTTCGACGAAGCACATGATCTTACTGCAAAACAGAAGACGGCATGGTCGGTGTATAGCAAATTGCTTTGTGCGATCTGCTCCATAGTCAAGTATTCTATCTTCTCAGTTTTCCTGTCAGTATCTGGTGACATTCACCAGTTTGCACCTGCGATTACTTGTGACCCTTCCAGTTGTACTCCATCAGATGGCGTGACATTCTGCCCCCTCTTCACCAAAACTGGGTTTGACCAGCTAGCATAAAAATTCCACACTTGTGATAACTGGTCACTCCATAATGTAGCCACACCAGAGTTCATGTCCCACTTAGAATGGCCTCTGTGAGTGGCCTACTCATAAAGCATCAGACATGGATCTGATAGGCTTTTTGGAAGGTTTGGGTTCAGATACAATGTCAGTGATGCCACCATCGAGGACACTATCGTCCATTTTGCTGCATGGAAATTGATATTGCAGACCCCTTACTGTGCAAACTCAGTTCAGCTATGGAGCTTGCATGTCTCTCCATCTTACTAAGCTTGGAGTTCCAAGAGATGAGCTGGGGCTGAGAGAAAGAAAGGACACAGGTGGAGTGGCACATGTGACTGTGCCTCAATGGAGTGCTTGAAATGTTGGTCACTGTCCCTTCCTCTGAACCTCTTCTTGCAGAGGGCGCCTTTCACATTATGCAGTAAAAGGGGCTCAGTTATGCTGGTGTTCTTAACAAATGCCTCAAAAGTACATATCTTTGTGTGGGAGGACGTGAAGAGGTCATCACTGCGTTGCTGTTACTTATGGCTCGCAAACAGGCAGTTTATCCATTCTGCCCTTGCTCGGCTTCCTGAAGGCATTGTTGTGGGACATGGACTACAACAAGGTGTGCATGTTTCTTCCCAGCTGCTTTCGCAATGGTGACAACAAGAACTTCAACAACACGCTCAGCAACACTTGGATATATTTCAACCATTGTATTAGAGTCAAGGACTTCTGTCCCATCAGTCAACTAGCCTAGTGTGGTGCAATGGTTTGCAGTGGTATGATCATCTGTGTGGACAACCAGCCTGGTATGAATCTTGTCATACCAGTCACGTCCAGTAGCACAGAGCTTAAACCAGAGAATATCACTGCAATTCTCATCCAGGTGAGGAACAACATCAAGTACACAGACAAGATATCCCAATCTCTTTTCAACGCCATGGACCCTATCAAGCTTGGGGTCTCCACTAGTGAGCTCTCTGTGGTGCGCATGATGTTCATGCTTGCATCTGAGAAGTCCTCAGTTAGTGTATCAGATTGTGGTGAGCAGCATTCTGAGCAGTCTTGCAAAGACAATATGTACACTGCATTCAATATCAGGTGTGCCGGCTGCTATGACCAAAGCTTCAAGAGCATATCTCAGAGCGAGAATGAGGTGTACCAAAGCCTGCTCAACTGTACCTGCCCTTTTGCATATTAAATGAACGCGAGCACTAATTCACTGCATGAACTAATACCGAAAACCTTCAAAGTGGGCATAGAGACCATGCGGCGTAAAATGCATCCTGGAGTCCTTGCACTGAATGTTGCACATTGGGATCAATTCTTTGGTGACTGGCCGTGTGACAGTGAGATGAAGAATGCTGATGAAGATGAAGATGGAGTAAACAACACCAATGAGGATGTGAATGCCATGAACGTTACTGCTTAGTTGTACTCACTTTGCGGCTGTATTTTTATCTCCCTATGCAGCTGGTAATACAAAACAGACTTTGATGCTTCTTGTAGAAACTTGATGCAATGCGGGTGATAGCATGCTGCTCTGGTCAGCACTGACTGGTATCTAGGCTCATATGTGCTTCAATTGTCCAGTCAAGCATGGGCCTGTTGGCTGTCTGCATCAAATATGGTAATATACTATTTGCTAATTGTCATTGTCATCTTTCTTTGAGTATCTCAATACATCTCCGATAGGACTGGCATGATAGATTCTGTCATTGGATCTCATAGCTTCTTCACACAACATGCTTGTTTGCACAAGCAAGGAGATCCTCGACAGCAATGTCTGGAAACTGGGCAATGTACTCCATGGCTTTCTTAATGAGTTCACCAAGCAGCTCCTGGTCTCTCATGTGTTTCTTGAGGAACGCAATGGCGAGTGCCGTGGCTCACACTTTGTTGGTGACTTGAAGAGTCTGTGTCTCTGCCAGCATGTCATTGCCAACAATGGCACCGAGATCCTTATTCATGGGGAATGATCTGTCAAATGACTAGCTGCATGAGTGTGAGGACCTTGTTGTCTGGAGAATGCTTGAGAACAGTTTTGATGTCAAGAACCTGGCTCGGGCCCACTGTGGTGGCATCTGAAGCCATGTGTGTTTGTGTGGCCAGTGGGTTGCTGGACAAGGCCCCGGCACTGACAAGGGCGTAGAAGCAGGTGAGGATGTTGCCGTAGTACCATCTGTGCTCTTACACATCTTGTGTGCAGCCTTGCTCACCAGCTGTTTGCATGGCACCATTCCCCAGTGGTGTTTCGCTCTGCCCTTTTCAAGCCCCTTCCCTCTGAGCCTGCGACTAAAGCTCCCACCGCTCATGCCGGTAGACAGTGCGGAGCTCATAATGGCATAGAAGAAGACATTATATGCAGTGGTGATCTGCACAGCATTATCAGTGCTGATGGCATCAAGGCGTCACTTTGCACACATGCGCATTGCAGGCCCAGTGTTAGATTTGGACAGCTCGTAGATGTGTTCAGTGGTGAGGTCAACTTTGTTTGTGATGCACTTTTCCATGGCAACGAAGGACATGTACTGGCTCACCAGCTGGTACTCGATGCCAAGTTTAGTGATAAGGGCCTTGGTATCTGATGAGAGCTCCTTGCGATTGCTGTCATCTAAGTCCATGATGAACTGGCAAGTGGCTAGAGTCAGGATGGACCTTTGGTGTGGATGGTCTGAAGAAAACTTGATGACTTGCACAGGGATGGAGAATTGGAGAACGTTGCTGAGCCTGTCATGCTGTCCTGAGAGGATGATCTCTCTTGAGAGTAGGAAGCTCGTGCCTTCAACAAAAGTGGAGACTATGGAACAGTGCTCAGGATAAACTGCAGAAATCTTCATGGGAGCTTGTTGGATGGTGGTTCCAGCCTCCACTGTGCCAGCTGCCATGCCCCAATTGACACTGACATTCTTGAGGATGTAGGTCTAACTTGTGTACACCAGCTTGGAGCATTTACTAACAATGCTCTCAGACGTGGTGGCCATCTGGCAGATGCCATTGCCAGCACATGCAATGGCCTCACACATCTCACTTGACATGGTGGATCTGATGCCGAGGGTGAACACACAAAGCTGTGCTGAAGGCTTCAATGCCTTAATTGCATTGTCGACAGTCTCAAGAGTGCCTACAAGGTTCCAGGCCTAGAAGATCCTTGTCAAGATATGAAGTTACAAAGGCAGCAGATATGTGCCTCTTCAACTGTTAGAATAAAACAAGCTGTAGATTTGTCAGTCCTGCATGAAGCAAGTACTTTCTCCATTGCACCCTGGATCTCTGTGCTCCTATAGCTAGTTAACATGCTATTGACATGTTGAGTCTATGTGCGAGTAATCAGTAGAATTACATTGGCAAGACAATCAACATACGGCTAAACTCAATGTTTGTTCGTCATATGGGATGCTTTCAGGCCACAGACTGTCACAGTGACTGCCAAAACTGAAAATGTTGAAGTGCGTCCCCTGACTTGGCAGGACCCTAAGTAGCATCACAAGCGCATGTTGAGCAGTCTCAATCCTGCTACCTTCCATGCTGCCACTGCAATCCACTAGGAAGATGTATTCTTGATTTGCAATTGGTGGCAAGTTGAACTTGCATCAGCAAAATAATCGGTCGCAGTTCAGAGATGGGTTACCAGGCAAGCGCCTAACAGCCTGGTGGGCGCTGGCAATGCAAGAACAGGGGATACCAGGCTGATATCACACTGCAGTTTCAACACAGACCGATATGTCATTGTAAATCATTTCCCATCCTGTTTTAACTAGACATGACGCGGCCAGCACACCCAGATCTCCACTGTGACGTGACGTCATGCGTGCCGCTTTCCGAGAGGTGTTGCTGACTATCACATATATGTTGACTGGCCAAACAAACAACAAAGTCTCCTTCAACCTCCCCTAAAGTTGCTCTGGTGAGTTTCCTTTTATGTATTCATCCATATAAGGCTGTCGAAGGCCATCCGCTTTCCATGCTCCTTCCTTCTGCCCACCACCATGCCCCCACCCAATAGACAGCCACCCCCGGACGTCATTGTCCTCTGAGATTCTTATCCCCACTTCTACTTTCCCCTCGCTCAACAGTGACTCCACTGCGTGCTCACTCAGCGCAGTACGTCGCAAGGTGCATGAGCAGTAATTTCTCTTGCATTAGCACTGCAGTTGACTACTCATATGCACGGCAGCCGCAGCACCGACTTCCACCTGCCTGCACGGCTATGTGAGGGTCCTGTAATGCAGGAGAACAGTGCAAATACACAAGGTCCGTTGATGCTGTCCTATCTAAAGCGTGCCTCAGACTCAGGCTCTTTTTGTCACTCGCAGACATCCGCATATGGTACGTAACATGCATATATGCGCTCGATTGCTTATAACTGACATGCATAGGCCCTCGTAAGACATTCCCGCTCACTCAGCAAGCTAAACCCTTCTACCCTATGGTTTCACTCGCATACTAATGCCATTCTTAGTAGCTGTATATGGCCCACTCTCTCGTGCTCCGGGACCCACACAAAGCCCTCGCAGTAGGCATAGCAGTCTGCAGATAGTTTTGTACATGAGAACTTATGCACATGACTCATTCAGGGTTTGCTTTATGCATGCTGTGCGCCAACTGTGTAGCCGTTGCGCCGGGAGCCGCTTGTTGGCTGATATCATGTTTGCATGCGATGCGACTCAGAGGGCATTCTCGTCTCGATACTGCCATTTTATGCAATACATATACTTTGTATTCTATAAACCTCTATGAATATATTTCTCACCGCTCCTAATTTCGATGTGCAAATCAGTCCCAAATATTTTTGAATATCCAACAAATTGTTGCGAGCGCTCAGGCAAGTGCTGCCAGCCTGGCGCTCCCTGGTAATGCATTACCAACCTTACCCGAATGGTAAAGGTCCCCAAACTGGTAAGCTTTAGTTATCATACAGGTGAGATATCTACCTTGGCAAGTCTATTCTCATAATGATTACCTTTATAAGCGAGATTAGCTTTGCCAGGGCTGTTCAGGCTAAGTAAGCTGCCGATTTTTTTGCTGATGTGGGCACAATATTCAACTGCATAGCAACTGCATCAGTGGACACACACTCAGCAATGCAGCATGAAATGTCTAGTCCATCGGCAGTGATGCACAAAACGAAGTCTTGGATAAGGAAGTCTTGAGAGAGGTATCGCAATCTACAAGATGTCACACTCGACCCATCATCTAAGATGGTGAGCATTAGGTGAGTTGGGCTGGTGATACTTTTGACTGCATCTTGCATGCAGACATTGACAGAAATGCTGATGCGATGAGGTGGAATCCTTTCATGACCTGCTGTGCCATGAGGAAAAACACCATATCGCATTCCAACATACATCAGGATCTGCAGTCTGATCTGGTCAGTAGTATCATCCTCCATGAGGTCGAGCACATACTGTAGATGGTTAGATAGCAAAACATAGATCATTGAAAAGACTCACAGTAACTGTGGTAGTAATCATCTCACCTGTGGGAAGGGCTCCAACAGAGATGCAGAAGATTGTGGCAAACAGTCAGTGCTAGAAACACTGAGCAGTGACATCAGTAGACTAACCATCATCAGTAACATGTTCAACGAGGCTGGTGGTCTGTCCAAGTTGGACAGCATTCTTATAGTCTTTCCTGGCCTCATTGCACTCCTTGGTGACGGTGGTAATGACAGTGCCGTCCTCTGCGGTCATTTGGAAGCCACATACAGCTGACCTAGCAGGGACAGAGAAGATATACTTGGCATGGGAGATGACCAAAGGGGAGGGCTGCCAGAATTACTGGGTGACAGTGACCATGGCAGAGACGAGGTGCACGCAGGTTAGCTTTAGACGTAGTAAAGTGATAATGATGGAGGGGATGCTGACCATCCACTAGATTGGCATGTACTTCGGCCTTCTCAAGAGGCAGATACACAGTGTTAAAGTCTGACTTGACATGGATAATACCACAGGGTCTGTTTGTAGTGGTTAGCTGCATTATATGTGGTGGTCTGGAAGAGAGCTGAAGATCCCAGTTGCCTAACCTTATATATTGTGTAAAAACAAATCATACTCTGATGGCAACTGAGGGCCAGGCCAAAACCAACATGACTTAATCTAAAAGGGACAAAGTCCTGGGAACAGGCTCATTCCATAATCTTGTCATACAGTTGTGTGGGTATCCAGCAAAGAGCCAGAGTCTGAGCAGTCATGGGATTTGAGATACCACTGAGCTACATTCTGAGCACAGAATATAAGCACAAATTATGGTGCATCCAAGTTCACTGACCTAGAGTGACAATTGTTGGCTCTTGAAAGTACAGCCCAGAGATGGCCCATCCATGACAGCTGGTGCTTAGGAAAATCTGCTCGGGTGTACCAACAAAACAGACTGAGCCCACTTCTTTCGGCACTATGTACAATTGATCAATGTCTACCTCAGGAACAACTTCAATAATGCTCACCTAAAAGGTGTGGCAATGGGCTATCCTGACCACCTCAGTTAAACGTCGGGCAGGGTAATCATACCTGCTGCAACACCGTGGTGTTAAGTTTGACACAAAAAAGGTCAGCTAGTGACATAGTAATACAAGGAGAAGTGATAGCCAGCACTTTTAGATCAAGCCAAGGAGTAGCAGGCTTATGTGAAATGATGTGACACCTTTAAAAAGCTGTGCAAAAGAATTGCCTCATCTACAGTGCATCACAACCATGTGCCAGTACAAAGCCCTATGGATACCAGACGCGAAATAAAAGCAGCTGTTTCCTATGAAGGTGAACATTTGTGGATCTCTTGTTGGCACGAGACCAAACTAGAGAAGTATGAATACGTACATGGTCATCTCCAGGTGGTCACGTAGTTTTTGCAAAGCGGGTCTAAGCATATCAGGATATCATTGAAGATTTAGCCAGTGGCATATTGCATTCTATTAAGTGAATTCTCTATGCTCCAGTGGAAGAAGTAGCATGGCCGAACAGAACGAGCATTGGATAGACAGCAGGGCGGCGAACTAGGTTGGCACCCCGCCGTACTGGCACGTGGCAGGCGGCGGGCGAGCGTCCATAGGCGCTCGGTAGTTTGCGCTATCCACAGCGGCAAATAAATGCCTGTTACCCTGAGCGCAGCAATATATTGCAAGCGGGATGCTGGCTGTCATGAGACAAGTTTTCACTGCAGAACTTACGCAAAAACAAGATAAAATTTTATGGTCTTTTTGATGTGGAGAACGCGGTCTATCTTGCTACAAAAGATATAACACTTTTAAACTTATTTTATCAGCCCGTTTTTGTATATTTATGACAGCAAAAAATCTTCAAATTTGTCTCGTGTATCTGATGTACAACAATGTATGTTCACTACTTCTACCCCAAAGAATAATTTGTCCCGTGTATCTGATTTGTACAATAACGCTCACTACTCCTACCTGAAGAATACTACGAATTTGCCTCGTGTATCTGATGTACAACAATGTACGTTCACTATTTCTGCCCTGAAAAATACCCACTAAAGTCCCGATATCCAAACTTAACCCGAATCCCACCATACAGGCCGACCTTAAACAACAAAATTTTCGGCCTGGGTCAGCAGCGCGTCGATGTCGACGCCTGAAGTTTCGGAGAGGTAGTCCATAGCCTTCTCAACCAGGCCGTCGAGGAGCTCCGGCTGGTCCTTCATGTATTTCTTGAGGAAAGCGACCGCGAGCACCGTCGCCCAGACCTTCTGGTCGATCTGCAGGCGCGTCGCCTCCGCGAGACAAGTCTTGCCGACGAGATTCTCGAGCGACACAGTGGGCGAGAACGATCCGTCGAAGGACTGGAGACGGACCAGCTTGAGCACCTTGTCTTCTGTCGACAGCGAGGACTCGTCGAGCGACCTTTCTTCTTCGCTAACGGCAGGAGGGACAGGGGCGGCTCCAGTGAGACGACCCATAGCTTGTGGCATGAAACCACATGGAATGGACTGAAGGTGGGTCACGGGAGGGGCGGAGAAGAGCGAAGACGAGGTGGAGAGAGACGGAGACGGAGCGGAGAAGGATTGATTCTGGACAGCACCAAACAACGTTGGGGCTTGCGACGGGCTCGAGCCAAATAACGAGAATTCGGAGGGTGTCGAGGTTTGCGTGGCACCTCCAGACGGTGAGCCAAAAGTGGTAACGCGCCCTGCTCCACGAGCAGGGGGAGGCGGGGGAGGCGGGGGAGGCGGAGCTTGCAACGAGCTTGATCCAAATAACGAGAATTTGGAGGGTGTCGAGGTCTGCGTGGCACTTCCAGATGATGAACCAAAAGTGGTAACGCGTCCTGCTCCACTAGCAGGAGGGGGAGCAGGCGCAGCAGATGATGGAAGAGCAGAAGCAGCATATGGACCAAATATACCAGGCGGGGGAGGCGGCGCCGGCGGAGCAGCTACTCGCGCTTGCAGTCCGGAAAAGATCGATGCAGAGGTGGCCTGGGGAAACGGCTTGAAAAAATTGTTCTCGGGATCTTGGTGCGCTGAGAATGGTTCCTGTCGGGGCTGCTCTTGCTCAACTTCCGCCTTGGTCCGTCTGTCAACAGCGACGAACGACGTGTACCTGCTGGCAAGCTGGTATTCTGTCCCCAGCTTGACAATGGTGGCCTTGACGTCCGGGGAAAGCAGTCCGCGATTGTCGTCTTCGAGGTCCATGATGGCTCGACGAGCCGCGAGGGTCGGGATGAGGCGTCCGTGAGGACTGTCCGACGGGAATTCCACGACCTGGATTGGGACCGAGAATTGCAGGACTTCGCCCTGCCCGTCGCGCTGCGCACAAATCATGACTTCGTTGGGAGGCGTGTAGCTCTGATAATCAATCAAGGCGAACACTATGAGCCTAGTCCCGGGGTATATGGCGGAGACTTGTGCAGGTGCCTGCCGGATGCTCTTGAGCTCTGTGTTTCCGGTGCGGTAGGCCTCTAGGAGGTTCGTGTGCACGCCCCAGTCGACAGATACGTTCTTGAGGATGTATGTCCGGCTGGCGCGCACGAGCTTTGAGCATTTGCCGATGATGCTCTCGGTCGTCGTGGCCATCAGGCAGACGCCATTGCCCGCGCGTGAGATACCCTCGCACATGGCGGAAGACGTTGTGGTGCCGATTCCCAGAGTGAAAACTCGTAAGGGTGCAGACGGGGAGGCCTGTTTCACAGCTAGATCTACGGTTGAGATGGTGTGATCGATATTATAGGTCTGGATGATGGATGTGAATAGATAGATTAAGACGAAACTCGCAGGTTTACCTCTCCGTCAGTCAGCACGAAACAGGCTGTAGGCTTATCGGTCTTCCTCGAGTTGAATACTTGTTGTAACGCGCTTTGAATCTCAGTTCCGCCATAGTTCGCATACATTGTATCGACGTGTCGCGTCTAGGAATATGCAGTGTTAGTGAATAAAACTGGCAAGTTGAGACAAATCTACCAACAGCTTCGTCAAGCGTTTTTCCATCGTATGGTATACTCTGCGGCCATAAGCTATCGCAGTGGCTGCCGAAACTGAAGATATTGAAGTGGGTCCCCTGACTGGGCAAGGCTCGGAGGAGCATCACCAACGTCTTCTTCGCAGTCTCGATCTTGCTTCCGTCCATGCTGCCACTGCGATCTACAAGGAAGATGTACTCCTGCCTCGAGATCGACGGCAAGTTGAACTTCGGGACAATATTCAGCTGAATCGCCGTGGCACCATTCTTCATTTTCTGGGCGAAGCATCGGGGCGCATCCAAGCCCTCGGCTGTGACGGACAAGACAAAGTCCTGTGCCAAGAAGTCCTCAGAGATGTAGCGTGCATTCCGCAGTGTGTAGGCACTGCCACTATCGGAGATGATGACGGTTGGGTGGGTTGGGCTTGTGATGTTCTTCACAGTGCTCTGCATCTGGATATCTGCGGAGATGCTGACGCGGTGCGGAGAGATCTGTTTTGCGCCTTGCATACCCTCCGGAAGGTTTCCATAGCGCATTCCGATGTACATGGGAATTTGCAGTCGGACCTGGTAGGAAATGTCCTCGTCCATCAAGTCGAGAACATACTGCGTGTGATAGATATCAGATTCGAAGAGTTTGTGGGAGACTCTGCTACGTACAGTTGTCTGAGCCTGTATCATCTGGTGGCTTGGAAGTGCTCCAAGAGAGATCGAAAAGACTGCAGAACGAGGTGAGCTTCTGCATGACACGGGAATATGGCCCGCTTACTGTCGTCGGTTACTTGCTCGACCAAGCCCGTCATACGACCTTGAGAAATGGCCTGCTCGTGCTCACGCTTGGCCTCTTCCTTCTCCTTCGCGACAGCCGCGATGACTGTGCCGTCCTCGGTCGTCATCTCAAAGCCGCAGACAGCGGCTCGGGCAGGTACTGGGAAGATATATTTGGCCTTCTGGAGTCCGTCGGACGAGTACTGCCAGAAGTTTTGCGTAAAAGTGACAATCGCGGATACTGACATGCAAACATGAGATGAACTACACGCGAGACGGAATTGCATACTTACCATCAACTATATTCACGTGAATGTCGGCCTTCTCGAGGGGTAGATAGGCCTCGCTGAGGTCGGGTAGAATGTAGACGATGCCACACGGTCTGGCAGAGGTGGAAGTGGGCAGCTGCATGGTGTGAGAGGGAGCTGTAATCGATGCATTAGTGAAGCTCGAAGACCGAATTTTATACACTGGCTTGGAGTGAGTCTGCGGGTTCTCGGCACCGAAGGCGCAGCAACATTCGACGCGGCGGAGGCTGTCCGCGGTACTGCATCACGATAGTCGTAAGCATCCGCGTCCGATAAAGACATCGATGCTGCGTATAGCTTGGAAGCTGCGAGGCCAAGGCCGTGAGTCGAGTTTAAGTCTCCCAAGTACTAGTGAGAGCCGCGGGGCCAACTATAAGGCTTGAAGCTTGAATTGTGACTCACATTCCTGCGTCAGATGGTTGAATACCGTGTTGTCCACCTCACTTTGTGGTGGTGGCGACTCCACAGCGCTGCCGGGTTGCGATTGCAGACTGAGTGTGTAAAAGGAAGGGCGCATCACAGGGCGCATCAATAAAGTAAGCACCAAGACGCTCGCGGACCAACTTTCAGCAGCCTCCTTGTAAGTGGGCGTCATTCGTCTTCCATCCATGACGTCAGGAGCGTTCATAAAATCATTTGAACGGTATATTGGGGAATTCACGATGTTATTGAAAAGGACAGAAACCGTGTACCGGGTGCACCAGCACAGTGCACAGAGCGGTTTTTTTTCTTAAAGAAACCCGGATGAAAGCAGTCAGATAAAGCTCAATTTTCCTCGGTGCGCGCAGAGGTAAATTGAGGAGAAAACTGGTGCAAAACTGGCCCAAGCAGTTCAAAACGAAGTAAACTGGTGGAAAGCTGAGTTTTGCCTTCGGTTTTTCTCAGGTGAAAATCTGAGAAACTCAGGTCCTTGTTTTGACCGATCTTGCAAGGGAAAAAAACCTCGCTTACCAACCAGTGGTGCAGACAAGGCCATTCATCATGTATCTACATTGACCAGAGGGCTGTAATATGTGCCCGGAATGTAATAGAATATCTTATGATAACACAAGAAAATTTTAATTCACTAAAAATGCGGATAATCCCGGAAATACTTTATGATATTATGCTCCAGCAGTGGGCCAGAAAGCACACTGAACATTGCCATTGTCAGGCATGGTATTAGAAATTGAGTCCGAGAGGGGTTTGAAAATCCTGCAGTCTCCCCAATGGAGTATGCGGGGACTTGTGCAAAGACAAGCCCTGCTAATCAGGTGATTCACAGAGGCTCGCGGGGGCCGCAAGGACACTTTACACGAAGGCGCTGATGTTGCGCGCTCTGATATCATGCATTTTGCGAGGTTGTAGACTGGCTGCAGATGCAAGTATTCGTCCTGGTGCGATTGCTAGGCCCTCAGGAGCCTGTCAGAGCCCGAGGACTGATTCTCCGGTTCCCAGAGCGGGAGTCTAGATTGCCGCTGCAGGTCTCTGGTGCAAGTATGTCCGAGTCTGTGGAAAGCGGAACCATTCAAAGACAAGTACTGTCCCGCCGGGGGGGGGGGGGGGAGGTATGCTCTTCACTCGCTGAAAACCTCTGTTGGATATGGTATGCGTGGGGACTTACTACAGCACATAACTGGGGTGCTATATTTCATTGTGCGTTCATGTAAAAAGGGCTCAGGCCTCAAGGTATAAACGTCACACTGCTGCGAGGTGGCCCGACGCGGCATTGACGCGGCGAGTATGCTACATCAGCTTAGAGTTTGGAAATGGATATCCCTTGAAAAATATCCGTTGCTCCGTGTGAATCACGTGAACTTGTCGTATATACGCTTATATACGCCGTATGTTCGTATCTCCGACGTCGCGCTATCATAAAAAAACCGTACGTATGCACATCACTGATTATGGTCAACCGTCAAGTTCCTCGCCGACAGTCTTTTCTCCGCCCTCCATGTCAGCGTCCTCATCTTCAGCTTTCTTTGCGCCTTTGCCACGCGCTGATGAACGCGTGGGCTGCTTCTTCGACTCGGCAGTACCACCATTCTTTGCAGTTCGGCGGCGCTTGGGCTTGAATTCCTCCTGAATTTTTAGTTAGGACCACATCTCGGGGCACGTCGTAAACAATACTTACGTTATATACCTTGAAGAAATCGGAGGGTTCCTGGCCCCGGTGGCCGAAATACGCCAACATAGGGATGTTACTAACATAATTCGTCTTGCCTTCTCGGACGAGTGAATAGTACTCAAGCAAGTATTCCTTCTCCGCTGCATGAACAGGACGGTGAGAAAGTTAACGGAACCTAGCAGGGTCTATGCGCACCTTCGTCGATCTCTGCGCCCTGATCCGAAAACAATATTTGTCTGGCATTCTCCCTGTGATAACGTTTGTCAGCTTTAGTCATATCCGGAAAGTGCCAAGACTCGCTCGGCAATGCTCTCAAACTCCATCTTCGTTCCCAACGCTTGACTGGCTGCCATAGCCAGCTCAGGGCCTGCGGTAACCATCGGGCCAGTGACGATGAGAATCTCGCCACGAACGTCGTCGCCAAGGCCATGGGGCCCGAAGCTCGTCAGCGCGTGCGCCGCAACTTGGACAACGTCGCCCAGGGCGACGGGCGCAAACTTGTGGTCAGGGTCGATAGGAATCGGAAGTTTGCCTTCGGACTGAGCCTGCTTCGTGTAAAGTAGCAGGTTTTCCATATAGAACCCGGCTCGAATGACACAAGTGCTATGTCCGGTCTCGCCTGTCGACGGATCGGACTTGGGCTGCATCGCGAGGCGCTCGAGGTCGATAAACTCGCGGATACGCGGTTGCCTGCCGCGCTCGGCGTAGTCGCAGCCGGCGCTGGACAAGAAGACCATATTCGTGACGGTCTTGGCCTTCTTGGCGGCCTCGAGCAGTGTGCGCGTGATTTTTGCCTTGTCCTTGCGCGCTGGCGGGATGAGCATGCATGTGTCGACCTGCTCCATGGCGCTCACGAGCGACTGCTCGTCCTTCGGGTCGAACACGAGCACCTGTATCTCCTCGTACTCCGCGAGCACGGACTTGGCCTCCTCGGAAAAGACGAGCGCGGTCAGCGACCGGAACTTGCTCCGATAGCTCTCGTCGACGAGCAGGTCAATGAGGAGGCGCCCCGTCTGGCCCTCTCCTGCAGTGACGATGATCTTGCGCGAGGACGATGGCGACTTCTCAGATGCCTGCGCCGTGTGACGCTTGGGTGCCATAGCTATAGTGTTCAAGTATTTGCTGTGTAGGTCTAAGCAGGGTCGAGTTACGTTGGACAGAGAAACTGGGCATGACGACCAGCTCCGTCAAATACTCGGTCGAGGATATCAGGAGTCTGACTGTGGCGCGTTGACGGCACCAATGACGCAAAGGTCACCATACGACGACGAAAATGGCAATGCGCCTTCCTCTCTGGGAGGGCGGCGCGCCTTTCCAAATACGCACATGTCGTGAGAGTTGTGGGACTTGATTCTGGGAAAATCGAGCACGATTCACGTCTTTCATCTTCTAGTCTCGCTTATCTCAGACCATACGCATCGCAGTAACGCCCGGATGTCAGTGCTCAGCTATAGAGCTGTCATAGGCAGCGTACAGTGAAACAGTGGCGCAAACTAAAGCGAAAGACTGGCTAAGGAGACAGTGACGTCAACGGCTGCTGAGCCCTGCATCTGAGATCCCATCAACATCGTCTGGGAGAAGTGCTGAGAAGTGGCGAGTTAATGACAGCTATCAAATATACTTTCTTCTGTCTTGCTATCGACGGTCGAGGCTCCTATAAGACAAATTTGAGGGCTGCGATAGGATCATCAGTCTCACCTAGATTGTACCGATATCTCAAGGATAGACTTGGACTCCATGAGAAATATTGAGCATCTGAGGTGCCCGAACACGACTAGGTTCAACAATTGGTATGTGAGGAGGTGCTGAGAGAACGCTTGCCCTATTTTACGTGTCAATCCAAGAATACAAGCTGCAATTCGAGTAAATACAACCGAGTCCGTCGAAGCTTTCGATATGTAGGGCGAGCACCCTAGAGCTTGCTCTTCTCCACCTTCTTCACATACGCGACGCCTTGGCTGAGGCATATTTTCCCACTATCGGTGTCTTTGGTCACGAACGCAACCTCCGTAGTGCCGTCAGGGCCCGGGCCCACCTCCCAGACGGAGGTCTCGAGCGCATCGCCGGGCTTGACCGGCGACGAGAATCGCACGGCGAAATACCTGAGCGAGTCAGGCTTATTCCCGCCAACGGCGGAGAGCACCGCACGCGCCGCGAAGCCGAACGTCGAGAGCCCGTGCAGGATAGTGCCCCCGAAACCCGTAGCCTGTCCTATCTTCGGGTCTGCACGAGACCGTGTGATCACGTGAGTAATAACGCGAGATCAATAGCGCGAGATCAGGACATACCGATATGGAGGGCGTTGTAGTCGCCACTAAGTCGGTAGATGGCCGCCTGCTCTGGGGTAGTCTTGTCTCGCACGACGTAGTCGGGTTCGCGATTCTTGGGGATATCCTTGGCTGGATAGGGCCCTGCAATCCGCTTGCTAAACTTCTGGCCGGTCGCTTTTGCGCCTAGGTTGAAGGACGAACCCTGAAGGATAGTCAATAAGTTATTACGACACCCGGAATCGTGATGGTCCGGCCGATTATACTGTTGTGGGATGTGGATCTCTGGAGTGACACGTAGAATACTGAGTGTCATCCCGCACGACCCTGAAATGCCTCGTGGCAGAGTCGCGCGGCATAGCCGCGTCATGATCAACCAGCACCAGCGAGTCCTGCAGACTCCCCGGCACGATGCACCCCAAGCACGATACCGGGACGCTCAAGCGTGGCTGCACTCACATAAAGTTTGGCGTAGACTGTGCCGCGAGGGCCCACGAGGAGCGTCTCAGACTCGATAACAATGCCGGACTCTGGGCGCAAGACCTTGTCAGCACAGCGCGACGTGCGTTTCTCCCGTAGCACGTACTATTCTCGCTCACGCCCACGATGCGCTTCTTGAGCTTCCAGCCAGGTCCGCTGACCTCCGGGATCGGCTTTAGAATCTCGATAGACTGCGTGCCATGGACCTAACGACGCATCCGTTAGGAGTGGACGCCACAAAACAGGAAACAACCGAGGACATACTCCACGGTTAGGGTCGAACTTGGGCAGACCGGGGGCGGTCGAGCCTCCAACGCGTTTCCTGAAGTCGTTAATGTCTTGATCCTCGCCCTTGAATTGAAGGACGACGGGGTACGTGGGGAATGGCGCCCAGTCACCGCCTGGACGTGTAATCAGAAGGAGATGCATCTCGGATGCAGTACAACCTACTGAGTTCTGAAGAATGGGGTCTAAGTCAAATGCGGATTGGGGGGAGGAAGCTTGACACGTACCGTTCACGAGAGCCTGGTCGGTCGCTTTCGCACCGATGCCGACAGCGTAGAGGAGCAAATCGCGTTTCAACCATGCGACCTGCATTGGTAAGCACACGCATGGCGTGAGCTGTGAGTTGGCATGCGCCCGAGGCTCGAGGACTCACAGGAAAGTCGGCGCCCTGATGGCCGACAGCCTTCTCCAGATTAATTTCTGACATGTCGCGGCGTTTGACACTGTGCGTGCTGGGTCTTGAAGCTTATGGTCAGGTTCAGGTTTATATGAGCTGCACGGCACGAATCATGCTCACCATGCGCGGTCATGCGCCTCGGCGAGACCGGTTGCCAGACAGCCGGCGAGCGCTTCCAAGTAATTCTAAAGAAAATCCAAAGAAATGTGTTGTAAAATTATATGAAAATGATTGAATCAATCCTCGGGGATGGCGATGCTTCTAGCCTCGTGAACTAGCGTCTGCGATACTGATTCAGGGGCACAAGCGCGTCGATGGCGCAAACGCAGCAGATTTAACGCATCAGGACATGGGCGTCGAGCTCTGAACTCTCTCCAAGCTTCTAATGTTTTTCCGTGAGACCCGTAGAAAAATGATAGCGTTGTGATGGTAGGCAATTGCGGATGTTTGCGAAACAAATGCGCAGAGCACGGGCTGCTTATGTAGAGTGTTTCTGACCATCGATATATTTTCCTAAATATCAGACAGACTCGGTTACTAGTCTGCAGGGCCGGTAGCTCGTCTGGGAGCCAGCTGACTTTGGGGCCGAATGAGCATGGCAAGGAGAGACTGAATAAGGCGACTAGTGGGTGATTTAGTTCATCGTATTAAAAGCGACTTCGTGGGCGTGCCGACGACCCGAAAGGGTCCATTAAGCGACCAGGATTCAGATATCATACTAAACCTTGGTTCCAATCTCCCAGGTCGAAACTCTGCCTGCTTCGCTCTTTCTGCCCTCCACGGGAGGCTATATCTTGACATAAGTCCGCCAGGCCCGCCCTGCTCGTCGACGCGGCGGCTGCACACCCGAGACTCCGAAGCTCCTCATTACCTGCTTCCGCGAACCTTGATCGCCCGCAAGATGGCGAATTACATACCGTACTCAGGCTCGTACCGCTCTTACGTGACGCCCCAGCCCGAGGCAGACTGTGATCCTCGACTCGAATTTGCTCGGCCACACGGGACATATGGCGACGATGGCGCGTGGCTCGGCTCCGCATCCTCAACGGCGCCGTATCAGCCCACCATCAGCAGCAGCTCTAGTCTCGCGGGGGCTCTCGACCACGGCTCATCACGGTCTCGACCGCCATCTGCTGAAATATGGCCAGAAAACGAAGTGTTGCCGATGGCGCCCCTCACATACAGCCTGCAGGAGCTTGAGATCACGCACAACTACGCGGGCGCAGGGTACGCGCAGTACGATGTCTATCCGTGCAGCTGTAAGCATTCCTAGCATCGGTTGTGGCGGTTGCTTAATTATCATTCTAGGGGATGGGCGAGACATGATAGTCGACAGCTACGACAGCCCGACGTTTGTCACGGACGTTGACGCCATGGAGACCGAACACAGCTATCTCAACGGTCAGCTCATTCCAACAGGCACGACCCATTCACCTACCCCCAGTGTATGTCTGCTTGTGACTTTCCGTCCGCTTGCACTAAGCACACCCGTGCGCAGAGCATCTTTACACAGGAACCAGCAGTAGCGCCGCCCGCCCGCCTGATTGTTCCATGCCAATCATTTCCCTTTCAGCCCACACGCAGCTACACGCTCGAGGGTGCGGTGACACCTGTGGAGAGCCGCAAACCACCGCGGTCGCCGAACAGCGCCAGCCCTTCCATACCGGCGTCGCCATCTGTCGCATCAGTCAGCACGATTGATGCCACCGAGACCGAGTCCCCACGAATGGTACCGCCCAAGTCGCCTAGCGTGAAGAAGGAGACGCAGGTCGTCGACGCCGCCGCGGTGCTGCCCCCCGCGTCGCTGCCACCGTCGACGCTGATGACCAAGTTCTCGACGAAGCCGCCCTTCCGCCACGTCCCGCCGCCGAAGCCTCTCAAGGCGGAGGCCGACGCTGGCGTAAATGGCGCATCGACGAGCGCACCCGGCGCGTCGGGCCCAGCCGCAGCCGCGGGAGGGGCCGCGCCGAAGAAGAAGCCAGCGATGGCGTGCTTGTTCTGCCGGGAGCGAAAGATATGCTGCGGGCCGCCCGCGCCTGAGAGCACAGACGCGCGATGCAAGTACGTGCTCTCTCTCTCTCTCTCTCTCTCGCGGCTGAGTGTTACCGGGCTGTGCTGATGGCGTCGGTGCTGTAGGCAGTGCATCAAGCGGGACCAGCCGTGTACGTTCCCGACCGAGTGTCGGCGCGGACAGCACAAGCGGACGCCGCGCAAGGCGACGATACATGCGCTCGCCGCCGCGTCATTCCCGAACGACGAGGCCCTCGCGGATATCATCGTCCACACCGGCGAGCAGTCGCCGACGCAGGTCGAGTCTGCGACAGGTGCCTCACAGATCCAGGCGAAGGCAACGACCCAGAAAGTCAAGGCGGCCAAGCGCGGCCGCAAGACTCGCGTGAGGCCCCTGGAGGGTATATCAAAATTTCTCGACAAACCGATTGTTTCTTCCCCTTCTCTGTCCCCTCGATCTGACACTTGATTATCTTTTCTTACTTTTTCACTTTTTACCTTTTTACTTTCCTCTCCGGGTCCTGGGCTCTCATCTGCCTGCTGGTATCGCTATGATAGTGCCTTCTCAGTATCTCTGGAACATGCTCTCCCTCGTTTATGTTTTCGCGTGGATCCTTAATGACACACACCGCTCTATTCTGACGTCGCGCTGTCTCGCTGTACAATTTCTTCTGATTATCCTCCCCAGCTAGCTGGTGTCTAATGTGTACGTTACGCTTTAGCTCGCACGCAATGTACATAATTAGTCCTCGCTCCACCCGGCGCGCACGGAAATAATACGCCCCCTCCTGATCGACCAGATGTTTCCTTGCGAATCGCGCCCCTGGCGAGCATGCGAGACCTACAAGGGCGGAAAGCGTGCTAGAGTCTGGCGCTGAGCTTCTGCAGGGTCACACGGGCGTGGTCGGGGCTCCGCAGGCGTGTCCAGATCCCGCATCTTCCAAGCCTAAAGACAGGGTGCGGAAGGCACCTACCTGCGAGCGTCATGCCAGGGTAGGCTATGCGTTTTACTCCTTAGAGAGGCGGGTTCTCAGGAGACTATCAGGCCCTTGGCAGGACGAGGGAAACAATTGACTCAAGGGAGCGGAAAGGGCACAACATCGGGCGATTTCTATAGATGGCGAAGTTAGATTTTGAATGATGCACAGCCATGAGGAAGATGGTGGGCAGACTGAGCAGGTGGCAGCTCTGGGCTACGATGCGACGTTCGGACGATGAGATGGCCCGGCTTCTGATGCCTGTCTCACCAAGCCTGAGGCCTGAGGGTCGTGTGCTGGGATCCAGGGCAGAGACTGTGAGAATGGTCTGCGATGACGCTAGTGTGCTCCGGCGCACGGCGGCGCAGCGTTCTATCCGCACGCAAAGGGACGCAGAGTTGCCTACGCACGCGAGGATTGATTGGGTTATCCCGAGATCGAGCTGTGAGAGTAAGATTCCCTACGGAATCGTAGTGGGGCAGCTGACGCAGGTAGAACAATGGTTCAGAGACTCGCAATGTTGAGAACTTGGCACGACGGGCCTTTCGACGATTAGCCCCGGGTTTGCAGCATGGCCCCCGCGTGTGCAGAGGCAGGGAACACGTCAATGTGCCTGTGAGAAATGGTCTACCAGCACGTAAGAATTAACGCCGCGGACCAGCGAAGATACAAGAGGAAGTGTGCATTGCACAGAGTGAAGGGTTTCATTAATCATAGCGTAAACAGACTATATGGTACATGGCTGTAGAACGCAACTGGATGTGATCCTGGGAAAGCAAGCTTACAACTGTACCTCTTTTCTCAAGTCCACGGAGACTTCGCGCTTGCTTTGTACAAGGTGTCACAAGGTGCCCCACGGGTTAGACACCGTCGCTGCTCGCTGCCCGTGCCAAACGATTGAGGGTGGCAGCTACTTGACATAGACGTCAATACAGTTCCAGAAGAACTTCGTCATCGATGCTTGATGCAGATACTTCCTCCCAAAGCGGCCCACAGTGGGAGCATGGACGTGGTAGAACTCCGGAACGACGCGGTTGAAGTGAACTTAGTAAGTTTGTTTGGAGGCTCCGTCATCGTCATTGAAATTTATTCCGAGTTTAAAGTATCGGCTTCATATTTATCTAGGAGAATGATTGCGTGTGCGTTGCAAATATTTTGCACGACTCTAAGACTGTCGTGCTCGCATCGTATGTCCTCGCTTTGTAGGTCCACGTTTTGACCTGTGTGTTGATATATTAGGATGGCAGGAGGCGTGCAGATGTCTATAAAGAGCATACCTCGCATCAATGATCACTTCACAACCGCAAAGAGTCGTGGCCGGAGCTTCAGCTTTAGTGCGCACGGCAATTACCGGCTGCATTGTGACAATCTTGCGGCGCGATATTCCTTCATCGCTGCCTAGCACTGGGTGTCGAGGATGCATGGTGTATAAGAAACCAAGAACGTAAGTAAATTCAATATTGCAGTTCACAGGGCGTCATAGGGAGAGAGGCCCAGAAAAGGTGACTTGTAGGAACAGATAGACATACCCCGCGAAGCAAAGGGGAACAATTTATCTGAACCTGGTAAGAGTACGGCTGGCCGATAACATGTGACAAGTGCAGTCAAAGACGTCGCATCCGAACTGAATCTACCTCGCAGAGCCAGTATTCATCCGCGCTTCATTATCGGATGAAGGAATACTGGATATTCTTCGGTGACGTACGTGCACGAGAGTCGACTTGCAGGACATCGCTTGCATGCCACTGCAGATCGTCCCTAGCTTCCCTGATCGCGCATGGGTGTCGTGCTACCTGACCGCGTGTTAGAGCTATCCGGTCAGGAATAGATGTCATACCTCGAGTGCGTAGATTACCCGCGCTTGCACCGATAGTTTTGTCGGCCGCGGTCCGTGGCCCTCCTTTGACTCTGGCCAGGCTGGTCTCACATAGCGATCTGAACTGAAAAGAGGCGATGACGACGTGGCAGTCCGACGTTGGCCGGCTAAGATTATCTGGCGGTTCGGTATAGCACGCCGGCTGGAGGAGGGCTGACGTTCATTATAATTGGGGTCACACATCGAGGCTTGTGCCTCCGGCCCTTTGCACTCCGCCTTCAACCGTCTCTCACACTCACGTCGACCATCTGACCTCGAAGTCTGCGTTGAGAACGCTGAAACTTTGGAGGGTAGAACGGAGACAACTGTCCGAAGATAATGTGGTTGGCGGTCAGGAGCTGTGCGGCGCTTGCCGATCCTGATTCGGTAGTCAAGTCAAGCGGTGCGTCGTCAGAGCCTTTCAGTCCCCACGCTCACCTTGAGCTCATCCCCGTTCCCTTCGCCAGTCAGCGCCTTGGCCAACGCCCTGAGCGTTGAGAACGCTGCTCTCGTCAACGGCACCGTCAGCGCCGGCACAGGCACTGTTACACGCGTACTCTTCCCGGCGTTATCTTTTACCATGGGCGACCTCTTTTCCCTCTCCTTCCTCCAGATTCTCTCCGTCCTCTCCTTCCTCACCTCCGCCCTCGCCCTCGTGCGAGTTGGCTCCGTCTCGTTCCACCGGCTGTCGCACAAGTTCGAAGCTCAGACGCAATCAATGGGTGTTGCTAGCGACAACAAGGCGCCGATATGGAACTGGAGCATCGGCGGGTCGTTTTCACTCGGTGCCCTCATCGGGGAGGATGAGGAGGAGGAATTATGCACGACTGCAGGATACACTGGAGGTAGCGAACTCATGCGAATGGACTGGCAAATGAGCAAGCCGGTAACTGGTACGTCTCGGTCCCACCATCCTCGTGTGCTCGATTAAAATTTCTTCTCCCTCTCTTATCTAGTCCACCTACCACCTCGGTACTCTCAGCCGCCAATATCTATGGCCAAGCTCATTATGCAGCGGCATGTAAGTGTCCATAGCGTGAGCTTTCCTTATCAGCCGCTGACATTGGTCGCTTAGTTCCAACGGAAACCAAATCGGTACTTACGACGGGTGCCGTCTGGATCATCGAGACCGGTGGTCTCTTCACGACTGACTCAATCGGCGTAGCCGCCGTCTTATAAATATACTCAAATGCTGCGTAACAGTAGCCACACCCACACTATGCATCTCATGACTCTGCACGAGCACTTCCTGTCTTTACGCTCCATGACGATACAGACCACGGACCACGGCTATTTATTCTTCTCTCTGCGCAGTCGGCTGGGGCTCTCTCTCTTGGATTGCATTTGGATATTAGAGCACTGATAGCCGTATCTTAAAATATTTACATGGACTACAGCATTCCTCTGACTGTTGTTGTAGATTACTGTACACGGTACTTACTCTACCATAGCTCTGTATCTCTGACTTTCTCTTGCATAATACCCCTGTGTTCTTTGTATCTTGTCTTTCGGATGTCTGGTCTGCATGTAGAGATCGATGGATCTAGGTGTCTTTTGACGCGCCCTCCGATGGGGCCCTTCCGGTCTTGTCCCCCGAATTCATCGTCGAGCTGGTGGCATGGTGCTTGCATTCACATGTGTAGGCTCAGTGTACCTAGCTATTCCGTACCATCATCTCATCCACCAAGTCTATCACGGAGGCTCGATATCCATTGGATTGTTCTGAACAGGACATGTTGACATGTCCGGACGAGATACACTTCATTTGACGTAGGCTGTGAATAGCCATGATGACAACCACTTGCGTAGTGAGTAATCCATTACTATTCGCTGTGTCTTATGACTTCATCTATTGTCTTTGTAGGTACCATCTGTCCGCTGAGCGCGGCTGCGTGACCACGTACAAGGTTTAGAAGCTTCTTGAGGCCCTACTAGGTCGTCACGGGCCCAGCTCTCCCATATAACAATCACGATACCTAGGAGAAGCGTCCGTGCTCCGCGATTAATTCTATCAGAGTTTTCACATTGACTCGCAGCTGTGATATCGGTACCTGTAATCCCTCTAGTGGCTCATATAAACATACGCGGTGACCGCGGGTCGTGTCTTTGGAGTTTCCTTACAGACCAGCGTATCATGCAGTTACCAGCGTCCACGTCCTTCCGACCTTGCGGAATAGCTCACGTGCGGCCCAATCAGAGCGACGTCTATCTGCCTTTGGAGAGGGCTGGCGTCCATGCGGACGTCATCGATGGTGAGCAACCAGTACATCCAGTTTCCCGGATACTGATACATGTATGACAAGTTTCTGCTATTGTCACCATAACTCAGCACTTCTGGCAATACTCACCTGATGGGCTCGAGCGCGCCAAATATATTTTTCCCGTCCCCGCACGCGCCGCGGTCTGTGCATTCAAGATGACCGCGGCGGATGGCATGGTTATCACAGCAATTGCGAAAGAGAAAGAGAAGGCCAAGCGAGAGCATGAAGCTGCCATCACCCAAGGGTATATGACTGGTCTCGTCGAGCATGTCGACGATGACGGTGAGATCACCGACTCGTCATGTTACCGCCCAGCACCGTACTTACAACTCGTAGTCTTTTCCATCTCTCTTGGAGCACTTCCCGGGCAGCAAACGATCTCAACCGAGATTACCGTATGTTCTGTCAATAAAACTAGGCGTATCTTTGCTGATCCCAGATAGTATGTCCTCGACCTCATGGACGACGATATCTTGGACCAAGTCAGGCTCCAAATTCCCATGTATGTCGGAATGCGCTACGGGACTTTGCCCGAAGGCATGCAAGGCGCGCATCAGGCCCCTCCCCATCGTATCAACATCTCCGTCGACGTGCGCATGCAGGGCACAGTGAGAAACATCCTCAGCCCGACATACCCTTCAGTCATTCTCTCGGACAGTACCGCGGTATATGCGTCCCGCAGCGCTCATTATTTCTCTGCAGACTTCTTGCAACGGGACTTCGTTTTATCCATTCTGGCCGACGGGCTGGACGCGCCGCGGTGCTTCGCACAGAGGGCAAAGAACGGATTCACGGCAATTCAGCTGAACATCGTCCCGAAGTTTAACCTGCAGCCGATTCCGCAGCAAGAATACATCTTCCTCGTGGACCGGAGCGGAAGCATGGGCGGGAGCAGAATCCAGACCGCGAAGAAAACGCTGGTGATGCTCCTCCGGGCTCTCCCTAGCCAGGGCACCCATATCAACATCTTCAGCTTTGGGAGTCGGTGCGATAGCCTGTGGAATCGGAGTGTGCTGTATGATGAGAGCGCGCTTGGGATTGCTGTGAGTTCAAAGCGACTTGGATGACGGAATTGGTGGCTGATACGGCTGACGCCCAGACGGGATATGTGGACAACATGTGGGCGGATTATGGGGGTACGGAGACCTTGAAGGCCCTGAACCAAGTGTTTAAATCTCGTAGGATGGACACGCCAACGGCCTGCTTTGTCTTAACCGATGGCGAGGTAAGTTCAACAAGATGAAGGCCTGGACAATTCTTTGATGATGCTCCATTCAGTCGCATGATACCAACCGCATAATTGAAGCCGTCGACAAATCCGTACAGAAGGCGCGGCCCAATGCGAGTCTCCGGGTGTTCACCCTCGGCATCGGCAACACAACGTCCAGCGCGGTGTGCGAAGGCATCGCTCGGGCGGGGAACGGTGTCTGCTTGATGGCCACAACCTCCGAGAGCATCGTTGGAAAATGCTCGAAGCTAGTGCGCGCCAGTCGGACGTACATCCTCAAGAACGTCTTTGTCGACTGGGGCGTCGGCACGGACTTGAACAGGCTGAGGGCTGTTCGCCAGGCACCCGCACCAGTCTCGGCCATCTACCCCGGAAACCGGTTCATTGTCTTTGCGCTCGTTGAGGACGAGAAGTTTACACTTCCGAGAGAAGTCGTTATCCGCGCGCAGCGCGATGGACAGGGCGAAGTGCTTCAGTTCCGTATTCCGGTGCAGATTGTCGAGTTCCCTCCCGACCACCCACACCCGCAGTTGATTCCTACTCTCGCCGCTCGCCGCATTATCATGGACCTCGACGACAAAAGCCGGACACAATGCCCTCCAGACATCAAAACGACCGTAATCAAGCTTGGCACGGAATACCAACTCGCTAGCAAGTTCACCTCGTTCGTCGCCGTCGACAGGCGCACCGAGGAACAAATCATGGGACAAATCAGGGAAGGGGTGAGATTGGGGCTTCCAAGATACGTACCACCATACGACCCCACCATTGAAAATGACAGTGGTGAGGAGGAGTGGGATGCTGTAATACCACAAAGCGTTGACTACAGCTTGCTGGAGGCACGAGGCCTGCCGCGTGCACGGGGCGCGCCGCCACCGTATGGTGCTACACCTCCAGTACCAACCGTAGTCTCCGCTCAGCCAGCAATGGTCACACCTAGTTCCCGTCCGGGAATGGTTGCACCTAGTTTTCGTTCGGCGAGGGCTTTCGCATCTCCAGCCGAGGGTGCTCCCGTCATCATTCCTCCTGTGGGAGCCCTAGGGGTCTCTCCGGCAGGGTTTGTGCCCGATGATCCTCTCGCAAGGGCCATACACAATACTTCTCGCGCGGGGGCTAGTATGGTACCCGCGAAACGAAACAGCGCGAACCTTGGCTCGTCTCTCAAAAACGCCCTTTCCGGCATTTCCCTGCGCAGGTCCTCAGACGCATCCAGCCCATCGTCGCCACAACGCCGCAGCAGCGGTATCTTCGGTAGCCTCCGCGGTGGGTCATCCTCGCAATCTGCTCCGCCGCCAGCGACCAGCCACGCTGTGCGCAGGCAGCAGGTGGACCCGGGCCCTACGTCTTACAACTTGCCACCAATAATAATGATGACGCGAGATACTGAGCCGGTTGCGTCCCAACCGTTATCCTTACATGCTTTCTCAGAGGAGTACGGGGCGTCTCCTGTCACCTCGCACACCGCCGAGGACATGGTCGTCGGGTTGGTCCGCTTTCAGTCGTTCGACGGGTCATTCCCGCCTACAGCGCAGCTCGAGGCGATCGTCGGGAAGAACTTGCTATCTGAGGCGGAGAAGCTGGAGGTCGATCCGAAGGTGTGGGCAACGGTGCTCGCGGTCGCGTACCTCAAGAAGTACATGAGGGACCAGCCGGAGCTCTTGGACGGTCTGGCGGAGAAGGCGATGGAATTTTTGTCTCGGATCCAGAATGACACCTTGCAGACTTTGCTTGCTCGCGCTGATACCTTAGTTGCGTGAACTCATACTCGTTCTCATCTACTTAATTCGTGCATCGTGCATATGTGGATCATCGACTCCCAGCATGTAGCAAGGACTTTAATGTCGGGTTCCTGCATGTTACTAGGTTATTCTGGCTGTCAGTATAAAGTCTGCAACAATCAAAGTGCCACCAGAGATAAGTCTAGTCATGCGGCGTTATGGTGGTATCCGACGGACTGATAAAGCAGGTCGGCATCCGGCACTCAGCGCTCAGCTCCTGATGTGCCCGCGCCCTTTCAAAATCTAAGCGCTTGGCATAACTTGAGTTTGAACATCAACCCGGCGGCATCTACCACCTTCTTGGACAGACCTTAATCCCAGCGCGAGTCATTTAAAGCACCCTCTTCGGGCTCTTGACAGAATGAGACGTGATGCAGATGCGTGATAACATGGCGACGACGACGTTGGAGTGCACGTCGACGTTCGGCCACCAGTGGGCCCATCGACGGGAAAGAGACCGCGATTTGGCTCAACTGTAAAGGCGTCGCATCTCCTCAATGGTGCACACGACTAACAATATTGCTAAAATCAGATCATAGATGTAGATGCATACCATTGCGGGCGGTGCAATACTACGGACAGCCTCTGTTGTGAACGATGCCACGCCTTCGGTGCCGAGCGTACTAGGCTTCAAGGCAGTATAACATGAGGTCAGCCCTTAGCACATCCGTCCATAACATTCTCCCACAACATGCAGTTGCATAATACTACGAATACCAGGCCATGCGGTATTGCCCACGTCTTACCCGACCTCAGCGAGGCCTACTTGCCCCTTGAGAAGGCCGACATTCACGCGGATGTCATCGACGGTGAGCACTCTAAGGATGTCTTGTGCGTGGTCTCTGACTTTCGCGTTCTAGTTTCCGCGATTGTTACGATCACCCAGCACTTCTGGCAGTGCTCGTCTGGCGGGCTCCAGAAGGCCAGATATGTCTTCCCCGTGCCTGCCCGAGCCGCTGTCTGCGGCTTCAAGATGACGACCGAGGATGGCACAGTCATCGCGGCTGTCGCGAAGGAGAAGGAAGAGGCCAAACACGAACACGAGCAGGCCATCTCTCAAGGCCGTGTGACGGGTCTTGTCGAGCACGTCGCCGATGATAGTGGGTTCATCTCATCTCTGATATCACGCGGAAGCTGGACCTGTCTGTAGTCTTCTCTATCTCCCTTGGGGCGCTCCCTAGCTGCCAGATGATACAAGCTCACATTACCGCAAGTGTCCTCTTTCACGAGCTCTTGCACCTGATAGTAACTATCTGCAGTATGTTCTCGATCTGATGGATGAGGACGCCTGCGATCAGGTTCGGATACAGATTCCCGTGTATGTCGGCATGCGTTACGGCAAGCTGCCGGATGGGATGAAAGGTACATACCAGATCCCTCCGCACCGTATCAGTATCTCTGCAGACGTGCGAGTGCAGGGTGCGGTGAAGAACATCACGAGTCCCACCCACCCGGCTGTCATCGTCTCAGACGGCAATGCCACCCATACGTCCCGTAACGCAAGCTACACTTCTCCCGAATTCCTCACTCAGGATTTTGTTTTGTCTGTCACCGCCGATGGACTGGACGCACCCCGATGTTTCTGCCAGAAAGCCAAGAACGGGACTACAGCTATCCAGCTGAACATCGTCCCGAAGTTCAACTTGCCCTCGATTCCGAAGCAGGAGTACATCTTCCTCGTGGACCGCAGCGGCAGCATGAAGGGAGACAGGATCGAGACTGCGAAGAAGACACTCGTAATGCTCCTTCGTGCTCTGCCCAGTCAAGACACGCACCTCAACATTTTCAGCTTTGGCACGCAGTGCAACAGCTTGTGGAATCAGAGCGTCCCCTACGATGAACAGACCCTCGGGGTGGCTGTAAGCACAGAGTTTCCATTCACGGTAAAAGGATTACTCACTATTACCGATGAAGACTCAGCATGTCGATGGTATGCTTGCGGACTATGGTGGGACGGTGATACAAAGTGCGCTACAGCAAGTCTTTGCGTCGCGCAGGGTAGACATTCCAACGGCCTGCTTCGTCCTCACAGATGGTCAGGTACGTGGAATATCGTTTCTTTTCAGCGCTGTTCCTCATATGTCTGTTTAGGCTCATAACATTGACGATACGCTCGGGGCCGTGGATCACGCCGTGAAAGCCGCTACTTTAGACGCACCTTTGCGCGTATTTACCCTCGGTATCGGCGCAACTACTTCCACAGCCTTGTGCGAAGGTATCGCTCGAGTGGGGAACGGGGTTTGCCTCATGGCGACGGCGTCCGAGAGCATCATGGGGAAGTGTTCGAAACTCCTTCGCGCCAGCCGTACCTATATCCTGAAGAATGTCACTCCGGATTGGGGAGTCCGCGTGGAGGCTTATCATACTGGGAACAACGAACTCAAGGGCGTCCTCCAGGCGCCTGCGCAAGTGTCCTCCATCTACCCCGGCAACCGCTTTATCGTCTTTGCGCTGGTCGAAGACGAGAAGTTTACGCCCCCGCAAGAGGTGGTCATTTGCGCGCAGCGCGACGGGCACGGCCAGATCTACCGCTTCTCCATTCCGGTGCAGACCGTCGAGCTCCCTTCCGATTCTCAGGCTCTCATTCCAACCCTCGCTGCCCGTCGAGCCATCATGGACCTCGATGGCAGCAGCAAGGCACAGTCCTCTCCAGATGTCAAGGTCACTATGGTCAGACTAGGCACCGAATACCAGCTCGCCAGCAAGTATACCTCGTTTATCGCTGTTGACAGGCGGACGATGTCGGAGATCGCGGACGAGCAGGCGTGGCTCGTGCAACGGCGGCCAGAAGCTGCGCGCGCTGTTCTTTTCTACGTATCCTCAAGTCACGCCAGATCTCAACGTGGCATAGTCCTCACCTCACCTCGAGTGGTCATGCACTGTAGGGACGCTCAACTGCAGTCGACGACTGTGGCCACAACGAATTCAGCTACGAGTCCAGGCGCGCCAATGCCCTCTGCGGCAGATCGTCCACGTCTACAAAGGCAGGGCTCTTTGCACGGACTGCCACGCGCCCACGCCCCGCAACCTTCCCTAGCCGTACACTGCCCCGCGAGAGCACCACGCGCACCGCTCAGGGTGACCATGACCTGACCAGAGAGGAAGCCACGCCTAGCGACGACGCACCTCGCTTCACGGACTCGCGCGTGCTGTCTCTGAGCGACATGCCGGAGTTCGCTATAACGATCGAGGACAAGGTGCTCGCGATGGTCCGCCTCCAGTCCTTCGACGGGTCGTTCCGAGGCACAGACAGGCTCGAAGCCCTCATTGGACGTCGAGTCTTGGCGGAATGTACCCTCAGTGTTGTGTCGAAGGTGTGGGCGACGGCGCTAGCGATCGCGTTCCTCAAGAAGCACATGAAAGACCAGCTGGAGCTCCTTGATGGTCTCGTAGAGAAAGCCACGGACTTCATATCTCGCACGTCCAACGTGGACATCGAGACTCTTCTTGCTCATGCCGAGACATTCGTCCCTTAAGGCGCATCCCTGCTCTGAAAGGATGATGCGTTGCTAGAATCACTGAACTTGTAGTCATGTGGTTATGCAGAGCGATTGCACGTATGCTCTGACAACTCCTTTCATAGTGTTTGCTGAGCTTGACTTGGCAGAGATTGGACGGATACGGAGCCGGTTTGTGGGACCTGTGGCTTATTGGATTCTTTATTTCGCCAGACTGATACAATATGCCGTGCCTCATGTGCTCAATCTGTCCGCAGTATATTACCGTTTGTGGTCCCTGAAAAGAATGCGATTCTAATAGATTGCGGCGGAGGATTGAGTGCCACGTGGAGACGATGCTGACAAGCTATATAGCTTTAGGTCTAGCTCAAACTCCACTCCTAACCTCGGCAGCCCACCAAGAACGATTTTTGTCACATTTCCGGCTACTCGCAGTAGATATGGAGTACTGATTACGAAGAATCCTCGATGAAGTCTTCGTAACATACATGGTTAGTGAGTTACGACGCTGTGTCCACTGTCCCAAATGAAATTTGGGACACGCCACGGAAATTCGGTCACGGGACGGCCTTGTCATCTGTTTTACGGGGAGCGAATAGTCCATATCGAACCAGAACGTTATGTTAGGTCAGGCTCCTGCCCTTTGCACACTTTTGAGTCTCTCATGCTCACCCCAGGATCTGACGGACGGCTGCGGTTGATAGGGACTGCGGCGGCAACAGCATTCGATATGCCCCTCGAGTTGCGCACATGTAGATTCGTCGTCTCTTTTAGTGTTCAAACTTCTATTCTAAACATATGCCTCGTGAATCTGTTTTCCCATTCCTGTCTCCTCGGACGAATGGCGCCTGAACCTAATCTCGTGAGACTTCCCTTATAATTTAAAGCGCACTCAAATCCCCTGACCCTCGTCATTCCCTCCGTAATGGCTTCCCAGTCTTTCTCAGGCGTGGTACACGCATCAGGAGATGGCAACCTAACTCACCTTCCCCTCGAAGAAGTCAAAGTGAACACATTAATTGTAGACGGTACGTCCTGGTAATGAGCGCCACAATATCCTCAAGGTCGGGGTATGTCTGATCAGGCAACTGCTACGCAGTATCTACACGAGTCGATGTTACTCAAGTTTTCTACAACCCGTCGATACAGTGGACACCTCGTGCGAAATACGTCTTTCCCGTTCCTGCACGGGCCGCCGTCTGCGCCTTCGATATGGGCACGTCCACGGGCAGAGTCATTGTCGGCGTGGCCAAGGAAAAGGAACAAGCCAAAGCAGAACACGAAACTGCGATACAGGAAGGAAGGACTACTGCACTCGTCGAATGGATCACTAGCGACAGTATGTGTTCTACGTCTTTGCCTGTATCTCACTCATCAGACCCCGCAACATAGTATTCAGCATATCTCTCGGCTCTATTGGGCCCCGAGAAAGGGTCACAACCCGTCTCACGGTACGTTCGCTCGCAATTAACATCGGACTGACCGACTGAAAAGTTGACCCAGTATGTCATGGACCTCATGGATAACGATGCAGCCACAGAGGTCCGCTTCCAAGTCCCAATGTGCATCGGACAACGTTACGGCGAGCCTCCCAGAGGCATGGTCGGAGCGTCGTTCGCTTCGGCACAAATAAGGGTGCGCTTCGACGTTCACATACAGATGAGGGGCGAAATACGGTCAGTCGACAGTCCGTCCCATCCAGAAATACATGCGGCGGCCCACCAGACGCACCTCGGTCGCCCCTCACGCCACAGATTCCTCGTTCGGTTCCGCTCTCCAGATTTCTTGAAGACCGATTTCGTCCTCGTCATCAAAGCTACGGATCTCGACAGGCCTCGCTGCTTCGCAGAGCGTGACCCTACGGGCTCCGGATCGGTCGCCATGCAACTCACCCTGGTACCCAAGTTCGACCTGCCCCCAGTGACGAGGCAGGAGTTTATCTTCGTAGTAGACCGCAGTGGGAGCATGTCTGGCTCCAGAGTCGAGACCGCGAAGCGCACACTGAGTACGCTGCTGAGGACGCTCCCCAGCGCAGGGACATCTTTCAATATTTTCAGCTTTGGAAGCTACTGCAACAGCCTTTGGCAGACCAGCGAGGTGTACACGAACGATGCTCTCGATGTCGCGGTATGTTGTACGTTCTCGTTTTCCAGGGTAATAATTCATGGCAAACTTCCAGACGAGACATGCTGCGTCGATGGACGCGAATTACGGCGGCACTGAGATAGGTGCAGCCCTCTTGCGGGCCTGTAATGGTCGCGATCCGTCTAGGCCGACCGTTATGTTCGTACTCACGGACGGAAAGGTATATCACATATAGGTCCATCCATGCGCATTACTGATACCCCTCGCAGGCCTATGACCAGATGGTATACACCGTGGTCGCGAACGCAGTGGCGAGGTCGACGGCCGCTGCCCCGCTGCGCGTCTTCACACTTGGCATCGGAGCAACAGCGTCCTCAGCCATGTGCGAAGGCATCGCTCGAGCGGGGAACGGCAAATGCCTGATGGCGCTAGCGTCGGAGGACATAGTGGGCAAGTGTGCAACGCTCATGCGTGCGGGCCGCAGCTTCCTCCTCAAGAATGTCTCGGTCGATTGGGGCATCCCGCCCGACGCAGCCCGACGGTTCGAAGATCCTAAGATCGAAACGTCTTTCCATCAGGCACCGACCGGCATTAGGGACCTCTACCCCGGAGTCCGCCTCGTCGTATTCGCTTTGATCAAGAACGCAAAGTTCGCCATCCCGAAGACCATCACGCTGCATGCCCAGCGAGACGGAGTGGGCGAAGTGCTCGAGCTCCCTGTTCCCGTAGAGATCGTGCGCTTTGTGGACGAGAACGGGCACAGGCTGATACACACGCTGGCGGCGCGACGGCTCATCACTCAGCTCGAGGACGACGCTCTGGTCAGCCCGACCATGTCGGAGGACGAGCGCAAGGCCGCGATCGTCAGCCTCGGAGAGACGTATCAGCTCGCGAGTCGCTACACGTCGTTCGTCGCGGTCGATGACGACGGCGAGAAGCCGCCCCCAATTCCACGCCCCGCATGGGCCAAGGCAGCTTTCGCGCGCCGGGAGGCAGAGAAAGCTCGTCGCGCGCAGAGGTGCCTCGAGAGGAGGGGCTTCCTGGACACGCTCAGCGAATACGTCGGCACCGCGCTGACATTCGGCGGCCTCGTCGTCTCGGAGTTCTTCCGGACCTGGTTTGGCCGGCCGGCGCCTCCTCCCCCTCCTCAGAACCCGTCTGCGGCCCAGAGCGAGCTGGCGCAGGAAGAGGAGCAGACGGCGCAGGACGGCAAACCCAGGCCCCAGGAGACGGACTATGATTCAGACGACACGTACTCAACGATGAGCTCGCTCATTAGCTCCTCCAGCTGGACAGAAACTGACGACAGCAGGCCGCCGACCCCGGACCCGCAGGCTAGAAGCCCGTCGCCCGACTTGGACCTCGACCCCGCACGGCAGATCCCTGGGGCGTACGCTAGCGATGAAGGTCCGACAGGTGGACCCATCGACGACTCGGTGCAGGAGCTGCTGCAGCTGCAAACCGCAGACGGGTCGTTCGAAACCACTGAGTCCCTCAAGCGAGTCATTGGTGAGGACGTGGTCGAGAACAGCCGGCCACCACAAGTGGACGAGCGCTTGTGGACAACGGCGCTGGCGGTTGCGTACTGCAGGAAGCGGTTGGTTGGACACCAGGATTTGCTGGGTTGCATCGTTGAGAAGGCATTGGAGTACGCGTTAAGGGCAGGTTGTGGTGATATGGACTTCGAGGCTCTCGTAGCATCCGCTGCAAGACTAGTATCGTAGCTCGGCGAAGTCTGCAGATAGATGAATCGCTGTATAGAGCAATCGAAGTATCATGTATAATAGGACGTAAATGTCAAAACCTAGCAGGTTGTACAATGTACGCTCAGCATGACCCTAAGCATCAAGTAATCAACCTTGAAATGCGACCCCCTTCTTCGAGGTCTCGGCGATACCGCCAGCAGCGTAGCCTGTGCCCTCGCGCGAGAGCGCAATGATGTCCTTGTCGGTCAACTGGACTTCGCAGGAGATGCACTGCTTGCCCGGCTTAATCAACTCGTCAGTACATGACTTGCAAACGACGTGGCCACATGGCTTCATCACTGGCATTCGTACGTCATCAGAATGCATGTCAACCGAAGCGGGACGGCAAGCGTACCAAACATGAGTGTCGTATTTGAGAAAGTCTTCTTGCACGATGGGCACATCGGATTTTGTGGCTCATCCTTTCTCTTTGAAGACGATCCATTCTCTCCGTTCTCGGTGGCAGGTGTGCTCTCCACTGACGCAGATGGCCGGCCCGAGGGGGTTTCAAAGATGAATTTGACAGGAATCAGTTGCTTGCGGCTAGACAGAGTCAGAGCATTTTCCAATAAGCGCAAAGAGGAAGCTCACGCCAGATGATGAGCCGGATTGCCTCCATGACACGTTGTTTGCAATTTCACATCTTGCAGCGACGTCGGGGGACCCGACGATGTGTAGGTGGGTGTTAATGAGGGTAACCAGAAGTCTGGGAGTTTGTGTTTCAAGGCTTCAGCTTGCTCCTTCTCAATTTGCTTCATGGCCGCATCTTCCGCTTCGCGCGCGTGCTTATCGACGGTATCGGCATCGAACTCAAATTTGCGCTTAGTACCGCGAGCTGGGACAAATCAGCAGGAGAGAAAGAGATAGATCGCCACGCTTACGTTCTTTCGAGTCGCCTGACGTCGTCGCGACTGTACCTATAGCCGCGAGTCCTAGCTGACCTCTTTCAAAGTCAAGCAGTACTCGTTCGCGGGCCGCTTCCCTAGCTCCTCGCCTCTCTTCTTCAATTTCCTTCCTAAGAGCTTCGAGTTTGACTTTCTGCCGCTTTATATCTTCCAGCTGGGTCACTGCGCAAGCTAGAGTCAGCATCCACTCAGGTGTCGCACATCGCAAGCAGTATACCCAGGTCTGTGTAGACGCATTCCTTGCAGAACATGTGCCCCTTCGCACATGCTACAGGATCTCTCGCTGTCTGCAGACACAGTGCACAAGCGTCAAAACGGCGCATAGATTCATTTCCTAGACGTTGCTGTTCATGTCGTTTCTGATGTACATGGCGCATACAGAGCTCTGGGACTCACTCTCTTCGTTCCATAGTCGAGCTTCTTGTACTCTGCGTACGAAAAGATGGATGAAGCCGTATTGTTCTTGCTGTGTTTCGTCATTGCGAAAGTAAGAGGTAGAAGATGTAGGCTGAGCGCGGTGACAGCGACACTTCAGTGACCTCCACAAAGCGTGAGAGCCACTTTCCTTCCCTGTGCTGCCATCTGATGCGCCTTTCCGGCGCGCACTCCTCCAAGCTCTCACCTTGCCTCTAAGCCATCACTTCCGACTTTATTGGGCTCGGTCTCTGCGGCTGCGGATACGAAGGAATTTGGCGATTTTGATTACATCTTGTCCGCTACTTCGCAACGCCCAGTGATCGCGCTGTGCTTTGCAAAGCAGCGAATAGGAGCACTGTCCCTTTTCTTGCGGGATGCGGTGAGCACAAGACTCGTCTATATGATTTCATCGTCTGCGTCCGACGCGGAACTCGATCAGTTGATTAGCTCGAGAAACACAAGACCACCGTGCGAATACCGTTAGGGTCCATGGGAGAACATGAACCTCCTGTGGCGCGCTTGCAGAGTGAGTATAAGTGGGGGGTCGACTGGGCTATTCCTCTCTGAATCCTTAAACTTCACCCCATTCTAAATCACATAATGCGCGCTGCACGTTACTACGGTCCCGGCGACGTTCGCGTCGAGGAGGTACCTGAGCCTCAGCTGAAGCGAGGCCAAGTGAAGTTGAAGCTCGCCTGGTACGTCAGCCTACATCTCGCTGTCTTCAATAGGCTCTAACATCGCCGTGAATAGGTGCGGTAGTAAGTCGGTAACACTGAAATACGTTAGAAGACTACCAATAACACTTACAATTGTTCAGTCTGTGGATCTGACCTTCACGCGTACCATGCTCCTCTTCCGGCCACCACTTGCCCCACCTTGGACGAGCCGCATTACGTTACGGGAGAAACTCTTCCCATTACTCTAGGTCATGAGTGCGTAATGCTTCCTTGCGCATAGGCAGTTGCTGATAATATGTCTCTAGGTTCTCCGGAACTGTCGTCGAAGTAGGTCCCGGTGTCGACAACCACAAGCTCAAGAAAGGCCAGAAGGTCGCGGTGTACGTCTTCACCTCGTAAAATCTGCCACAAATATTCACATTATTTAGTGAGCCTCTCCTGTCTTGCAAGGAGAAGAGCTGCGGACCCTGCGCTGGCGGGTACAGGAACGCCTGCCCGCATGTTAGCTTCCTCGTAAGTTCCTCCACTATCATGGAGCATATCCATCTCATCTCGCTTCTGCGTAGGGTATTGCTGGCTGGGGCGGAGGCCTTTCCGAGTACATCTCTGTTGACCAAGACTTGGTCTATCCTCTGCCGGATCATATCTCTCGTACGTCATGTAAAACGCCATAATCGTGGTTTCTGACGTGCGTGTCCAGTCGAGATTGGCGCGATGATAGAGCCGCTCTCGGTTGCCTGGCATGCCGTGAAGCGGTCCGCCTTCAAGCCCGGGGATAAGTGTCTTGTCATGGGCTCAGGTCCTGTACGTAGGTTCTTCTCACTTTTGTACCTCAGCTAATTTGGTGGTCATGTAGATCGGCATGATGGTCCTAAAGGTACTTCAGTGAGTCGTTCTATTCGCCTATCTCTGATCTGCTCCATAACCTACCTGCCTTCAGGGCCCGCGGCGCTTCCTGGGTCGGCGTCTCCGAGCCGTCTACTGAGCGCCGCAAGATGGCACAGCAGCATCAGGCCTCGCAGGTGTTCAATCCGCGCTCCGAGGATGTCGTTGCTGGCACCTTCAAAGCTACCGACAATCAAGGCGCCGATGTCGTCTTCGACTGTGCCGGCATTCAGGCGTCGCTCGACCTCGCCATCAAGGCTGTGCGCCCCCGTGGCAATATCATGGACATCGCTCTGTGGGACGACCCTGCTACCATTCATATGAACAACATTCTGTTCAAAGAGATTTCTATCACCGGTAAGGACCTCGTTGGTGGTCAGGGAGTTGCGTTTACATGTTGTGCAAAGGTATCATTGGCTATGATCGCGTCCATCAGGAGGTCGTCGACGCTCTGGCTGAGGGCAAGTTTGAGGGCCTCGAGAAACTGATCACGAGGAAGATATCACTCGATGAGGTTGTCGAGAAAGGTATTAAGGCTCTCATGGCCGAGAAAGATACTCAGAGTAAGCATTATATTCCGGCGAGCTCGATCGAGCATAGCTTCTGACTACTCATCTTCAGTCAAGATCCTTGTGCATCCTTGAATGAACTGTGTCTATGGATAGTATTGTGGGCTCTAGTGACTCAAAGTGTATTTGTACGATTCCGGAAATTCCTTTCAATGAAACAGAACGAAAGTGAAGATGAGACCAGCTCCTACCACTGCATGATTCTGACACTTTTGATTGCGCTCTGGGGGTATCCATTTAATCTGACAGCAGCAGATCCCTTTCACGTATCACACCTTATCGTCTCACACAGCACCCGCAGAATCCGCGGCCATATGTACAATCGAGATAAGGCCTTTCCCGGGCCCGCTAAAGGCTGACTCGTGCGAAGATGCATCCCTGGGCAGAGTACGTCCAGTGTTTCGTGACCTCCTCTGTCTTTCACTTCGGCTTATCGTGGCTCCAACCTACAGGCGAGCCATGCTGCGCAAGAATCCCAGTCCGCATAAAAGCTCAGTGGGCATGGGTCAACAGCGAAGGGCTCAAGCTGACGCTTTTTACTGGTGGCACCGCTCCTCGATCATGCGCAGGATCTCGTTCGCGCTTTTTCTGTTCGCCGTGCAGGCCGCACTGTTGGGTGCGTGGCTCTCGCCGGGGCTATTTACATCCGCGACGGGCGCGGTCGCGAACGCCGTCAGGGATGCGAGTGCCACCGCGTTCCCGGATCTGTACGAGGCCTCAATTGCCGAGTTGCAGGCCGGGCTCGGGGAGGGACTGTTTACGAGTGAAGATCTCGTGAAGGTTGGTGATTGCGCTATTGTTGGGATGGTGTGATGACAACTCGGAGGTAGGCCTACTTCGCGCGGATCGAAGAAGTGAATCTGCAAGGGCCCACCCTTCGTGCGGTCATCGAGATGAACCCCAATGCGCTTGCACAAGCGAGAGCACTGGACCTCGAGAGAAAAATCAGCGGCCCTCGCGGGCCACTTCATGGTATTCCGATGCTGCTAAAGGACAACATCGCCACGTTGCACTCCGACGGTAAGTAGAGATGACGACAAAATGAAAGTTTTCTAACACTATCTTCCAGGTATGAACACTACTGCAGGTTTGGATTTCACGCACCCTGCAATCTGAATAAATGTTGACGTGGATTAATTAGGGTCTTTCGCACTCCTTGGCTCTGTCGTACCCAGAGATGCCGGAGTCGCAGCCCGGCTTCGTGCGGCAGGCGCAATTATCCTCGGAAAAGCAAACCTCAGCGAATGGGCGAACTTCCGCGGGAACGTACCATCTGGCTTCTCCGGGCGTGGTGGGCAGGCGTCGAGCCCCTACGTTCCCCTCGGAGACCCATCCGGCTCTAGCTCCGGCAGCGGCATCGGCACAGCGATCGGTCTCTGCGCTGCAGCTCTGGGGTCCGAGACCGATGGCTCGATTGTGTCTCCGAGTGAGGTTAACAACCTTGTGGGAATCAAGCCGACTGTGGGCCTCACCTCGCGTGCAGGCGGTCAGTAATGCCACATAACCTGGTTAGCTGGACCAAATTGCTGACCATGTGCGTAGTGGTCCCCATATCCGAACACCAGGACACCGTCGGGCCCATGGCACGCTCGGTCGCAGACGCCGCGACGATCCTGTCCGTCATCGCCGGCCGCGACCCGCTCGACAACTTCACGCTCGCCCAGCCGCCGGTCGTGCCCGACTACACCAAGGCACTCGACAAAAATGCGCTCAAGGGCGCCCGGCTTGGTGTGGCGCGACAGTTCGCTGGCAGAGACGTGAATGTGCTGGCGGCGTTGAACGCATCCGTCGAGCTCATGGCCCAGATGGGCGCAACCATCGTCGACCCGGCCGACTTCCCGGACTTTGCAGAGTTCGAAGCGAGCGGAAACGAGACGATCGTGCTTTTAACAGACTTCAAGGTACGAGATCATAGTCTCAATATACCTGGGGTGACTCTAGTTGTTAACTCTGCCTCAGGTCGATGTAGCACAATACATATCAGAGCTTGTGCATGTCCCGACCGGCGTGAAGACTCTGGCGGATCTCATTGCATTCAACTCTGCTCATGCCAGTGAAGAACTCGTCCCACCTTTCTGGACAGACCAATCTGAGTACGTATGATCTACTTAACCGGCGATTGCATCGCACCTAGTCGTGTCATCAGGTTCATTGCATCCGAGAACACCACCGTAGATCAGGCCTACTTCGACGCCCTGGCAGCCGATAAAGACTTGGGCCAGACTCGCGGTATCGACGCAACACTAAAGATGTTCAATCTCGACGCCTTGATCCTGCCCACCAGCGGTGCTGCGGGTCCGGCTGCCATCGCCGGCTATCCTATCGTCACCGGTTCGTGCTCCCGGTCTCGGGTGTGGTGCCTTCTGTTAACAACGTCGTAGTTCCGCTTGGCTTTGAGCCGCCCAACACGACATTGGCACCGGCAGAGCCGACGCGTTCCACAGGGCCGAACAAGCCATTCGGGCTCTCGTTCATGGGCACCGCCTTCAGCGAGTTCCAACTGATCTCGCTCGCTTTCGCGTACGAGCAGGCCACTCACACTCGGCTGAAGCAGCTTGCGTTCCCGGAGGCGATTCCTAAGACTCAGCTTGCAGACATTGTTGGAAAATAAATGCCCACTGGGTAGATAGTGCTGAACGTGGAAATTTATAACATCGTACCTCTCAACACCGCGGGCGGCTTGACTTACATAATCCGGAGGAGACTAATCCGGGCAGCCTGGTATCAGCTGCACCTTATCGCCTCACATCGCACCCGCAGAACCGCGTATGCTCGACTGGGAGTACTGTAGATCTTTCCCAGGCCTGCCACGGGCTGACCCGTGCGAACATGCTCTGAGGATACGAGAGATCACGTTCTGTGTTTCGTGGCTTCCTTCGGCCTGCACTTTCGGCCCATCTTGACTCCAGCCCACAGACGAGCCATGCTGCCCAAGGATCCCGATGTGCTCGAAAATCCAGTGGAGATGGATATCATGCAGCAAAAGGCTCAAATCGATACATCTCGTTGGTGGCATCGCTTCTCCATTACGCTCAGGATCTCGCTACCTCTCTTCCTGTCCAGGCTGTTCACATCTGATACGGGCGCGGTCGCAGACGTCGTCAAGAACGCCGCGAACGCTGTCGCGTTTCCGGATCTGTACGAGGCCTCGATCGCTGAGCTGCAAGACGGGCTCGAGAAGGGGTTGTTCACAAGTGAAGATCTTGTCAAGGTTGGTGATTGTGTCGTTATCGGGATGGTACGATGTTGATGCTGGACGCAGGCTTATTTTACAAGGATCGAGGAAGTGAACCTGCAAGGTCCTGCTCTCCGTGCGGTCATCGAGACCAACCCAAGTGCGCTTGCACAAGCGAGGGAACTGGATCTTGAGAGAAAGGCCAAGGGTCCTCGCGGGGCTCTTCATGGCATCCCGATTCTGTTGAAGGACAACATCGCTACATTGCATTCAGATGGTAAGCTGAGACGACGACCAAAAAAAAAAACTCTGACGCAATCTCCCAGGCATGAACACTACCGCAGGTTTGGATTTCACATACACCACAGTTTGGATATATGCTGACGTGGACCTTCTCAGGGTCACTCGCACTCCTTGGCTCGGTCGTGCCCCGAGACGCGGGGGTCGCGGCCCGACTTCGCGCAGCAGGCGCAATTCTCCTCGGAAAGGCCAGCCTCAGCGAGTGGGCGAACTATCGCGGGCACGTCCCAAACGGCTTCTCTGGACGTGGCGGGCAGGCGTCGAGTCCCTACGTTCCCCTCGGGGACCCGTCTGGCTCTAGCTCTGGCAGCGCGATCGGCGCAGCGATCGGTTTGTGTGCCGCGGCTCTTGGCACCGAGACCGATGGCTCGATTATATCTCCGAGTGAGATCAACAACGTTGTGGGGGTCAAGCCGACTGTGGGCCTCACTTCGCGCGCGGGCGGTCAGTACCGCTGTGCAAACCGTCCCGCCGAGACGTGATCTGACTATATACGCAGTAATTCCCATATCCGAGCACCAGGACACCGTCGGGCCCATGGCGCGCTCGGTCGCAGACGCCGCAACGGTCCTGTCAGTCATCGCCGGCCGCGATCCGCACGACAACTTCACGCTCGCCCAACCACCGGTTGTGCCCGACTACACCAAGGCGCTCGACAAGAATGCGCTCAAGGGTGCACGCATCGGCGTCGTGCGGCAGTTTGTCGACGGGAATGAGAACGTTCTGGCGGCGCTGGACGCGTCCGTCGAGCTCATGACCCGGATGGGCGCAACTATGGTCGACCCTGCCGACTTCTCAAACTATGCTATAGACGAGGCAAAGGAGAACGAGATGATCGTGCTTGATACGGAATTCAAGGTGTGAGTTCATCGCAGAATAGCAAACAGGATGTCTGTTGATTGTTGATTTTGAATTCAGGTGGGGGTTGAACGATATATTTCAGAACTTGTACACGTCCCAACCGGTGTGAAGACTCTGGCGGATCTCATCGCATTCAACACCGCTCATGCGAATGAGGAGCTCGCTCCACCGTTCTGGACGGACCAATCTAGGTGTGTAACACTTGTATGAGCGATAAATATTACAATGCTTATCCATGGTACTTTCAGGTTCATTGGGTCCGGGAACACCACCGTAGACCAGGCTTACTTAGATGCTCTAGCAGCCTGTAAAGACGTAGGCCAGACCCGTGGTATCGACGCAACACTAAAGATGCTCGACCTCGACGCCTTGATCCTGCCCACAAAGGGCGCTGCTCGTCCGGCTGCCATCGCAGGCTATCCAATAATCACTGGTTTGTGCCTCGAGTCTTGAAACCGGTGCCTTCTGCTGATTGTGGCTATAGTCCCTCTTGGCTTCGAGCCGCCCGATACGCCACTAGCACCGGCGGATCCTGTTCGCTATACTGGGCCGAACAAGCCGTTTGGACTCTCTTTCATGGGCACCGCCTTCAGCGAGTTCAAGCTGATCTCGTTCGCTTTCGCGTACGAGCAGGCCACCAGCACCCGGCTGAAGCAGCTTGCGTTCCCGGAGGCGATTCCGAAGACCCAGCTTGCAGACATTGTGGGGGAGTAGATGTCCGCTGGGCGCTCAGTTTGGAAGAGTTTCATTGTTGTCCCCGTATCCGCACGTCATACACCCGCTCCCGGTGCCTTAGAATATAGCGCTCTCGGGCGCCTGTATCGATGTCTCTGTTTCTTGTGCTCGCCTGTCTGCACGGTCTTTGCTAAGCAACGTCCGAGTCTCGAGCTGTCTCTCTACGGCGGCATGCGCATATGAATGCTGCTATACAACGTGTAGGCCTGCCTCCTGGCTGTTTCTGGCAGAAATTTTCCTTTCTAGGACCGTCTGACTCGGGATGGGACATTGATGGAATCAGTGGCTTCCTTGTTATCCAAATGTGTGGCAGAGCTGCGCGTAGCCGTGCCACTCGCTAGTCCTGGCATGCCATTTACGAAGCGATGAATCGCCCCTGTCTTTCACGCTGACCACCACCAACTCACAGCCGAAGATGTCGTCCGAGGCCCCTGCGCCCCCTACACCCCCTACGCACCCCGAAGGCCGCACTCGTTTCGTCTACCAACAATGGGTGAGAGACCCAAAAGGATCCCTTCTTACTAAACCCCCTCCGTCAGGCGTACGCCCGCCGAACGACCTCATCTGGGGCCACACCCTCGACGACTTCTTTTGGATCCAGCGCATCCCTAACATCGATGTGCTCACGATCTGGTCGCGGAGCATGATCAAAGAGCATGGCGAGAACTACGACGAGAGCGAGTTCCTCGAGCCAGATGCTTTGCAGGTGCCGCGCCTGCGCCACCCTTGGCCCGTCCTCAAGGTCCCGAACGACGGCATCCGCGTTCCGAAGAACTCGTACGGCGTCATCGACCAGGGATGCGAGAAGCACTCCAAGCCCGACTTTGTCGCCAAACGGCGCGATGACTCTGAGCCGTGCCTCGAGCGAGGGGCCTTAAACAAGGCTGGCAGGATTCTCAAGGAGCTCTTTGGTTTCGACGACAACAGTGGTAGCGAGTACTTCGTGCCCAATGATCCTCACTATCCTTTGAGGAGCCCAGATGGAGCTCTCTATGCGGTGCTCTTTGCATCCCGCTTCAGAGAAGAAGCTTTCGGTAGCGGACGCGGGGCTCTTCCCCCACAAACAATCAGCCTTCCTCAGCTTACCGGCGTGAGGTCCGTGCGCGGCAATCCCGTGATGCTTGAGTTCGATGAATACGGTATCTACGTTACTGGCGATGACACAGGCGAATATGCCGATTTATTTGATAGCACAGAGGAAGGCAGGAGTAGAGACGCCTCGCCGGAGGGGATGCAATTGGACGATCCGAAGGTCGAGGCCCCCAGTGTAGACAACAGCTCAAGGGAAACGAGCGACACGGAGTCGAAAGATGAAGTAGAAGGAAAAGCAGACGATGGAGATCTGGCTACGTCCGCCGCGGGTAGCGAGCTTGACGATCTATCGCCTTCTGAGCCTATTCCGCGGGACTCGCCGTTCTCGATACAGGATATACCGAAGCTGGAAGAGTCTATCCCCCACTATTATTTCCCCGACATCCTTTTCGTTCACGACCCGCATGAGCTCACAGCCACGAGTCTCGACTCCTACGAGGATGTTGGCGAGGAGTCTTTTGAGCCGCGCGCACCCTTGGTATACAAACGTGTCTTCCCTGAGCTTCACCGCGACAAAGCTCGCGACCTCGAACAGCCCACGTCTCCCAAACGCGAGGCGCACTTGCACCTCGCGCATCAGAACCGCATGGGCGTCGGCAACCACTCCCTGGTGTATCGCGCGCCTCTGACGTTGCCTGTGCCCTTGTCTGCGCATTCGCGGAACGGCAAGGTCACTGTGGCCGCCAAGAGCGCATTCCCGAAATTTCGTGCGCGCGAGCTGCTCGCGAACGAGGCGAAGATGTACAGCCGCTTCCCCGAACACCTCAGTCAAGACTGGTGCGGCTACAACCTCGTCACGCCCATCAAACATCCCGTCCCTGTTGGGCCTGTCGTCCCAAAGTTCTTCGGTTACTACGTTCCCACGCGCGGTGATGGCAGCCTGGTCGACGTCTTCGATGCCGGCGTTCCAAGCCCCGTTCTCCTGCTTGAGGAATGCGGGAAACCTGTGACGCCCGGGAAGTTCTCCGCAGACGAAAGGCAAGTAGCGTCTTGAGCAAACGCCTCGATCGACGCTCACCACGTTTCGCATGCGCACAGGTCGGAGTGCTACTCGATGATGCTCCGCCTGCACTACAGCGGCTTCGTGCAGGGCTCGTTCTTCGTGCGCAACATCATGGTGCAGCCCGGCCCGCTGACGGCGCCGCCTGAGCTGCGCTCGAAGAAGACGCCGAGCTTCCGCGTCATCGATTTTGGACGCGGCGAGGAGTGGAACACGTTTGTCGGCGACAAGACGGATAAGGAAAGGCTCGAGCAGAAGGAGCGCGAGTGGGGAAACAAGATATCCGACGAGGACAAGAGTGCGCAGAGCGAGCTGCAGATCCCGAGGTGGAACCACTAGTACTGTCACCTAGTATTCGGAAAATTTGCTCATGCTAAGAATTGTACTGTAATTTGAAGGCCTGGTCATGTAGCACAGTGCTTTTACTTTGTGGAGACACCTTGCTGCAATAAACAAGAAATTTTATGAGAACATGCGGAAGGCAACGGCAGGCGCCCGAAACTTCGTGGCGCTTGGTTCGCATCAATGTCGGCCTCTCCTGACTCGGCATTGATGCGCTTTGGTTCTCTCCCCAACTTCAGCTTGTAGGAACCTTCTGGAACAACATCGGACTGCTCAGAAAATCTCAAAGGTCCCGACTGAAAATTATATGATCACCACGGGCAAAGCTACGATCACGGAGATGGACAATCTCAGGCTCTGAGTACAGAGTACCACCCCCTTACCCGGTTCCTGCTGAAAGTTCGAAGTGAAAGCCTACTCGGCTTGACGTGCTCAAATTGTCGACATTTTACAGCTGCCATGTACTCCACTTTTCACCCAGGAGGCACCTGCCGTCATGTTTGTCATGCAAATTGCAGGGTGTGCGTGGGCAGTTGTTTCGGTTTCGCCTGCCCGTTAACATGAGGCTGTTCCTCGGAAGCGGAAGAATGGAGTGAGATCCCCGTATCTTATATATGTCACAGCGCACCTTGAAGGCTGCGAGCTCTGACGTCCCTCCGTACGTCTACGTCCTTGGTGAGTACATGGCCTGCCCGTCCCTGGGAGCTCGGCTCTCACGATTGTTGCCAGCCGGATTTTAGCCACACGGCCCAGGAAGGCTCAGAGCCTACTATCACACGAATTTTCGGCCACTCAAGTGTTTGTGTCGCGGTAAGTGCGAGTTCTACAGGGACATTGTGCGACGTCGTGGCCTGAGCTCATGTCTGCGCTGCTTAGGCTCCTTGTCACAATGCGGACACTTTCCTTAGTTCTTGCACTCGTCCTCCTCCTTGCAGTACTGTCGCAAGCAGCAGTTATACGGACCGCTGCCGACAGCGAGCCGCTTCCGCGAAGAATGCGTCGGAGAGTCCGAGTACATCCCTAAGCGATGTACCTATTGACACGCGCGATGGGCTTTCTGTCGGGCCGTTTTCATCTCATGGACTACATGCTGTGTGTGGACAGTCTATCTATGGACATGACTTGTACGTACGACAAATGGATGTAATCACGACTTCGGACATTTGGACCATATCTTTGGCTTATCATATTTAGAAGACTGTGTTGCTACATCGCTCTGATCACCATGTACGCAACACAACTGGAGTGAATTTACTTCGCAATCGGGTTGCCAGTTTCTCATGGGAGATGTGCTTCGTGTAAATTGTGGGATTGACGAACGACTCCCCTGGATTTGGACTGAAACCAAAGCGAGTAGTTATCAGATTAGATAAGACGAAACATTAATCAGGCTGTTGAGCTGAGGTGGCGTGCTCAGGCCCAAGCTCAGTTCCTCCCACATCCACACCCGTCCCCCGTCCTGCATTGCCCAGGGCAATGGACCCGATAAACGTGCCAGGCATACTCTCAGATGAGCCACAAACAAGCGGCAGTGCAGAGACGATCCGGCAGCTACCCCTGCATATCGCGGCACGCCTGCACACTGCGGACGTGAACACCAGTACGCCGTCTTCCCCACGCCTCTCGCTGCCAGGATCTCCCGTCAGCTCAGTTCCGTCGCCGTCAAGTCCGTCGGGCGAGTCCATATCGTCGCTGCCGTCCGTGTCCTCGTCGTTCCTGTTCTCGTCCGTCCCAGCGAGCCCCCCACATCTCGGGCTGCACCATGGCCCGCATGGGCACGAGCTAGGGGACAACAGCCTCATCATACCCTCGCTTACACTTCCCTCTCCCGTGCGCCGCCCGACGTTGTACGGCCAGGCTCTCGGCGAGGTGCGCCTGCTCGTGCTTGGCGGCGCGGGATGCGGCGCAGAGGCGGTTGCGCAGATGTTCGCCGAAGAGGAGTGCGAGGACATCGTTGAAGTTGGGCAATGGGAAGAAGTTGAGATCGCAGCAGAATACCATGTGCGTGCGAGGGTCCTCAGGTTATCAACAGATTGGATCGAATACCGAGATGCCCACGGTCTCGAGAAGCACGAGCCGAGCAGGAACGTGGAGGTCGTGCTGCTGCAGGACTATGGGCCAGATAGCGATGTGAGTACCTCCGCCGTCTGCCACTTGCGTTTCTCACTGGGATGGCAGCTAAGCGAAGTGCTGCGTTCTACCTTGTCTGTTGTGCACGCTCCTTTCAGTGCTCTCGTACCTGTGCTGCATCCTCACCAGTCCCCTAATGTGCTCCTCGCGAACCTCCTGGCCTCCTCTGCGTCCCCCCTCTATACAGCAATGGCCATTGTTCCATCGAATTGTAAGTTAAACTGTCTCTGGGGCTACTCTGAAGCTCATCAATGTAATGCAATAGGCGTGACGTCGTTCGAGCACAAGCTCATCTCAGAGCTCAGCGCACATGTACCTCTCGTAGTCTTACCTGACCATCAACCCTCGTCTACTCAAGTACCGACGCTCCATTCGCACCAATCACCCTACTCTCGCAGGCCGTCTCCGCAGGAATTCCATCCTACTGGCCTCTCCGATGCCTTACGGGCGATTAAACTAGCATCCATTCATCCGCAATCTGCCCATGCTCTCCGCACTTGCATCTTGCGCTCGCCGGAGGCTCTGTCGGCCCTTCGACTCGAGGCTGCGGAGCGGTTTATGCGTTGGAGAGAGGTGGAGCGTGCTGTCGGCCATGTTCTGGGCGACACGACTCCGTCGTCCGAGTCGGACTCCGTAGAACATACCCCCGTCGCCCCAAGAGTCGAAGACCCCGGCAGACGCAGGTGGCCTACTGGATCGCAGAGGTGGAACAAGGCGCGATGGGAAGAGGAATGGGAAGGTAGTCTCGCGACTGATGTTGCGAAGACCTTACGGGCTCGAAGAGTCAAGGGGATGGGAAGGAGGTCGACGGTCCGGGCTCCCGCACGCCCGCGCTTGTCACCGAAGTGCGCGGACGTCGCAGTCGAAACCACAATTTTCGTGGATCATGATGAAGCTCCTTCGAACGCACATTTCGATCCACTTCATCTACCGTCGCTACTGGCATTCTCTATATCCCTGTTCGGCCCGCTGAAGACAAGAATCGCACGCATCTTTACCCCCACCCGCACGAATACCCAGATTGCCGGGCTTGGTGCCATGACGGAAGCACGTGGAAGGGGGCTTGATGCTGGAGGGACGACTTTGTTTTTGGTTGGCGCGTTCTGTGCCGGCGTCGGTGTTGGCGTGCTGCTGTCGCGCGGGATCATGTAGTCTCGATGACCGTCAAGCACTATACCTACGTGTATTATTACCATCACGGACAGATTCTGGATCTCGCAAGACGATGTTGTATCCTTTAACTGAATGTGACATATGTATTTTGCGACGCTCTGGGTCTGGGGCACATCAAAGATAGGAAAAGGCAATGCCGACGCATTGCCGACGCATTGCCGACCGCCATCGGACGCCACCAAGCCACTGCACAGATCGGGTAAGCGCAATTAGATAAGACGTCATAACATTTTTCGCTCTTTCGCGCTTTCCACCTCTCAGCCCCCGTCCACGACGCTCTCATCGTACTAGTCAAGTACAGTCATTCTACTCTCGCTTTCCGTCATATTCTGCAGCACGGAGTCATCATCACTCAGCCCGAGGCACCGCTCTGACTCGACCGGAAGGAGCTGGCCGGTACCCGCGCATTGCTGTACCATCTTCCCGTTCCTTCATAAGCTGCCTCTGGAAGCAAAGTCATCTTTACTTGTACTTTCACTTGCACGCTCCACCTCGGGTGTATGTCTACCGCTTCGACTAGCGCAAGCGCACCAACTGCTGCAGGCTCAGCACCGTCAAACCCTCGACCTCGACGCCAACCTCCTCGGCCTCGACCCACACAACCTGAAGAAAATACCGATGCTGTAGCTGGCCAGTCAACCTCGGCGAAAACCTCAGGAAATCAAGGGCAGTCTCGTAGGCGGCAACGACATCCAAGACCTGATGGGAAAGCTGGCGGAGACGAGAAGGGTAGGGCTGGAGAGGATGCGGGAGAGAAGAGCGGGGCTTTGACTATAGCTGGAGACGCCTCCAATTCTGGTCCAAAACGACCCCAGCGCACCCGAGAACCCAGAAAGCAGCCCGTCGATGGCGCCACGAGCCAGCTCGAGACGAACGAGAAGCAATCCGACAAACCATCAGGTGGTCCGAAGGGCAAGCGTCGCGCAGCCAAGTTCGATGGCGGCCTGACAGATGTTTCACGTTTCTCTGAAGGAGAGCCTAAGCAGGAACAGTCGAGCTTTCGCAAGTACCGCAGAGAACTACCCACGGCCGACGACCTGACCTCCAGACTCACCCGTGAGCTCAGCACCCCTCCTTACCCCGACTGTCTCATTTGTTTCTCCGTTATCCATCCTGCACAACCCACTTGGTCCTGTTCGCCCTTGATCCCCATAGCTGCTGCGATGGATGACGAATACGACAAGGTTTCGACCAAGACAACCGAGACTGCTCAATGCTGCTGGACAACTTACCACCTCAAGTGCATCCGCTCGTGGGCTTCCAAGAGCGTGAAGGGTGTTGAAGAGGCGTGGCGTGCGCGAGGGGAAGAGCGTGCGGGCGAGTGGAGGTGTCCTGGTTGCCAATCGAAGCGGTCGGCCGTCCCGGCTTCGTACTGGTATGTAGACTTCCTTATGTGCGCATGATAACTGAGTTGACGCCATGTCCCTAGGTGTTATTGTGGCTCTACGCCTGATCCCAAGCCACCACGACTTGCAACACCGCATTCGTGCGCCAGTCCGTGTTCCCGCGCTCGCGCATGTGGGCACCCGTGTCCCCTTTCCTGCCATCCCGGCCCTTGTCCCCCATGTCAGGTTACCATACAAGTACTTTGCTTCTGCGACAAGCAGGTGCTATCCTTCCGTTGCTCGAACCTTGCTCCAAGCCGCGCCGGAAAGCCCGCGAGCCCGTCTTGCGGGCAAGTCTGCGGCAAACGTCTCGGATGTGATAATCATGCATGCGAGGCGGTTTGTCACGATGGCCCATGCGCCCCGTGTACAGTCAAGGCGTCGGCGCAGTGCTACTGTGGGAAGGAAGAGCGTGAGCTGGGATGTGGGGAAGGAGCTGAGAAGTTTTCGGTCGTCCTCGAAGATGGCTTAGAAAGAAGGTGGATCGGGCTCTTCGAGTGTGGCAACGTGTGTGATCGGTGCGCGCGTATAGTTATTTGATGTCCTTACCAGCTAGACTGACTTTGCGACAGGTCCTTCGACTGTGGCATCCATCGCTGCGAGCAATCATGCCATGTACCGTCATCAACGCCCGCTCCGTGTCCGAGGTCTCCATCTCGTGTGAAGACATGTCCATGCGGCAAGCATGTATTTGATCCCGCGTCCGCTCCTTTCTTCCCCGTCAACACCAGGCTCGCCCGCGCAGCTTGCACGGACCCGATTCCGACCTGCGAGTCCATGTGCATGAAGCCCTTGGAAGGCTGCTCTCATCTCTGTGCAACGAAATGCCACACTGGTCCCTGTCCACCGTGCTCGATCAGCCTTGTCCGACCATGCCGATGCGGAAACATTACTCGCGATGTGCCATGTCACGAAGACCAGAAACGCTCTCGCGGAAAACTAGAAGAGACTCTCTGTGACAAGCCGTGTGCTGCTCTGCGCGCGTGTGGCCGCCATGAGTGCAAGCGTCCGTGCTGCCCTCTGGCTTCTCTTGCTACCGCGACCAAGGGGAAGGGCAAGAAGAAGGCTGTAGACACGGGTTCCATCGTTGATGAAGCAGGATGGCATGAGTGCGATCTGCTATGCGGTAAACCTCTCGCCTGTGGCAACCATAGCTGCGAGCTTCGTGACCACCGAGGTTCTTGCCCATCCTGTCTAAGAAGCTCATTCGAGGAGATGGTCTGCCATTGTGGTCGGACAATTATCGAGCCACCCATTCCCTGCGGCACCCGGATCAGTTGTCGCTATCCTTGCGATCGCCCTCCTCTACCATGTGGTCATCCCAAAACCCAGCATGCCTGCCACGAAGACCCTATGCCCTGCCCGCCGTGTCCTTTCCTTACGGCCAAGCAATGCGCCTGCGGCAAGAAGATGGTCGGCAACATTAAATGCAGTCAGGAGACTGTCTCTTGCGGAACGAAGTGCGGTAAATTACTCTCGTGCGGCTTCCACCACTGCGAACGCTTGTGTCACGGCGACGCTTGCGGGTCGTGCCATGCCGTCTGCGGCAAGTCTCGCAAGCTCTGCCTCCCTGCGAACCATCCCTGCACATTACCCTGCCACGCTCCAGCTTCTTGTTCTGAGGCAGAGCCGTGCCTTACTCCCATTACCATTACCTGCCCCTGCGGACGAATCCGCCAGTCGGTCCCTTGTGGAAGAAACACAGCCAATCCAGCCGGCCAGGAAGGCTCTCAACAGCTCAAGTGCTCGAACGAATGTGCCGTCGCCAAGCGCAACGCTCGGCTCGCCGAGGCTCTGGGCATCAACCCCGAGGGCCGCTCTTTCCAAGTCAACTACTCTGAGGAACTTCAGGCCTTCGCGCGCGCAAACATCAAGTTCTGTACACTTGTCGAGAAGACCTTCGCCGACTTCATCACCTCAAGCAAGCGCAACCAAATTTTGCCGCACATGCCTGAGGCCCGCCGCAAGTTCGTGCACGACCTCGCGGCGGTGTACCGCCTGGATACTCAGATGATCGACCAAGAGCCGTACCGGAGCGTGCAGCTCTTCAAGCGCATGGACACGCGCGTGCCCGCGCCCGTTCTCTCTGCAGCCGTCGCACAAAGCGCCGCGGTCGCTCCGTCTCTTGGGAGGCTTGCGGACCTGCGCGCGCCCGTCGCGCAGCTGCCTCGTCCGCTGGTCGGTCCTGGACGCTCGCTTGCGGCCACGCCGATATCGACGCCGCCGCCCCAGGCGCCTGCGGGCACCCGCGGATGGACGTCCGTCGTCGCGCGTCCGCAGTCTGCCCAGCAGAGCACACCAGATCCGAACGCGTGGCTGTTGGGCGGAGGTGAGAGGCCAGGATCGTCCGTTGCTTCGTCGTCCACTGCTGCACCGCCTGTTCGATCACGGGCGGTCCCCTCGCCTGCGCCCGTGCATGTTCCACCTGCAATTCAGACTAGCCCAGAGGATATACCTGATGATTGGGAAGACGAAGTTTAGAGCTGAAGTGTACAGACGATGATCAATAGAGTAAATTGTATCTGTTTGGATTGCGACAGTTTGGTATGTAAGGAGGTCGCTATCCTTCGGCATGAACTATCTTGCGGACATCGTACAGGGTATGAGCTAGTCAGGCGTCGTTCTTAGCCAGTTCTTCCCACGAAGGCAGCCCGTATACAGCGGGCAGCTCGGTCCAGGCGGCATCCCTCTTCTGCCGATCTTTGTCATAGTCGGTTTGTGAGGCTGGACAGATCTTGCCTCCTCTTACTGAGAGGATGAGAAACGGGTCGAAGAAGTTATCGACCACCTCTGCTGTCTGTTGCACGCGATGCCATTCGGAGAAACAAGTTGAAGTGCTGTAGCCACATGTGTGGGAGAACACGGTAGGATGTGTCCTCCGGCGCGCCATCAGAGACAGCTTGTCTCGACTTATAAGAATGACATTGCGGTCAATGGGATCCAGAGCGTCCTGGGCAAGAATATCCTGCACGGATCGTGACGCCGCTTGCAAATATGCAGCCGGGAGGAGTATACGGGCATTCGAACGCCGCGCGGCTGTTGTCGTCGCGGCTGTGAGGGCCCAAAAGTCGGATTCGGTCTGGCATGCCTTCTGATGCGAAAGCTGAGACCTCAGAGCATCATACTCCGTGAGTGCACTCGGGAACTCGAGTGAGAGCATGGCGATTGCCCTGTTTCGCACACGACTTGCTTGGTACTTGGTGGCGATATCCAGGATTGTTGTGAGCTTTAGGCTTCTGCGGAGGTTATCCATGAATCTGCGGGCAACTCCGTCACTTACACGCCGCCAAGGGTAGCTTGGCGAAAGACTGACTGGTGATTAAAGATGACCGATAGGAAGAGCGTCATCTCCTCAGCACTGTCAGGCATCCGCACGAGCGGAACCTGCTCATAGTGCTCCTCCGACTGCCCGGGCCCCAGCGACAGCATATCTGCAAACACAGGTGACTCTCGACATAGGATGCCTTTGTACACCTGGAATAGAGTCTGTTCTGCTTGTAGAACTAGGTTGCCATCGTCGAACCAGAGGTCGGGGCAGCGCTGGAGGTCCTCAGTCCTTGCGCCTACGGTCTGAAACGGATATGTCAGGTGGTTCGTTGAACTGTCGGTAGACAACGCTGTCGTACCTGCATTGGAGAAATTGAGGTGAACGGTGCGAACAAGGAGGCAGCGGGTGCCGACGCTGTGGTGAGCCTTCCGCATGGCAGCAGATATAGTTCGATAAACAGACGCCTGAGAGAACCCTATCTCTCGAAATCGGTTTACTGCCGCCATGCATATACACCAGATGCGGCCAAGGCTTTGAAAAAAGGGGGGAAAAGGAAAACCGTTTTCCTCGTCAAAAACCTGAGAGCACGCGATCGCGACTGGTATAAAGATACAGTGTCTTGTTTGCAAGGATCTGCGATGTTATGACGAGCTGAAATCCGCCCTCATGCCCTCCGCCAGACTTCGCGGGTCCACCATCCAGATAGCAGCGGTGTCGGCGTCGTTACCAGCGTCTTTCACCAGAGTCTCATCAGACCGATCCCAGAGTGCGCCATTCCGCCCCGCCCTCATCTCCTTAAGCATGGCCTTGATGCTTGTCTTATTTGCCGTGAGTGTCGTCCAGCCATAAACGGCGCCCCAGAGCAAGCTCTGCACGGTGTGTGCCGTCAGCTTCGGGTTCGTCTTCGTGACTGTAGCACGCTGGATCTCGTCGCAGTCATCTGCTGCTCGCTCGCTAGCGACAGGAGAGAATGGAGACTTAGGATGAGGGGTCGTCTCTTCGCGCAGAATGGTACGGCAAGTACGTGCTAAGGTGCGGAAGAATGGGGAGAGCGGTCGTCCAGATTCATCGCGCGCTGGCGGCTGCTGGGTGTCGTTTAGTTGGCCAGCGGGAAGCAGGCAAACGGGTAGCAAGGAGATAAAACCCTTAGGGTAACGAGACCCATCCCAGTAGTCCGCTTCGGCAGAGGCGATGTCCCCCGCGAAGAGCGCCTCGGCGCGGCGCAGCTCCTTGGGGCCTCCGATCTTCCTGACGATCTGCAGACATCGTTCCTTCGCCTCGGGAGTAGTCCAGAACTCTGCAGAGCCGATGACTGCTGACAAACGCTCAGACATGTCGTCGAGCAGGCCCTTGCTCATCTCTTGCAGCACCTGTGTCACCAATGCCCGGGACGGTCGGCCAACGAAGTCCATCCCAGTCGGCTCGCCGATCTCGTCGTCTGCAGGAAGAGAACCACCATTTCTTAGCATCATAATGCGTTTCTTCTTCCACTCGACGTATTCCGCGCCGGGCGTAAAGCGTGCGTTGGCATCTTCGGGCGATGTAGGTAGTGGAGCATGAGTGAGGTCTGATACCAGTGCAATCAGGATAGACAGGTCCAAGTTTACGCGGAAGGTTGGATGGAAGGCGCGGGGGTTATATACAGTGTTGTCTGACGGTTCCCACAGAAGACGGTCCTCTCGTTCTCCGAGTTGCACATCGATGCCCATAGCACGAAGTTCTTCGATCGTCCTTGGAATCCTGGGGTCGTGCTCCTTTGAATCTTGGGGAGATGGGTCCAGGCGAGTGAGGCATAGCGTTACCAGAGGTATGTCGCTCGTACCAGGCACCGGGTTTTCTTTCGCCGCAGCGAGCAATGAGCGACCCATTCGAAGAACCGAGTTGTCGAACTTTGTCTGGGCGAGGCTAGGTAGCTCATCTTCGTCATCGTCGCCCTCCGAATCTGTCAAGTACGAGTCGATTTCGCGGAACTCGGCGAGCATGCGTGAATTCTTTGTTCTACGCTTCCGGTCACATTTCGAGCTGGACATCGCACACAACGAACAACTCACGTATTCACTCGTGTCCACCGTCTTCCACCGTCTGCGACGACGTCAACCTTGACACCCGCCTCCTTTGGCAGACCACGTTTGCGCGGATGCAACGCCGTGCCGCTCTCCGAGTAGGTGCTCCAGATGGCAGTGACGGGCGCCGGTGCAGAGATCGCTTCCTTCCACACAGAAATGAGATATGGTGCATTTGTGGACAGTGCTGGAAGACGAGCGCACTCGATATTTGCCAGGAACTACTGCACAAGAGGAGTAGCATGAGCATCGGAGCGTGCAAGTGTGATGGAAAGTACCTTCTCGAGCACATCCAAGTCTCGCTTTACAGAGTCCTTGAATATACGCATGCCCCGCACTGCTTCCCGCCGCGGGACATCATCAGCTGAGGAGTCGAAGGACGAGTCGATGATGGGTGGTTTGGGCAGCGTCGGACCGAAGCTTGACATTGAAGCGAGCATGTCTTGCAGCTGCTTTCGCAGACACTGTAACTCAGGATGTGGGCCATCTTCAATCATTTCCTCCAGTAATTGAACGCAACGTTCGCTGAAGGGCTGACAGGAGCTGCCACAGGCGGACGAAAGATGAAGGTCTAGAGCAGAGTGCGCCAGTTTGTGGCGCTCAGAGCTGCTGGCCTCAAAAACGTTATGTTTCTCGAACTTGCGCTTCATCGACATCCATCGTTATTACAGCCATGACCGATATCACTCTGCGTGAGGCACCATCCACAAACATCAGCCCAAAGGTTAAGCGACAGCCGAGTGAGAAAGCGATACCTGTACCTTTCGATTACTGTCCCAGCGACGATGGCACTGACGAGAATTTGCTCATTCTTCTCCATGGGCTTGGTGAGTGCAGTCTGCAGTCTGCAGGATGTTTATCTATCGCTCAGCTTACTTGTAGGAGACACACATAAACCGTTCGGACGTCTAGGACGGTCGCTGAAGCTTCCACAGACAGCGACACTCGCCTTACGCGCACCCGAGCTGTGAGCATCTCGCATTCTTCGGACGACTACGACTAAATTTCTCCTACAGGATCCCCTACCTGTACGAAGAGGCCTACCAATGGTACGAATCCTTCGACCAACTAGGAGACCTGATCCAAAATCCCAATCCGACACCTGCGCTCGCGCTCATGTCGAGCGTCCTCAAGCACCTCACGGTGGAGTGTGCCTGGCCTGCAGAGCGCATCCATCTTTTCGGATTTGCGCAGGGCGGCACCGTCGCAGCCGAGTTCGCGTTGCATTGGTGGCGTACCGAGCTTGAGCGTACGAAGCTTGTCGCAGCGGACGCGCCGGACAGAGAACCGCGTGCCCTCGCGTCGGTCGTGAGTGTCTGTGGCCCTCTGCTCTCGTTCTCAACGGTCCTGGCAAGACCATGCCCAACACCTGTCTTTGTCGCGCATCGCCCGTCCCCGGCGGAGAGCGCGATGCCGCCGAACGCTCTCTCGTCGTTTAAGAAGGGATACAGTGAAGTGAAGGACGTCAGTTTGGGGCGTGGCGAGGGCATGCCTCGCTCGAGAGATGAATGGGAGCCGATCATGCGTTTCTGGAGCGAAAGGCTGTCACGCAGGCAGATGGAGGGATTATATGAAGTTATGAGCGGTGCGATGCCATTGTAATTACTGATGCATATATAATACAGAGAATAAATGTACAGATATCCTACCCACAGTAAGTGATAAGATGACATAAACCAACGATAGGGCGACTGTTCATGGTGTGTGGTATCAAAGGTATGTCTGCAAGAGTGGATGATCAGTAGAGTTCAAAGGTTATAGCCAACGGATGTAGGTCAGAGAAAGCGAGAGTATCCACCAAAGTGAGTCTCTCGAAGGTAGCTGAGATAAGTTTCTGCAACGTAAGGTGCGCCCTTACTAAAGCCAAATGCCTCAAACATCATGCCTAGGAAGGAGGACTTCCAAAGAGAGAGACGTGGATGCTCACCTACACAGCCATATACAGAGAGTACCGGCCCCTCCATGAGTGCGCGCGAAGCCTGTTGGATCCTCACAGTGGTCCAACCCGGGTCCACTAGGCTAATAACTGATCATCTTTCAGAGGCTGAGGACCTGATCCTCTTCGAAGTGCGTCTAGAAGCTTTCTCGGAGCTGACATGACCCCGCTTGCGATAGGGGCCCCGTTTCCCTGGTGAGAGATTAGAACAGTTGATGGACGAGGAAGACACAAGGACATACTTTCTGGTGGCTCTGGCTTATAACCGTCAATGTCTAAGAAGCTCAAGTCCTCGGCAGGTCTAGCACGACTAGACAAGCTGTTGATGCGAAAATTGTGCTTCGCACCAGCAGACGACATAGAATAGATAGCTGAGAGGCGTTGATGGATGGTCTCCAGAGTCCTGGCATTTCAGTCAGCGACAAGAACCGACGGCTGAGAGGGTAGACGCACTCCGGATTCACAAGGCCATTCACGGCGGCGATGTCTAAGACAGTTTCCCAATTGACGGGACGCACACGGTTCTGCATACTCTTCTCTCCCGGCGGTACATACGCTGCGAGCAAAGCCAGGAGCTGAGAGAGAAAACGCGCAGTCGAGGATGTAAGCCCGCTCAAGACTGGGGGCGTCAACAAAGATTCTGGGCTTTCTTCACCGCTCAGATCTCCGTTGTCGGAGGTCGAATCAGGGTCCGCAGGAGCCCAGCCTACAGGAGTAGACTCCAACGGCCGATCAGCGTCGGTAGGTTCGTCTTCAGCTTGGCCAGGCTCCGTAGCTGGCAAAATCGGAGAAGAGGAACCGCCATGCCACTGTCCTTGGAGTGCCTGTGTCGCGATCGAGCGCACTTCGTCCTCTAAGCTCCATTCTGTCACATATACATCTCCCGCAAGCAACGGCCAGCGCGTCCACGTATCCTTGGGCGCCTTCTTCTTGGTGTTCTTCGCTTTCCGCTTAGCATTGCGCTTCAGCTCGTCCACAGCAGAGTCATCGGAATGTTGAGAACGTCCTCCGTGATCCTGGGAATCTGTCACGGTCTCAGTGAGAGGCCGCTCGCTCTCGCTTTCATCACCGAGGCTTGTCTCCGAAGCTGCATCGTCTTCGTGAAGGCTGGTCGGGCCGCTTGCTGGAACAGTAAGCTGGCTGGCTAGATCGAGTGTGTTACTGGTCCGTAGAGCCCGTAAAAGCGACGAATACTCGGTAAGCTCAGAGTGGAGGGCAGCAGGGACTCGTAGTCGTTTGCCCATCGCAGTCCAAGTGCAGGCGCTTGGAGGTTCGCCCAGGAATGGAAAGATGACTCAGCAAGAACTGTACAGCACCACTCAGCCTCATATTGCGTAGCTGACGCCTCCGACGAACCTAGATCTCTCCACGACCTGAGAAATGTGCGTATATTCCGCTGATATGTCGTTCCCCTTGTGTGCACTGTACTGACTGTGGCGCACGCTCTTCAGCATGAGAGAGAAGTGGAAAAAGAAGCGTTCCCGGAGACTCAGGCGCAAGCGCCGTAAAATGAGGGCTCGTTCCAGTACGTATTCCCTTATTGTGGCGGGACTTGCGGTGCTCAACGGTACTCGCTACAGAGTAAATGCCATAATAGCTGCTAGGCTTGCACTATGAAGGCGCAGATATCATTCAAAGCTATGTCGTGGAAAGGCAGATTGACTAAACGCACATGCACCTACCGAATTCGCCGCCCGACAAGGACGTCGCGCCTTTTGGCATTGCCTCGCGCTCGCGCTTCAGACCCGGGGAGGCGCGGGAACTCTGACTGCTGTACCTTTGTCGTCGGGGTAGCTTTTTGGCATCTATCTGTATCAGTATGGCTCGTGACCGCAATATGAGCCTCGTTGAGATCATTTGTCGTGCGTATCCTTGGGGTGTGCTTGTGCTCCCCCCAAGCAAGATGCATCACCGTAGGTTATAGACCTATGGAGTGTATAATCCTTCAAGCTTTAGGATCCTGAAGGCTTTGCGGCAGGATGAAAAGCAAGTTACATGCAGCATTCCTCGGTGTCGAGGATTACTACATGTAACTCGCTTTTCATCCTACCGGGTGTTATATGTATTGGTATGAACCAGTCCTCTAAACGCTTCTGCCTATTTTTGCATTTGTGTAGCTCATTGTTTGCAACCATGTAAGTGCTCCAGCCATAGAATGGAAAGTGGGCTTGCAGCTGTGTTTGCGCAGTGGAGGACTGGAGGTCAAGCGAGTACCTAGGTTCCTGTGAGGCTTGATGAGTGGAGACATTCTACTACAATTGTGGCTGGCCGCTACATGCAAAACATAACTTTCTGAGACCGAACGTGATTATTTCCTCCGGATGTTCCTTGGGCGTTGTTTAAACCCTTCAGCTTGCGGCCTGTGCGCGCAGGCAGCGACTCAAGTCGCGGTCACGTCTGTCACGTATTTGGTTACTTTCGTGACTCGGCGCGTATAAGCGCTTATTTTGTCACACCGATCCTCTTCCCAGTTTTTGTCCTGCCTCTCGCATTAATTTTAATCTGCTTACAAGGAGCATAGAGGCTAACACGATGCCATCGAAACCAACGAAGTCGTCCGGAAAGATTGTGATCAAGCCGCGCGGAAGAGGGAGTTCAGGAGCGCCGAGCCCGTCTCGCCCAACGATTCGGATCGGCCCACGCGCAGCGGCACGCGAGGAAACACCCGCGGAGGACGAGCAGTTCGAGGATGGGGACGACGCGACGGAGCCCGCGGACGAGTCGAGCCTCACGTCGAACAATGGTGCGAGCACGAGTAGGATCATGACACCTCTTGATGCGGAGGGTGTGGACGAGAAGGGACAAGACGAAGGGGACAGCCAAGCCGTGGATGTGGAGGGAGAGGAAGAGGACACGCAGGCAGACGAAGACATAGAGGGCGAGGGCGAGGATGTGGGGACGCCGAGAGATGACGACGAAGAGGAGGAAGAGGTACCCGTGCCTGTGGTGAGAGGACGAGGCCGCGGACGACCGCGCGGTAGCCGGGCGAGGGGTGCGGGACTTGGGCGACCTCGTGGGCGTGGACGAGGGCGGGGTAGGGGTAGAGGGCGGCCGTCGAGGCGACGAGACGATGACGACGTGATTGAGCTGGACGAGGACGGGACAATTGCTGGTGGCAAACCCTTCCGCAGGATTAATGGCCAGGTGCATGTCATTGACGGCGACGAGTTCGTCACGTCGGACAATCCGAAGGGAGACCAGAAGATTGATAAGAATGGACGGCTGCTCGAAGGTGCATACGGACACTTGTGTGCATGCATGTTAGTATGCTGACTATTTTTCAGGCCGACAATTCAAAGCGCAGACCTTTACTCTCCCGAATCGACACCCTGAGCGACAATACATGCTGGCTATTGATGCTGCGCGAAGCTCAGGGTTCCGTGACTCGCTGTACTATTTTCGACGGAATCCTCTGGCATTGAAGCTTAATGCTACGCAATGGGAGAAGGATCATCTCATTGAAGTTGGGAAGCTTGGTTCACATTTGCGCACGCGCAGCGTCACCCTTATTACGGCGCGGAGTGCATACAAGCTCCACGGCTCCAAGATGATCTTTGGTGCGAGTTCAATAGCTTCTGTACGCATGTGTCCTAACATCTATGCTAGACGGTCGCTGGGTCGTAGACGACTATGACGAAGAGAAAGCTTTGAAAGAGATCACCGAGAAAGGCTTCAAGCCAGGTGACCTCGTTGGGGACCTCCAAGAGACCTCGAATGTCGCCACGGAGGCTGCCGCGCTGAATGCGACCGCGTCACGCGATGCTGGCAAGCCCGACCGGGGCGGTGGATCGGGCATCTATCGCGCAGGCGGGCCGACGACAATCTTTGGTGGGTCCGGCTGGGGCCCATTCAGCGACGGTCCACTTAACGCGGTCCGCAAATCGTTCTATAACCGTGAAGGCCTCACTGAGGAGAACTGGATGCATGTCGCGGCAGTACGCGCGCAGGAGGCGAACGAGCAGTGGGCGCAGCTCCGCAAGGACTCGCTGGCGGCGTATCGCAGCCTGTACGGCGAACTCGCGGAAGAGGATGTCCCCCCGAGTCCGAAGCGGAACGCTGACGAGATAGACATTGACGACTCGGCAGAGGTCGAGCGGCAACAACAGCGACAGCCGAAGCGCAGGAAGGTAGGGGACTCTCGCTTGGCCTTGGGTGTGTATGAGCCGCAGACGGGCTTGGTTCTCTGTACGTGTTCACCTTGTTCTCGCTGCCCTTTCCGTAGACCGATGTTTGCCCACAGACCGCACAGACACACAGCCCAGAGAGGCGCGCTGGGAAGCAGTCCCGGATGGTGAAAAGTATTCGCTCGGTGGCACCAAGGTTGGCGGCGGAGCATGGAGCATCGCACGCGTCGACACGGTGCTAGAGGTGCCAGACCCTGAAGACGAGGAGCGGAGGCGCGCCGAAGTGCTCCAGGGCATCCTCGCAGAGGTTTCGTAGTACAATATTGCAGAGTCGCCTTATTTTGTTGCCTGTACGCTACTCTTGTAATCCTAATGTTTTGCTGTGGACTATAGTGGCTGCGTTAGTCCTGGACCTGCTACGATGAACCTTTAAAGTTTCTCGGAGCTTGAGGTTAGGCCAGGGTTGGGCGCTCCGACGTTTGACTCCAGAACATCCATCTCGAACACAGTGCACGGCCGCAGAGAACGCCCTGGGGCATTCTCTTCTATGCACGATCCATGCAGCTGGTGTATCTGTATTGAGACAGCGTGTACTGTGGGTCATACGCGGGGTTAGAGTGCATCTTGCACAGTACAGGCCAGGACGAGCTAGTTACGGTCTCCACTGTGCGAGATGTTCGGTGACTGTGCCCTCTGAACAATGGGAATCACGAGGCGCATATCCGGATATCTTTAAGTAGCTGAGGGCCTGCGGGCTGGGCACCAGTGGGTTCTGTTGACGCCGCCTCTCACGCTGTCCTAGGACGCCAGCGGAACTCTGTAGATCAGAGTCATCAGACCTTACAGACATCCTGCTATCCAATAGGTGAACCGGATATCCTAGGAACCCTATTTCTAGCTTACAGCCTAGCTCTCAAATGGAGTCCAGGTGGAAGCATGAGTCGATTCCTATGCGCGCAGCTCGCAGACTTGGGTGTTGGCATTGGCGGTGTGCTCCGCTAGACACCAGCGTTCTCAGGAACTGCGGTACCACTGTCGCAATTTCGCAACGCACCTCGGGCCTATAAGATATCCTGTGCGTCTCGTACGAGCATGTCTCAGCAGCCTCTGTTCTTCGTACTTAAAGCTGAGCTGTCCGCCTAGTTCTGGTATGGACTCGCACGCGGAAATCCTCACCCAATGGGGCCTAATTCTGTCGAGCTTGATTTATGGTATGACCTTCTATCGCGCTACCCTCACCTGAGTCTTAGCGTTCTGCAGGAGCCCATCTCGTTCTCTCAGCACTTGGCTTCAAGCAAGTGGTCGAACGACAAAAGAAGAGACAAAAGCTGATGCTCTTTGCCTATCTTCTACTGCTCTTCTGCTTCGCGACTGCAGGATTTTGCTTGCAAGCATGGTGGACGCAAGTTGCGTTCATCCGCAACAGAAACTATCCCGGGGGTCCTACCCAGTTCCTTCTGGACAATGTGGATGGCCTGCCAAACAAGGCAGTTACGGCAATGTACGTCATTTATCTGACTTCATCTCGCCAGCGCAGCTCAATTCCCTTAGGTATCTCCTCTTGAACTGGCTCTCGGATGGAATTATCGTAAGTTGAAACCGTTGCCATTGGCATGCATCTGACTTCTATGTTAGTTGCAAAGATTCTATATACTATGCACCTGCGACTCTCTGCCAGGAAACCGAATTTTGGCCCTGGTCTTTGTGGTTCCAAGTTCGGTGGCACTCTTTGGTGTGTCCTCTAGCCCCTGGCAAACCACACTCTCCTTACGAATGTCTGCATAGTGACCGGAGTTGTGTGTTTCCCTAGCATAGCTGGGTTGGGCGTAAACCTGTGGTCTGATATGGCTGCCACGCCGGGGATAGCCTACATGGCGCTTTCTCTCTCTATCAACACCACGCTCACTTTGCTCGTCATCTGCCGTCTGCTGTATCTCCGCCGAAAACTAAGTAGGATATTTGAACCCCATGGCTCAGAACAGCGGGACATATACACCTCATTAGCGGCGATGCTCATCGAATCTGCGACGCTGTACACCGCTGTTGCGCTCATGACCGTGATTGCATGTGGCCTGAGCAGCCCAATGCAGTACGTGTTGCTGCCAATGCTCGGTCAGCTGCAGGTGAGCCATCTTGTGCGTACACAAATGGAGCTCCTCGTCTAACTTCCTCAATGAAATGCAGGCAATCCCTCCGCTGCTCATCATCAGCAGAGTGGCGACGGGCTCTGCACTCTCGCAGCGCATCTTCTACTCCGTCCTTCGCTTCGGGCTCAGGCACAAACCGAGCAAGACGTTTTCGGACGTGACCTCTGTGCGCTTCTTCACGTCGCGACGGAGCAGCTCCGCGTCCGTGACCAAGCCGCCCAAGCCGCCTCCACCGCCGCTGTTTACGGGCATCCGCATCGACACCAATACCGAAGTCGTCTTTGACGAGAAGCAGACACCGAGCACGAGCACGAGCATGTTCTCGAGCGGCTGGCCCTCGCCGCTGTTGGGTCGGCGTGCAGAGGAGGAGAGGTCGTATGGTAGCTGCTGCTCGTTCGACATCGAGAAGCAAGTTACATTTCCCGAGCCAATTGCTACCGTGGATCGATAACCGCGGCTCTTGGCCGACTTGGCACCAAGCCTAGACGGCCCCCAGCCGCGAGCGACAGTTATTGTGGCGCTATACAGTCGTGGGAATACCCCTTTTTCCATGCCCTGGCAGTTCTCCGATGCTGCATGCTTCGTGTTTCTGATGCTGGGACTCTTCACGATCTCTTTAACAATCTATAACCGCCATCTGGTTTATGGCAGTCCACTGTAGCATATATCTTTGTCTTTGCATTGCTAGTTGTACAAATGATGTCTCTAGCTAGTCTTGACTGTGCATGTATTTGTTTCGTTAGCTCATAGCGCATTTTGCAATCCAAAGAACACGTCTCAAGTCTCCGAGAAACCCCGTTCGATAAGTGAAGAATAAGAAGTGAGGCTACACCAGAGGCCGGAAGCGCAGCTCGAGGTAGCGTAACGGTACGTAAAAGATGGCGGTCGAGACGAATGCCATCTCAAAGCCAATGTCGCCCGTTTTCTGCGCGATCGGGCCAACGAACCATGCCTGGTCCATGCTGGGCACAATCAGCGCACAGGCGAGCGCACATGCACCGAGGGCCGCGAGGCCCGTCGGGAGTTTGCTGGGGGTGTTCCAGTAGCGGAGGTCGTACGCCTCGAAGCGGCCGCGACGGACGACGAGGTGTTCGGTGAGGACGACGGCGCCAAAGGCGCTTGCCCAGTAGCCGATGAGGCCGAGAAAGTCGGTGAGTGTGTTGTAGAAGCGCGTCGCGCCGACGATGGAGAGCGGGATGATGACCGCGGTTGCGACGACGCTGAAGACGTACCGCGGGACGACGACGAGGAAGGGCATGAAGACCTGGAAGGAGAGGCAGAATGAATACAGCGTCGGCGCAACGTTCGCCGTCACTGACAGCGCCATGAGCACCGTGAGGAACTTGCCGAACCCGCCCGCGGGGCTCAGCATCGCCTCGATCAGACCGCCAACGTTCCCGTTCAGGTAGCCGGTATTCCATGAGGGCACAGTTGGGGCGGCTACGACGACTGCTGCGCCAAGGCACTGAATGGCAATCTGGGCCACAGTAAGTTCTGGAGAGAAGATTTGTGACTCTGATACTTACTATAGGGACATTGAGGCCGAGATAAGAATACAAGAAGATCTTCCAGCTATGACAAATAGGTCAGTGAGACTCAGATAGCCAGGGTCGAAAACCCACGCGGGCACGTCAGGTGTGAAGTATGTCGTGAAGTCGGAGGCAAGAGGAGAATAGGTGATCACGAATCCGGCGATTGTCGAAGCGAATGTGAGAATAGTCGACGCATCGGCCGGTTCAGCAGGCGGAGGATTGATGAGATGCTTGCCACCGATGCCAAGCGCGACGACATAAACAACAAGTACGGGTATCCATGCGAGCCTTTCGTACCAACTAAGGAACTTGAGACCGCAGAAAGAGATTACGAGTGACACGATGGAGACGATAACGATGCCGACACTGGAGGCACTCCATGAGCACATGTTCAAAGGGTATGAGACCGACTCACTCCCAACTCAGGTTGTCATCTGAGACACTCGCCAGGGTCTGTCCGCCAAGGATGGCGTTCAAAATGCAGAACCCGCACATTGAAGCCAGATTGAAAATACTCGGGACGATCACCCCGAAGAATCTGGCGATCCATCAAAATTGTGCCTGCGATGACAGAGGGAAGAGACGCACCCGAAGCTGTATCGCGACTGGCACATTTGGCGAAGTCCTAATCGCGGTCCCCATGTCGAGCTATGATGACGTAGTGAGTACTTCGGCGTCTCAGAGGACGGGGGGAAAGCGCACAAGTAGGCAGGGAGCAAGCTGGCGAGAAGGTTGAAGAAGAGGATGACGAGGCATGAATCGCGCAGCCCAAGACCGAATATGGCGGGACCAAGGCTTCCAGCAGAGAATCTAGCCGAGTAGGTCAGCAGAAGCGTGCAGACGGCGATGGCGGGGACGTACGACAAGATATTGAAGTTGGCGGACAGCCAGATAAAGAATATCTTGTTGTGCTGGGTATCGGTGCGCTGTTCGCGCGGTACGGGCAAGATCCCTAGGTACGGAGATACGTCGTATGAGTCACGTATTCATGGTTCAAATGGAGGGCGACGCACCTCGGGCTTCGACTCCCCAGCTGAGCAGCTTCTTCATGAAAGGGTGCGAGACATAGAACTCGGTCTCGCTACCATCCGAGGCAGACTGGGCATCCTTCTCAAGGTCGAGCTTCGAGGCACTCTGCTGCTTGCTCTCGAGAAGCGGCGAGGACATGGCGGGGAGTGTGCGAGTGGACGATTTTGTCGCTCAGCATCTCAAAAAATAAAATAATGCGAGCAGGGCGGATTAAAACCGTTCCGTGAAGGGTCTTGGCGCGCATGCATCCGAGTCACGCAATCGAGCCAGCTACGCGGCTCGATCATCCGTGCGGTCCAGATGCGGTCACCGCCGAGTGCCTGCATAATATTTTCCAGTGAAAAAGATCATCCGAGAACACCTTCAACGTGCGAGGGTTGGTAGGACGTCTCGTACTTTCCTTGCCCTCTCACACTGGCATGAGCCCATCGGACGCACAGGTGCTGGGACGAACAGAATGGGTCGACGTTTACTGGTACGCCGCTAGACTCGTCAACCATGGCACGGAGAAGAGCATTCTCGGGCGGAAAAGGATGTACTGTGCTGGCATACTTCCAGATTTCTCTCGATCGTAGCCTAAGTCGCGACGCAAGATGTTACATACCACTGGGCAATGCGGCAATATTTCCATCACATTGGTTTCTCCGGAGGATTCAAGAGCCAGAGTACTTGTATAGAACTGAACCGTCCGAAGGAAGGAGGTGGTCGTGCAGCGCACCAGGAAGGGCGGCAATAAGTTAAGAAGGGGCCGTTCTATTTGCCTCCGTTAGGATCAACTGATCCAAACCAGGCTACCATATCGAGCCGAACATACTGTACAGTTACTAAGCTTTACTAAGTTGCCTCAAGCCTTGTCATAACCATTACTCTTAGCAGTATCGCCTCGTCGTCCTACATCACCTACGTCTCTCAGACTTGGAAAAATTCATGAAACACCTACGCCACTGCAGTGATTGGCAAGTTTTATGTATAGAGACATTCCGTTCAGCCTGGCTATTGCAGTAACTCCGACGGCTCGCGCTCTATCCCACTTGACAACATACACGGCGGGCAGATGAGCAAGGAAGTGCCGTACGCCGGGTACAAGCTTTCGTGAGGAATTGTGGATGGCGAAGACGTGGAGCAAAACGCTCCGAGTCTCCATACGTGCTTGCATCACGCTTGCCACATAAACAAGCATTCATAACGTCGTATCCTTCACAATGATATTCCTTCTGCCTGCTACCTTCGCAACACGCAAAATATATCTGTACATCGCCTCAGCGACAACTTCGACACTCACGTTCCCCGAGGTGAGTAGGCTAGGGCCTGGGAGGTTCCGCGGAGTCTTAATGTCGAAGCGTACACCATCAAAAGCATCGGTCTCCGAAAAGTTTGTGGCGGCTGTATTAGCGAGCTGCGGTTGCTCCTACGGGCCTGTAAATAATCAGGCTCATAGAAGCTCATACCATACTTGTGCCCAACGCGCCGCGTGTTCTCTCGCGTGAGAGTTGCAAATGAAGCCCGATGTTCAGGCATTCACTAGCCAGTCCATCACGCTCGCATGCAAACACTATGTCGGACCTCCCCTATGCTCCAGTCTCTACGGTATATGAAGCGTACGCCGTGGTTTATCTCTTCCGCGACTCGAGAGGCTGGTTGACGAGCCTATCCCCAAGGACACATCTGCCAACGCCCTGGACTCAACTCACTACCCGCCGACTCCCGTCTTCCCCCTCTTTTTTTCCCTGTTTATAATGGCCCGTACAGCTAGAGGTACGTGCAGGCCTAGTCTGCGTTATAGGCGCAACCATAACCTACTGCCCTGCCGACTCGCGTCAATCCAAGCGCTACGAGTCCTATTTGGGCAAAATACATCGCGACAGCTCAGAGCGTGGCAGGAACACTGCCTCACAGCACTCTCAAGTCTCCCCCCAACACGCTCGTTCTGAGCATCTCAGAACGACTTCTCTCGTCGTAGGTACGTCCATGTGCGGCCCTCGCGGTAGCATGCCCATCGATTTGCGGGCGCTTCTCACCAGATGCCAGATGGCCTCGAGTACTTCCCCCGAGTCAGCTGCACAACGAATACCACCGGAACTATTCAAGAGAATTATCGATAATCTGAAACCCCAAGAGTTGGACGGATCAACTCGTCTAGCGTGGACTAAGTCCCGCAAAACGAAGAAGCTCAGAGGCCAACAGCAGAAGCACGAACTCGGACAGTGCTCCCTTGTCTGTCGCTACTGGGCGGTGCACTGTCGGGGGCCAATATTCAGGAACGTTGAAATTCGGACACTCGAGGATGCCCATCGCCTGCTCGAGTTCGCGAAGACGAGCACGATAGGCATCAGTATCGGGTCGTACATCTCCAGTATTACTGTACGCGCGGCGGTGCCTTCGCTTCCGTGGATCCACCTCATTACCAACGCCATCCCTCATGATGCATTCCCAAATTTGAACAGCTATACAATCAATGTATCTGAAGCTCCTTTTAGCGAGGCTCCCGAGCTGAGGCCCTTCGCTCCCCGTTCTGTGTTCTACGGCCTCCCGCGCTCGCTCCCTGCCACTAAGCGCCCACTTCCTCTTAGCCTAAGAGACCTACGCTTTGCCGCATTCGCCGACATGATCTCTTTCATCGAGTCCTTCGTTGCATCTAAGCCCCGCTCGCACAGTGCTTCACTCTACCTCGATCAAATTACCTGGGCGGACGGTAACACACTAATGCCCTCCGAGACTCCAGCCGCGTTCCGCGGCATGCGTCGCCGTTGGCGGAAACACTTTAAATCAATAGTTTCGAATAATTGCACGGATGCATGGCCACTCGTCTGGCTCTTGGTCACTGCAGAACGTCCGAAGCCGTCTCTAAACAGAACGCCACCTTTTGTCGACGGCATGGAAGTGCGTCGGCTCACGGCGCTCGTGCAGGTGATTATGGACAATTGCCAGTGCACCATTTGCAGCGAGCGCAAGTCGGGGCATAAAAGTACTAGTTCCCCGGGTCACCTACCAAGTGTATTTATGAAGGAAGTGGAGCCCGAACGTGGTTCCCGAGGTGTGTGCTCGGTTTGCTACATGCCTAAGGCGAACGGGAGCTGAGCAGGATGGCCCCAGATCACGTAATACTCAACATACATAACGAAATTCACGAACTGGTTTTCAGGATCTCCTCCGAGGGCCATGTTACGAAGACAACTTTTCGTCTTAAGGGTCCACTTACTGCGGATTGCGGGTCTCCCGAATCGTTCGGATTCGACTGGGCGGCCCTAGACAAGCGGGCCTCTGTCTTCAACGCGGCCGTGCTCTCCGTCTCGTTTCCTGCTAAACTATACAGCGTGTACGAGCGATTCGTACGTGATCACATGCCGTTGATGGAATCGAGCGGCCGATTAGAGCTCGAGAGACAGAAAGGGTGACCTTAACGAGGTTGATTGCATGGGTGTCTTGCTGAAATTGTAGGTCGGCTACGCCTGTATGCAGCTGTATATTTCATTCTTGCGCCCTCGGACGTGGACGTGGGGCACCTGATATCCAAATACAGTCTCGTCGTGGTTTCATTTTCTTCTTTGGACTTGTCTGCCTGGCTTGGTCAGCCGCTAGTGCGAGAGTTATGTACAGTTCGCTCAGCTGCGAGATGATGCATAGACTCCCACAGCTGATGTTGATGCATTGACTCGGCCAGGCCTCTTGCCACAAGCTTGGTTTGGTGCCCGGCACGCAAGGCTCAGCTTTACTTGTCGGCTGCGTCGCGTTCACGCAGTGTTTTCACCAGCTGCGAAAGTAGAAGCACGAGAATTGAGAATGTATCGGCTAGTTGAAATGCATCGCGGCGAAGCGCGTTAATGTGTTGGATAATGAGTGTGAGACGCGAGCTAGCCGCGAATTTCAGGTTATCTAAGCGAAGTCAGCTCTTCCTCCTCAACCACCATGTCACCCTCCTCACCTTGCGCCTCCTCCATGCCCCTAATGTCGACAGCAGACAGTCAGGGCCCAAGTCATACGGGTAACAGCGACCATGTGGTCTGGCCGCCGACTCGGGTGGCCGCGCCCGAAGCTTGATTCGGTCAAGCTCTTACCTCAGGCTAGCTGACTGTCTGTGTCCGACTACTTCAGGAAACTTTCGCTTTCCGCTGGGATGCCGGGAGCAACGTTCAGCTGACTAGATTCAACCTCAGCTTGACTGCAGCTCGATGATGGAATCACCAGAGCGCAACAAGATAGTCCAGCCAACGTCAAGCACGCAAGTTGACCTCGAGGCTCAAGCACAAGACTCGATTTCATCCCCAAGAGCCCCTGCTCTAACCGTACGGACCAAAGGCTCGTCGGTTGGGAACGCTTTAGTGCGGACATGGGCAGATGAGAATGAGAAGCAACCGGAGAGCGTGAAGGATAATGAGCTTGTTCTTGCAATGCCGCGGCTGGAAGCACACCCTATTCTGCATCATGCAGCGAGTTCTCCGGATGATCAGGACGCGTTACTTGCTTTGCCTCCTCCGCCTTCGTACGACGTCGTCGTTACCGACCTCTCCATTGCCGTCCCTCCATTCCGTGCATACATCCCCACGCCCATCCCGATTCCCATCCCTCAGGCTGTCACCGACACTGTCCGCAGATGGAACTCGAAGGATAGAGAAGAGTCTAACACGAATGTCAACGCTGGCGACGGGCTCATCATCCGCAATGTTAACGCCGTCGTCCATCACGGAGAGGTCATGGCCATCATCGGAGGGTCTGGGTCAGGGAAAACAACGCTGCTGCACGCTATGGCTGCCCGACTCGGGAATCTACCCATCGCTGAGGGCCATGTTTCGATCACTCCGTCTCACAGCGGGGGACAAGATGGTGCGCACCCTAAGGGCGGCGAGGGTCACTTCAAAGGCATGAGCAAGGTTGTCGGTTTCGTGAAACAGCACGACTACCTCCTGCCTCATCTTACAGGTCCGTCTGTCGTAGCTGATTGCGTTGAATGACATGTCCTCACTATGCCACAACAGTCAGAGAGACATTGACGTATGCCGCAAAGTTGCGGTTGCCTTCTTCCGTCGACAGCGAAACAAGACGCCTGATCGTCGAACAGACGATTCAAGAGCTCGGTCTTGCAGACGCCGCGAACACGATAGTAGGCGGCGCAGGCAGGAAGGGGATCTCCGGTGGGGAAAAGCGTCGGCTGTCTATTGGCTGCGTCCTTGTTAGTTTTCCATCCTTGCTTATTCTCGATGAAGTTACGACCGGTCTCGGTGAGTTGGGTCTTGCTCGCCACACTGAGGCTATCTGACATCTTTGCGTAGATTCGTTCACCGCGTTCCAGCTCCTTGAGACCCTTGATCGCCTGGCGAAACGCGGGCGTACAATCATTCTGTCGCTACACCAGCCGCGATCCGACGCCTTCACGCTATTTTCCCGTATTCTTCTTATGTCGCATGGATCAGTCGTCTACTCTGGTCGCACAGCAAACTGTCTACCCTATTTCTCTCAGCTCGGTTTCCAACCCCCGGAACGGACCAATCCGCTCGATTTCCTGATTGACATCTCCAGCATTGACACACGGGACGAAGGCAATGAGCGCGAGAGCAGAGAGCGCGTCGATCGGCTTGTCCAGTGCTGGAGAGAAAAGGAGGCCATGGATGCCGAGAAGGACGTGCGAGACGGCCCTCCGTTCCCTGGAACTTCTCCTTTGACACCAGACCCAGAAAAGCAGGCTGTCCAGGTGTCCCCAACGACAACGACCAGCAAGCGTCCCAACGTCCTCCAACAAACTGTTATCCTCGTTCCCCGCGCATTTCGTAACATGACCCGCGGCTATCCGGAACTTGTCGGCCACTTTCTGCAGGCCGTCATCCTGGGCTTGCTCGTGGGCATCACTTACTTCCAGCTTGGCGACCAGCCGAATGACATTCAGAGCTTGAAGACCCTCGCATTTCAGGTGGTGCCGGTATACGGTTATATGACTCAGATCGTTTGGACGTTCAAATGGTGCACATCGCTCGTCGTCTTCGACCGGGAACGAGAAGACAGCTTGTATTCGCCTGTGGCGTGGATTCTGTCTGAATTCATTGCGTGGCTGCCTATGAACGTCATTGCCCCCTCTATATTCTCAATCTTGGTTTACTTCATCTCCAACATGCGTCGAGATGACCTACATTACAACTTCGGCGTATTCATCATTGACATGGTCTTGGCTCAATTTTGCCTCGTCGCATGGTCGCTTTTTGCGGCTAATATTGAGGTAAGCTACATGTACGATCCTATCATACACTTCATACTGATCTTGTGGTGTAGCGTAGCTTCGCACGGGCTTCACTCCTCGGGAACGCTTTTTCTATCTTCTTCATCCTTTCCCCAGGCTTCTTTGTTGTCAACGTCCCAGGCTGGATTCGCTGGTTCCGCTGGATCTCCCCTCACTTCTTCTCCTTCCGCATCGTCGTCATCTCCCAGTTCCGCAACCGCACATTCTCCTGCCAAGGTGTCACCGCCCCCGCACTCGCACAGTGCTCGGGCAACAACGTGCTCCGTGGCCTGCGCATCTCACCCACGGAGCCACTGTGGCCGATGTTCCTCGGCAACCTGGGATTCCTGCTCGTCATCACAGCCTTCTCGTGGTTTTTGCTTACGGTGTGGAAGCCCGGCGGTGCGCGGCACGCGCAGCGCGTTGCGAGCGACGTCAAGGGCAAAGAGGTCAGCGAGGCGGAGATCGACATCGTGCGGGCGCGCGTCGACGTCACCGCCGAGCACGTCGGACTCTTCCATGTCCGCCGGACACTTCCGTCGTTCAAGCGCATCGAGACGCCGATCCTGACAGATGTTAGTGCGCGGTTTCCGAGCGGTGAGGTATCGGTGATCATGGGACCCAGTGGGTCGGGGAAGAGTACGTTCCTGCGGATGTGTGCTGGGCGGCCGACAAAAGGTGGGCTGGTCAGCTCGTTTGAGGGGCATGGAGAGATCAAGCTCAATGGTGTACCTGTATCGAGTCGCACAAGGCATATATGTGCCTTCGTCGAGCAAGGTACGTGAATAGATTGAGGTTACATTAGCCTTCTCGTGTTCGTTGTGCTGATGGGAAGATGCAGACGACGACTATCACCTGCCAGCATTGACCGTACGGGAGACGCTCCGGTTTGCGGCTATCATCAAGTTGCACAGCACAGTCAGTCGCAAGCACAAGATCGCTCGTGCGGAAGAAGTTCTGAGGATGCTCGGTCTTCGGGACTGCGCTGATGGAATGGTCGGCGGCGAATTACTGAAGGGGATATCGGGTGGAGAGAAGCGCAGGCTATCGTTAGCGTGTCAAATGGTACAGTCTTTGGTGCGTTCGCCGTCGTATGACATGCTGATGGAAGGTTGGATAGATCAATGACCCCGCAGTGCTCATTCTTGACGAACCTGTATGTACACCTTTTGCCTTCGGCGGTCGAATGATCGTGTCTGATAGACTGGGCAGACCAGCGGTCTGGATGCCAGCACAGCACGAAACGTGATGGAGGCTCTTCAAGATATTGCCCGCAGCGGGTAAGTCTCAAGGTATATCCAGCGTCGAGACCATTCTGAACAATTTTTTACAGGCGGACTGTGATAGCATCCCTGCACCAGCCCCGCAGCGACATCTATAACATGGTCGATAACTTCGTAGTTCTAGCCAAGGTATTACCTTAGTGAACTAGTGCTTGCTTTTATTTACTGATTCACGGCCAATTCAGCAAGGAAATGTTGTCTATCAAGGTCCTCGAGAGCAACTACTTCCCCATTTTGCGTTAGCAGGCTATGTCTGCCCTCCGTCCTACAATCCGTCGGACTACTGTATGGATCTAATATCGATCGACGTGCGTGGACAGGCTGGGCAAGAACAAACCTCGGCTCGTGTCAAATTTTTGATCGAGTCCTGGAAGACCCGACAAGACAAAATGCTCGAGTACATAGCTAGCAAATCCGTCGCCGCTAAAGAAGCAGTCGCCGATACACCTGTAGAGCTAGAAGATCGTCCAGAGTACACGCCCATATGGATCGCCCTTCCTGTCGTCCTCGATCGAACATTTCGCAACAGCTGGAGACAGCCTGATATCTTCTGGACCAGATGGACCCAGGCCCCGATCCTAGCTATCTGTTTCTTCTTATTCTTCCTGCGACTGTCCAACGGTCCAACGGGTGCTCAAGATCGCATCGGTCTGGTTGCGGAAACTACCACTGCTCTTGCTTATGTTGGCTTCCTGAACTTGGCCACGCTCTACCCGATGGAGAAGACCGTCTTCTTCCACGACTACAAATCGGCTGGTGGGCGGTATTCGAGCGCCACATTTATCACGGCATTCACCATCTTCGCTATCGTCCCCGAGTTCATCTCCGCCCTACTCTTTTCCGTCATCATGAACGTCGCTACGGGTATGCAGAGCAACGCACGGATCTACTTCGAATTTACTGTTTCTGTCTGGATACAGCTCAGCTTCGGCGAGAGTGTCGGCATCGCCTTCGCGTCGTTCTTCGACACCATGGGCCTTTCCGTGTCCCTCGTCTCCGTCTTCCTCGCTGTCGTCTCGCAGGCTGGTAGTGTCCTTTCTGCGTCGATTGCCCTGTTTCTTCAGGATATTGCGTGGATTTTCCCGATGAAGTACGGAGCGCGAACGCAGCTCATCAACGAGATGCAGGGAAAGGTGTTCAACTGTCCGCCAGATACCATTACGAACGGCGAGTGTACTGCCGCGACTGGACAGCAAGTGCTGGACTTGTTCGGATTTCATGATACCACCTGGCATCTTGTCCTTATATCGATCGCAGTCACTATAGGATACCGCATTGCCGCCTGGGCTATTCTATCTGTGAGGTGAGTATGTTGTTGGTGCACACGGATTTTGCTAATACGCCTGCACGTGTAGAATGCGCTATATTTGATATCCCTACCTCCTTCCTACCATTCACCGAAGTTGTGACTGAGCGTCTTATCTTTTATCCATAATCAGGATCAACTTGGTGCCGTAGTGTACCCTACACTGTTTTTCCAATTTGCATAGGTTGAAGTTGATTGATTGCGTTATTGCTTTCAGCTACTATGTGTGATTTCACGTCAGTCGACTTCCAAAGGCTATAGCTACAGCGGTATGTGTTATGTAGCGAAATCCAGGCTATAGATCATATTCAAGGGCTCTGAAAATAGCATGTGATACGACGCCCTGCCACCCCCTCCAGACGCCCATCCGTCTGTGACCATGAACATAGTTCCCGTCGACCGTACTGCCTGCCCGGCCGCCATCGCAGCGCCCCACCCTCTCCCTGCCCTGCGTAACTGCCCCAGCATTCCTCACGCTGCCGCCTACCCAAGCCCATCCCAGTGACTTCCTCCTGGCACTCTCACTCTACGGCTATTGCACGAAGCGCTGCTGTACCTCGTGTGGTGGCGCCAGTTTGGGCTGCAGGTCACAGAGGTGAAGGACGACGAGTTACTCCCTCTGCTGCACTTTGTGCTCGACGGCCTGCCGACAAACATTAAGGCACGTCCGAGCTCGGCACCACGAACACGCGGGACCTCGTTGTGCGGTACACGAAGCAGCCGAGCGCGCGGTCGACGATGCGGTGCCGGGCGAGCACATCGCCTGGCTGAATGAGGTGGGCTTCCTGCCAACGCTCAAGACCGACACGCTTCAGAGCGCCCAATGCACGGAACGCGGAAGCGTGAGAAGCTGGCTCTCACTCGGACGAGTCGCGGCATCTTGCAGTTTAATTGGCCTAAATTCCGTGTCATTCTGCCTTCAGAACGCAGCAAGCATGGTGTAGCCTGGGTGGCGTGGTGAGCGTTATCGGAAGATTACCATTGGTGCGTTCCGAAACTCGCTACTCGATTGTGGCGGAAGCTCATTGTGCGTTACAGCGTCTTCGGCTGGGCTGCTCTTCGGGACAGCAGGCCTGAAATTCGCGGCGTTGGAAATTGAGAGCGCAGGTACATGGTGCGTGCGTGGTGCGCTCTGCGCTCTGCAAGGCTTCAAAACATGCACTAAATACGAAATTTGCAGGAGAAGTCTATGTCCTGAACGATGGCAGAGAGATCGACTTAAGCCTCAGCAATAACCCGGCTGTGGAATTTGCCGACTTCATAATGTTGCTATCACTCGCGATGCCATCTCACATTAGCATTCGCTTTTGAAAAAGACGTGCGTCCCCAGGCGGCCCTCTTCTGAGGTTACTGCTGATGTGACTAGTCTCGTAAGCGCGTTACGATTAGCTTGGGAAGACCGTCCAAGTGAGTTTCATTTGCAGTGTCTGTCGTTCCCGCTCTCATCGGCGCGTCGTAGATTGTCCATGATGTAACGAGTACCGTTGTTGAAGTATGTGATCGCCTCTGGCCACCAATTTAAAACGTGTTAACATCGTGTTCAAGCTTGGTGGACCTGTTGGCGACCTTGAATCCGCCTCACTCGTCGAAGCCATGCGACGGCTCCAGTCCCGCGTCAGCTACGAGGACTTTACCGGCCTTCGTGTCCGGGATATGACCCGCTAACCTGCTTCGAGCATGCGTTCATGGTTACCGGAGCGTCGTACACGGCCCTGACCGCACCTGCGTGCCATGGTATGTGCTTAAGCATTGTGTACGCTAAGTATTGCTGACGACAGAGCGCAGATATGGTTGCTGCCGTCCGAGTCAGAGACCTCTACTTGGTGCCCGTGGTTCCTACGCTTGAAGACCAGATGCTGGCGAGCCCAGAGGGACGTCGGATCCTCAAGGAGAGGCCGTGCGTCACTGTGAAGACCGTTGACATGAACTACCTCGCAATCCTTCCCCAGAATCCATTCGGGCGCACTTATATGACCTGGCTGGAACAATGCAACGTCACATCTACCACCCACGAACCAGTGAGCTCATTTCCTAGATGTCTTTGCGGTAACTAAAAGTTAGAAAGTGCAGAGGCATTACGTTAACGACCGCGAGCTTGCGTAGGTGATGCAGCTCTATCGCGAATCGCGCGACCTCTACCACTGCCTCGTCGATTTCCCCGTCGACGTCACGTCCGAGCTCGCCGTCAAGTCGTTCGAATTCACCAACCTCGGGCTGCCCATGGCCGGCTTCGCCGCCGCGTCCGGGCACCTCTGCATCAGGTCTGCGAAGCGGGCTTGGCTGCTCAGGGAGTATGTACCGTGAGTGATCAAGTGCGGGAGCAGCACATGGAGCCTGATAATGGTGTATTGGGAGCAGGACAAGGACGAGCTGAAGAAGGAGCTCGGGTTGTGGGATGCACCGGCTGCGAAATGGCCCAAGCTGCGACCTCACGCGACGGAACATGTAGGCGCTTGAGTGGAGTAGCGTTCGGTTGGTGTGCATCATTTCACTTCAAACTCTGTCGGACTGACCGTTGCGCATGGAGTACCTTTTAGACAAAGCAAGAAAGCAGACGGACGGCGAACACAGGTATATTGCCCCTCCGTGTTAGTATTTTGTCTCGAGGACGCACCCCATTCGGATCGAAGTTACCCGCCGCACAGCCGACGCAGCCCGGGAGGACGGCCCAGGAAGACTATGCGGAAATACAGAATACATCTTAAAGTAAGTGATCTTCAACATGCCCTCTTCCGGGTGCTGCTCAGCTTGCTGTTAGCGCAGAGCTTCCACTATGTGTCCTATCGAGACGCAGGCACAGACGTACAGTCTGCTCGTCGTCATCTCCTATATCTCCATCAGCCGCCGCGGTGTGCAATCTATCGTCTCATAGCCACAGCCGCCAACGGCGGTAGCGCATACCGGCGCCGTTGCCTTGCGCTGCGGGAAGTCGCAGCCCAAGGGCGCGCCTCCTCACCAAGTTGTACGCAGGCGCGCACCGTGTGTTCGGCCATTGCGACATACGCTCGCCGGCGCCGCCCGCACCGCCATGGTTGGGCCGACGGGCGGAAGTTCGCGGCTGCGCCGAGGGGTGCGCGTTCTGGTCCAGCCCCCACGCCGACCTGGCCGCCTGTATGTGCCCCTGCGCTATTCACAAGACGACATACACCCTCGGCGACCAATTGGAAGGCCTGTTCGCGTGTGTTCAAGCTCGTAGGCCTCCGGGAGGAGTCCCGCTCGACGAACGTCATGGTCTGCTCGGGGAGACGCCCACATCGAAGGCGGTCGCGGATAATCAACTTTACACGTTCGTCGGCCGCGCACGGACGGCCGGCTGGGACATGGGCGCAGGTTCTAGTGAGCCCGCGACGGCATGGTTGCGATCATGGAGACATTGGCAGGCGCACTGGAGGAGGACAAGTAAGGCTGATGGGATCCTTGACATGGTTTGAGTGTCACTGACGATATGATAGACGTTGGCTTACGGTCTCTAGATTTATCCCATGGCCTGCATGTACCTGATTGCACATTGCTCAATACGATATGTTATGACTGCTTCGCCATCTCCGCGCTATTGACGCCTTGATAAGTGTGCTGCTCGGCGCACCGGCTCATGGCTGGAGCGGTGAGCACGCTGGTCAGTAGCCTGTCGACCCCGGCTTCTTGGCCGACGCAGTAATCGAGACATCGGCAGATGAGTCAGAGGCGGGAAGAGGGTGCGATGGATAGTTTCATGCAGCTTGGACTTTGTAGCCGCCACGACAGACGTCGTTATGCGATCTATAGGCTCAGACCTTGTGATATACACTCTCGCTGCACATCGCTAAATACATTACGGCTCGTTCTGCGCCTTCCGGCTCACTCTCGCCATGTTAAATGCCCCCATGTACTTGTCGACGTGCCCACTCCTGGCCAGGGCCTCCTCACTTGACAAGTAAACCACCGTCGTCTCTTCACTCCCTAATTCTAGCTTCCTGAGTCTCTTGTCCTCCGGTTTGTTCATAAGAATGACACCCCACTTGATCACCTCAAGTGCTTTCTTGCCTCGCAAGTCCCACTCTCCAACCACTTCAACTGCAACCCAGGCCACTATGCCCGAGAACCGCCTGGCACAAGTGAGAAAGCGATAGGGAACATGTGGAACAAGACATCCATGTGTACTGGTAGCAGAGACTTGCACAGTAATAGGATCAGCGCGGTCGTAGAAGTGGAGTTGGAGCGCTTGTGGTCCGGTGCCTTGGTGCGTGTCATCGGGTGGGGATACAATGTAGCACGGCTCGGTGGCAGGTGGGGTATGGCAATACTGCCCTGGCTCATTGGTGTGAACGTCCAGAGGATCCACCAGCTCCAAATGTGGCTCAAAGAGCTCTAGCGCCGGTAGTGACGTCAGTCTGAGGAACGTGGCCCATGAGACGAAGAGTCCAAACGGCACGTCAGACTCGTATTGGCAGAAAAGGGCTGTCCGCCGCCATGGATGCATGTGCTTGATGAGCAATGTCCATGCAGACTCTGAGGAAGCCGACGGATCATAGAGCGGCAGCGTCTCGCACTCCAGGAAATAAGCGAGACCGGCGACCCTGTTGAGTTCGGTGGTGCAATGGCGATCCCTGATGGCTCGAATGGCATCAAAATTCCCCAGACTTTGCAAGACGCCCCGCAGCCGAGAAAAGAACTTCGGACTATCGACGTGAGGCGCTGCAGTGAGTCCACCGGGTAGCCAGGTATCCAGCGTCTCCTGCACGGTCCACACGCGATTGAACCAGTGCTGGTCCGACTCGACA